CTATCTGTATATACCAGTGCGGTAAATAATTTTCTGACCTGTTATTAATCAACCCGTCGCACAAAAATAAAACATCGATTACATCCTACATCGTACGAATAACAATAATAGATAATTTTCGAGTACCATCGTACGCGCTTTAAATCCCTCCTCCACCAGATTTCCCGGTAAATTAAATTGTTAGCAACCAAGACGGGCCCGGCGAACGAGAGCCTCTCCAGCTGCAAATCCTGGTGCTCGAAGAGGGGGGGCGGCAGCGAAAGGGACCCGTGCACCGGGAAAACGCCGGAATCGATAGGGATTACCCGGCATTAAATGCGAATGAGTATTCGATCCGAGCGATTCTCGAGTCGGAAATTCTTTGGAATATTTCTCAATGACCCCAGCGTCTCGATGCTTCGCCCTCTTCGACTTATTTATTCTCTTTTTCGGTCTTTTGTTAGCCGGATGGGCGAGCTCTAATCGCCGGCGATGTAAAAGTTGCTCATATTTTCGTTTGAGCGGAAAACGAACGAGCGTACTCTGTATATTATATCGATTGTAGATCGAGGTTTATAATTGAGACGCTTTCGGAGAGGGGTCAAAGGTGCGCCCCCGTGGGTGTTCTTCGAAACGTGGTTCACCTGCTGGTTCCCCGGTATACATCTAGCAAGTCATGACAACGTCGTTAGTAATTGTACTGACGTTTTGTGACTACCATACTATCCTATCCAAACGAGGAATATACTTTTTATTATACTCCGTTCGATGTATCAAGAGATATAGAAATGGGATGTATATTAGGATCATTTCGTTTAGCTATTTTGAGTGCTAAATTTTCACTTTTATTGCTACTAAATTTTGATGTTTTAAGGCCGCCAAAGCACGCCCTCAAATTCATAATTCGTTGGGTAATATAGAACTATTTTTGGGTAAATTTTTCCACAATAGATGGGATGAGATTAGTTTAACTCACTAGTAGATGTTCCATGTTTGATTACATTTGACATAAAATCAAACGTACGAGAAAGAGAATTAAGATATCCTTTTTAGAATATTTTAAATTCAATTCTTTTCCCTGCAATTTGAAAAGGTAAAAGTAGGGTTTTAAAAATATTCATTAAAGTGCTCTAAAAGTATTCCGGTGCACTGGAAATACCTTATTTCATATTACCTGCCCTTAAAAAAGTGCAAATTATCCAAAAATATCTGAAAAACGGAAACTACTGGCACCGCTGTCGTTTGTCAAATTTACAAAATTGTTCTGTGATTTGACATTTATGTCAGGCGACACCATAATTTACAGGAATCTATCATCATCATTTGCGAAAATACTTTAATTAGTTTTTTTTCAATTTAATACAGCCTGTGGATCAATATAAACTAGGAGACATCGTTCTGCAATAAGTATTCTTCATCATACTAAAATTATTCAAACATCCGTTCGAGGAAACTCGAGATTTACTATAATTAAGTTTTGTCATTTAAATAGCATTGCAAATAAATGGCAGTTTTTGATTGCAATTTTCTTAAATATATAACGAAGTAGGAGAGATTAAAAATAGGAGATATCATTGCTTGGAGTCTCTATATTAGACATAAGAAAGATTCAAATCAATTGATGAAACCAAATTTGAATCTTACCGGAATTACTGAACCAATGTTTTTCCTAAAGAGGCGCCCTTAAGTATCCAATTCCATTATTTCCAACGCTCTTCCAGCATCGGGGAATCCCAAAAATTCCAACTAAAACCAACCTACATTTACTTCATTCTTTCACCGTTTTTCATTCCGCGTATACAATGCACAAAAATTCTTTACGGAGGATTTTTTGCCGTTGTGTTCGGCATAACAAAGAATTCCGTACGTGACCGAATAGGAAGAGGCCTTCAAAATACACCCCAAAAACGGCACACTATGATTAATAGAGCGATATTTTTCCAACTACCAGCTCGATCTTCAGCGACATCTCCTTGTTAATTTACATAAAACTGCTCCACAAAAGTTCGCAAATTTTGCGATTATTTCAAAAGTTTGATCACCAAATTTTCCAATATGCGAAATTAAACGTTTTCTCTCATATCCGAGTGGATTTTTCGCTCATTCCTCTACAACTCACACTAAATTTGGCGATCAAAAAACCTGCAACTTCTAAATAAATCTCAATATTTGCGAACTCCCTAAACTTTCGTGGAGCAGTATAAATACAAATATAATGTCCCCCATTGTCCTTTAATCGACGTATCCTTCGGTCCTCGGTATATATCCCGCGCTGCATCCTCGACGGTCTTTTCCATCGGATTGATTTACCGTCGGAGAGCGGCGCCCGATTGGCCGGCCGCCGGTCACGTGGAGGCGCGCAGGCGCCCCCCCGACGCCCGGGGGGCAGGGACCGGCGCGGAAAAGGAGGCGGAGCCGGCGAGATGCCGCCGGATCGGACCCTTTTTTTTCAGCATCCAAAATGGTCCGCACGACAACTCCGGGTATACCGTGCGTATAGCTGATTCAACCGTGGAATCGCCGCATTTCGGGTACTTTCTTTGTAATTGTAACTACTCGACTGGTAATTAGGCGTTTATAGCGAAATCCACATTGAGAAGTCTGTATAGGGTGGTATAAGGAATATGCGTTGGAAATTATGTAGTTTTTGTGTATTATTTTTATGATAACAAATTATTGTTTTGTGCCAAAGTAGTTATTGATATTTTAATGTTTTGAAAAATTCTTATTTATAATTTCGCATTATTATAGTGAAATCCACATTAAGAAGTCAGTAGAGGGAGATAGGAAATAAGTCTTACAATAAAATTCCTACTAAAAATGATATAATTATTGCATTTTTAACGGCTGATCTAAATGTTTTATTGCAATATTCCCATTTCAAATTTTCGTCATTAGATACTAGATAATATTTCTATATTTTAGTGAAATCCACATTAAGAAGTCAGTAGAGGGAGATAGGGAATAAGCCTTGCAATAACATTTCTACTAAAAATGTTATAATTATTGCATTTTTAACGGCTGATCTAAATGTTTTATTGCAATGTTTCCATTTCAAAGCTTCATTATTAGATATACTAGATAATATTTCATTATTGTAGTGAATTCCACTTTGAGAAGTCAATACAGGGAGATGGTAAATAAAAGTCTTACAATAAAATTCCTACTAAAATGATATAATTATTGATGCATTTTTGAAGTCTGATCAAAATGTTTTATTACAATATTCACATTTCCAAGCTCATCATTAGATACTAGTTAATATTTCATTATTGTAGTGAATTCCACTTTGAGAAGTCAGTTAAGGGAGATAGTAAATAAGCCTTACAAACAAATTTCTACTAAAATGATATAATTATTGATGCATTTTTGAATTCTGATCTAAATGTTTTTTATTGCAATATTCCCATTTCAAAGCTTCATCATTAGATACATACTAGATAATATTTCATTATTATAGTGAAATCCACATTGAGAAGTCAGTATATACAGGGAGATATAGGGAACATTCATATAGGCTACATATTTTTTATATTTTTGATCGAAAATGATATCTACTTTTTTTATAGAAATTTCCCAGTATCTCCCTCAACTTCTCAACGTGAATTTCGCATTAAACTCCCAAAAATCTAAACCAAAATGCATCTAACGCCTTACAGCGCCCCGACGGGATCAAAAAATGTGCAATAACAAAGAGCCGCCGGTACATATCGCATAGAATGTAAATAGAGCGGAGTTATTAGGCGTAAAAAAGGGCTTTTCCGGCGGACTCGGCTCGGAGGCGGCGGCGGCGGCGGCGGCGGCGGCGGCCGGAGCGCCGATTTTCCGTGCGTTTCCGATCGTTCCCGACTTTGGCGCGCCGCCAGCGGGGGGGCGGGGCGTGGCTTATACGCGTCCCGAGCCACGAAAAGTGAGGATCAATTCTACTTATTTAATACAGCTTTCGTATTAGGAGCGTGTATATAGTTAGGAATCCACTGTAAACCGATTTGCGCTTAAACTCCGGGTTTTATCTACGCTAAGTACCGGGAGGCTTAACTCCCCGGCATTGTGTTTGACTAAGTGAACAAATAGATGGAGTGATATATTATTGACTTTTCATTGTGCGACCGAAACCGATTTCTTTTATTATATTCATCAACGGAACCTACATACATAAGTACAGGCGTTTGTGTGTATATTTTTTAAACAATACCCGGTTATTTTTTTATTTTTCTTCTTTATTTGTATTTGTATTTCGCTTCACTGCAAAAGGTGAGTCTATATTTCTTTTCTAATATACTCAATAAATGATCGTATAAGTATAGTAAAAAGTATAAAAGAAACGTTCATTTTCTTAAATATAGTATCTTAAAATTTATTCAAATTCATTACTCCCACACAATTTTTAATGCACTCAAAATATCTTATGTAGATACACCAAAATTTAGAAAAAAATGGTGGAGAAATTAGGTATAAAACAAAGCAAAACTCCTCCACCATTATTATATATAAAAAAAATTACTACTCACGAAGGAACTTTCTCCGATATTTTTCCCATGCACCGATCAATCTCTCACTTAAAATCGCGTATACACGATTCATTTAACAAGCTTTTTATAATCTATTATGCAAATCCCGGGAACGGCGATGAACACGCGATAGCTCTTTACATTATTCGCGTATAACGTCTAAATTTCTTTATCGCGGGATTCGGTATTATATTGAAAATTCGGAAAAATTCGGGCGCTCGCGCGCCGGAATCCGATTAGAAAAACCGGGCGAAATTCGCACGTAAGCAGATTAGTTTAGTTAGCTTGTAAATCCCGGAATCCGGGCAAAGAGCATTATCATTATATTGTGATTATATTGGATTTAGTTGTGCCGTTTCGGAATGGCCGGGGACGGTGTAATTCAGTGCTAGTTCGACTTTTATGCGGCACGCACGACGCGCGAAATCGCGAGAAAAATTTCAAGCAATTATACAGTAAATTAGTGCAAAAGTTGTTCCACCGAAATACTCTGTTGTGATACGATAAAAAGCCGAAAATAAACAAAGTGTTTTATAGGATAATATGAGAGGAGGTATAAGAGTGAATAGAATTGCAATTTTCAGTGCAGCGGTGCATTATTATGAATTTGGTGTGAAAATATTTCTCCACAGTTTTCAAGGAATACAAAATTTGCGAGATATTTCGAGTTTTTTTATAGATTGTAACGGCATTCCCGATTTTAGTGCAACTAGGCAAAAAGTGCAGGTATTTCGAAAACTAATTAAGATAAAAGCACCCGGTATATTTTATTTGGTATAAAAAATGTTTCTCTACAACTTTTAAAGAATAGAAATTTTTCGAAAATTGCTTAATTTTAGAGATATTTCGAGTTTTTTTTTATAGATTGTAACGGCATTCCCGATTTTAGTGCAACTAGACTAAAAGTGCAGTTATTTCGAAAACTAATTAAGATAAAAACACCCGGTATATTTTATTTGGTATAAAAAATGTTTCTTTACAACTTTTAAAGAATAGACATTTTTCGAAAATTGCTTAATTTTCGAGATATTTCGAGTTTTTTTTATGGATTATAACGACGTTCCCAATTTTAGTGCAACTAGAATAAAAATCGCGTTTATTTCGAAAACTAATTAAGATAAAAACACCCGGTATATTTTATTTAGTATAAAAAATGTTTTCCTACAACGTTTAAAGAATACAAATTTTTCGAAAATTGCTTAATTTTAGAGATATTTCGAGTTTTTGTATAGTACTGGTATTACTGCCAAAATTTATTGAATATTTTCATTAATTCCAGCATCAGCAACGGGTTTGAAGGATATTCCATCCAGTATCCAATAAACCGCATGAGTCATTTCATTACAACACAGAGCGGTTAATATTAAAAACTGGCTCGTTTTTTTTTTCGCCCAATATTCCCGAACTCCTTTTATATCGAAACCGCATATTGCCACTCGAATCGTCGGAAAGTTTATCTCGAAACTACTCGTACATGTGTTCGAAGCCGCGAGTTAATAAAAGCGCCGAAATGAGCATTAAATCCCACTTGGGAAGTCACGTTGCCGGAAACACTGCGATGAATGCGGACGAAATTGCATTGAAATCCCCGCCGGAAGGGAGCGAAAGAGAAAAAACCGATCGAAAATTTTCGAAATTTTCGGCTCGATTTTGCCGGTCAGCCGGGTGGAAATTTTAGTTTTCGGGCACAATGAGGTCGCATAATGGTCGACGATTCGCAAAGGCGGCTGCTGGTACAATCGACTTTTCAGAAGTGCATTTCGAATTGGGTGTATCGTTTCGTTTTTCCGCTTCGGAAGATACACGCGGTTTTTTTTTTTTGGAATTTGGTTACTTGAAGTGCACCGCTCGTTTGGAACTAGTTTTACGGTCGCATAAATTTTTTGTTAACGTATAATTTAATTTTTATAGTTTTGATGCAATTGTGTTCGAAATTTTGGCAACCAATATTTTTCTTTTATGCTGAATATCTCGAAAATTAAGCGATTTTCGAAAAATTTGTATTCTTTAAAAGTTGTAGAGAAACGTTTTTTATACCAAATGAAATATACCGAGTGTTTTTATCTTAATTAGTTTTAGAAATAAAAGCGATTTTTGTTCTAGTTGCACTAAAATTGGGAACGTTGTTATAATCCATAAAAAAAACTCGAAATATCTCGAAAATTAAGCGATTTTCGAAAAATTTCTAATCTATAAAAGTTGTAGAGCAACATTTTTTATACCAAACGAAACACACTGGATATTTTTATCTTAATTAGTTCTCGAAATAAACGCGATTTTTGTTCTAATTGCACTAAAATTGGGAACGTCATTATAATCCATAAAAACGTCGAAATATCTCGAAAATTACGCCCTTCTCGAAAAATTTCTATTCTTTATAAGTTGTAGAGAAACATTTTTTATACCAAACGAAACACACTGGATAATTTTATCGTAATTAATTTTCGAAATAAACGCGATTTTTATCTACAGTGCACTAAAATTAAGAACATCGCTATACTCACATTGCTTCCAAATTTACACTGATCTCTACACAAAAACATCCTTACTAAAGGAAGAGGACGCGAAGAAAATAAAGAGGCGCGCATTAATCACAGCCGAGCGATTTTCCAATATCAGTCTCATTAGGGATACATCGAGGATGTTAAAGTTAAACTTCTGCCGGCGGAATATTGGCTCGAACTTCCGGCGTTTCGGGCTCATTCTTCTCGCGCCCATTCATGAGAGCTCCCGCAGATGTTTGAAAACGTTCGTAAAATCAAGCGAGCGTAATAACGTTTAGTGCAAATATCAAGTGGGCTGCTCGACAAAGCGAATAACTTTATTAAGAAACTCACTTTTTTTTTTTTGGCGATGCTATAGGCGGATTTATTTTTTTCTTTTCGGAATAATGGCGAGATAAAAATTAGTTGATGAGAGGTTTATTTGCGAGTTATATTTAATAATATATGGTTATTTTTTTCTAGGGACCAAAGTAAATGTGGCCAAATACTTTAACAGCCGGGTGAGTAAAACACAACTTTTATATAACAACCAATTAAATTGTCAACTATTCGAAATGGAAGAAATCTAATAGATAAATCTCTGCATAATATAAACGAGAAGATAAAACTTTTATCCCGTCCGAAATCGAAAAAAAAGCCCCCAAATAAAAGATTGTTGTCATCGAAATTTCGGGTGTTCGATTACGAACGCGAGAAAGTCGACGACGACGAAAAAAAAATATATACAGAGTCCTCCGTTTTTTTTTTTTCGTCCATCGATGGCTCGAATTTCTCGAAAAAGTTACCGAGTCGAGGTGTTTATCTGGCGACGTAATCCTCGAGGCACAAAAGGACAACGTCGCCGGGACCTGGACGGATTAAGGCACCGGATTATAATACATTTTAAACAACTAATATGCCGGGGCCTTAGTGTTTTAGAGGGCTCTCGTTTCGACTTGTTTTCGTCTCTAATCGGTTGACAGTTGAAGGTGAGAGATACGAGAGATGCACCGGTCTTTGCATCGGCAATCGTGGAGATTCGAATTTCTATACAATATAATATAATAATATTTTTTTTTTCTGAATACAATCGAAGGTATTTGTAAAGGATGAAATTGTAGTCAAGGATTTATATTTCTATTATAAGTTTCGTAAATATTTTTAAATACTCCTGGCTAATTTCTGTTAACTGAATATGCATTTTCAACTTCGTATTCAGATTAAATAGTTTCAAAATGGGAATAAAATTATCTTGCATTGGAGATTAAACTGTGAGAAAGAAATGGTTCGATAGGAGATTAATCAATTTTGAAAGTTTTTGGTCTCAATTTGAATTATTATAGTCCCAATTTGAGATTGTTTATTTTCAATTTGGAAGTTTGTGTTATCAATTGGAAAGTTTTTAGTCTCAATTTGAAAGTTTTTAGTTTCAATTTGAATGTTTTTAGACTCAAATTGAGTTCTCAAACTCACATATCACATAATTTGAATTATTAATTATTTGATAGTCCCAATTTGAGATTGTTTATTTTCAATTTGGAAGTTTGTGTTATCAATTTTATATTTTTTAGTCTTAATTTGAAAGTTTTTTTTCTTAATTTGAAAGTTTTTAGTCTCTTTTTGAAAGGTTTTAGTCTCAAATTGTGTTTTCAAACCCACATATCACATAATTTGAGTTATTAATTATTATAGTCCCAATTTGAGATTGTTTATTTTCAATTTGGAAGTTTGTGTTATCAATTTTATATTTTTTAGTCTCAATTTGATAGTTTTTAGTCTCAATTTGAAAGTTTTTAGTCTCAATTCGAAAGTTTTTAGTCTCAATTCGAAAGTTTTTAGTCCCAATTTGAATGTTTTTAATCTCAAATTGAATTTTCTAACTCACATATCACATAATCGACCCGACTCCGATCTGTTTAATATCGCATATAAAAGATATCTACAATTTTTTCATCGGCATTCTATTTAGTAAACTCTCCGAATCGAGCAGGGGATCAGTTATTTGTATCCAAACAAAAATCACCGGCTTAGCGGGGACGGCTCGTTACCGTCCTAAGACGTTTCCAAAATAATTAAATTGATCATCAATGTAGAAAATGCCGTTATTATAAAGGACTTAGGGCGGTGCTCGTATACAAAAGTAAACCCCCCAAAAAAAAGGTATAGGTACCTACACACTTGTCCCTTCATCAACCCGACGATTCCAAAAAAAGAAAACTTGACAATATAATAAATACAAGAAGAAGAAAAAAAATACATTCAATTCCACCCCTATATACCGTATATAGATAGAGATACAAAAACAATAAACACCGAGGCATCGCCGATGTTCCGCTAATAGAGTTGTCTAGTATTTTAGCGTGATTGAAGGCACCCCAATTCGATTTCCCGACCCTTAACGGACCCTTATCACTGTTTGCACTCAACTCCCTCGATGGCCATCACGGTTATTTTGCCTTCGCCGCGCTGTAGTCTTGAGATAACAACAAATGACTGCTCGCCACCCTCGTTCTCTCACTTATTAGCACCCCTACCGATACCTACCCCCGATAAATATATACCAACATTTTTATAGTTTCCGCTAGAATTTTTATACGCATTTTTCTACACCTTTTAGAAGAGCGCTAATGAAACAATCAATCGACTAACTTTCGCTCGAATTTCAAACTTAACCCGGGCCGGGGTGATTTATTCCCCGATTAATAAATCCGAAAAACAACCCTCCGCCCGCGCCGCTGCTTAATCCGCTAAGCCGATTTGCATTTTTCCGACTATTATGCAAAATCTCCGGGCGATAAGGGTCCCCGATAGAAGCGACTTTTGCGGGGCCCCCCCAATCCAGGGGGCCCCATCGGACGGACGCACGTGCTGCTGTTTGTTCGGCCTAATGATTCCATCAAAATCCATCGATCGGGGGCCAATTAATCTCCAAACTCCACCTATGCGTTATATAGGTGCACCGATTCGATGGGGATGAATTAGTATACAGTCGGGTGTTTGTTTGGATAAGAGAGGGATTTGTTGTAACCAGGTCTGGATAAACTTTGTATCGGTAAAGAGATATAGTTGCCTTTGTTACATCTGACGTCACAAATAGATTTTTGAGATCGAGCAAGCCTTTGTACTACACACAGAGAAATCTGATGCGAATATCAAGAATTTGTTATACTTGGCATTATATAATTAGTTTAAGAATACAAATACTTGGATGAAACTTCGGTAAAAAATTTCAAGTATAATATTGACTCCACCCAACTAAATAATTTACTTGTAATGAAAGGGGCGAGAGAAGTAAATTTTCTTAATTGAAGAAATTAATATACTTGTTCTTTTTATTCTTAAAATAAGCTTAAAGTTATTCTCAGTTCAATGAATCAAAAAGTTTTTTTCAAGAAAATAATTTACTTATATGAAAAGTATCAAATGAATTTGATTTAAGTTATTGATTTACTTATTCGAATTAAAGCGTTTTGTCTCAAGTTTATGATATACTTGAAAAGAGAGTATACCCCACTAATTTCTATAACGTCTGTTGTGTTGTTTTAACAAAATTAAGAACGGACTTGTTTAGTTCGTAGGAATTAGGGATGAGATGTACTACATCGGTATTTGCGGTGTACGTTTTTGTGTGGATAGTTTAGTGTATTTGATTTATGTAGCTATCTGTATTAAGTTATGGAGAATGGAGATACAGTTTACTCTTAATGATATATTAGAAGAAATGGGATGTCCTCATTTAATTCCTAGATTTGAAGGTAAGTGCAACCTTTTATTTTATAAACCATTAGAGACAAAAATGACACGTGACAAAATGTTGCCGCCATATTAATGATGCCTATATTTCACGTTTTGTGATGCAAAATGGGATGGAAATTAAATTAAATTAATAGATAGATGTCATAAATATCTATACAAAATTGATTTTTTACAGATTTATCAAAATCAACAGACGAATCGTATTTAGAAAGGATCCGTTGGAGGAAGTTATTGAAAACTGGAAATGTGCTTCCGAATTTATAGAAAAGTGGCCCATTTTGAAGGATACCAGATCAATAAGTTATGGTAAGATTTTATTCAAAGTACCTATAGTTTTGCATACAAAGTTTAAATAATTATTTTTAGATCGATGGACTTTGATCGACTCTTTCCTGGACGAGGTGTAAATCCTCTACTAAATTGGAAAAATTTTTTCAAAAAAATTTTGGAAATAAAGCGCCCTTTGTTCAAGAACAAGGAAAATATCATTATTCAAATTGAGGAACTATAGAGACATTCGAAGAAGGTAAGTCAACTCATTTAGCCTAAAAAAATAATTATTTTAATTAAATGTAATGTAATTCATTTCAGATTCCAAATTCTGCAAAGAGTTGCAACTGCTAGGTCATTTACTAACACCCACGGGACCAAAGGAAAAAATATACTTGTTTCAAATTATTGATTATTTATATCTAGTTACTTAACATCAGTTATTACTAAGCTTCGTGTAAATAAATTATATATTCAATTAAAAATTACAATTTACTCAGTTCAAGTTTTTATTTACTTACATGTACCATATTAATTACTAAAATAAAGAATGATAAAATTTGATTCTAGTTTTACATTTCATTGTTTGCAGTATTCGTACTACTTAATTGAAGTATATTTTTCTTCATTTCAAGTGTATAGATCAAGTAAAGTATTTACTTCAGTTGAGCTAAGGTTATTGTTTGAAGTATATTAAATTATTGTCTGTAGTCTATATATCAATTAAATGATAAACTTAAGAGAAATATACAATAAACTTGCGGATATACAAACTTATCGTTTATTAGTTTTAAGTTTTATATACTTGTCTATAGTATCAATTTCTCTGTGTGTATAGTTTAATTACTTGACCATCTTTTGTGGGAATATTTAGTGAAGAAAGTTCAGATTTTTAAGGGGTTGTTTTAATAAGGTAGGGATTAGTAGGGTATCAATTGAGAAATAGATATGTTGTCTTCACAAAACGCTATACCCGTTTACTTGCTGACGTCACAAATAGCGTAGAGATTGAGCAATCCAATGTATAGTTTAATTACTTGACTTTTATGGGAATATTTAGTGAAGAAAGTTAAGATTTTTAAGGGTTTTTTTTAATAAGGTTGGGATTATAGGTGTATCAATTGAGAAATAGATATGTTGTCTTCACAAAACGCTATACCCGTTCACTTGCTGACGTCACAAATAAAGTTGAGATTGAGCAACCCTTTGTAGTTTAAATACTTGACCACTTTTGTGAGAATATTTAGTAAAGAAAGCTTGGGGTAAACTAATTGATCGTTTCAATAAAGGAATGATTAGTAACAAGCGAGATTTAAGATAGCTCAATACCTGGATGACGTCATAATTGTACGAGCTTGAGCAATCCTTTGTAATTTAATTACTTGACCATTACACTTTGAACGAGTATAAAAAAAACCTTCTATATATTTCTCCACGTATAGAACAAGACAATGAAAATTCACCAGTTCATCATTTCATTTATAATTCGTCTAATTAACGAAAATTGAAAGGCTCGAGCCTAATTGGGCGCGGATACGGCCCTTTTGTGTATCTCGCAATCAGCCTAATGGGCCGTCATTAACATTATCAAGGCGATCATCTTCATTCGATTGCCGCCCCCCCTTTCGGGCTCGAGGGGGGTGGGCGCCCCCTAATAAAGGGAAGCGACCGGTGGCGCAAACATCAAACAATCGCCCGGCGCGCGCGATTTAAATCACATCGCACGGTAAATTGGGCCCGACAAACGGGCATAATAGACAGCGAAATTTTAAATGCGATTTGAAAACTTCAAACGTAAAACGGATAGGAGAATTATTAACTCTATAACGTCGTTTTCCAGATGCAATCCAGAAAGCGAACTGTCATTTCCGGGTTTTGGAAGCGGCTGCGGCGGAAGCACTTCCGGCATGGCCTACTTGAAGTCCGGACCCTATCCGGTGCCCGGATTGGGATTGCACGGATTACCGGTGGATTCGTTACATTCATCGATGGCTGGATATTCAGGAGGTATATAATTAATTGGTATCCATATTTTCATATTACGACTCATTAAACATCCCCAACAACACTTATTTTCGTAATTTATAGTTCATTCGTCACTACTGTCAATGATTGACATTTGACAGGTGACAGGTAAAATTGGAAAACGATTTATAATTGTCTAAACAAATAATGGTGTATAATAATCGCCGTTAAAATGCTCGAATAATCGAATAAGTAAATCGCTTTATTATTTTAAATAATATGGGCAAATAAATAATGTAAAATGTATTGTTGCGGAAGCCGGGGAAATTCGAATAAAAATTCATTATTAATCCGCGGCTCGTGTAATCGATAAATGAATTGTTTTCGAGGTCCGGGAATTTAAATTTGCATTTATACGGCCATTTCCGGAATATTATATTTATGTAGCGCTTTTATATGGCAAATAAAATATTTAATTCGATTATTGCCCGTCCATTTCGACCGTGATTTTCGCCTATCAATGCAAACAAATAAATTACCTGCTGAATTTATAAGTGTACATAAACGATCCAACATTAATTTGTACATTATAGGTGTTTAATATTTAGTTTATTTCCACAAATAAAATTTTTCTTATTACGTACAAGGGTAGGGTAAAAAGTACTCTGCCTGTCAATGAAAGACCACGGTTTTCAGTTGAAAAGTTGACATTTATTATCCTTATTAAGTCAAATTCTTTAGTTCAAGACAGTTCTAAATGATTCTGGAGCGTTATTAATGATTCTGGTGCCTTCTAAGTGGTTCTAGACAGTTCTAAATGATTCTGGAGCGCTCTTAAATGTTCTGGAGAGATTCTGGAGCGTTCCAAATGGTTCTAAACAGTTCTAGAATTAATTAATAACGTCCCGAAGAGGAAACTGGAATTTTTGCTGATTGGAGCGCCCTCCAGTTTATCAGGCCGAGAACTATTCATGCTACCCTCGTATAAGAGTTCGATATATATTTTTGCAATATTTTCTGGATCCTCTGGGGTTAAAAAAAATAAAAAACACGCCCTTGTACATTCTAGGTAACCAAAGGAAACAACGAAGGGAAAGAACGACATTCACGCGAGCCCAATTGGACGTACTGGAAGCACTTTTCGGCAAAACGAGATATCCGGATATATTTATGAGAGAAGAAGTGGCCTTGAAAATCAATCTACCGGAATCCAGAGTACAGGTACGCTTGTAATTTCGACGCAATTTAATCTAACTCTACGCAAATTACTAACTCTTTAACCCAGCAATTACCCAATAATAACCCAGCAATTACCGGGGGCCTTCGATAAATCTGCCCGCAAAACGAGGGGGTTGGCACGCCTGCATATTAGAAGCACTCTGTATGTAACAATGCACACGAACGTGTGCCAACAATAAAACGTTAAAATACCTAGATGAATGGCCGGAAAGTTACTCCGATCATAAATCAAAGGATGAATGGCGAAAAGGCGTTTTCTCGAGCAGGAGGGTGCACGAAAATTATGCATTAGATATATATACAGGGTGTTTCCTAATGATGGGGGAATTACGCGCCTTATAAAAATGAAAATTGGTTCTGTTATAAGTTAAAAAAACTGTTGTTCCGTATATAATTTCGAAAAATATAGCGAGTGACTTTGGAAAAACGGTCCGATTTATATCGCAGCGGGACCGTCGCCTCATTAGCCCTTCGGGTAAATGCCGGAGCACGTTTTTCGCCCCCGGTTATTGTCACACTTTCGGTTACGCAGTCACCGGGCACCCTCGCAAATGGGCATAAACGCACTTCGGGCGGTTGTTTTATTTATTTTTTTCCTGTACACATAATACGCTCGGTTTCGTTGAAACTGACACGTTTCGTTTCGAATAATATACAGGATGTTTCGCACGACTAAACGAGTAGGTGATTTACTTCAATTGAAGGTGTACACGTCGCACACCTGAGATGTTAAAGGCCTTTTAAGGCCGCCACTTCGGGGTGTTTTGTAAATGGGAAAACATTGGTTCAGTAATTCCGGTAAGATTCAAATTTGGTTTCATCGATTGATTTGAATCTTTCTTATGTCTAATATAGAGATTCCAAGCAATGATATCTCCTATTTTTAATCTCTTCTAATTCGTTATATATTTAAGAAACTTGCAATCAAAAACTGCCATTTATTTGCAATGCTATTTAAATGGCAAAACGTAATTCTAGTAAGACTCGAGTTTCCTCGAACGGAAGTTTGAAAAATTTTAGTGGGATGAAGAATACTTATTACAGAACGATGTCTCCTAGTTTATATTGATCCACAGGCTGTATTAAATTGAAAAAAAAACTAATTAAAGTATTTTAGCAAATGATGATGATAGATTCCTGTAAATTATGGTGTCGCCTGACATAAATGTCAAATCACAGAACAATTTTGTAAATTTGACAAACGACAGCGGTGCCAGTAGTTTCCGTTTTTTCAGATATTTTTGGATAATTTGCACTTTTTTAAGGGCAGATAATATGACATAAGGTATTTCCAGTGCACCGGAATACTTTTAGAGCACTTTAATGAGTATTTTTAAAACCCTTCTTTTATCTTTTCAAATTGCAGGGAAAAGAATTGAATTTAAAATATTCTGAAAAGGATATCTCACACGGAACATCCATTAGTGAGTTAAACTAATCTCATCCCATCTATTGTGATAAAATTTACCCACAAATAGTTCTATATTATCCCACGAATTATGAATTTGAGGGCTGCCTGTATACTGAATATTTTTTCATCTACTTCGTTTTGTTTTTATTATTCGTGTAAATAACACAAGAAGCAGGAAATGTATACCAAAGTTAGTGTGCGCGTTTAAAACAAAAATCGATTGTAATTTCCCACTTTAGTGGTTCGACCGTAATGAGAAACCTTACTAGCGTGAAAAACGAGAACAAACATTGTACTTTTTCCTATCCTGTTCGAGTATTCCAATCTCAAGTATCCTCGTTCGCGTAATATACGAGGAGCGTCCGATATATTTCCATTCCAACGTCAAGTTTTTGTAAAACGGCAATATTCGCAGGTGTGGTTCAAAAACAGAAGAGCGAAATGCCGGCAACAGCAAAAGCAACACAACCAACAGCAAAACACCGAGAAGAATACGAGATTAAAAGGCAAAACGGCCACCAATCTCGTAACTAAATCATCTCCGACTCCCGTCTCTGTTTCCAGCAATAATAACACCAGTACAAGGTAAGAAAATCAGCAGTTTACGACGGTAATCCCCCGGCCGAGTGGCCCGCATTAATAATTTTATAACTAAATAACGCTGCCAGCTCGTAATATGCGTTATACGTTTATGCACCCAAGTAGTTTAGAGTTGATTTCTCATAAAAACGGGCGTTCAATAAAATTAATCCATATAATAGGTACTTACATGAAATCGTCGAGTTAACTGAATAATAATGTATTATTCAATCGCTGTCTTTTTTAAACGATTCATCACTATTTTATTTTTCAATATTTCGAAATAAAGAAACGCGACTTTTAAAAATTTTCTGTCAAAACTGTCATTCAATTTTTTCTTCTTTTTTTTACCAACAATTTTGACTTTTATATAAACAGTATTCAACCAACGCCTAATAATTAACAATTGTTACTAAATTACGCCCAAACAATAAAATATCGTTAATTAAATAAACGAATTATTCACAGTTCATCTGGAAGTCCGCCATTAGCGACGCCAGTGCCACCTCAACGTGACAGCCCGAACTTCATCAAGCCTCAGCTGTTGCCCACGTGCGGCAGCACCAGCTCCCCGACGGTGAGTTTCCTCGTCCGTTTCCCGTTCCAATTCCCGAAAATACGCTTATTGAATAAATTCCAGATCGCCAGCGCGACGTACTCGAACGCCGTGAACTCGAGCATCTGGTCCCCGGCGTCGATAGACTCCTTCTCGCTGGACCAGCACAGGTGGTGCTCCACCTCGCAGTCCTCCGCGCTGACTTCGACCAACTCCCCGTCGAATTGCTACAACAACTACGCCTATTACTCCAACATGGATTATCTCAGCACGACCTCGATGAACCACTCGCAATTCGCTGTAAGTACCGCCACGTAAAAGGCAGCTATTAGTTATGCAACACACATTACACGAGTAATTGAAATTTCAGGAGAACAGCCTGGAGACGAGCTGGAGCAAACGGGACGAGTCTTCGTGGTTGTACAACAGTACCTGGGATAGAAAATGAAACGGTTCGAAGTATCGTGAACGTTGCTGGTGTTAGATTTTCGTTTAAAGTACCTACTGTATTTTGTGCAATGCGATATCCGTTCATATCACGTTAAGAGAAAAAAAAAGAATTCATTATAAGTACACGATAGTCGTATAGTTTTTCGACCAATACAATAATAATTTTATCGAATTTAAAGGCCCCATGTTATACTAGTCAAATTCTACGTGCCAATATTTAAGGGAAGATCAACGAAAATGTCTTCAATTTAATTTTTGTAAAAATAACTGTGTATAAATTTTAGAAATACATGTTAAATAAATTTTTCTGATAACACACCCACACACATTCAAACAAAAACGACGTCCTTCAGTCGAGAAACCATTCTTATTTCTAAAACGATTAACAAAATTCATAAACCGTACAACAAACATTCCACCAATTCCCTCTTCGATTTCCTATCCAACGTCCTAACGTGCTCCAGGGCCTCTTCGGGCGACCTCTCCTTATCGGCGAACAGCTCGCTGAGCTTCACCAAATCCGGCTCGAACTTCCTGCAGGTGAGCTCCCTGAGCGCCAGATCGTAGTAAACGATAATGGTGTTTTTGAATGTAACATAAACCAGGCACGGAGAGTCGGGCTCGTCGTCGTGCAAGTGATAGTAACCGCTGTGGAAGGCCTGCACGGCCTCGTCCAAATGGAACCGCACCGAATTCTTCTCCAGGTCCATTATGTACGTTTCCCCGTCCCACGAACAGGCCACTATGTCGTCCGAACCGTTGCCCGTAACGTCCAATTTAGTCAAAGCGAATATCTGGTGATCTACGGCGATCGCCCTGCGAGATACAAGCGTAAATTACGCGCGAAATTCGCTGACTATAATTCGATTACCATAAAATAACCTCGTCTTGGACTAATATGATGGTGCCGTCGAGGGTAGCCAAAGCGTACGGTTTACCTTTGGAGGAATTAGCGCTCCTCTGCGAGTCGATGGAGCTTTTGTCGAAACTCACGCCGCTATCGTGGATAGAACAATGCAAATCGCCCAAAATCTCCGTGGAAATGTTCTGATTTCTCATCCTCGACATGCCTAAAAACTGGTAGTCGACCGTACCTGATATATGCTCACCAGTGGAACTACAAAGATCACGTGGGAATCAATCATTTAGTAGTATCATTTAGTAACTACCTGCTCGAGCTGCTGTGTATCGAACTCTCCACGCACTCTTCGCTGGCCAGATCGTCGGTTTGGCATTTTATTCGCATGAACGTACCGCCCGGTTGGGCGATCAGTATCGAAGGTTTCCCTTCTGCCGTGTGATGTATCGTTATCGAGCCTATTTGGTTGGCGCACTCCCACTTATTCAAGGCCACGAATTTTCCTGCAAACCAAACGACCAATAATCCCTCTCTTACATGTTGCTAGTACATTATACCTAGTAGTTTATCGGAAGGGTTAAATTGTAAACTAGAATCGGTTATATCGAGCGTAGAGGTGTCAGGATTGCCGATCCATTTGTACGAACGAACCACTCGATCGGTAAGCCCTAGAACCATCTCGATGTTACCATCACCGTCTATATCTCCCAATACTATATTCTACGATAAAAACAAATTAATGCAAATACAATGTTGATGATGCAATTTACTTTAGAATTCGCCGGTATTCTTTGCATGTGAATACAAACTAACTGAGGGTCTTGTAAGTCTTTTTTGCTGTTTTCTACATGTACTTCGGGAGGTGGTAAGCTTTCCTTATTATCTACTGTAGTTGCCGATTGAATTTGCCCATCAACCTACGATATTTGCGTTAATATTTAATGAATTATCGTGTGTATAAATGTACCTCTTCCACACCCTCATCGACGTCTTTTTGGCTATTATCGCTTTGGTTGTTTTCCGGATAAGCGTATAAATAACACCAGCCGTTCGCTGTGATGATAATCAACACGTTCTTATCCTGGTTCATGATATCCGCGACGGCTACGCAAGTCACGAAATTCAATTTGGAAATTGTTTGGAGCTTCTTTGTACCCTAAAAACGCCTTTCGTATAAACAATTTACCGTACGAGTAATGTTTGATTACTTTGAAAATGTTTACGTCGCCATTGTGGTTGCCTACGATCAGTTCGTTGAAGCCATCGTTGTCGACATCGCCTAAGGTTAGAGCGTTCCTGGCTACGTTTCCTTGGAAAGCGAATTCTATTCGTTTGACTAGGGAAATGGCTCTCATTTCGGTTGCGCTAAGCTACTTCTATGACGTTTAGAGGAACACGAGATTCGGGAAGGGAAGAGTTGATGATTTGCCACCTATGCGGAGGCCACACGATGCAGGTCGCTCTAGCTGTGATGAGACCAAGCGAAACCGGACCGAAGTTATTCGAGTCCATAGAATGCCCAGTGTGATCGCCCTCGATCCAGCAATGCCCTTGCGGAATGCGGATTATCTCTTTTTTGTACTTCAACGTAGCTATTATATCACCTACGAACACAACATTAATCGAATACACAATAAAGAAACTAGCGGCTTACCTTCTAATCCGATTATTCTTTTTATTATCTTCTGAGACGGGTCTTTGGGGGAAATCAATGAAACAATATCACCTCGTTTGATTTCGTAACATTTAACTGCCCATCTATTCAAAAATACGTAATCGGTTTGAGCCCTGTCAGGATTTAGAGCGGGTTGCATGGAAATTCCATCCACTCTGGCCACGTAACCGACCACGTCCACGAATGTAACGCCTATTGGGATTCCGAAAAAGATACTTTTAATGAAATTTGGAATTTTCATTGAAGTTTGAACAGTTGACTTAACCTCAATTCTCGAATCGAAACCTAACTTGACTTTGACAATTATGACAGAACGTTCGTGTAATATCTAGAGGTGGGATTTGATTTGTTCGACCTGTTATTTAGTGATTAAATGATGGTTTTGATTGAATTTTTGTATAAATTATTAAATACTCACACGTATTTGATGCGAAGAATGATAATTTGGCGCTTTATTTCTTATAATAACGTGATTTGTAAAAGTTTTTTATCCAATCCCACCTCTACAAGTATTTCGGAAGACACACGTCAAATCTGTCATTCAGTGACATGAAAACAACAACAATGAAAGATGGCCGAAGACATCGCAAGAGAAGACATCAAAAACATTTTGGCCAGGCTCAACAGAAAGTTCGAGGTGCAATTCGTCAAATGGCAGGATTCGAAAATATTCGAGGCGAAAATAAAAACGCAAATACCGCAGGACAACGAAGACTTCAGCGCCTTGTGCGACGAATGGGTAGACAAATTCTCCGAAGTGACAGACACAATATGGGCTAAGAAGACATCGAACACCGGACCCAAAATCAGATTCCGCAAGCAATACCAGTGTTGGACGGGCGAAGGGAAAATCATCAAAACGGAACTGTTATTCGACAGGACGAGATGCAAGGGTTCCTTAGATTTAAAGGTCCTATCGGACAATCCTTTGTCGAAGAGGAAAAACAAAAATGTTAGGTTAGGATTGAATCTAGCTGTCAAAGTGAGTTTTGTTTACGTTTCATTCTATAGCAATAATTTACGCTATTCAATCGTTTTTAGATGACATTTCACCACCTCCATCAAGTAGACACGGCGCAACCTTCGGCTTTCCTCGTACACCGGTGTTCTCCGCAACAAGACGTTCCCCGAGTGCCAATCCAACCGAACGCCAGGCTGCCCGAACTGGTGGCCGCCGTCGTGCAAAAGGGCCCGGAAATATCGCGCAAGGCCGCCGAAAAAGCCGAGAAAATCATGGCGAAATTGAACCACACGAATCAAACGGCCCTCGACTGCGAAGCCACCGCAGCCAGCAATAACAAACAGTTAAACGTAGAAGTAATAGGTGACCCGTCGCCCGATACGGTGGAGTCCATCAAATTGGAGACGTACCTCAGCGATCCTCAGTACACTCAATTCATCGTGAATACCCCGCAATTCGACTTTAGCGATCAAGTTTTTATGTATCAGCCGTTGGTGTTGGACGTTCCACAGCTGATTTCTCTCACTGCGCATTCTTCTGCGCCGCAATTTTTGCAAGTACAAGCGAGAGCGGACGGGCAAACGCAGGGCGGGCAAATTTTATAATGGGCTATCGATGCTCGAGTAATTTTTTAATTAGTTAGGGACATATATGCTGTATTAAATTATTCTTTGGGTGATATTTTTTGTGTTGTGTAAAAATGTTTTGTATATATTTGATTTAGGCGTGTATAAATATATTTTTTTGTAGATTTTTTTATTTAGGGATCGATAGACTTTTTTTGTTTTTTTAAATTTTTATTTATACAATCTACGATAACAAAAACATCAACGTTGTTTTAACGATTTTATAAAAATACAAATTATTTGACATTGTTTTGAAAATGATTGTTTTGTCAAGTGATCTTTGGTTTTCCGTCGAGGATCTTATGTTTTTGAAAATTCGATGGTCTCGGAGCCTTTTTTTGGTTTTGTGGATGTATTTTTTGCTTCTAGAATACAAAAGTATTTGATAAAAGATTAAACTTTTTTTTGATAAAAAAAAACTTACATGATTAATGAATAATTACATAATTATATTCTTTCTACAGTAGACCTGAATATAACACCCATAGCGCGATCAAGAGTGCTATGAGGATCAAATAAGTGGTCATTAAATTGGTACCTTCGTTTGGAGGAGGCATTTTTGCTGGAAAATTAAAAATAAATATTAAAGCGCACGAATTTATCGGAGCGCCAGCGGGAAATGTTATTTATTTTGCGCGAAAAAAAAACGGCGGTTGGGAAATTTCGGGCGGAAAAAATGCTCGTAAAATTGCTAAAAATAAAATTTCCCAATTGCCGATGTTCAAAAATAAATTTTATCTATGTTTATTCGAGTATTTGACCTTCGGGATTCGTTGGACGAGAAACACACGTCCAGGTTGATGTGGAGGAGTGTTTCAGGTATTTCGAAAAAATGTACGCATTTCGAAATATTTGCCAAATTCTCGTTGGTTTTGATTTTTGAAAATGGTACAAATTAACAAAGTTTATTGAACAGCGAGAACCAGTAGAATAAATGTACATTTTACTTTAATTAATGCTATTTTGAAAATTTATATCACTTGGAAAGTTAAAAAAGTATTTTAAATATCCAATTAATAAGATTTTTTTTTTCAATTTTTCAAATACTTACCCGCATAAAAATACTTTTTCTTAAACTACGCACTCTTTAAAAAAAGCAACATAAACTAATAAAATAAAAAATTTAAAACGTACAAAAAATAAAAAAAAGTACGCAAAATACTTCATACAACAGTTTCCAAAAAAATAAACGCAATTACTCTAGAAATAAAACGAAAAATATACAAATAAAAAAAAATCGACTCATTGAACCCACCTCAATAGTTACTCACTTGTTTTTCAGTAATCCGAAAACACCGAGAACGAACTCGACAACGTTAAAATTACACTCGGCGAATTTTTCCAGCGCTCCCCGAGGAGGTGTCGGCGTCGGCGTCGGCGGGGGCGTCCGTAATCGACGGTCGAACTATTATTAAATTCGACGAAACCAAACTTGAAACGGCGGGCGAAATGATCGGATTTCAATTTAAAATTACGCCGAACGAATCCCAGCAGGCGCTCCGTGTAGATCAAACTAACGGAGTTTGTAAGTAACAGTGATTTAATAACTGTTATTTTATACCGCCTTCAGGTATCCCAATTTTGTTCCCACCTCTATAGTTTCCAGAGCATCGTTTGTTGACAGATAATGTCAAATCTTATTGTTGTTTCGTGTGACTGTGACAAATGTCAAAGAGTTTGCTTGTTTCGGTGAAAATTTCATAACAGTGATAAAAATATCCGTTACTTCACACCACAAATATTAGAATTTTGTTCCTACCTCTACAGATTCCAAAGCACATTCCATTATTGACAGATAATATTAATTCTTCTTTTTCGTTTAGAGTGACAGCGACGTCTGTCAAACTTAACTTGTCAGTGTCAAAGTTTTTGCTTTGCTGTCATCAAATTTGTGTAAGTTAGAATTTGTTGAATAAAAGGCGAAAATGTCTGGTTTCGGGGATAATTTCAACGCGACCGATGAAGATCCTGCCGCGGAATTCCTGGCGCGCGAGCAGGACGAACTGGCGGGGCTCGAGGACGAAGTCAAACCGGCGGCCATCAGTACCCCAGTTTTGAACGGCGGTGAGTAGAGAAAAAAAGGGGCGTATTGTCCGTTGCTTATCATCAGTTTTTTCGTTTCTTTGCACGGTATTTCCGTTCCCTTTAACGTTTTTTTTTTATATCGCACCCGCCGTATGAAACAACGCATGGTTTTACGACGTATTCATTCGGCTTTAGATGTATTTTTTTATTATTTTATACTGCTTTATCTGTAGATGATCCAACAAATTCGGCAAGCAGTTTCGAAATGGTAGAAAATTGTGATCAGGACGGTCTCGGAGAACAGAAATATGGTATGTCGAATAGCTGAATACATGGTTAATGCCAACTTAATGTTAATTTCCTTACCAACTTTTTATAACAAATTCCCCATTTCTTCTTAATTGTTTAAATTGTAATTTACATTGCACTATTACGTTAATACAAGCATGTTTGTTATTTTTTTCCAACAGATTTCCAGGCCGATGCAAATTCCCAGGACTATCGAGGAGGTAAGAACATTTCTTATAACTAAATCAAATACCAAATAAACACCAATAAATTCGTTTTTTTCTCTCATTTTAGCATCGCCTACTCCGATGAGGCAAGACGACCGTCCTGAGCCCGAGAAGATTCGAATATGGCGCGAGGAACAAATCAAACGATTAGAAGAAAAAGGTAATCCGAAACAAATCGAAAGAATCTCCTTCAATCCCTTCTATTGCAGATAAAGAAGAAGAGAAAAAGAAGCTCGAATGGCGCGAAATCGCCCGTAAGGAACTCGAAGATTGGTACAAAAGCCACGAGGAGACCATCGCCAAGACCAAAGCAGCTAATAGGTAATCAATTAACAATAACTAATCGACCTAAACTAATTACCCTTTCCGTTTCGCTTACAAAAGAGACGCAGCCAGGTATTTACAATTCCGTTTAGTGTGGTAATCGTTGTTCGATTCGTATTAGACTAATTAGATTTGTGTTTAGGAACGCCGAGAAGCAATTCGTGGCGGAAGACGACGAACTGGAGCCGGGCACCGAATGGGAGCGAATCGCCAAATTGTGCGATTTCAATTCCAAAGCGAAGCAGGGCAGCAAAGACGTGACGCGATTGCGTTCGATCATCCTGCAAATGAAACAGAACCCCATTCCGATCAAGAACAAGGCATAAGTTCGCGTAAAGGTAAAAAGAGCATATTTCTTGTAATTGTAATGTACGTGGAAATGAATATTTGCTATTTAGATCGTTTGTTAGTTTCTAATTTAACTAAGGTGTACTAAGAGAATAAAGATGTATTAATTAGCGTTAGATGTGTAGTATGGTGTTCATTAAAACCCGTTGTAGTATTAGATATTTTCAAGTTTAATGTACAAATAAGCGGATAAACGGTAACTACCAAACGACCGTCCACGAGAGCTGTTTGAGATTCTTCAATTCGCTGGAGAATGTCGGGCAGGTCGCGTCATCTGCAAGACAAAATCAGTCTTAGCGTATTTAACAAGGTACAACGGCTAATAATAGGCCTAAAAATAAATGCTTGAAACGCGTTGTGAAATTCGCAGGAGCGAAATCGATCGTTGTGTTATTTACCTCGTTTGTCGATGTTGTAAAACGATAGGACTTCGAGATTCGGACAATGTTCGGCGATTTGTCTCAAACCGAATTCGCTAATTTCAGCGTTTTCTATGATCAATTCTTTCAGTACGCTGCCCGAGGGGCCTTTTACTAGGTGTACGATGCCTTCGTCTGTAATCTAATAACACTGTTATTACTCTGAATTTACAAGGTTTTTTTATATACCTTTGTTGCGGATAGATTAATGCAACGTAAGCGTTTTAAGTTCGATAACTTTTTGATTCCTGCATCGGTAACGGAGCTGCCGTTGATGTCTAAACCGTTTATGTTAGGGCAATTATCGGCGATGCATTCCAGCACAGCGTCGTTTATTGCGGGGCATTCGCTCAAAATGAACGTAACTAAATTATGGCAATTTTCTAATAAACGTATCAAACCTGAAACCAACAATCGTAGCACAATCTCCGTACTACTAGTTACATTTTTCATTACCTTTAGTACTAATTGAAGCGTCGATTCCCGACAAATACAAGTCCTTAACGTTCTCGCAGGTTCCTATGATATGTAACACGTCGTCGTCGATATCGGCGAGCAGTAAGTTAATTGAACTGGTTTGTTTATTGACTATCGATTTCAAGGCGGTTTTGAAATTGACTTTTTTGTGCATGAAGCGGGACGTGGCGGTGAATTTTTTCAACAGCCTGTTTTTGATTTGGTGAGGTAAAGCGCTGATGCGGTCATCGTTTTCGTTCACGTAGACGTTCAAATTATTAACGACGTATTCTAACGTCCTGAAATGGTAATTGACGGGCGAACACGTAAGTATAAAGAAATGTTGATGCTTACAGAGAGTATAAAGAGCTGATCGGTCTTTGCCAAGGATGCGCGGGTTTGTTCATATCGCGATTTGGCTATTTTGCGTCTTTAGATTGTTTAAATTGATTATTTTGTTTACAACTTACAACACGTCGGCTCGTTGACAGTGACGTTAGTGGCATATTTAATTTTTGGGCCTTTTACTTGTCGTGTATCGTGTAGATTCTTTTGGGGATTTAAAATAAATTACTAGAATCGATGTTGGCAACGTAAAATTTAACCGACCAATCGCGATGATCGGATTGTTTTCTCTTCACCATTTTCTACGTTTGTCAACAAACGTTTAGTGCCATCTTCGTTTACTACGAGGTGTCATGCATCGGTCTGTCTCTGTCGAAATTTGGAATTTTATTGTATACGAAAATATCACCTACGTCACGTCATCTGTCTGAGTGTCATGTGTTAGCAAGTTCTGGTATTATTATGAATTTTCGTGGATTTAACAGCATTTTTGAGTAGTGTTTATTTTTTTGAAACAGGTAAAATTGTTGCTATAACTCGGATACGTTTTAAGCGAGCCATTAAGACTCGTCCTCTTCTTACATTTTCCGAATCTCATCCTTGATGGAAGCACGTTTTCAAAATTGTAATTTGACCTATATATTTGTTTAATCGCCAGCGTCCAGTTTTCTATTTGTCGTGCTCGGAGTTTAATTGTTTAAAGTAAGCGTTGCATTCGCCTGCTGCGATTCAGTTCGATATAAAACGTAGAGATGTAAATTGCAATTAATCAACAGCCTTATGCAACAATCACATGCTGTGGGCCACATTTCCCTAGCCTTTTTCCGCCTTGCGAGAGGTTTTTCGCTGGAAATAAGCTCGTTTTTAATGCTTTTGTTCGATGTAAATTAGATATCTCGTGGTTTTCCACGGTAATCTCGGGATTCTTTAAGGTTATGATGTCGCAACGTTCCTATAATTATCCCATATAATCAAATCAACTTCGATGCGAATATTTATTTGTTTAACTCCAGAAATGCTTCGATGCTTTATTAGTCATTTTTCGATATTCAAGTTATGTTACAAGCGTGGAATTTTCTAGAGTAAATCCACAATCGCTCGAAGAAAAAAAAAACAAAAAGTGTTTGTACTTAAAAATAAACTCGAAAATTATGGTAATTTTATTTACTAGTTCATGCACGATACGCGTCAGTAATACACACGTTAGAACTCACAATGGTGTCCTTCCGTGGGCTCTACAAACGACGCTAGATAATAGCAACGTGGACATCCAACGCAGGTTATTTAAATCTAATAACTTTCTATTTCACCCCACGAACATACACAACCGACGATCCGATATCAGATAAATATTAAGTAACTAATAATAAAGATAAGGATGCTCTTGAACTGCTCGTCTTAGTAGGTCGAGAACATGGCGCCCGAACGAGCCGTAACGCCGCAAGAAGAGAGCCGATTGTCGCCCAAGATGTCAGTGCCGGCCAGCCCGATCGCGGGCACCCCGATCCGCGACGCCCAATCGCCCATCTCGATGCTACTAGCCGTCGCCCAAAGCCGATCCGACGACGATCTCACCAACCTGAATTGGCTGCACGAACGCGACATTCTAAAAGGTTCCCCATCGATGCACTAACAACCCAACATTCCCTAACCCCCAATTCGTTCAAGGCATGATCATCAACCCGTCTCCGAGCGACAGCGCCAACGCCTCGCCGAACAAACACCACCAAACTAGGGAGAACATCGCCGAGCGATCCACCCCGAACAGCACCGACGAATCCGTGGAATCATCGGACGGTTACGGCTACAGCAACCCCAATCAAGCGACGGCGCCGCCGCGCAACAAACACCCCCTGAACGTGCCCTACGATCCGCGGATACACACCTCGAACAAGCCGCCCTACTCGTTCTCCTGTCTGATATTCATGGCGATCGAGGACTCGGTGCAGAAGGCGCTGCCGGTGAAGGAGATCTACGCCTGGATCCTCGACCATTTCCCGTACTTCAAGAACGCCCCCACCGGCTGGAAGAACTCCGTCAGGCACAATTTGTCGTTGAACAAGTGCTTCCAGAAGGTGGAAAAGGCCGCGGTGAGTGTACGTTTCGATGCGATCGAACACGACCACGATAAATTTATTACAAAAGCGAATCGTTTGTGTTTACAGAATTTGGGTAAAGGTTCGCTGTGGACGGTCGATCCCCAATACAAACCGAACCTCATACAAGCGCTCAATCGATCCCCCTTTCATCCCGTATCCACCTTAGACGCCTCGTACAAAACGGAACGATCGCCCGACAAGCCGTCGCTCTACCGCCTGCCCAATCCCGAGCTGTTCCCGTATTTGGCGCGCAAGCTGGCCTCCGCCGAACTGTCCAACGGCCAGGCGACGGTCAAGCTCGAAGCGCCCCTCCAGGCGGGCGTCAAGACGGAGGACAGCCTCGACGCCGTCGACGCCGCCGCCGTCATGCTCAGCCTCAAGCACGGCCAGCCGAACAACGGCGACGGCAACGTCGCCGATTTCCTGCAGGTCATCACCAACTCGCCCAGCCAGGATCACACCTACAGCGCCGCCGACGGCGAAAGCGAACACCACGATGACAGGTATAACCCGATCGAGGTCTAGGTTAGGTTTATTCGGACGAGTTTGGGATATTCGTCTAGTTTTAGGTTATTCAGATGGGGTTGGGTTATTCAGCCATGCTTAGGTTATTTAGCCCGAGTTTGGAATATTCAGCCATGCTTAGATTATTCAGCCAAGTTGAGGATATTCGTCTAGTTTAGGTTATTCAGCTAAGCTTGGGTTATTTAGCCAAGTTTGGGATATTCGTCTAGTTTTAGGTTATTCAGATAAACATGGGTTATTTAGTTTTGCTTAGGTTATTCAGCCAAGTTTGGGATATTCGTCTAGTTTTAGGTTATTCAGCCAAGTATAGGATATTCGTCTAGTTTTAGGTTATTCAGCTAAGCTTGGGTTATTTAATTTTGCTTAGGTTATTCAGCCAAGTTTGGGATATTCGTGTAGTTTTAAGTTATTCAGATAAGCTTGGGTTATTCAGCCATGCTTAGGTTATTCACTATCCTTAGATTATCCAGCTATGCTTAGGTTATTCAACCATGTTTAGGTTATTCACTATCCTTAGATTATCCAGCTATGCTTAGGTTATTCAACCATGTTTAGGTTATTCAACCATGCTTAGGTTACTCAGCCATTCTTAGGTTATTCACTATCCTTCGATTATCCAGCTATGCTTAGGTTATTCAACCAAGCTTAGATTATTTAACCTTCCTTAGGCTATTCAGCCATGCTTAAGTTATTCAGCCATCCTTCGGCTATACAGCCGTGCTAACTTCATTAAACGATCCTCGAGTTATTCAGCCACTCTGGGGTTATTCAGCCACATTCGGGCTATTCAGCAACGCTTCCTCCACTTATCGGGTAATTTTTTTCCAGGATACCGAAGGCGCGCACGTGTCGCCGGATCGACTTCGAAGACGACGAAGACCGGCGGATCAAAGAGGGCGCCGAGACGCTGCTCAACCTGGCCGGCATAACGTTGCGCAAGCGCAGAGAGTCGGTCGACGGGGCGGAGGCGGCTGAGGGGGCGAAGCGGCAGCGGCACCACCACCGGCAGCACGGCGACGAGAACGAGCCGCGCGAGGCGCACGCGCACCACTTCAAGCCGCGGTTGTTGAGGAAAAACAAGAAGGCGTCGAGCGCGGGGGGCGGCGCGAGGCGTCGCGACGACTGGGCGAACAACAACAGGAGGGATAGGGAGATCGACCAGAACAGGTAATCGATGATGTTCGGGTTGTTTTTTTTTATTCGAGTAGCGAAACAATGAATCAATATTACCAATTTTAAGAGATGAATTAATTAAAAAAAAAGAAGTTTCTATATTCTATTTGTTGGAAGTATGTGTAATATATTTTATGTTTTTGTTCGATGCCTATTTGGGGGAGATATTGTATATAATGTTTAAGGATTGTTTTTAAGCTTTAAAGAAATTTTTTTAATGAAATTTATCTTAGCTTTTTCGTAATGTGAAACTTGCAGTTTTAGTTGGCGATTGAAAGGAACCAGCGAAACATATCACTCGATGTAAATATTTTAAATATTTTTTCTTTTGGAATAATTTACTATTGTCAGGATCGTTGTATATTTTTTTTTATTAGCTCGAAAGAGATTTGCGTTGCATTTAGTCTAGTCAAATTTTATTTATTTCGTTACTCGCTAGTCGAAGAAATCGTCGCTTTTATTTATTCTAAAACGTCTTATTTTTATTTTTTTCGAATCGATACTGAAAATTACCGCACTATTTGTTAATGATATTACTACATTTGTTTTTTAATCTAAAGGATTAATTCGCTCAATTATTCGTAAGCGAATTTATTTAAATTTCTTTTCACGACTAACTAGAACTGTTTCGTTACGTTTCGTTTGCACAGAATGAGAAATCATCGTACTTGTTTTGATAAAAAAAATTATTTTTAAACTTGCCCATTTTTTTAACGCGTTTCTACAGTTTTATATTTTAATGGAGGAATTTACATACTTACAATTAGTCGAATAATCAATAACAAAATTATCTATTTGTATTTATTTGCTCGATCATTCTGTGCAAACTACTTTGTTAACATTTATTATTGATAATTATTTAAAGAGGTTTTATGAAAATTGTGATCTTCTCAATTTTTACGTAGGAACCTTCTAAACTATATGCCAAAACATAGGAATAAGTTACTTATTTAACTAAGTAGCCGAGTTATTTTGTTTTTTCTTTGTATACAAGTTTGGTTTTTTTATTATACGCTATATTACTGTTCATTTGAACTATTTTATTGTAAGTTTTTTCTTAAACAAGAAATTTCGCATTTAGTAGTCAAATTGCTGATTTGTCCATAATCCTGATGATTGCTTTGATTGTCCATAATCCTAAATGATTATGGATCGTTCTAGATGGTTCTAATTGATTCTGGAACGTTCTAAATGGTTCTGGACAGTTCTAGAATGAATAGAACTTTTCACCTTGCCTCGTGAAGTGATTCAGAAATGCATAGGTTTTTTTAATGGATATCGATTTATGATTAATTTGTTGTAATGTTTGTATAGTTTTCTTGCTTAAGAAAATCCGATTGGATCGTTTTTTGCTCACTCTAGTTGTACTTTTTTTCGAAGAAAGCAGTACCGATTGATGTTTCTGTTTAGCGTGAAATTCGCCATTTGAATTTGTTTTAATCTTAAACTGGTGTTATATAAGAAGTACCAAGTCGCCCGCGAATTGGTACCTTTATTTTTATATGGAACTAGGCTGTAACTATTAATACGAAAATACAAAACATTTCGAGGCGTTTGAAACAAACAGAAAATCTTATCATTAATTTCCGATGGATGTTTTGTATTTTTTATTTCGATTTGTCGGTGATAGAGGAACTGTAGTATAGAGAATGGTGCTTTAAAAGAACCATTGAAAAAAAAACATTTTATTTTTGAAATTCTTATGTACAATTTAAAGAAAAAGACTAATTTTCTACGAGAGACGGAACGCGATCGAGGCGATTATTTAAAAAAAACGCAGTAATGACAATCAAAATTTGTATTTTTCGAAAAAAAAAAAAATTATCATGCCAAAAATGTGAAAAAAAATTGCCCGTACTAATAATCGTATTCCAAATAAACGGGGTACCAAAACTAGCTTGTTATCCACTAAAAATTATATATATTTTTAGATAAAAAAAAGACGTACTCAAATTTTGTTACGTTCGCATTTAAAGCGCATAAACTTGCAGTAGAATAGAAAAAAATTGGTTTTAAAAAGAACAAAAAAAAAACTACAATAAAATCGCACCGATCGCGTTCCATCTCTAATCGACGTTTCGCGCGCCTGACGATGAAATCCGGGCGAACGCGAAACGTCTTCGGAGAGGTTTCTGTAAAATGTTTCGATCCTATAGCAATACCAGTTTTGCCTGATGACGGGAAAAAATACTCCGCGCTTGTTTAGCTTCTCGCGAAAGACACGAAAACGGACCCTTTACCAATCAACTCTCTTGTGCCAAAACGATTTGTTGTTGGGTTTAGAGCTCGAGCGACATTTGCTCGCGTTATTTAACTTTTATTTCGGCGTCTGTCTTCCAATTTTTATAAACTTTTTGATGTTTATCGAAAATCGACTCCGCAGGATGAAGTAGTTTGAATTATTTCATCCTGCGAAGGTGTACACGTTTGCGTTATAGAAACTAAAAACGTCGCTATTTGTTTTATTATTTTTGCCTTTGTTTTGTTTTTGATTGATACAGCAATAAAAAATATTTATTAGTTTTTTCTTGTTAATAAAATATATTTAGTGAAATATACTGAGAGATATCTTAATTCGTTGGTTTTTTTTACTCTTTACTCTTATTAAAATTACATACACAATATTTTATCTTAATTAAAAGCGTCTTACGTTTTTCCCACGGTCGTATATTTCTAACAATAAGGTCTGGAAACTGCCTTTTTGAGCTTCACAAACGACAGTTCGAGCTGTCAAAAACTTCAAAAATTATTTGACATTTCGAGGAGAAAATGGTGAAATACATTAACCAAAGATACGTGAGGCAAGATATTAACAACAAAATCATTTTTAGTTCAAATAAAACCTTTCTTAATACTAATTCTACACCTTGCTCCATTTCTATGAGTGGAACAAAGAAAGGTTGTTAAAATGACAGTTTGTCGGAGTGAAAAGTTGTAATGACACAATGTCACTCTTTCTTTTTCCTTTGTAAGTGTCTAATGAACGTTGTCTTTATCGCACCCATGGCCTATACAGGGTGTTCTCGAACTTAAGGTATTACATTCTAGGGTTGGTAGTTTGCATAATTTGAGACTGATTCGCAAATTTCGTTAAAATAGAGCCATTAGAAATAAATGCAAAGAGGAATCGAAAGGAATATTAGCTCACCTATTTTGTTGTTGAAAGCTGCTTAATTATTCCAGAACATCACTATAACGAACAAGAACTAACTAATCTAGGAGCACTTAGATCACTAAAGTCTAATCACAAAAATATATTTAACCCCGATGTTATAATCAAAACAATACAATTCTCACTGAAAACGATCGGTATCGATAACGTTTTTTTTTAAGCTAGAGGGCGGAGGGGGAAATTTGTACTTGCTGATAAAATACACCGAATCTGTTTTTTTGAGTTCAAATTCCGATCAGCTGACTATTTCGGCCAGGGTTGTATTCGCTCTTTGCATTTATTTCTAATGCCTCTATTTTGTTTATTATATTTTTTTTAAAATAACGAAATCTGCGAATCGGTCTCAAATTATGCAAACTACCACCCCTAGAATTTAGTGCCATAAGTTCGAGAACACCATGTATAACCTATATTGCAATCAAAAATGTAGGCCATGGGTGCGATAAAGACAACTTCCATTAGACACTTATAAAGGAAAAGGAAAGAGTCACATTTGTGTCATTGCAACTTTTCACTCTGACAACTGTCATTTTAATAATCTTTCTTTGTTCCACTCCAATCCTTTACAACATCGCCTCCTAGCGGCCCTTTTAGGAACACCGTTTCTTCTTCAAATAACGGGACAATATTTCGACCTCTGTTTCCAGACCTCAGAAATACACGACCGTCGTTTTACCTTATAAAAAAAAAGCACTCGCGCACCGTTCGAAACAACCCTTATCACAAACTATCTGATGTGATCGGAGAAAGTCCTTTGGGTCTCCGTGCGATGGACGGCGCCGCGATGGCCCTCGACGTGCCTCGCCCGCCTCAGGCGGCCCTTCTGCGTGGGGAACACCAGCCCGGGCCCCTCCTGGTTGAACACCGGCACCAGCCACAGCAACTTGTTGCGCCCCAGCACGTGACAGACGTTCTCCACCAAACCCAGATCGTAGGTGGTGTAGCGGTTGCTGAAGTTCGGCGGATCGAGGTCCTCCACCAGCGTCTTGTTCTTGGCTATCAGCGAGAAGTGCAGGAAGATGAAGATGAACAGTATCGGCGCGATGCAGCAGGACGTGAAGAACCTTTCGTTCGAACGCCACCGATTATTCTCTGAGTAAAGTATTTTAGCGGTACGTACCCGGCGACCACCCAGATGTACTGGTGCGGATTGGACAGCGTCGACTCGAAGAAGTCGATGATCACGCGGAAGGTGGTGCAAACGTAAAACAGCGATAATAAAAAGCAGTAGAACAACGCCAACAGGAAACCTTTCTGGTTCGTCAGGCAGATGCAGGTGTTCAACCACTGGCAATGATGGTCCATTTTCAATATGCACGTCTCGCATTGCGAGCAGTGGTGCGCCCTGTCCGGCTTGAAATGGAAACATTGCCTGCAAAACCTACAACACAATCATCCACGGACTCATCCTCTACCCGTTTGCACCCACCTGAGGTTGCCGCTCCTCGTCCTGCAGTACATCCTGATGCCCTTGTTCTGGTAGAAGGCGGTCAGCACCACCTGCTTCTTGTCGTCGGGGCTGCGCAGCAGCGTCCTGATCTGGAACGTGGTCAGCCGGTATTTGAGCGGCACTTTGGCGGTGGGCTGCATCCAAGTGGCCAGCAACGACCACGTCATCATGTAGAAGAAGAACTGGAAGACGATCGGGTAGACGATGAATTCGGTCAAATTGAGGTTGTCGCTCAGCAAGACGACGAAGCCGATGATGTAACTGTGGTACATGATCACGTAAATCAGTATAATTAGTATAGGGAATATGTTTTTTGTATTCATTCCGTCACGTTGACAAATGTGAGGTGCGATTAATCAAAAGACGCGCTTACGTTGGACTGTATAGGTAGAAGAATGTTGCTTTATTAGCATAAAAAGAAGAATGTATCTGGAATTATCTCTTGCTACAATTTATCTACCGGATTAAGGTTTAAAACCAGTTGCCTGGATGATGATTATTCCTCCAGAACCTTCAGTACGAATTGGTTAAAAAATAAAACGCCTACATTTATTATAGTTATAGTGATAAATAAGTTTAATCGTTAAATATAAGATATAATTTAATATAACAAATCTCTCAAACTATCAAAAAAGTGTATAAGTCAACATGTAGAACCATGTAGTTAGGAAAAAATCGAAATGTACAAATACAACGCTCGAAGGCGCGGCCGAGTCTCCAACAAACTTCCTCCATTCCACCTCAATCTTACAACAACTAATGGAAAAAATCGTTACGAAAAAAAAACCCCCAACCGCCCTGTTGGTGTTGGTGTGTGTCTAATTCAGTCTTATTGTGTTTCGTCCAAGTCCGATGGCGGATCCAGCGAAGTGTGTACAGTCACGCTGACTCCCCTGTTGATGCTGACGGCCGGATAGAAGACCCCGTACAGGTCCCTGAACGCCACGTTCCCCTGCGGCTCCTCGTTCACGTAGAACGCCAGCGTGTGGTGCTCCAGGTCGAGCAGCACGCCCACCGTCGAGCCGATGCCGATGCCGCCCTCGATGCGCTGCTCGTGGGCCCCGCCGTGCTGGAACCACGATCGCTGGTTGTCGATGTACATCGCCCAGCCCTTGTCGTCTTTGCCTGCGTGCAGAATTCGATTAGCTCGGAGTGGGATCGATTTTACAGTCACCTTACCGAGCATCTTGTCTCTGGCGACGTCGATGCGGGCGACGCCGAACGAGGGATCGGTGTCGGTGTCGTACTTCTCGACGGTGAACTCCCAGTAGTGGAGGCCCCGGCTGAAGCCCAGGCTGCCCAGGGCGACGCGGTGCTCCCAGCCCTCGCCCGTCACGCGGGTGTTGTTCTCGGTGTACTGCAGCCCGGGGCCGGAGAGGACGGGATCGAAGGTGAACCAAGCTACTGTAAAGCGAAGCGAGTGCGTTAAAGACGAGATTAGAGGCGGTGAATCGGGGAGTTGTACCGTCGGCTGTTTGGAGGCCTATTAGTTCGCTGTATTCCCCTTCGCCTGAGCTGTTGAAGGCCTTCACTCGGGCGTTGTATAGGCTGCGGAAGTGCAAACCGTCCACGGTGCAAATGGTCTCGTTGCCGCAGTAGACCTCCTGTATAACCGGAAAATGGATTAAGAAAATCGTCGTGCACGTGGCGAAAATTGGCAGCGAGCGGTTCAAAGACATTCCCAATATAAGAATAACCTTGCGCGGTATTTTTAGAAAATATTTTTAGTTTATCGTCGATTCCAGCTCGACTTATTGTGAAACGGGGACAATTCGATCCGACTATTTATAGTGTTTCGTGCGAGTTTTTCGAACTTTTCGTGTTGTTTTTTTTTTATTTGCTTACCCTGAAATCCCCGCCGTTCCCATCGTCCAATTCCAGCACATATCCTTCGACATGACTGATACTTGGTGGTTGCCAAGCTACTGTAACAGAATTATTTTCAGCATTACATTCTTCCGGGATTATGATAGGAGCCACTGGAGCTGAAAACATGCATATTTAACAAATCAATCATTCTATCGATAAATAGTAAACATAATCGACTAAAGTAGCTATGAGATATAAAATCATGCGTAAAATAAGCATTCATAAATACGATATTATTAACGCTTACGTTTAGTTTGTATGAAATTTAGTTGTTTTATGGCAGAATTTACGGGTGCATCGTCTAATGTGAGCTCGAATTGGGGCGAAACCTGAGGAATCGACCATTCCTTTTGCCACGCTTGATCCGTATCCACCACCCTGTTTATCAGCATTGTTCCTATCTAAAAAAATCCACCTGTTTAAGTACATTTTTCTATTCAAAAAAACCACAGTCCTATATTTCTAAGGTCTGAAAACATGGGTCGAAAAAGTGTCAAGTTATAAAACGGGGTTCCTAAAACGGCCGCTAGGAGGCGATGTTGTTGATTAGCTAAAGAAAGGTTTTATTCAAACTAAAAAATAGATACAAAATATACCTAATTAAGCGAGGATTTTGTTGTTAATATCATGCCTCACGTATCTTCGATTAATGCATTTCTCCATTTTCTCATCGAAATGTCAAATAATAATTTTTGAAGTTTTGACAGCTTGAACTGTCGTTTCACACAACCGCGATTTAAATGTAACGCGACGCTGATTGGCTGAGATAAGTTGGTTCTCCGATCGTTCGACACGGTGCGGCTCAAAATGAAGCTCAAAAAGTCCTCAAATAACGGGAAATACATTCTCTAACGCATAAACATAGGAAGTTTCCAGACCTTAGAAATATAGGGCCGTGGTATCGATGATACAAAAACCGACAAAAATGACATTTCGTATGACAGAAATTTAATAGAGGCGGGAACGATTTTTTCTCGCATAGAGGTGCAGTAACGACCGTTACAAAATAACCGTTATTTTTCACCTGTATGAACGAGGAGCTGTCGGTCTCTTTGAGGGCCTCGATGCAGAACTGCAGCAGCGCCGTGGTCTGTTGCAATCGTTGCGTGCACGTGGCGACCTGCTCCTTCAGCACGCCCTTCCGCATCTCCTTCTCCTGTCTGATGAACTCGATGAGGGTGTTGCGCCGCTGCCGCACCGCCTCCACGAGCGCCTCGCACCGGCTCGATATGGTCGCTTCGAAGTCATCACAGTTCCGCTGCGAAAACGGTTTTGTACTTTAGTTTTAGGTGGTGGTTTTCTTGACAGGAAAGGTGGGTGCGAAAAAGGGAACGTAACGGAAGAGGCGAGGAACAGTTATTTTTTTTGTTGAAAAACTCACCTCTATTTCTTCGTTGAGGCCTTTTAATTGTTGTATGAATTCAGTCGTGGTTCTCGCCCGTTCGGAGAGTTGTTGTAAATTGTGCGATAAATCGGTCTGTGGAGGAATAGAAAGATGAACGAATTAGTAAGGATAACTTACGGGGGTGGTCCAAAATGTTATCAGTAAGGAGAGTACCAGAAGATCTTGCATGAAAGCAGCAGAAGCAGAAACGACAACACCGCATTGACTAAAATGCCTAAATCTACGGAAATTGCACTAAACTTCGCAACTCTGCATTCACAAAAAAATCTTAGATACAGCGAAAAAATAGCATTAGATACAAGCGTTCTAATATAGATAACTAAAACAACAACATGATGCTATATCTCGTCGAAAATAGTATCTAAATTTAGAATAACGTAGTGTTATTTCGTACTAAATAAACGGTTTAAATGGGTCCTCGGCCTTAGTTGTAACCTCATTGGGGGCATTATATTCTGGGAAAACGTGCACCTGATCTCGTAAAATCGTTTACGAGCCGTCAACACGGAAACGGGCAACACGAATTATTCGGAAAACCCGTCGAAAATAGACTTTCCCGTATTATTTAAATTCACGATTATTTGGGTTATTTCTTTGAGGTCATTTTCACCTGGTAATTGTTGGCTTGCGTATACGAGGGGTGTGCTGAATGTACTGCATTCGTATTTGCTTAATCCAATTTATTTCGAGAAAATTCATCCTCGGGGATATTTTTTTCTTATCTGATAAAACCGGGCGTAAAAGAGGAAAATTCCTTGGGGGACATAAAACCTTTTTATCCACCGGTTTCGTTTTATTTAGGAAGCGCCTCTCTTTCCGGAAATTAATTGGAAACGGGAGTTAATTAAATTTCATTATAATTAATACAACCATTAGGAGAAAGTGGGGTAAAACAAACGCGCGAATCTAACACGAATCTCTTTCGTTCAACCTGAATTTTTTACAGCTAACAAACGAAAAAAATCCATACAACTTAACATTCCCCGAGCATTCCATGTGAGTAGACGGTATTTCACGCAAAAACCCCCCGTAAATTTCCATTATAACGAATCTGTCGCGTATAATAATCAGGGTTGGCGGGGGAGTCGGGGAACCCCCTATATGCTCGTTATCGGAAAGTGATAAATCGCCGCTAGTTCGCGATAATGACGTCACCGTCTGCTGTAAAACAAGAAACTAACGTCATTACGGCGTTGCCAAACGTGGAGTATCCTTTTTCCCCGACATAAGGGTTGATTTTAACTTTTTCAATACAATGTTGTTAGATTTAGAATGGAAATTCGGGCAATTAGATACTTGATAATAGTCGGTTTTTAATTAATCTTTTAAAGGTGAGGAAATTTCCCCGAAAACTGGAAATGATCCACTGTTTGGCAACGAAAACACCGACGCGGCTACATTTTAATATTTAATTTAATATTTAATTAAAAAATCGATAGAAAATAGAACTCTACTATTCAGTGGGACTTTCAGATGCGTTCGATGATACAAAAACTGACCAAAATGACATTTCGATTGTCAGAAATTTAATAGAGGTGGGAATTAATTTTTTGGTATAGAGATACAGTAACGACTGTTACAAAATAACAGTTTTTTTTTCACATATCGTCTACTGTATCGAGCTGTCGGTCTCCTTCAGAGCATCGATGCAGAACTGCAGCCGGTTTTAAAATATTCTTTTAAAGATGGAGGATACTTCCCCGAAAACCGGAAACGTCCCGGTGTTTGGCAACGTCGCTTTATCCAGACGAATCTAATAACGTTCGGGAACGGCATTAAATTCCTCGCCGACGCGACGCGTTAATAAAGTCGCCCGGAAATCGAGTATGAAATACTGTCAATTGTCGAGTGTTGATTCGATTTCGTTCTCCGGCTAAAAATCCTCTTCCAGAGATTTTTAATACCGAAATTCCGAAGGTATTTTCCGCGCGGCGTTTTTAATAACGCCGTGGAATTCGATGGAGTTCCAACGAAAAGGGTATGCAAATTCTCCCGCTATCGCAACTTTCCAGAGTTCGTTTTTCTTTCCGAGTTTACCTAAACGAAAATATTTTAATACGAAGCCAGTTATTAATTCTTTTTGTATATCTAATAAAGCTGCAGGGGACGTGATTGATTGATTGATTCATTCGCCAGAAGTTGTATCTTAAACGTATACCGAAGGCAACAATGTCGCCGAATGCGAATACTGGAAAATTACCATAGTATGTTATTTAATATCTTCCACTAATGAAATTCCATGTGCAATTAAACGCGAAATATGTCCGAATTTATATTTAACAAGTGGAATATTATTTCGTGCACAAACCGCAGACTATTTATAGCCCGATTTCCGAGTTAAAACCGTTTAGAATTTCCATACGAATATAATAATAATGCCGGTGAGTTCGTGTTTTCCACATCATTATCATAAATTCATTGCGCTTTTCGAATAACCCCATCCGCAGTATTTTCACGGTTATTTAGAGATAGCGACGTTGCCGTATTTACGCTTTTTTCCACCATTTACGGGCGAACAAACAATACACGAGAAAAATATAATAATATGAGGGTTTTAAGGCCGAGATGCTAATTAGATTAGCATAGAGAAAGAAAGATGTCTTTTATTTTGTCTATGGAGATTAGATTAACTCACTAATAGATGTTCCGTGTTAGATATCCTTTTCAGAATATTTTAAATTCAATTCTTTTCCCTGCAATTTGAAAAGATAAAAGTAGGGTTTTAAAGATACTCATTAAAGTGCTCTAAAAGTATTCCAGTGCACTGGAAATACCTTATTTCATATTTCCTTCCCCTAAAAAAGCGCAAATTATCCAAAAATGTCTGAAAAAACGGAAACTACTGACACCGCTGTCGTTTGTCAAATTTACAAAATTGTTCTGTGATTTGACATTTATGTCAGGCGACACCATAATTTACAGGAATCTATCATCATCATTTGCTAAAATACTTTAATTAGTTTTTCTCAATTTAATACAGCCTGTGGATCAATATAAACTAGGAGACATCGTTCTGTAATAAGTATTCTTCATCCTACTAAAATTATTCATACATCCGTTCGAGGAAACTCGAGTCTTACTAGAATTACGTTTTGCCATTTAAATAGCATTGCAAATAAATGGCAGTTTTTGATTGCAATTTTCTTAAATATATAACGAAGTAGTACAGATTAAAAATAGGAGATATCATTGCTTGGAGTCTCTATATTAGATATAAGAATGATTCAAATCAATCGCTGAAACCAAATTTGAATCTTACCGGGATTACTCAACCTATGTTTTCCCAACGATACACGAGAAAAAGATAATAATATGAGGGTTTTAAGTGTTCGCGATGAACCTTTCTCGCTAATTAGAAAAGAGGGGCAACTACTTACGGGTTGCTACGGGTAACTCGGCGGTGAATGTGGAGGGTCGAGGAGAGATTAGGGATAAAAATTGATTTCGCGATGCCACGACGGGAGAGTAATGGCGCATTTTAAGGGCGAGCCCGATGCATTTTTACTTCGGTAATATATCGAGGAGAAAAGCCGCCTTATCGCGATGCGAAACGTAGTTTATTGCCTCGTCGAATCCTGAAAAATGTACACAACAAACCAGTTTTCGATCTCGTTTGAACTCCGTGCTCGCCTCTGATGCTTTATTGAGACATCTTTCCTCGATGTACAGTCGATAATTCTACAGAATATTATCCAATATACGCGGTGTGCACATGGAAATAAAGTTAAATGTACTGTCAATGTCAATTAAAAGTACCTCAAATACCAAACGTCAATAGCCCACTAGATAGAGAGATAAGAAAAGGAAGCGATAAAGTTCTTTGGGAACTTTATTAATACAATTAATTTAGGGTAGATGAATAGGATTAAAGATAATTTTAAAGAATTTTCGTATATACAGTATGTCCTAATAAACCATCGACTCTTTAAATAAGCAAATACGAGGTGTGTCATATTGTCAATGACATCTAAAAGTTCATCAAATGCCAAACGTCAATTGCCTACTAGATAAAGATATAAGAATAAGTTCTTCGGGAACTTTATTAATCCAATTATTTTAAGATATGTGGATAGGATAAGATATTTTTAATGGATTCTCGTATATACAGCGTGTCCTAATAAACCATCGACTGTTTAAACGAGCAAAATATACCAAGAGCGTTCATTATGCAAGTAGTTCAAGAAATTCTCGTTGGGCGAAGGCCAAGCGAAAGCCATTGTTTCAGTAATGCACCGAATTACATAAATGTATAAATAATTCATGATGGTTTTGCGAAAGGATAATAACACGAATTCAGCGTTCGATAACCAGTCGAGTTAAAAATATATTCCCCGGCAATCCGAAATGATCCGATAGAGCTCTCCCATTAGAAAACCGGATCTGAAAAACGGTTCGGGGGGATTCCGAGCAGGTAAAACGACCCCTGCGGTGAGGTTTGTTTAAAGAAAAAGGTTCATTCCACAGCCCGAATCGCTTTAGTATTTATTTTTTTACAAAGGAAGCTTATTCGTCGAACGGTAAACGTTCGAAATAAACCTCTAGAGTTGTAAATTTAGATGAAATTGTATACAAACATCGGCTGTATTTTGTTTCAGTTGCACATCGTTAAAAAGTTAGATAAATTTACCTAAAGTTCACACATCGAGTGTCACGTTAGAAGTGCATCACGGCTTCCCAGAAGCACTTACGTGTAAAAAAACCCGCTGAGTTAACACGCTAATAATTTATAACGTTCGCTCTAGAGTTTCTTTTAGAGCGCTAAAATTAGATAACAGTCTTTTGAGCGCCCTAATAAAACGCAGAAGCTCTAAGTGAAACGACAACATTACTTGCAGATAGGGATGCTGCGAGTGGCGCAACTGAGGGTTAAATAAGGATGTTATATTTCGTGGAAAAGGGGATAAAAGTGGTTACTGGTAGTAATAGTAACGATTTTACTCCGGATATCTATTAATCATTCTGGATGAGTTCTAATGAGTTTTGTGTATGGTCTATATTTTACAAATAATGGAGTATAGGAGTTATGTAGAGAATAAAATAATGAAATATCTCAACTTCAAAGAGGCAGATTGAAAAAAATCAATAGTTTGTCCATCCGAACAGGACCTATTACATGTAGAATTTTATTAACCATTTCTAGTGCTGAATTAATTTTATGAGGGGAAATCGAAGGGTAGAAATCCATACAAAAGAAGGAAGTTTCATGAATGAGAAACAAGGCTGTTGATGTTAATCACTGTTGTTCTATGCTAATTAGTCTGGAAGAATTCTTTTGAGCATGGTCTATGGTTTTTGTTCTAATAGGTATAAATAATGATGGGTAATAGAGAGAAAAGGTGCTAAATGAGCGTATAGGAAGGAAAAGGAAATCGTTTATAGTGCATATTTGATACAAAAGGAGGAAGTTTGATCAATAAGAAATAAGGCTGTTGATTAGTGATGTTCTATGCTAATTATTTAGGAAGAGCTCTTTTGAGCATGTTCTATGGTTTTTGTTCTAGTATAAAAAATGGGTAATAGAGAGAAATGGTGCGGAAATGCGCTAACGATAATAGATACAAAAGGTGCTAAATGAGTCTATAGAGAAAGGAAAAGGAAATCAATAGTTGTTCAACTAAAATATTTGAAGGACTTTATTATCCAACTCTGAAGCTAAACGGATTCTTTAGGAGTTAATACTTCACGGATAAAGTGCTGGAAGAGTTATTTTGAACATGATCTATGGTCTTTATTCTACATAATAAAGAATGGGAAATGGTGAGAAAAGCTAAGGAAAGTTGTGAAGGTGGAAAAATTGTTAAGTAGTAGATTTCTAGAGGAATAGTTTGTCCAACTGAATATTTGAAGGACTTTATAGTATCCAACTCTGAAGCTAAACGGATTCTTTAGGAGTTAATACTTCATGGAAAGAGTGCTGGAAGAGTTCTTTTGAATATGGTCTATGGACTTTATTCTACATAATAAAGAACGGGCAATGGAGAGAAAAGCTAAGGAAAGTTGTGAAGGTGGAAATGGTATTAAGTAGTAGACTTCTAGAGGAATAGTTTGTCCAACTGAATATTTGATGGACTTTATTATCCAACTCTGATGCTAAACGGCTACATTAGATACAAAAGAAACCCAACCACACTGGTACTGGTACACTGTATAAAATTACCTTTTGAGTTTTGCAAACGACAGTGGCGGGTTGTACATCGTGCGACATGTGTTTAGTGTCCAACAAACAAACGGCACAAACGCACATTTTACAAACCGAACAAAACATGTTCAACGTCTCATCGGCGTGTTCCGCACACGTTCCCGTCCTCGTTCTATTCGCGCCTGCCACGCTCCTCTTCGGATCGCTCAAGACATGTTTGGCCAAAGGGCCCCTCAACGGGTGGCAAGTGTCCCTGCACTCGGCGCAATACCTCACCTCGCACTGTTCGCACATCACGGTAGCCTCGTTAGCCGGCTCCGATTCGCACATTTGACATTTGAACGTCACGTTCCTCAGCTCGCTGTACTTCTCGACGATGTTGTGCATGATCCGGTACTTGGGCAAACCGTGCGCCCCATTCTCGTCCAAATAGGCCGCCTTGCGGCACACCGGGCACGCCACCGTCCACGTCGCGACGCCCGTCGACGCTTCGACGTAGCTGCCGGGCCGCGACGACGGGCATATCACGCCGCTGTCGGCCTCGCTGAGGATCGACAGCTTGTCGCTCTCCTGGTAGTCGCCGCCGGAGCTCGAGCAGGAGCCGGAGGCGACGCTGGACGCCTGGCCGGCGGCGGCGGCGGCGCCGCCGGCCACCGGTTGCTGCAGGTGGACGGCGCACAGCAGGCAGAGCGAGTGCTGGCAGGGCAGCAGCACCGGGTTGGTGAAGAATTGCTTGCACGCCGGGCAGCAGAGCTCTTCGTCCATGACCGGGGGGGGCGAGCACGAAACACGCGCGTTCTACGGGGACGGCATCGAGCGAATGAGCGTGCGAGTGCGCTCGAAGGCTGTTCGGGGAGAATAACAAAGCGCGAACGGGGCCGAAGTGGCGCTCGGGCTCTGGCGGTACGGGTGATGGTTAATCGATACGGAACCCGGTGTTGCGATGCGTCGAATCGATTCTGGTATTCGATTGTCGAGTCGAGGGATTTCAACGGGGGGTTAGAGAGTAAAACCGCCAACTTGGATTTGATGTGTAAAAATAAAACATGGGTTATTTTATTAAACTTGTGAATATTATATACTTAAATCAGCGATGATTTTGTTGTTAATGCCTTCAATAATAATTTTTGAAGTTTTGACAGCTTGAACTGTCGTTTTACACAACCGCGATTTATATGTAACGCGACGTTGATTGGCTGAGATAAGTTGGTCCTCCGATCATTCGACACGGTTCGGCGCAAAAGTAAAGCTCAAAAAGTCCTCAAATAACGGGATACATTCTCTAAAGCATAAGCGTAGGGAGTTTCCAGACCTTAGAAATATAGGGCTGTGGTTCGATGATACAAAAACTGACAAAAATGACATTTCGTATGACAGAAATATAATAGAGGTTGGAATGATTTTTTCGGTATAGAGGTGTTGTAGCGACTATTACAAAATAACTGTTATTTTTCGCATATCACATGAATGAGCAGCGCAAAAGTGAAGCTCAAAAATTCCTCAAATAACAGGACCCATTTTCTAATGCATTTAAGCATAAGGAGTTTCCAGACCTTAAAAATATACGGCCGTGGTCTCGATTGAACAATCGATTATCGTGGTGATTTCGATGACATTTCGGTAAAATAAAATGTTCCGCACCGAACGAAAAGGGCCGATGATGAACGATCGCCGGCGAATGCCCGTATTTCGTATCTTTTGTTGCAGTTATTGTACGCTTGATGTTTGACTGGTTGAGGGGTTGAGTTGAGTTGAGTTGAGAGGTCGTTGGCATGATTTTGCCTGCATCGCGTATTTTGTATATTTTTTTTCTCGGTCGATTTGAATGCGAACGGCCTACGCCGCAAACTCGACTGGTTTATACCTTTATATGAGTGGAATGTACCTGGATTGACGGGCGCTTTGTTAGGGGACTTCCTGGAAGAGTTTTCAGGAGAGTTTTAGGGGATTTGCATGAAAAAAATTTGTCGATCTCGATTCCTTCGGAATACGCAATTAGATACTTGTATTAGCTCAGTCAATCTGTTAATAAACCCTTGTGGTATTATGTTTTATCGTTAATTGAAATTTACCTATTATTTTCTAAATTTATTAGTTTATTGTAATGGATATTTTCGGGTTGATAATTATTTTTAAGTACTCATTGAATTTGTTATCGTTAAATAATTGCGTAAAGCTTTAATATCGCCAGAATAATGGTTTTCAAATTCGCGAGTTAAATGTGTACAAAATGCAAATTTTTATTGTTTATCAAAACAAACGATGATAAAATGTATTAAAATTTAAAATTTGTTGTAATTTAATAAAGCGCTCGGCACGTGTTTCCTAACGCGCTCGATTTTTTTCGAATTTTCGAAACCTTTCAACTTTCAAGCACATGCAGTGCAATTCGTTAGTGAAATTATGAAATATTGTAAAATTTTTTTGCAAAGAAATTTTGCCTTTTTCTAGCACACAATAAAAATCATTTTTTATATACGATATTTAATCATATTTCCCAAACCAATCTTATCCTAATCAAGATAAACTATCAGCGATTTTTCCAAGAACAAACCGAACAATATTCCACGGAATGAAAAATCCCAACCAAATTACTTTTTCACTACACTTGCGAATAAAGCGTATACGTGACCCCCCCGTCGTGCCCCCCCAAGTTCGCGCAAAATGCCAGCCAGATGCAATTGCAATTTAGAAATCATCCAGTATTCTTGCTGATCTGCGGGAGATTAAAAGCGCGTCCAGTTTTCGAAACAAAATAAGTAAATCGGTGAGTAATTTATTGTTTAATTGGAATAGTGTATTTTTTAATTATTACGCAATATTGATCGAATCGAAAATGCCTAGTAGTCGGTAAATTTTTAGCGCTATATATTTTTGGTTTCGATGATTTTTTTCAAACGTTGAATTCGATGTATATTTTATTCAAAACTTTGTTATCTTTAGTTATTCGAGTAATGCATAAATTACAACCTTTCCGCGATTAATAAACGCTTTATAACAACCGAAATTAGCGCCTCGTTAAACCAAAGTAATCACCTGTACACTCGACGGCTGTCAAACTGTTGTTTTTTTTGCTCCAAAAAGTCGTCGAAAGTCAAATGGTCGAAACCGTTCGACTGTAAATTGAAAAACAAATTCGATAACAGAAAACCCGCGCAGTTTTTCGCTAAGTTCTTCACGCGCCCGTCGATCGTTCCAGATTCAAAATGGCCGTCACCTCGAAGAACCTCTTCCGGGTGGTCACCGAGCCCTGCCCGGTCACCTCCAACAAAGTCACCGTCGTCGGCACCGGCCAGGTCGGAATGGCCACCATCTTCAGCCTGCTAGCCCAGGTAATTTCCTAATTAATATCTCTCCAATACCTCCCCTATATGGGGGCACCAAAGGAGTGTTCGTTGGGGGATACATGTAGAAGTTTTGAGGAAGAAAATTGGGGTAAAATTGGATAGAATTTGGACACTAGTTTGGTCCATTAATATCTTTCTAACCCCCTTTCAATACCTCTTCTATGGACCAAAAGAGTGTTCATTGGGGATACTTGTAAAAGATTAGAGGACTAAAATTGGAGTAAAATTGGATAGAATTTGGACCCTAGTTTGGTTCTAGCATTTCCAAGTAATTATGAACTGATATCCAATGATGGTTTTGTTCAATTGACCGCCCCTTGTAAGATAATTAGCTAATCTAATGCGTTTGTAACAGGGCGTATCGAACGATATCTGCATGATCGATATGGTAGAGGACAAACTGCAGGGCGAATTGATGGACCTCCAGCACGGTTCGCTGTTTTTGAACAACCCCAAAATAACGGCGAGCAAAGGTAACCATTCCAAAATTTTCGCGGATTTCTCTACTACAACAATTTTCGCAGAATTCAAAACGACCGCCGGCTCGAAGCTGTGCATCGTGACGGCGGGCGTCCGCCAAAAAGAGGGCGAAAGCCGCCTGAAGCTAGTCCAACGCAACGCCGACGTGTTCAAGAACATCATACCGAACCTGGTGCAGTACTCGCCCAACACCATCCTGATGATCGTCAGCAATCCCTGCGACATCCTCACGTACGTCGCCTGGAAGCTGAGCGGCCTGCCCGAGAACCGCGTCCTCGGCTCCGGCACCAACCTCGACTCGTCCCGCTTCCGCTTCCTCATCTCCAAGAAGCTCGGCACCAGCACCAGCAGCGTGCACGGCTGGATCATCGGCGAGCACGGCGACAGCAGCGGTGAGAAAACCCACTACGATCGATCATCTCTTCAGATGATTGAATGATTGAATGATTGATTGTTTGTTGTATACAGTGCCGGTGTGGTCGGGAGTGAACGTGGCCGGCGTCCGGCTGAAGGACATCTCACCGAAATTGGGCACCGACGACGATCCGGAGTGCTGGAAGGTGATCCACCGGGACGTGGTGCAATCGGCCTACGAGATCATCAAGCTGAAGGGCTTCACCAATTGGGCGATCGGTTTGAGCGCCGCCGCTTTGGCCAATACGATACTCACCAATCAGCACAACGTGCACGCCGTGTCCGTTTTAGTCAAGGTACTGTCCGCGCGGAGGCTTTTCTTTCCCTGACCCACTCTCTCCCGATCCCATCCCCCGGTTAATTTCAGGGCATGCACAACCTGGACCAGGAGGTGTTCCTGTCGCTGCCGGCCGTGCTGGGCAGCAACGGCGTGGAGAAGGTGGTGCTGCAGAAACTGGCCTCGAACGAACGGTGCGCGCTCAAGTTTACGGCGGCCATGTTGGAGGAGATTCAAGGAGGCATCAAAATTTGAGGGAGTGGCTCGGCGCTTTCGGCGTTGCGGAGAGTGGGGTATATGTGTAGTTGTACGATGGGAATGGTTTGAATTAAAAATTCACGTTTTTTTTTTTTTGGCTATTGCGTTATTGCGTATGAATGTAGCTGTTTGTATACGTATTGCTTCAATTCGGACCGCAACATGGTCGTTTCTATGAGTGGAACAAGGAAAGATTATTAAAATGACAGTTGTCAAAGTGAAAAGTTGCAATGACATAAATGTCACTCTTTCCTTTTCCTTTATAAGTGTCTAATGGAAGTTTTCTCTATCGCATCCCCTATGTTGGGATCTGGAATGAAGCACAGTGTATACAGGGTGGTTTGCGTAAATGTGTATTAGAAAAGGAGCGAGGATTCGAGGTGAGCGATCGGTCCGCCGACTATCATACAATATGGCGATTTTAACTGTCTAAACGCGGCCTCTAACTTGTCGGGTGTGCTGTTATGCTTGTACATAAAAGGTGACTTTTTTTTATTAGGGTTATCACGGCATAGATTCCGAGGTGTTTTTGTCCTTACCGGCCGTGTTGGGAAGCGATGGAGTATCGAAAGTGGTGATGCAAAATTTAACGGAAGAAGAAACCGAGGCTTTGCGAGAGTCTGCGAAAGCTATAGATGAAGTGCAGAAATCGTTGGATATTTAAATTTGGTTCGAATTGGAACCGTAACGTTGGCATTTAATGAAGTTGTGGAAGTATTTTTTTACATAATGTAATAATAATTAATAGTTACTAACAATTTTCATCCCCCTATTTGGTGTTGAAGGTCGATTTAGAGTAGCCAATCTGATAATATAAATTTTATATTTGCTTTTCGTTTCTTTATTACAAAAAAATTATTACCTATCAGTTTGCAAATAAAAAGAAATGAGCAACTCAAATCACACGCAAAAACTCCAAAAAAAATTAAGATACAATACTGATTTAAAAAAAAATAAACGAATAAAATGACAAACAAACGTTGCAGGTAAAAAACGAAATTACCATCGTGAATATAAATCAAACCAACCGATTAAATTAAATATACGAATAATCTCTTACGATCGTTACAATTCTAATATTTACAAATCAATAATAAAAAAACCACGATCCTCTCAAGATTCTTACCTCAATTTACGCCTAAAAAAATATTTAAATCAAAAAAACCGACCTAAGAAAAATTCTACAGAGGCACTATAAGACTTTTTTGACGTTCGCTTTCATCAGTCGCACCTTCGACGGGTTCACTTTGATCTTCAGCTGCTGCACCAAATCGAAGATCTTCAACGAAGGCCCCACCTTCCCTCCCGTAAACTCCACAATGTCCTCCTTGCTCAACGACAACAACGTCTTCCCGTCGATTTTCTACAAAACACAAACGTTAAAACAAACCAGTAAATGTTATTTATCGTAATATTAATTACGTGTTTGCTGAAAGCGTCGCAATAATTCACGCAATCGTTCACCCTGAGAAACTGGGCCACATCGAAGATGCTCCATTCGTCGGGGCACAATTCACCCGCTCCGCTAGTCGTAGCGTCTATCAAACGCGGTATCACTTTATTACCGTTGCTCGACGTCGACTACAATAATAGAAAAATACATGTTACAATACCGCTGGCCTTTTACGTATCGGGAAACCGCTCACATTGACGTACGAAGTGGCGCGCCGCTCGACGGGCGGCTCCTCCTGCCTTTTGACATCTTCAGCCTTCTTGCGACCGTCGTCGTCTCCGTTAAGAGACGTCGCGACGCGTATTGTAGTAGGCGGCGTCGCGATCGAAACGTCCTCTCTATCCGAACGACTGGAATGCTTCGAATCCGGATACTCCGAGCGATCCATGTTCGAGTCGGGCGTCGCCGGTTCCCCGTCGGATTTCCGCGACGATTTGGCGTCGTCGACGTCGTCGTCGTCGCCGTCGGGACGCTGGTGTTGTTGTTGTTGTTGTTGCTGCTGCGGTTTCGGCTTCTTTTTGCGATTTTTTTTCTTGACTACAAATTAATCGGGTAGATTAGAATCGATTGATTTGGGGCAGATAACAAATCGCGTTCACCTTTAGGCGATTTAACGGGCTGGATGGTTTGCCTGACGAACGACGGGGGGCCTTCTAATTTGTGCCCCACGCTCTGACACCAACCCACCGGGTAGATGTCAGGGCTTTCGCAGTCCAACCATTGGTCGTACTCCTCCTCCCAACCGTCGAAATGCACCTTTAAAACAATAACACACCAACGTACAAACGGGTAAAGTTAGACCAAGCCTAGGTTTACCCAGGTAAACCGGGCGAGGTTATTACAGGTATTATGAATTAAAAAAACAGACTTACTTTGAGTAGGCGACCGGCCACTTTGGCTACGGTGGCGATGCAGACCAATCGGGGATCCATCAGATCGGCCGCCTCGATTTTCATGCCCTGTTGGAACCCGTGTAACGGTACGAACGTGTTGAACAGGGCCGGATCGGCCGGACGGTGATCGATTTGGGCCAAATACGTTCGCCAATCGAACGTCGATTGATCGTAACCTACAACAACCAACAACAACAACACTCAATTACTAATCTTGGACAATCTCAAGGATCAGTTCGATATGAAGTATCTAGTAGCAAACGAGTAGACTTAGTAGACGAATTATAAATAGTAGATACTTAGCAGCGAACCTTTGGGCGGCGTGAGCGGTATGTCGAACTTGTCGCAGAATCCCACCGGGAATATACAGGGCGATTTGACGTGGTAGCAAAACCAATCGGCTCCCGTAACGTCCGCATCGTATGTATCGATCCTGATCATGATGTAGCCGAAATCCAACACGTCCATGACGGTGGCGACGCAAATCGAAGACAAATTCAACGGATCGATCGCCTCCAATTTCATGCCGACCTCGAAGCCCGACGGGACGTTGTCCACGAACCCGACCTGATAGGGATTGAAGGATTCCTCGGTGGCGTCGTCGTCGTCGTAGATGCCTTGATTCAATCGTTCCAGGTAGTTCACCGGAGCCACCAAATGATGATTCACCTACGTACATTCCATTCAATCAATCGTATATAAAATAAAGTGTTACGAGCGTACTTTTCTGGCCCATCCGACCGGATGCAACAAGGGCGAGTCCTCGTGACACCAGAAGCCCCCGTCTTCGGCCGGCATGTCGTAGTATCTCACGTTCAACCGTTTACCGACAATCTTGTGCACCACGGCCAATTTGACTTGCGATATGCGATTCTTGTCGACCACTTCGAGATTGAGGCCTCGCTCGAAGCGCGACTTGAGGCTCTCTTGGGCGCGTTGCGTGAAATTCGACGGTAACGTGCGCGCGCCGGTCAACCGTTTGCGCAGGAAATCCTTCCAATCCGAGTACTTGTCCTCGATCGTTTTCGGCGGTATCAAAGGCTTGCCGCGCGTCGCGCACCAACCCACCGGGTGCACCTGATTCGAGCAGAGAGTCACCCAAAAGTCCTTCGAGCTGTTCGAACCGAAACCTACAAAAAAAACCGATCGTCAATCGATGAACCGAGTAATTTAGGCGTAACGGAGCTCACCTTCGTAGCGGAGCTGCGCCTTGTAGCCGACGATGCGCATGACGGTGGCCACCCAAAAGGAGTCGGGGAACCGTTCCGAGGCGTTCTCGCGATCGGTGTTCTCCACCTCGACCTTCATGCCCACCATGATGTTGTCCCAAATGTCCGCCATGGGGGCGTGCTTGAAGCACGTCACCGAAGCCGCCGTGAAATACGGATCGGAGAAGTTCGATTCCCAATCGAACGTGTTGGCCAATTCCGACGGTTTCCGGCGGATCAACGGCGAGGCGTCGTCCACCGGCGGCAATTCCGGCAGGGGAGACAATTGGGCCAGAGGTCTGTCGAGATAGCAATCGGTGAAATCGTCCTCGGCGTGCACGGCGAAGCGGTATTGGGCGAAGCGCTTCCGATTCGCCTCGTCGTCGTCCGATGAAGTTTGCTGCGCAAGTGGCTGTTGGTGTTGCCTGGGCAAAGGCTCCGGAATGAGACCGCTGTAACCGCGGGCGCAGGCCATGCTGCAGAACCTACGTTCGCGCGTGTAGAAGGCGTGCTTGACGCCGATGGCGCCGCATTTCTCGCACACCGCTGCAAAATTCGTCGTTATAAAATCTACTCGAAACCTTGCTCGAATACACCGACCTATCCCGTCCTTTTGTATGGGTATCACCGATGGATCGGTGTCGCTCTGGTAGGCTATGGGCGTCTTCAACACCAATCCGGGGTGCTTGATCGGCCGGATCTTCCTGTTGGGGCACGGCGTCGTTTGGGTCGACGTCGTTATCATGTAGACGGCGTCGTCGTTGTGCGAGACGTCGTCGTCGTCGTCCATCAGATAGCTGGAATCGTTGCTTTCGTTCTTTATGTCCAAGTAGTGGAGCATGTCGTAGTTCTCCATCGTGTCCTGTAGGTTAAGAAATTAATAATAGCGGTCTTCTACTGTGTTGTTGTACGGTTACCATTCGGGATGAGCACCGGCCGGTGCGAACGTCCTCTAACGATTGGGTGGATATGTTGGACATGCTGCGATGGGACGGGGTGTAGTAGACGCTGTCTTGTTCTAGCACGTTGTCTCCGGGGTCGCTGTGCATCAGCCCGCCCATGGTGATATCGGCCGAAGATTGACCCATCCCCATCCACACCATGCCTACATCCCCTACGCTCTGCATGGCGTTGTACACTGAAAGGAGCCGGGGGAAATTAGCTGAGGGGGTCGATTGGTTGCGGTAGAGGTTGATTGAACGGGAGAACGGGGAATTATAGTGAGGTAGATGGAAAAACGGCAGGGAAAAAGTGCGACCGAACCTCACAAAGGATGCATTGTTTAGGGAAGATTTACGTTTAGCGGAGTGTTACTTTGCGGTTTGTACTTACTGTTCATGTTGAATTAATTGGTTTTTAATGCGTTCCGATGATTTAATTCATAGTTCTTGTTCTATTTTAATGGTAAATAAATAAACACATAAATCAATTCGGCCGAATGAGAAAGCATTTGTGACTTTTTGTTTGACAGCATGACAGATCCTGGTTACTTCAGTGATACCAACTGCTAATGGTGTTTATTAAATGTCACTAGTGTCAATTTAGTGACTTTTGGTTCCTAGCGCAAAAGTTGGTATTTTTTATAGGGTTTAAAAAAAAACATCGATCAAAAAATAAAAATCGCCTTTATATATACATGTGTACGGGTGTAAAATACAATTTTACCCTTTATTTATTTAATAAGTACTCATCTATCTCGTTCAACAATTCCTCTTCGGGTTTCAACAGAACCACCTCATCACAATCGAATTCGTCGTCGCTCAACAGCAATCTCTCGTCCAATTTGCTCAATTCGCTTTCCGTGTCCATCTCAATAGGGCTTTCAGTCTTCGTCGCGGGATTTTCCCGTTTCAATATTATCTTCTTCGTATGGCTTTTACTCTCCAGCGGTCTGAAATCGTCCACCTCCAAATCCATCGACGTGCTCGTCACCGTTTCTTCCTCCTCCACCACCCTCTTCGTTTCAGTTTCCGCGTTTTTCGCTCTCCTTTCCGCCTTGATTTCGTCCAGGGTTTTTATTTTTATGCGGTTGGTATCGCAACTGCGATCGCCCGTCGAGCTGACGGTGACCGATACGTGGGGTTTCGCGTCGTTCAAGCTCGAATTTAATCGCGTCGGAGTCGCCTGCGTTTTGCCGTCGAGTCGACTTTTGATCGAGATTTTTCGTTTCTTCTCTGAAATAAGATTACTTATGTAATTATCTCGTACCCCCCGTAATTGGAATGAGATTGTGACACGAAACGACAATCTCTCTGTTGCTCCTGGGGGACTACAGTAGTGAGTGACAGAGAGGGAGTTGTTTGACGTATGTTGACAGTTTGTAGTTTTTGATACGAGGGAATGCGGATAAGTAGTTTTACAAACCTTCTGTGGATACGAATTGGCTATCGCTGAGCCTTTTGCGCAAGTCTGTTGTTCTAATTTGATCCGAATTGTTTTTGTGTATCATTCTTGAGTAGATTCGTCGTCGGATGGCATCGGCTTGTTGTGTATCGATGGAAGAAACTGGAAATAAATCGTTTTTATAAAAAATGGGTAGTTAAAATGTAATGTACATACGATTGTTGTAAGGGCTACATCGATTTCCATCCATTAGAGAATTCTCCTGGCGGATTTCATCCAGAGATTTCACCCTAACCAACCTTTGGTTGGGTATCGATGCTTCTGCAATAAAAATATTCCATGCAAGATAAAACGCAAGAGCAAGAATGCACTTTTTTCGTACTATGAAACAATCACAAAAGAAATAAAATAAAAAAGGTGCATTCCCATTCGAAAATGAAACAACTCATACAAAATAAAGTATTTATTTCGGTAATGTACAAAAACGCAAAAAATTACAAAAAACAAATTCTCGTCTCAATTAATTTATTTACAATTACGTTACATTTAAATAAACACATTCAACTATGTTTAACAAAAAATAAAAATCTAACAACCCCAAAAAGTTCACAACTTTTTCGTAAATATTAATCCGAAGATTATACATAAAAGAGACAATCTTCGATAGGAAAATAATAATAATTCGTTTCGCTTTTACGTATAATCAATTCATAAGGAAACGCAAATTTTCGTCAAGAATGCACCTTGTAAATTTCATAATCTATTCGCAATTTGAATGTCCAGCACATAAAAAATAAACTTCCCGAAGCCATTAAAATAAAAAACTGAGCCTTTCGTCGAATCTCCCCCGTTAGTTTTTATGCACTGGCGTTCATTTAACAACAATCGAACGCGTACATCAAAAATAGATCTCAAAGATTCCAACAATATAAAAATAATAATTAAAAAAAAAAAAACTCAACAATCAAAACTCGTCGTAATGGTTATGTAAACAGATTTTTTTCGTGTAAAAATTTAGTTACTTAACTAGTTGCATACCTTCTTGAAAATTGGCAACTAGACTATCGATTATCGTAACCTTCCGTTCGTTCGAAGCACTCAGATCAACCTTTCGGTCTGCAACAAAAACGAATTAGTAACCGAATAACACAACAACAAGAGTCCGCTCACCGTCATCCACGGCACCCTTCGATCCGTCCACGTTCCCATCGTCGGCGTCATTCGCGGCGTCGCCCCCCGTGCGTCTGGTGTGCATGAACGGGCAGTGCGCCTTCAGGCAGCCCTTCGGCTGGCTCTCCCAGTAGCACGGGATGGCCTTTCGGTTCTTCCGGAGCTCCATGTGCCGGAAGTTGCACCGTACGTTGACGCATTTGCCCTCTTTCCAGAAGGAGCACGTCGTCTCGCAGCCCAACGCCGACGGCTCGTGCCTGAAGGCGCAGCTCTCTCCCTGCAATTGCACATCGAGCAATCCGTTTAACTAATTATTACACTCACCTTGGCGCAAGTCGAGTAATAGTAGAAATAACAGTCGTTGTTTTTCTTCGGCGAGTCCAGGTCGGTCATCCTTTTGAAGAAATTATCCCGGCTGAAAAGGAAATACGAAATGGTATAGCGTGAGATTTAGTTCGTGGTGGATTCGAATCCAAACGTTTACCAATTATACACCTCCACGGGCATTTTGTTCGATGCGCCAATTTACACGACAATTGCGATGGATAATTGGAAAACGTGCGACGAACCGGCGAATTTATCGGGTTTTTTTCGGTAAAAACTCACCTAAAAAACGTATAAACACTTCCAGCAAGTTGATCCTATTATTTGGCAGCTTTGCTTTTGTAAATGTCAAATGCGGAACACAGGAAGCAGGATGGCCAACTTAATTTCTTCTAAATATAAATGTCAACTTTAAAAAAAGAAGAATTCGTATTGACATTGACGGTTCGGCACTGACAATATTATTTACGATGATAAAAGGTTCGATGGAAGGTGTTTTGTTTTGTTATTTGTTCGTGCTGCGATGGTTCGCAGGGAAAATGTGAATTAAAATGTCGAAATAGCATGATTCGCTGTGCCAAAACGGTTGTAATAGCATTATTTCTTTTCGTTTTTTCCGTATACGTCTCGTTTACGTTCTGTTCAATCGCCGAATTGTTTTGGTCTTCCGATTCATCAGAAGTCGAACTATGGTTGCAACAGAACCATTTAGAAAAGTACACGGATCTGTTTAAATTAAAAGGTAAGTGTTTGTTTCATTTACGACATTCGATTGTTAGCTTTGTATTTTTTTTAATTAAATTGGAAGGATTGGTAATAAACAAACATTATAATCTAGAGTAGGCTGTGGAGTTCTTTGTGTTTATTCTTTTGTTTACTCAATATTAATTCCTTACGGGTTAAAAAAAAGTGTATTGAAGATAGGTAAATAATATAAAATAAATTATAAATTTGTATTTACAAAGTTCAGTAATTAGTAATGAGAGACAAAATAATTAAAGGAAAAATATAATTGCGTCGAGTAATTAGGTATTAATAAGGAGAATTAGTAGAATTACATGCATTCGTTAAATAATTGCAACACAATTTTATAAATCCTTGAATTAAATCAAAAATAATTATATTATGAATCGCAATGACTTGGGAATATTCATAAAATAGGCTCTTCGAAAGCTTCTCTAATTTCAGAAACAAAGCACTTTACAAAAGATGTAATTAAGTCAATTAATTAAATTAAAGTATCTAGAGTACATCATCAGAGTAGATTCAGAGTAGAGTAGATTCAGATAAATTCAGAATAAAGTATAGTGGAATAGATTCAGGAGAGAGGAGAATCAGAGAAGAGTAGAATAGTTTCAGAGTATAGTAGATTCACAGAGAGTAAAGTATAATTCAGATAAATTCAGAATAGAGTAAGTAGAGTAGAATAGATTCAGAACAGAGTAGAGTTGAGTAGAGTGCGTGTGGAATTCTAATTTTAATAAAATTAGAAATGCCTTTAACAAAAATTCTCAATCATAGCAATTTTATTAGATTTATCAGATTAAAAGCACCTTTAGCGCCCAATTTACATCCCCCACCCATCGCATCTAACCGACCCTCGCAGCCCCCCGAATTCCTCACCCCATCTGGCCGCCTTCGAGAGGCCCGGCGGTGGAGACCGTCTCCGGCGGGGGCGGCGGCGGCGGAGGCGTCGCGGCGCCGCGCAGCTCGTCGAGTATCCCGGGCAACGGACGAAGCGCTTTTCCGCCACTGCAGTATAGGTACAATCAGCACCGGAGAATGCCACCGCCTCCCGGAGGCGGCGACGATTCCGATGGGATTTTTCGCGATTTGTTTGTTTGTTTTTTTGCGATCCGCTGATTCGAAACGGTTTAATGTATTCGTAAAAGTCGCGATTTAAGATGTCCGGTTGGGGCGAGGAGAGCGAAATTTGCTCCATCGGTATGACCATTCAACCATCCTCGAGCGCCTCGTCTGGTATGATTTATTCCAATTTTTTTTTTGTAAATTATTTACAACGAATAAGCTTCGTGTAATAGCAGGATTAAATTCCGAATGCGCCACACGAAGCTTTATTTTATGTAAATCAGATTTGTGTAGCACCTATACATTGTACACCTTGAAATGCACTTTATAAGGTTACAGGAATTTTAAAATCGTGCAAGAAATAAACAAGGAAATACACGTACAATTTGTATTCATAGCGCCTCTTAAATTATGAACCGAATCATCGTCGAGATTAAATTGTCGCGCGGAGCGAAATTGCCCTTTTTTTTCCAAACCGCTTCCTCTAATTTATGCTTTATTCAAATCGCTTCGCCTCCGGAGGATTCGCAAAAAAAAATAAACCAGTCCACAAAACGAGAGAATGTAAGCGCAAAACGGAACGCAGAATAAGCGCAAAACAGCTGTACAAGTTCTGGTATATTACTTGTAGTGTTTAGAAAGTCAATTCAATATAAGTTGCAATCAACCCACAAATATTACTCTATATTTTTCTTTAATACGAGACTAATTGGAGTTGCTTTTATCGCACTCGTATTTCGTACAAATTTGCACTTATGTACGTGTAATTAACACATTTCCAATTGACATTGGAAAGGCTACAAGAGGTAATTGAATGGTATCCAAAAAATTAGAATTTACACCTCTAGGGACGGTTTGCGATTAAAATAGGTCGATCGTTATGCCTGTTACGTGTCGGATTACAATTATCCGAGCGTTTTGTTTCGCAAAGGGTTAATAAATAGGTACATGTGCAACGGGGTGGCGTGTCTACGCTCCCCGGGGAACGGACGGATAATAAATTATAACAAACTCGACGTTCGTTTAAAAACGGGTCGCTTAATTTGAAAATGTATATGCGTTATACGTTGCATCAGGGTTAATCGTAAATTAATTCGACGTCCTTCGATAAAAATAGAAATCGGTTATTAAATCGTTCAATTATTAATTTGAACCGTCTTTCAAGGACGCTTTTACGTCACTTCGCTTTTCAGCGTAATTCGTTTTGTATCGATTTCCAGGCGCTCGAGAAAAGCGATATTTGAATACGATTTTTTTTGCTTTTCTCGCCCACTTTCTCACCTCTCCAAACTTTCTCACCTGTCGAAACTCACTAGAGAATCCCCGCTTCGTTCCCCTCGAAACCTCTTTGATTTATCGTCCCATTAGTACAGCCGGTGATTATTAATCAAAACCTCCTTCTTCTTTAACGGGTTTGATCGATTCGCAGGCATCTCCCAGTTGGCCCAGTGCGGACAATTAGGCGAGCTGCCCGAGCTGCCGGCGCCCGACGAGCAGCGGCTCCAAAAGGCGGCGCTGCACCTCCAGCAGCGGCTGGTGCTGCGCCAGTGGCTCTACAAGTACAACTTGAACGCGCACTATCCCAAGTTGCTGGCCGCCGAGGTCGCCTCGCTCGAGGACGTCTACTGGCTGGAGGACAACAAGGCCAAGCAGGTACCGTTTTACCATCGAGGGGTTCGAGTTTGCGTTCATTTTTTGGACTATTATAGGTGTTCAATAAGGATTTCCCCAAGTGGTCGGCGGCCAGGCAATCTCTGCCCATATCGAAGCAACGTTTGGATATACTCAAATCGGATCTTTGGTCTGAAGTTGTGAAGAGCAGTCATCACCAAGACGCGTGGACATGGGGTATGTAATATAAGGGGTGTTTGAGTACGTTTTTCGATACTTGAAGTAGTAATTTACGTAATTATTGGACACCTGGTACGGTGAGCAAATATTTTTCGAATAACAACGGAATATAGTACGGCGATTATTTCTTGGGCAAACATCGCGGCGAAATTTAATAGCAGATAGGTACGTGTCGCGTTGTATGCACGATAAAATATTTGAATTGGTACGCGGTGAAGTTAAACAACGTTAAGTAGCGCGAGTTCTAACCGGTGTAATTTGTTTTGTTTTTTTTATGTTTTAAGGAGGAATGTTGGTGGTGTCCGTATCAGTCGCCGGTTTGGTCACGTTGGCCGCCATGACCCAGCCATCGCTAGCGCCCGAAGCCAAGCACTCGCTGTTGCAGTACGTGACCGGCAAGTACCTGTTGCCGTCCAATTGCAAGGTGAACTTCCAATGGTCCTGTCCGCACCCCGTCGGCCAAACGGTCTGCTTCACCGTGCAATTCTACCAGCGCAACGGGCAGCCTTATCCGATCTGTGATACCGATAATTTCACCGTCGACGTTAGCGGCGGCTCGAAGAAGGTATAATACCTCCTATCGCGTAGCGCACGTTGTGTGCGTTGGGTGGGAGATCGTCGGAAGCGTCCGATTCATTGGCGATCGTTTTGCAGTTGGCCGTCATCACGGAGCTGGGCTCGTCGACGGACCCGAACGGCGCCAACGTGGCCAAGGTGAAGTTCACCGTCCGCCATGCCGGCCAGTACAGGATCTCGGTGATGGTGGGCACGCAACACGTGGCCGGCAGTCCGTTCGCGACGGTCTTCGTGGCCGGGCCGGCGTACGCGCAACGTACGATGGTGGTGAGGCATTGCAGTACCGTCGTGTGTACGGCCAACGTGGCGCATTTGCTCTACATCGAACCGAGGGACGAATACAGCAACGTTTGCCGGTATTCCTCCGGTGATAGTCCCACTGAGGTACCGGTCGAATTTTTTTCGTATTGCGTTCGCTTCGAGATCGGTATCGATCTGTCGTTGAGATGGACTCGTGAGGCACCAATGGGGCCCTATACAGACGGTGTTATGGTCTGGTTTTGATCAGTATGGATACCGATCTCTGGGGCTTTTTGGTCTACGTATAAACAGGCGTAACTCTGGTTTTTTTTTTAGGGATATACTGTAGATATAGTACAATTAGGTTGCCAGTCGCTGGAGTCCGAATTAGACGTAGGCATCGAAAATTATACGATTAGTTTAGATTACGATTGGGAAACGCAACGGGTGAGCGTCCAATTGAAGTTCGTCAGAGAGGGATGCTATCACGCTACGATTTACTATCAGGGCACCGAGTTGCACAACGGAGATTTCGATATAATCGTGTTGAACAGTAAGTAGAAAATTTTTGTATTTGTGGTTGCATAACTCGCGGGCTGACTAAAAGGGTTAATCGATATTAGCGTAATTATCGACAAGTAAAAGGCCACTTTTTGACATTGGTTTTTTTTAGCAAAAAAATTGTATCACAAATTATCGTATTGTTTGTTAAAAATGATCACACAACACACTTTTATTGAAACAGAGTATTAGTAAATGAAATTTTACTTACACAGAAAATAACAGGTACAAATTTACAAAAATATCTCCCACGACTTCACCGTTTGCTGCCATTGACATCTGACGTACAGGTTTGAGGTTAGGTTACCAAATCGTCGAAAGATAGAAGGAGATAACATGCTATTTATTAACAATATAAATCCACACTTGCGTTTAAACAATTTATTCGACACAACATAGCACAAAGATAGTAAAATAGTCGACATTCCTGTCAATTCCAAAATGCGTAATGTGTCGCCTTCTATATAAATTCATACAAACTAAAAAACATATTTTGATTGCTTCGATACCTAAGGATAGGCAACCAAAATTACAATTTATTAATTATCGCTTTATTTCAGGCGTCGATTCCACGTTAGTGCACAAGAACGTGGCTTCGAAGAACCACAACATTTGCTACGACGCTAAATTGATCGGCATCCAAGGCGAGCGAGTAGCGAAACCGAAGAAAGTCCTGTGCTACGTGTCCCCGAAGCAGCTTATAATTAAGGAACTCATTTTGAAGTTTATACCAAAGAGACTGTTTACTTTTAGATTATGCCCTTCCACCAAGGTACATTCACCGCATGAATTTCGACATTATTTATGAGGAAATTCGTTTCAGTTTGCATTCCACGCGGACACCGTGAAATCGAGCGAGTTCTACGCGAGCTCCTTTTCGGTCGACGACGGTTGTCAGCCGAAGATCGAGCTGGTCTCGAAAGACAGGAACGTGATAGCGGCCACGTTCGCCCAATTCCTCCTAAAAAACATGGGCGGCTCGGAGACGTTCAAGGACAAGCAGGACTTCTTCTACCACGAGGTGCGCAAGTACCACCAGAAGCACTACCACGAGAAGCTGTCGATGAAGGTGGCCAGGGAGCGGCTGTTGGAGAGCAGCATGAAGGCCACCAAGAGCTTCTCGGTGGCCGATTGGTGTCGCAACTTCGAGGTGAACTTCCAGGGCGAGCAGGGCATCGATTGGGGCGGTTTGCGGCGCGAATGGTTCGAGTTGATATGCGAGCAGCTGTTCGACGCGAAGAACGATCTGTTCGCGAGCTTCCACGAGGGGCAACAGTCGCTGGTGCATCCGAATCCGGCGAGATCGGGGAGTTTGAAGTTGAAGCATTACGAATTCGCCGGGAAGGTCGTGGGGAAGTGCTTGTACGAGAGCGCTTTGGGGGGATCTTACAGGCAATTGGTTAGGGCTAGGTTTACGCGGTCGTTTTTAGCGCAAGTTATCGGATTGAGAGTGCATTATAAGGTATAAATATTGTATACTATAGATTTGTTTGTTAATTATTTGTAATTGTAGTATTTCGAACAAGACGATCCGGATTTGTACTTATCGAAAATCAAATATATACTGGAGAATAATGTGGATGATATCGAAACCGAGTTGTATTTTATCGAAGAACAATACGATTCTAACGGTCAGTTGGTGAAAACCGTCGAATTGATACCAAACGGTTCGAAAATCAAAGTAACGAATAACACGAAACTACAATATTTAGACGCCTTGGCCCAATACAGGTTAGCGACGAGCATCAAAGACGAAATGGAGGCCTTCCTCAGAGGCTTGAACGAACTCGTGCCCGACAATCTCCTCAGCATCTTCGACGAAAACGAGCTAGAAGTAAGTAGATAAAACCGGCCCGACACGCGTCGATTAATTCAGCCGATTCGCTTACGCAAAAATTTGTTTGAAAATATTTGTTCCCATCGGCGTTCCAGTTGCTGTTGTGCGGCACCGGCCAGTACAGCATCGCCGACTTCAAGGCGCACCACGTGGTCAACGGCAATTCGACCGAATTCAGGCGCATCGTCGGCTGGTTCTGGGCGGCCGTCGGGAATTTCACGCAGGAGGAGATGGCGCGACTGTTGCAATTCACGACCGGCTGTTCGCAATTGCCGCCCGGCGGCTTCAGGGAGCTGACGCCGCGCTTCCAGATCACCGCGGCGCCCACCTTCGGCAACCTACCCACCGCGCACACTTGGTACGATGGTATTCTCTAAATTACATTTATTTCGTTAATATGGGTTTATTTTTTGTGTTACAGTTTCAACCAATTGTGCTTGCCCGATTACGAGTGTTACGAGCATTTCGAGAAGTCCCTTTTGCTGGCGATTAGCGAAGGAACGGAGGGCTTCGGAATGGTTTGACGCCACACAGCTGTGATTCATTTTACGCTTCGTTATTTATTGTAATTTTTTTAGGTTTTTAACGATTATTATGTATTATATTAGTTCGTAGGATGCAATTATAAACAGCACATGTTTCAAATTTTAACGTGAACAAAATTGAAACGAATTTCTTGCTAGTAAAGCGACTACTCAAAAATCAAAATTTATATACCTCATTTCTTCGAGTCGCTCTACTAGCGGGAACGCGACAATTACAAGTAAAATATTTATTTAAAATCCACTATAAAAAAATTGTTAATAGCCATCCACTTACGAGAAAAATACATACGAATAAACGCTTTGTAAATAAAATAAAAAAAACGACACTCAATATTCGTGATAAACCAATAATACGACTTCGGCGAGCTTTTGCAGCGCCGTTAGAGACAATAAAGCCAGTCCTTTCTTACTCCCGCTCCAATATTTCTTCCTCTCCGTCGATAGATCGGTCCGCAGCCGCGCCAACTCGTCCTGGGCGCCGCGATTCTCGTCCTTCAGCTCCTCCATGTGCGCTGCGCAGCACCTCAACTCGTCCTCGAATTGCTCCGAACGGTTCCGCAGCTCCGCTATCAAGTTCTGCAAATCGTTGATTTCGTTCTTCAGCGATACGTTCGCCTTCGACTTCGACTCGAGGTTCCTATATACAAAAAAAATTACGTTTACAACGGTATACATAGAAAGTAGATAGCGTAGAGTTAACTAGAATGCAACAAGAGCGTTGGAACTCTTAAGATTCACGTTTATTGGCGATTTCTGCCAGAAACAACGACCTTATAACAGCGTAGAAAACTACAGAGGTTCGTGTTTGACCCGTTAAAATAGCTCAAAGGCAAAATAGGAGTTGTCTTGGGCGATTATGTCTTTAGGCTATTTTGGCGGGATAGAGATCTGGTTATTACCGGGAAAGCTGGTCGCATTCGTTTTCTTTGACGAGTAAATTCGATTCGGCGTTGCGGAGGTTCTTTTCAGCGATTTTGAGGGCCGCTTCCAAATCGATGATAATCGATTTTTGCTCGTGTATTTCGTCCACGTGATTGCCTAACTGAAACACATAGAATAGAAAAGGGAGCGTTTAGTCATTTCGTCAAACGCACAGAATATTTCATAAACGGGCTCTATGAATCATTCCCCGGAGGTGTATTATTCGATAAACGAGAACGCGGGGGTCGATTCGATGCCACCTCTGACCTATGAGTCAGACGAGATATAGATTTCCATCCCTTTTATCCCGGATTTTCGCTTCTGGGAAAACTTTAATCGCGCACTGACTCATCCCGACCCCGAAACGTCCCGAAGGAGCTTGAATACCTATAGTAAGTGAGTCATAATCGACCAGTTGAGCGTAAAAGATGTACTAATAAATACTTTCCATAATTACTAAAAATAGTACTCGAGTTGATAAAAATATTACAGCCCGGAAAATTGATTACACATCGCGTATAGACTCGAAGGCGCCCGGCGAGTTTTCTCGTGCGGCGCCCCCGTTTATTATTCCGGTGATTCACGCAACCCTACAATCCGTAAATTCTATTATATACATAATAGATTCTAAATATACATAATTTCCGGACTGGTGACGCGCCGTCGAACATCCCATTCGGGTATATACCTACATGATGACATAACGATTTGTCCATGAATGAAATTTGTTGCTAAATTCGCGGTAAAAGGTCTATAAATAAACTACTAATACGTTGATTTTATTTGTCTTATGCGGGCGTAGAGCGGCGAACTTGAATGGGAATTTCCTAAATTAAATGAAATTAAATCGCGCGCGAGTGCAGTTAACTCGACACATTTCGTACTATACGCTCGCGTAGTTGGGAAAATCCCGCTGTTACCTACAAATAATGTACAATTTTCGGCGCGAATGTTTAGATAAAAAAGGTTATCTATTTGCATAATTCAACAAAAATGCGTTATACATCCTGTTTGAAATAAAATATAATTAAACTCGTATACAATACACCTGGTTCGGAATACGTAATAACACTTTCGCTAATTGTTATATCGATATGCTTTATTTCCGGCTCATCAGTTTCCCATTTGGGAATGGGTTATCTTCGGGAAAAACATGTAGGTGACCGGAACAAAAAATTAAGAAGAAATGTGGAAAAAAATCGGAAATAAACGAATATAGGTAGTTTAGGAAATGGGATTTCCCACTAGTTTGTGGCGTTGATTTACATTAAAAACCTCACCGCAGACACATAGCGATTAATTCAATAGATAAAAATAGTCTTATCCAACGTGTATTATAGCGAGAAATCATTTCGTATGTTTTCTAATTTAATGTAATTTAGCGAAAATTAACAGATAATAAAATTACTAAGTAATTACTCACACATTCTGATACATTCTGTACATAAATCTATTGATAACAGATAGCCCAAATTTGTATACTCACATTAACGAGTAATTCTTGCTTTTCATCTTTCCTCTTCTTCAGCTGCTCTTTGGCGTTCTTCAGCCTCTCGGAATATTTGTTCGCGTCCATTTCGGCGTATCTCAAGTGTCCCTTGACCTCCTCCAATTCGTCTCGATTACGTTTGATCGTCTACGCAATTAAAAAAATACAATTAAAATATTCAAAAAGTTGCATTTTCGAAATCGATCCCCACTTCGTTTAAATCGTCTTTTTCCAACTCCAACAGCTCGATTTTCCTCTTCAATTTCACGCACTCCGCGAGCGCCTCGTTCCTCTTGTCGCATTCCGAGTTCCTCATGTTCTTCAGGAAGTCCACTTGCAACTCCAATTGGCTGATCTATCAAATTTTACGCCTATTAATTAGCCAAATTCTATCAAATATACTACTATAAAACAACAGACTTTAGTCATAAAATAAAAATGAAGCATTTACTTTATCTGTTTATCTTATACAATGATTTTAAAACCTTTTGCTTTAAAGGAACAGGAGGGTCCTCGAAGAAAAACCTCTCTTTCTTTTCTTCTTTTTACGCATAAACCTTGAAGAAATTCCTTCGTTTTTGTAAAGCAAAAGGTTGTGCTTCTTTTTATAAATACACCCTATTGACTGACTTATTCGTTTTTTAACTGTATAGCGAATAATGATTGTATTATATAAAAGTATCATTGTGATATACGACGTCGCGACGCGTCGGTTTTAAATTCCACCAGGCGTCGTCCTCGTGACTCAATACCCGACGATTAGTTTTCGCATACATATAAACGAACCGGTTTCACGGAAATAGCTCCATCCAATCATACACACGCGATATAATACGCGCCGCCCGGCGTCGCGACGGCCTCGCAAACAACCTACCTGGTTCTGTTGGGACCCGTTGGAGTCGGAGAGGGCGCGCAAACGCGCCCCGTACCGGCGCCAGACGCACAGCAACAGCCGCCCGTACACCTTGCACGCCGCCCAGTCTCGCGAGCAGCGTCGCGACGCCGCCGCCGGGCGGCGGGGCGTCGCGTGCAGCACCACCGCCAGCGGATTGTCGTCGCTCGACGCGCCGGAGAGGCCGCTCAGGTCCAGCTGCTCCAGTTTCGGCGTTGGTCTTTAAATTTTTGATGAAAAAAATGAAGTTAGTGAGGAAACAATTACTCCAACAAATTATCATTTTGAGAGCGTGCTTTGGTGGCTTTAAGGAGGCTTAAATTCTCCAAAAGTCTCCTTATCTATCTTCACCCGCTCTCCTTGATCAAGGTTAATCTAGGTCTCTTCAAAAAAGGATTATCTTTGTACCAATACAGTACAGTAAGCAAGTTTCATTGAAGAAAGACTATCTAAAAGCTGATCTCTTTTGGAACAAGATCATCCATAAGGTAATCCTTTTAGAAGAGGATCATACATGAGCCAATCTTCTTGTACAATTTACAACATAAAGATAGACAATCTAAGAACTAATCTTCTTGGAACAAAACCATACACAAGCTAATCTCTTTGGAAGAGGATCATACATGAGCTAAATATTCTTGTACCATTTACAACGTAAAGAAAGACAATCTAAGAGCTAATCTTCTTGGAACAGAATCATCCATAAGCTAATCTCTTTGGAAGAGGATCACCCATGAGCTAATATCTTCTTGTACCATTTACAACGTAAAGAAAGACAATCTAAGAGCTAATCTTCTTGGAACAAGATCATCCATAAGCTAATCTCTTTGGAAGAGGATCACCCGTGAGCTAATGTCTTCTTGTACCATTTACAACATAAAGAAAAACAATCTCTTTGGATGAGGAGCATTCGTGAATTAATAAAGCACCCTTCAGGACCGTCTAGGTTTCCATTTTTTTTTGATGAGACATCGTCACTTACTTCCTTCGGGGTTTGCTCCTGGTAGGCGTTATCTCGGCGACGCTCATCGACTTGCTCAAGCAGAACCGGGCGCGTTTCTGCTCGCCCGTCATCGTCGGTTTGTTCTCTTCGAAGATCTTCCGGGCGCGCATTTTCTTCTCCGACATCGTCGCCAGTTTCCTGGTGTTCTTGATGCCGTCCCCTTCGCCGTCCATCGTCAATCGCGGCGTCGAAAACATCTCTTCGTCCGCCATATAAATAAAATCCTCTCTAACACCGTCCCCTTTTTTTTTAATTGATTTATTTATCTATCACGTTTGACGCGAGCGACGTCAATTCGATATATGCAGGAGATGTTATGACGGTTTTACAATAAAAATTTACACGTATTGTTGCTATAGGAATTTGCGCTTACTTTGCACCGGGGTGGAGATTAAGATTATCACCATCTTGCATATGTTTGAGGGATTTATCCAAAGCGAGCAGGGCGAGTTTGTTGCAGGGAATGTGGGGGTTGAATTTTTTGCAGGAGGGTATCGGGGTTCTGTTTCCGAAAGGGGTGTTGTCTCCGCATCCGCTCATTTCGTTATATATACCTATAAATAAATTAGCAAGTTAATAAATCGATCGGATTTGCTGTTGAATGGCGCAAGCGAATTTGCATAATGTTGTTTGGCGAATCAATTGATCCGAATCGTTAACGTGGAAATTACGTATCGGGGAAAAGCAATTAACAGAAGCGGGGAAAAGCGATTAAATCGCGCCGGCTGCGAGTTATTCACGGGCGTCCCGCCGGCGGGTTTTTCCTATATAACAAGATAGAAAGGTAAACCGCGCGGAAATACATCTTTTCGCGCCGGTTTGGAAATTCGGAATCCTATCAATTTCGACCGAACCTACGGTTATTTTTAACCGTTACGATCGCGTTATAAGGGTGTAATTCGGGTGGTATTTTCGGCGATATTCGAGCAGGCAAAAAACCGAAACGCCGTCTATGAAATTTATTTTTGCATTTCGTATAAATGCGATATCGAATCTTTGAAGATTTTTAGTGGTTTTCGCTCGACTCGCAAATGAAGCTTAAGAAATCTCCCGAGATTTTTCGCTAAATATGGTGCAAACATTCCACAATTATTATCTCAATTTCGGAAGCTGGCGCTCTCTCGGTAAGTCCATTTTAGCTACTAATTCAGTAACATTTTCGAATTAACATCCCATCTTAATCTAATCTAACGTTTCTAAACGATATTTTGTCCAAATGCGGCGTTGCCACGCGGTCTCGTCCGTACGATAAACCGCCGACAAACGCAAAAATGCGACGTTGTCGCTTACTCGGGACTACAACGAACCGAAAATCAGTGAATATACACCTTGAATGCGTTTCAGTTTGCAATACGGTCGTTCCTACGAATTAAACAAAAAAAGATTATTAAAATAACAGTGGGTTAAAGTGCGAAAGTTGTCTTTATCGCACCCCCGTAGCCTATATTACCTACATTGCGAACTAAAATGAATCAACCTGTATATTCCTCCGAAGCGGCGTTGCCATATGGTCCGGTTTGTACCGAAAATCGGCGACAAACAAGCCGATACCTCGATAAAGTGTAAACGAAGCGGCGTTGCCGGACGGTCCGGTTTGTACGGGAAACCGGCGACGAAAGCGAGTCGCTGTCGCGGCGCAATCGAACATCGAATGTGACATTCAATGGCCAATGCGGTTTTATTCAGCGGAACAGCGAATAGAACGGAATAGTCTCGTTGCGGTAGCGGAGCGATGAAGGTTCGCCCGTGAAAAGACAGAATAACAGCGTCTCGCACGTGATCGTCGCGCGTCCAATCAACAGATCGCCCAGCCGCGATTTCTCGGTACCGTCGTTCGGTCATCGTTTCTTAAAATAATCCGGAGGAGGCGAGGAGGAAAATCGTTTTTGTTGTTTCAATTCGCAGTTCGTCGCGCGACTGGCGTTATCGAATTTCACCGGGTATTTTTAGTGAAAGTTTTCCATCGGCCAGTTTTAGTTTTTCCGCGAATCGCTTTAATAATAATAATAATAATAATCTCAGCGAATCGTTTGGTGTGTGTGTCGTTGTTGCGGCGAGTGATGACCTTGATTGCTATCTGTTATCGGAATTTGTTTATTGAAAGGTACGGCATGTTTTGCACAATCTCCATGTTAGATTTATCGGGATTTATGAAATGCTCATCTCAATCTCAATCTCGCATTGCGTTTCGTATAGGGTTACTAAAATTGAGTCGTTTTTTTTTCTATAAAGGACCATCGAGAACTTCCACTAGAAATATAATTTTGTAATGGATTACCACGATTTAGGTGTGTAAATAATTACGGTTTTTAATTCGTTGTTGGAAAGCATGCTTTTGCTGTTGCGTCGATTTTTTTTCTCCTCGTTGTTTTTTGAATTTTTTTTGCTATCTATCCAGCTAACACGTTTTCTATTTATATCGGTGAATGAACTAAAATATTTGCCAAAATTATTTCTACCACCTATTACTGTAGATTTACATTAATTTACTCGCCTATCTTTGTTTAATTTTAGCAAGTGTTCGGGTATTTTTTGGTAATTGTAGCTTTGTGTATTTCTTGTGCATGTTCGTTAGAATCACCTTTTTAATCCGATTTATGTCTTCGATTCCTTGACTGGTGGTAACCGGGAAATGACTTTCCAACCACCTGGAAATAAACGCCTACTAGTTAAAACTGGAAAATTCGTAATTAACAATTGAGTGCTAGGATTGTTTGCATAATTTAGCTATAATTTAAAAGTTAAAAATAAAATAAATGCAATTAGGTATTAAGGTAGGTGAGTGATGTGCATTAGCATATTACGCACGAGAATTTATTATTGTGTTACCTTGATGATATGATACGGGGCGCGCTTTTTGTTTGTTTGAATTTGTAATGTGTATTCTAGTTTTCTAACTTTTGCCTCATTTCACTGCCAAAATCGGTTCTAAACTTATTAATATTTGTGGAAATTTAAAATTTTAACCGTGAAACTGTCAATTGTCAATTTTGACATTTCTCTTCTTTTTTTAAATTTAATTAAAAATAGATACAATCAATGTACTAAAAAAAGAAGAATTTTCAAAATTTTGTTACAAACCATGAATTTACAAAATATATAGTTTATCTTTAAACAAATTTCTAACTTTAACACAAATAAATATGCATATTATGGGTAAGTGCAGATTTGTTCGCAATATGGCCGATTTTATTAGTAGAGAGAAAAAAAGAAGAAATCACCAATTGATAATTAAATAAATCAGCGACTTTTTTACGTAAGCCTATTAAAATAAACGCGCCGTTAACAGATGCGTTCTAAAATAACGCTAGCTGTATATCCCGAAAGTCGAAGTTTGGCTTATTTATAGCTGCAGTTTTGTACTTACAGTGTAAATATTTATCGGTGCGAATTTAACGAGTACATTTTCTCCTCGACTTGTTTAATGTATACGCATCATCGTTCTAATTCCACTTTAATTACAATCGAATTCAATACCTCAGTTAAATTTCTTTATATTCTTCTTTTGTTTAATTTGTTAACTGTACAGGGTGTTTCCCAAAGTTTCAAATGTAGGGGATGTACAGAAAGCACGAAGTAGGTACAAAGACAACTTCCATTAGTGTCATATAAATGAAAAAGAAAGAGGGATATTGTGAAGAGATTGCAACTTTCTCACTCTAACCACGGTTATTTCAATAAACTGTCTTTGTTCGACTCATAGAATTGACCATATTGCAAACAATTTTGCACTTATCTGTATATGATTAATTCCCTAAGTAATGCAATATTTAATAGTACTTAACAACACATAAAAGTCGAGGAATCACCCCTTAAAAATCACCCGCACATCATCATCCACAATCCTCATTAAAGCTCCAAATAAAAAACAATACAAACCGCCATATTATTTCCAGATCCTGATATAAACGAAGACTCAAACGATGAGCACATCGAACTGAGTGATGTCAGTAAGTAAACCGAAAAATCTCATTATTTATACAAACCTGTTTCGCCACCGGTAAATTACACCGAGTCTTAAATTTCTAATGCACCGTTCGCACTTGTCGAATTCCAGTCGAGGTGATCGAAACCGATCCGGATTTCCAAGAGCACCGCATTCACCCCGCCAACATGCTCAACGGCGGCACGATGGAGATCTCCCCGACGCTGCAGGCCTCCCCCAACCAGGCGTCCCCTTTGTCGACCAAAAAGTATACCCCCAATTCCGGCATTTCCTTCCCCGTTTTATACTTGTTATTTTCCAGACAAGCCAGGGTGACGATCGTGGAGCAGCCGGCCTCGAAGGCGCTGCGGTTCCGGTACGAGTGCGAAGGCCGTTCGGCCGGGTCCATCCCGGGGGCCCGCAGCACGCCCGAGAACAAGACCTACCCCACCATCAGGGTGGAGGGCTACCAAAGCAGGGCCGTGGTGGTGGTGTCGTGCGTTACCAGAGACGAGCCCTACAAGTGAGTAGACGCTGTAATCGCGAATTTGTTAAATAAGTGGAATTCTTGTTGGGTTTCTTGATAGTTAGATTGTGTTTTGTTGGATTTTTGCTTTGGCTAAACGTCGGCAAGCTTACCAGAGTAGTTTGATGTTTATATTTTCGCCTTATTTTGGTGTAGATTTGCATGCGAGTGTAGTTTAATTGAATATGTGGTGTATCATACGAGTTTGGTGTGAAAATTCGCGGCGTTCGATTTTGCTTTGTTCCGAGATTTTTATTCTACCTACGTTCTATTTTATATTAAATCCATCTAACGCTCGGTTATTTTTTAATCGCTTGTGTTGTACGTATATAAAAACTAGAATTCATAATTAATACGTCGGAATAAGCATAATTACCTGCCTATATCGAGGTATTTGTGTCCGACCTTGAGAAACGTTTTCCATGCCTATTTCTAAATCATATTTTTTTATTCTTTTACGGTTTAATTTTATTCCAATATGTATAGGATCAGTAATTATTACACGGAAAACAACGTATTATATGTTATAATCGAGTTTTTTTTTCATATTTTTCGGATTAATTCGAACGCCACGCTAATTTTATCCGCCATTACACGGTTTTATTGTTTTGTTTCTAACTATTATTTTTAATTTTACAGACATCAATATTTACACACGATTATTTGAACAATTAGTTCAGCAAGGTTAAATTTATAATTTTCAGTTAATACACGCGCAAATAAATTATTTAGTATTATATACCACAAAGTATGTATATTGTGCACCATCACTCAGCTTTGATTTGTTTTTTGTTTCTCTCCACCTTTTTGCAAATTATTATTTTTTTTATTAAAATCCCAATCAGTTTGGAATGATCAGGAACACCGTGTGTTGATTTCCAGGCCCCATCCCCATAATTTAGTGGGTAGAGAAGGCTGTAAACGGGGCGTCTGTACGCTAGAAATCCCCACTGACACGATGACTGTGCAATTTTCGAATTTAGGCATTCAGTGCATTAAGAAAAAAGACATTGAACATGCGTTACGAATCCGCGAAGAGATCAGGGTCGATCCGTTCCGAAGTAAGTCCAACGATCTTTTATCTAATAGGCCAGACGGTCAGTAAATCAATACAAAAATTGCATAGGTCCAATTTAACCTTTTCTCATATCTCTACATTTAATTATACAAACAAGCCGGGTATTTCCCGTAAGTTCATTGATAATTCCGAGCACAAATTTACTACAAACTATTACGGTAAACGTTTCCAACCTCGGGAATTCCCCCGAAAATTGCTATGATACATATTGATTTACCGATCGGCGTTCCGTCTAAAAAACGCACTGTACATGTGTATTTCGTACTTGATTTGTCGTTTACTAAGCGAATCCGATAAAGAAGAGAATCTTGAAAGAATACCCAGATAAACATCTTACACTTTGGTAGGCTTGACGAGACTTTGATTTCCACGAACAACATCTGATCTGTGTCTGTTTGTGTTCTGTACGCACTAATTCTGTATGTTCTGTAGGCCGCACCCCTACAAGTTGGTCTCGAAATCGAATAAAGAATGTAGGGATGGCATCGTCTCGAAAGAAGTAAACCTTCTAAAATCCGGCGTCGACGTCTCTATCAAAAAAGTCGCCGTCCAACGGGTCAAGTTGAGCGCCATGTTGGCCTCCCTGCAACTCAGGGAATCCCAGAGGATTGCCGATCCCTTTGCCAGTAAGTCGCACGACTCTTTCAAGATTCCCGCGTTTTACGCCTCGATCGTATCGAAAATGGACACTAAACAGTGCGTTTTTTATTTGAGACTCGAGCTTCGTTAGGTTTTTGTTTGTACAAGGTGGTTAGTTAGTGTATTTCTAAGGTCTGGAAATAGAAATCGAAAAAGTATCCAGTTATTTGAAGTTAATACAGGGTTCCTAAAACGGCCGCTAGGAGGCGATATGTTGTTGATTAGCATTAAGAAAGGTTTTATTCAAACTAAAAATAGATAGAAAATATAAAAATATACTTACATCAGCGATGATTTTGTTGTTAACATCATGCCTCACGTATCTTCGTTTAATGTATTTCTCCTCGGAAATGTCACAAATTTTTTTTTGAAGTTCTGACACTTTTGACAGCTTGAACTGTCGTCTCACAACTGCGATTTAAATGCATCGCACGACCCTATATTTCTAAAGTCTGGAAACTTCCTATGCTTATGCATTAGAGAATGTGTCTCGTTATTTGAGGACTTTTTGAGCTTCACTTTTGCGCCGCACCGTGGCGAACGATCGAAGGACCAACTTATCTCAGCCAATCAGCGTTGTGCTAAATTTAAATCGCGGTTGTGTCAAATGACAGTTCGAGCTGTCAAAACTTCAAAAATTATTTTTTGACATTTCGAGGAGAAAATAGAGAAATACATTAACCGAAGATACGTGAGGCATGATGTTAACAACAAAATAATCGCTGATTTAAGTATATTTTTATATTTTGTATCTATTTTCAGTATGAATATAACCTTTCTCAATGCTAATTCTATATAATTCTAGACCTTAGAAATATGCAGCGATGGTCGAACTTTAGCAACAATCGTAGGTTGCGTAGAAACTCTCGATTCGTCGAAAGTGGCCTTTTACCTTTCGAGGTTCAAGCCGCACACCCAGTAGGGATGTTTTTGGACACACTAAGACCACCCTACGATCGTTGCGAAGCCATCGAACGCACCTTGTACAATTCGGCCTCGTTCCACAGCGGGTTTCAGCCACCGCAACCAGCCGACCGCCATCGATCTGAACGTGGTGCGGCTGTGCTTCCAAGTGTTCCTCGAAGGCGCCACGCCGGGCCGATTCTCGGTGGCGCTGCCGCCCGTCGTCAGCGAGCCCATCTACGACAAAAAAGCCATGTCGGATTTGACCATCATCAAGCTTTCGGACTGCGTCAGCTACGTGGACGGCGGCAGGAAGGACATCATCCTGCTCTGCGAAAAGGTAAATAATTACATCTAGTAAAGTTTGTGAGTGATGTGGTGGCGTTGTAGGTAGCGAAAGAGGACATCCAGGTGCGTTTCTTCGAAGACTCGAGCGACTGGGAGGCGTTCGCCGACATCCAACCGTCGCAGGTGCACAAGCAGCACGCCATCTGGTTCAGGACGCCGAGGTACAAGACCATCGACGTGACGGAGCCGGTGAAGGTGTTCATCCAGCTGCGCCGGCCGACGGACGGCGCCACCAGCGATCCGCTGCCGTTCGAATTCTGGCCGCCAGGTACGCCGCCCTATTGGTCCTATCGCAGGACCGCCAAAAAGGGCAACTACAGTTTGTTCGATTCGATACTAGCGCGCAGCTCGAAGCGCCGCGCGAGCAATATAGATCAGAACGCGAACGATTTGAGCGAACCCGATCCACCTGTTACCGTACAAAACGACGTGGAGCCGAAAGAAACCAACAACAACTCGGTGAAATCCACCTACAACGAACTGATCGATCAAGTAGCGGAATTGGACGAGATCTATTTAGACACCCAAACGCGCTTACTCGACCAACCTTTACCCGTTACCGAACAACCCGCTGGCATAATCCTCGACTCGTTCGACGACGCCAAAACCTACTCCAGTTTGCAACTAGCCTTTAAGAACCCCTTAGACATCACCGTTACGCCAACCGTACCCCCGAAGCCCCTCAACAAACGCGAAAACGACAACGAAAAACTACCCCCGTTGCCGCCGAAGCGCACCAAAAAAATCGAAACGTTCATCGGCAACAATCCCCAGCTACAGCGGCCCAAATCCACCGCGGAGCTAGCCCGGCAAACTCCGACCAGAGCCCTGCCCCCGGCTCCGAACTTCTCGACGCTGCCGAACCCCAAGAAGCGCGGCTTCTTCTCGAAGCTCTTCGGCCGGGGCAAGGCGAAGTCGGCGCGGGCGTCGCGCGAGCCCAGCCTGTCGCCTTCGACGCGCACCGCGCAGTCGCTGCAGGTGCTGTCGAAGAGCTGCGGGGACGTTTCCACGCATTCGGCGGGCAGCGTGAGGATCCCGCTGAAGGACGATAGTCCGGACGCGGAGGACGCCGGGATGGATTTGACCGAGGCGGAGCACTACGCCCTGTACACGGCCGTAGCCCCGCATGCTACTCAAAGCGAGTTCGATGAGATGTCTTGCTATTACGCCCCGGTGGAAGGGGGTCGGGTGGGGAACGCGGGCGACGGGGCGGCTAGGTTGGGCGCTAAGACATGATTCGGTGGCGGTTTTGTGATTTATTGGTTTATGTTTTTTTTTATTTAATTGTTTGTTGTTTTTTTAGAGCGAAATAAGCGAAAGAAACCGAAATACGAGAGTCCTGATCAATTTATTAACCAAATGCAAGAGAGTAAGTGCCATTTTGTTGTTTATTTAATCGGTTGTTGGGACTTTTGTGGAATTATTCTAAATTTCGCATATATATAAAGGGTGGTCAAATTACGATTCGAAATTTGACCATTCTACTATTACACTTCATAAAATTCTTGCTTTAAAATAGAGGGATGGAACCCAATTTTGAATTTAATTCGACATATCTCTTACTGAATTTTCCGCTTTTACTGTTACTAAATAAATTATACTTTTATGTATTGAAATTGCTGTATTAAGTAATTTCTTTTTGGGTAGCTAATAAGGTGAATTTCTACGTTACAATTAAAGGTTGTTGGGACGAGGATTTGTTGACAAATTTTTGTTACGATTCGTGTTTATTTATCTGTTTTTGTTAGATCGGATTTTCGATCGTTTATTTTTTACTATTCGATTAGTAATTTTCGCGAATGATGATGGTTAATTAAAGGATTTTAAACGTTTGTTATAACTGGAGAGTTTTTTACTAGATCGTTAGGTTTTGTGGAGCTTTATACCTTTGTATGTGCTTTTATATTACTGAGACAAAATATATACGAGTTTTCTATCGATATGTGTTTCCTTATTCGGCGATTCAAGCGATTTAACTACCAAAAAAAATCGATGAAGTTAAATTGGCGTTCTTCTAGTCAGCGATGCTCGGGGAATTCTTAATTAAAAAGGTACTTAATTAACAGCAGAGTGTTTAGTTTGTGCATGGTTTGTCGCGCCTAATATTTTATTTTGCTTTATGATTTTACACAGTTTTTGCCACACACGTATCACTCAAAGACAGATAAAAAAACAAACTTTTTATTTTCGTAATTTTATTTTGCACGATTTTTCTAACGATTCTAATGATTCTAACGATTCTAATCATTCCAATCAGTTCCAGGACCTAGTCAGTACGGGACGAACTACGCGATGATCAAACCGGAACCGAGAAGTAAGTATTTCATCACCACACAATTCGATTTATATTAACATTCCGACATTCCACAGCCACTCCATCTCCCTACGCAGGCTCGCTGAGCCCCTACAACAATCCGTTCGAGCCCGCCCCCAATTACACCGGAAATATATTGTCTCCACCCACTCAGGTAAATATTGGCAGCCCAGCAAAACAGCACAATCACAGAATCGGTAATGACAAAATCGCCAAAGATAAAACAGCTCAATGACAAAATCGCCAAAGATAAAACAGCCCAATAACAAAATCGCCTAAGATAAAACAGCCCAATGACAAAATCGACAAAGATAAAACAGCCCAATAACAAAATCGCCTAAGATAAAACAGCCCAATGACAAAATCGACAAAGATAAAACAGCCCAATGACAAAGTCGCCAAAGATAAAACAGCCCAATGACAAAATCGACAAAGATAAAACAGCCCAATGACAAAATCGACAAAGATAAAACAGCCCAATAACAAAATCGCCTAAGATAAAACAGCCCAATGACAAAATCGACAAAGATAAAACAGTCCAATGACAAAATAGCCCAAAAGTAAATCTATAGGTGTTTCGGCAGGCGCCGTTGGATCCCCTGCCTTCGATGGGCATGTGGAACATCCCGAGCACCAGCGACATGATCCCCGGCCAGATCGACGTGCAGAACCTGGACAGCGGCGAGATCGTGCGACAATTGTCGACCATCAACTCGCAGCATCCGCTGCCCAATTTGGACATATCCCTGTCGGACATCGGCTCGGCGGATCAGAATCTCTCCGATTCGTTCACAAAGTTCGTGAACATTCGCCTGAACGAAATGTGCCCCGATAACGAGTGACTTACTGGCGCGATTTCGTTGCGATCGGAGCACGATGGATCTCGGAAACTAGATGGAATGTAGTAGTGTGCGTCGAATGAAAGAACGGTTGTGTATTGTATTTTTAAAAAAAAATTTATCAATGATAATTTGAGAACATTTCTCTATAACTGAAATATAAATACATCACAAAATATATTTTTATATAAATATTATAAAAAGTTAATCATTTTCAATGATATAAAACAAAGTGATAAACTTATAATAGGTCATTTTACAAAATATAAGTGTATGTTATTTCAAATAAAATAGTTTTATTATCCTAAGGATTTGTATATGATAATTTTAAATGCAATATTTTTTTTATTAATTAATAGTTAATAAACGTTTTTATGAGATTACAATTTATTCCACCTAATTTTAATGTAATTTGTAACTTCGAATTTGAGACATACCCCTGCCTAGGGGTATAAATTTTTTAGCTACGCACGTCTCGTTAAGCGGCCTCGTTCTGTTCTTACACAAGCGCAAATTACATATCCCTATAGCGTTGTTAAATTCGTAAAATAAATTATTGTTCCCCCCGTTTGGACCGATTAAAACATCACAGTTCAAATTCCTGTTTCTAATATCATCTAAGCAACATTCCACATACTCTGAATGCTCCGTATAATACCTGCTAATATCGAAATGCTTGACTTTGAGCTTCTGAGCTAATACACCGGTAATGTACGTATCGTCTATCCAAAAATACTCGGTAGTTTGGCTCAATTTGTGCAGTTTCCCGGCTGTCTTGGGATTCGTTACGTAGAACCATCCGGACACGAAGGTCGGGTACACAGCCGGAGAATACTCCTTTCTCGTAACGTACCATTTATTGGCCGGTTCCCGAATAGCAACCATGTTTCTTAACACATACCCTGCGTGAATTCAACGAGATATTAATCGATTACTTGTAATTGTGGCGCGTACGAACCTGCGATGAATAAGCGGTTGGTTAACGGTGTAAACGTATCCAGTAACACTGGTACTTTTTCCATGTTTACTACGACATCATCGTCCATTTTAATAACGAATTCCGCATTGAAACAATTGTCTGCCGCCCATTTGAGGCCCATCAAGTGCTTGTATGTGAGATTCCTGTAGGCTTCGATGAAATTCCCTTGGACGATGTCGCCGAATCGTTTGCTTTCGTTTTCCACTGAAATTTGCTTAGTGTACTTATCCGCGGGGGCCAGCCCGAGTAAAAACACCCGTTTGAATTGCAATTGGGTCAAATCGTCGTCCGAAAACGCCCTGCGCATGGCGCTTCTCGTTTCGACGTTACCGAAGTACGAGGTAACGATAAATAAAGCTTTGATACTGGAATGGTTTCGGCATTTCGACGCTTTCAACGTGTAATGGAAATCCTTTATGGCGAAAAAACGCTCGTAATTGGTGCTTTTGTCGTTTGTATTTAATTCCAATTCATCGATGAATGCATCTTTGTTGTTGTTCGTTAGGTAAAGGAATAATAGAATAATAAATACGGCAATCGTAGCTGCCGTGATTTTATATCTTTGAAAGTACATTATTCTAGTTATTGTTTACCCCATATTTAAATTTGTTTATTAAATATTCTATTTGTTCATTTCATATTTACAAAAATTAAAAGCTTAAACATAACCTTACATCTACTTTGACTACTTTTTTTTAATTGTCAATATGACACCTGTCAATAGTAGTTCATTTGAACAAAATTTCGTCCTACTACTATGAAAACGTTTAGTTACGTAACCTTAAAATTTTGACAGATCAATGTAACCTCAACATATTTTATTTATTTAATAATAATATTAAAATGGGACGAAATATTTTAAAAAGTAGCTTAGAAAACGCCTCATTCACCATCATCTTCCAGGTACAAACTTTTCTTCTCCTACAAATTGATAGTAATTTTAACGTTACAGATACTGTTCAGATGCATAACATTTATATTGAATGCTTACATTATACGCACAGTAGGCCAAGAAGTTCTCGGTATTATGAATGTGAGGCTACTCCTATTAGAATCCACGATATTATTTCTATCCAAAGAGCCTCTACTGAAGGCCTGTCTGACTAACACGAGCGCCAGAAATTGGGCACAAGTCATTAATTTAATCTGGTTATCGTGAGTAACTAACTAAGTAATTCTATCGAATTTACATCGATTTGTTCCAGTGTACCTTTGTCTGGTTTAATTAACATTTCGTTTGTGTACGTGTGGTTAAACGTTTTAACTCCTACGGATGATAAGTATTTAATACAGTACAAGTTCGGTTGTTACGCTGTGGCCTTTTCCTGTTTAGTCGAACAACTAACGCAAGTTACGGTGCTCCTAGCGCAGAATTTTTGTTTCGTTAAATTAAAAGTGAGCATTACAAATTGATAATTTCGTTAATAATGTTTAATATATTTTTAGGTGGTTGTAGATACGATTTACGTTGTTAGTCGTACCGTTATCTTCGTGTATTTTATAGAGTACGATCGAGATCGACCGATAAACGCATTTTCAATCGCTCAAATAGCCTCTTCTGTTGTACTAAGTCTATCGTATTACGCGTTTTTCTATTGGTACATTCGTAATTTAAATAAAGTAAGAGCCCTCGAGAAAAAGGAAACACGAAACAGCATGTTTTCCGATATGGGAGATTTCCCTTTGACGTCATTCTGGCAATTATTTCCATGCGTTATGCCTAATAAGGTACCCTCTGAAATATCTAATCGAGCGATTAGTAAACGAACGTTTTGCAGGAGAAAATTTTAGATACCAAATTGTGTTTACTAACAGTGAGTTTCATCAAACAGTCCGTAGTTAAACAGATTTTAACTGAAGGTGAGAGGTACGTAATGACTATATCACCAGTACTAACATTCAGCCAACAGTCTATGTACGATATCGTGAACAATTTAGGAAGCCTTGCGGCTAGGTGAGGATTTCATTCGAGTCGATTCACCAATCAAACCGACCCGTTTTTAGATTCATCTTCCGTCCGATCGAAGAATCCTCTTACTTCTATTTCACGCAGATGATAAAGCGAGACGAGCCGCTAGGCAAGCAAGAAAAAGTGCGCGAATACTATCCAAAATATGCCAAGTATTAAATTCGTTTTTGTAGCAAAGAATCGCCGAATCCGCGGAGGTTTTGAGCCAATTGTGCAAGGTCGTGGTAACCATCGGTTTGTTGGTGGTTACGTTCGGACAGGCGTATAGCTATTCCTTTTTGTATCTTTACGGGGGCGCTAAGTTAGTGGAAAGCCATCTACCGGTGGTTTTGCTGAGGTTCCACAGTTTCGCCATAGTTTTATTAGCTGTAAACGGAGTAACCGAGGGTTACGTGTTTGCCACTATGAACAATCGACAATTAGATAGGTAATTTATATTATTAGATCTTTTATACATTTTACCGTACGTTTTACAGATACAATTACTTGATGGTGATATTTTCCGTATCGTTTTTGCTTATTTCTTACGTTTTTACGTACGTTTTCGGGCCGGTGGGATTTATTCTAGCGAATTCTATTAACATGATTGCCCGGATAGCTCATAGGTAATAGTCCGGTACAAGTACTGTAGCTTTAATATTAATTGCAAATATTTTTTTAGTTTAAATTATATAACGAAGCAATATCAACACGTTGAGTACAAGCCGTTAAATGGATTATATCCTGGGTATAAATTCATCGTAGCTCTTATAGTATCGGGATTATTTACAAAATTATCAGAAGTAAGTAATGATATATAGGTAATTTATAGTATTTTAAACATATTGCTCTTTTAGATATTTCTATTAAATAAATCAATAATTCTTCATATCGGTATAGGAGGAATATTCTTCCTTTTAACGATTACTGTATGGGCCTTCGATAATCTACAATTACTGAAACTAGGATACAACAAATATAAAAGAAAAACTTCACTTAAAGAAGACTAAGTCCACGAATTGTGATATTATACGCTTACAAAAAAATACAATTGTTATATTATTAAATATTGTTACTTACAATCACGTTTTACTTCGTAATCATTTAGAATTAGGATTGTAAACTTTTAAATATAGCCCCGGTTACGTTTCCCAGATTTTGGATGGTACATGAGTGAGTATCGTTTTCGAACTGTACAACGGGAGGTTTGCTGTTTGGCTCGAGTTTCGAGGCCTCCTTGGCAATCGCGCAAATTACGCCTGTGCTGTTGCTGTTAATTGGACCTTTCGCTGTAAAACCATTAGGCCCTAATAGTAATAACGAAATAGATAAAGAAGGTACTTACTTCCTAAACAGAGCCCGTGCTGATTTCCAAAAACGCATCCGTACACTCCGGGCGTGGTTAATCTGAAATTAGATAATATAATTTGGGAATTAAAATGGGTAAAAACTTACAGTTCGTCCATTAAATGTTCCAAATTTTTCTCCATTTTCAATTATTGTTAAATAAAATTAATAAAAATTTCCACTTGTTTTTGATTTATTTGACATTGACGTTAGTTAATTGTTAATTCTTCTTTTTAGTTTGACCCTGACACTTAAGTTATTCAGCCAATAATTGTAAAAGGCCACATAACAAAATCTTGTCTACAAAAGCAGCACTTCAAATTAAAAATTTAGTTTTGTTGGGGTAATAAAATGAAGCTAGTATTGTAAAAAAAAATATTTTGTTGCTATAACACATACAATTGTAAGTACTATGTACAATTTCAAATCAATCTTAAAGCAGAGAAAACCACTCGTTATGAATTCAATACGTTCTAAAATGAAAATATTTAATACCGTTCGCATTTCATCTAGCTTAAAATTACATTTGCGCCTCGAAAATTAGATAAAATAAGATAGACACGAATACTAAATGAGTCCCCTTTTCTTCTTGTAATCCTGCAGATTGAGACTCCTTTTTGGGGCCAAATCCTTGGTTACCGCTTTGGGAACGACGTTGACTGGGGTGGCTAAAAACATAATTCATTAATAAAGACTTACTCAATAATTTAAAACGTAACGAACCAGCTAAAGGAACTTCTAGGTCAATTTTAATATCGAAATCGTGAGCAGAAAACAGATCGTCCTGAGTAACTTGTAACGGTAGCGAAACTTTCTTCGTTTCTTTTTCCACAGACGTAGCTTCGGGTAACTTTTCCTCCTCGTTTACTTTACCCTGTTCCGCCTCTTTCAATTCCCTGGCCTCTTTCTCGCCAGACTTGAAGTTCATCCGAGGTTTCGTAGACCGTCTCGTGAAAGGATCTTCAATCTACAATTACACAATTATTAAACTAGCGATGTATTAAAAATGTATTGTAGGTTCAAACCTTTTTGCCCTTATTAGCTCTAACTTCCGCCATTATAGCCTTTTCGGCCTCTTCTACGTTCTTTTTTCTGTTCCTATCGTTAATGTACGAAATACTAGATATAGTGGACGTGCGTAATTTATCCAATTCCGAGGCCCTTTCTTCCAAATCGGCCAATTTCTGCGCCAATTCCTTCGCCAAATCCTCATCGCCTCGACTCATCGCCGTATCTCTCTCTTTCATCAACTGCGTCTTCCTCATCGCGTAGTTGTAAGGGCTCGATTTGAAGCGAGATTTTTCCTGAATCTGCACAAAAGAAAACCGATTAGATACAGTAACTTCGTTCGGTTTCTAACCTACTATTCTTTCCACGTCTTGCTCGTTGAATTCATAACTCAACGCCTCCTTGATGTCGGCCTGCTTCTGTTCGATTTTATTCTTCTTAGGCATTTCGTGATTGGCCACTGCGCACGCTTCGATCCACTTCAAATACTCCCCATCGGTGAATTCCTGGTTCGATATAAACTCTAATCTAAACACCCGTTCTTGAAGACCGTGTCTAACTTTCAAACCCTAAAAAATCATAACCGGTTAATCGAATTTACGGAGGAATTACAATGGTACTAACCTTATTGGTTTTGGTGTTGCCTAAGTTGTATATTTTAGCGGTTTCGTAGACTCCTATAACCTCCGCTGCTCGATACACGGGGGCGTTGTTGTGCTGCCCGATTCCCACTCGCACGAAACAACCCACGGCTATTCTCTCGAAGAACGGCATGTGGACGAATCTAATTCAAAATAAACGCATTAAAATAAAACCACCCCGTTGCCTGACGTTCTCGCGTACCTCTCGAGCTTGTGCCTGGAGAGCCTGATGAGGTTCAAATCTTGCCTGGACGGCACGTACGCCGGCTTCTTCTGGTCCTCTTCGTTGTCGCTGGAACTCGAGCTAGACGAAGACCTCGAGCCCGAATCGGATCCCGACCTCGAGCGAGACCTCGATCGGATCGAGGCCGATAGGGATTGTCTTTGAGCGGCAGTGGGTTTGGTCGTTGCTTTAAAACCAATCCAATTCAATTAAATATAACGATCGATCGACTAAAAAACTTACTATCATCATCCGAGTCATCGGAATAGATATCGGAAGCTTTGAGTTTCATTTCGTTCTTCTTCGACATGATCTTCTCCTCTTCCTCTTTCTTCTTCTGTTCCTCGCGCTTCTTGCGCTCCTCCTCGGCCTCTTCGCGCTTCAGTTTGTCCTCCCGTCGGGCCTTCAGCTCCGCCATGGCGTTCACCCGTTTGTTGTCAGTCTTTCCTCTGTTCTCTTCGATGTTTTTCTTCCTCTCTTTGCTTCTCTCCTTGTGATCGATCGAGCTGAAATCGTTCTGCAACTTGCTCACAAACTCCTTGTCCCTGTCTCTGTCTTTCGGTTTGGCGGATTTGTCTTTGGCGCGTTCGGCTTTCTTCGCTTGCCTCAGTTTCTTCTCTATCTCGAACCTGAAAAGATGGAGAATTAGGCGAATAGAGGGTTAGATTAAGAGTGTAGAGGGTTACCTGGTTTTCATGAGTTCCCTTTGCTCGATTCTCTTGAATATTTCGGTTTCTCGTTCTTTTTCCGTGAGGGCGGCTAGTCTGGCTCTGTCTTCTTCGTCGCCCATCAATTGATCGTCGTAGCCGTCGTTGAATTCTTCCTCCGAGCTGGACGAATCGGAGACTTCGCCCTCCTCGGGCTCGGATTTCTCGCCTTCATCTTGCTTTTTTATCGCTTCGGGTTCGATGGCGGCGTCGGCGGAATCGGTTTTGGGCCGTTTCTTCGAATTGCTGGCCGAATTGTCGGAGTCCGAATTGGATTCGGAGGGTTTGTGTCCGGGCGATTTTTTCTTTTTGTTCCTCTGCTTGGCCAAATTTAGGAATTCCTGAAAGAACAAGTGCGTCGTACGAAATTACGTCTCGATAGAACGGAGCCAAGCGGAGGTATTTCGAAAATTCGAAATGTTTTTTAGGGCTTAGGTTAGGATACATTGGTATTTTCCCTTACCGAATCCAAGTCGCTGTCGGAATCGTTGCTCGAATCGCTGTCTAACAACACCGTATTCTTCCGTTTCACCATTTTAAAACCTATTGCTTATTATTTATACTAATAAAACTACGATATAAACATGTTTTTGAGCCAGGAGTCTTTTAATTTATCTAACAATTTCACTCTCTTTTACAAATACAGCGTCATGGAACTTCAAACTTCATTTATCATTAATGTCAATGTCATTTGTACATTTTATTGACGTATAGATCAGTGTTGCCAGATTTGTTTATTATAATTTATTAAAATATACTTAAATTATAGAAAGTTTAGAAAATTATAATTCGAACAAACAATTATGAACTGAAACGAGAAATTAGTACAATAACAAAGAACTGTTTTCGTTTAAAGAGATCTGAGATCCCATATTACGTTGAATTAGAGTAACGTTGGCAACGTTGCTAAAGATATTGATAGGAGCGAGCAGAGTTACCAACATAAAGTAATACCAAAGCGAATAATCCCCAATCAAGCGAAGCCAGATAACCTCAAAAGTGTTTCGTAAACTTGAAACGTCAACATCCTCAAAAAAAGAAATTTATTAGTCATCCGACACTCATAGATACTCGTCGGCAAAATTCGGCGATTTCGACTGAAATAATCATATAAAAATAGACCTCTGCGTTTCTAGAAGTTAGACATTTTGTAACCAGACATCAAATACACTCAGCAAAGATGAGCGTACTGGGTTACAGCGATATCATAAGCGGCCCATTGGCCCAGTACCTGCAAATATCCGCCCAAATCGGCGGCGACGTGTCCCAGCACTCAGCGCTGGTACGGGACGCCTTCAACGCCCAATTCCAGTTCGTTCAGCTGGCCAGCGAGTCCTCCCAACCGTCCAACAACGATCTGATGAACCTCCTCGGCCCCACCAGCGAGAAAATCCGCCAGATACAGGACTACAGGGAGAAGCACCGCACCTCGCCCTATTTCAACCATCTATCGGCGATCAGCGAGAGCATCCCCGCCCTGGGATGGGTCACTATCAGTCCGGCGCCTTCTCCGTACGTGAAGGAAATGAACGATGCAGGACAGTTCTACACCAACAGGGTGCTTAAGGAGTGGAAGGAGAAGGACAAGAAGCACTTCGATTGGGCCAAGGCCTGGGTGCAAACACTCAGCGATTTACAGGCCTTCGTTAAACAACATCACACGACCGGTCTCGTATGGTCAGGTAAGCAAGCCAGGTTTCTACCTAGATATGTGTAATGGGCTGTTTCCATTTAATCAACAAGATCCACTTATATGTAGGATCTAATCAGCGATTGTTATACAGCCATCATTAAACTCGTAATCCATTGTCCCAAAACGAACCTCCCTTTCCTCGAAATCCTCGACCGTTGTAAAATGAATCGTATTATAATATCGAGTGACGATCGTTTTTCAGGGAAGGGGGCCCCGCCGAAGGGGGGCGCGCCGCCGCCGCCCGGTTGCCCACCTCCACCGCCCGTACTGGACCTGTCCAGTATGGGGGGAGCTGGGGACGCCGGTTTGGATCGATCCGCGCTTTTTGCAGAGATCAATCGAGGCGAGAACGTCACCAAGGGCCTGAAAAAGGTCACCAGCGACATGCAGACGCACAAGAATCCGACGCTGAGACAGGGACCGGCCCCGTTCAAGACCTCGGCCGCTTCGAGCGTCTCCGCCGGACGACCGGCCCAAGTAAGAAACCTACAATACATAGTTAAAATGGTTGTACAGCCACTTGAATGATCCTTGTATGTAACAGCTTGTTACACGGTTAAAGTGGTTATACAGCCACTTGAATGATCCGTATAGTTAACAGCTTGTTACACGGTTAAAGTGATTATACAGCCACATGAATGATGGGTGTAAGTAAAAGCTTTTTTGTTATTAGGTGGATAAGCCCCCGAGTTTCGTGCGCGACGGTAAAAAATGGATGATCGAGTACCAGAAAGGCAATAACAATCTGTTGGTGGAAAACGCCGAGATGAATAACGTGGTGTATCTGTTCAAATGCGAGAATTCCACCGTACAAATTCGCGGTAAAATCAATTCGATCACGTTGGATTCCTGTAAAAAGACGTCGGTCGTTTTCGATTCGCTCGTATCGTCGATGGAATTCATCAATTGCCAATCGGTACAGATGCAGGTAAGATTCTGGAGCGTTCTAAATGGTCCTAGAGAGTTCTGGATGATTTTGGAGCTTTCTAGACAGTTCTAAATGATTGTAGACTGTTCTGAATGATTCTGGAGCTTTCTAAGTAACTCTAGACTGTTCTAAATGATTCTAGACAGTTCTGAATGATTCTGGAGCTTTCTAAGTGGTGCTAGACAGTTCTAAATGATTTTGGATTGTTTGTTTTTAGGTTTTGGGAAAAGTTCCTACGATTTCTATCGATAAGACTGATGGTTGCCAAATTTACTTGAGTAGCGAATCGCTGGACGTGGATATAATCAGTTCGAAGTCATCGGAAATGAATGTTATGGTGCCGAAAGGCGACGGAGATTATACGGAATTGCCCATACCGGAGCAGTACAGAACGAAGATAAATTCGAAAAAGACCCTTACTACGGAAATTGTCGAGAACAAAGGCTAGAATGATGAATGAGTACGAGTATTTTTAAGATTTACACCTAACAAATTTTATAAATTTTTTTTATCAGTATTTTGTTGGTTTTTGCGCGACAGTTGGTTTTATTGTGATTAGTTCGTCGCTTTTTAAATACGTTAAAACGGAAATATTATTTTATAGGTAAACTTTTTTTTGTTTATGCGATAGTTTAGAATTTACCGAAAGATTTCGCTTGAATAAAATTTGTTAGTAGTAAATTACGATATTTATTACATTAGAACTAATTGATATTTATAGTAATAACTTAAGCAATTTCATACATTTTTAATGATATACTAATATTAATGGATATTTAAGCAAACGTTAGAGTAAAAGATCGGTTTTTTTACTGTACCAAAAATAAAGCTGCTCAAGTTTTTAGAATACTTTACAGCGCTTCCCATCAAGAGAGAAGAATAATACTTCTTTCATAATAACCGGAAATTATATTAACTATTTTAGTCAAGCACGTTTTTAAATAATTTTATATACAATCGATTTTGTGTGGTTTTGAGTGTCAATATTTGAATAAAATATTAATAAGGGGTGTGGACTATTAAGATCAATGCGTTACTTACCTGTTTTATGCCCTCGCTTATTAACTTTATGCTCTGTATTATGAATTATTATTATTCTGCCATAAATCGTGCTTTTAAATAAAAATCTTATAAAATACCTAGTTTATTTTACTTTAATCGATAAACAGTTAAATGTATAATTAATTTTATTTATTGAGACAAATATAAAATTATACTATAATAAAAATAAAATAAGCGAAATATTAAAACTAATATGTATAATACAAATTTTAAGTCTTGTAGATTGTACGAAAACACCATAAAACAAAATATTTGAATACAAAAAGCAAGTATGAAATATCGAAAATTGTGTACGTGGAAAAAAATAACTAATACATCCCGTATACAGCAATACAGTTACACTTTACAATACAAAAAAAGAAGAAAAATAAAACAGCATTGCCTATACATCGAGCCCCCCATCGGACTAATAACGAACCATTCGCTAAAACCCCCCTCCACAAAAAAAATCACACGGCCCTCGCGCCCAATTTCTTCAACACCTTCAACCCCTGCTCCTCGTACTCCTGCTTCGACAGCCAAAACTCGTCCCTGTCCTTCATCACCTCGGCCAGCACCGCGCCTCCGATGAACACCATGTCTTTCCGCCTCGGCGGATCCTCGATCCGGATCTTGAACTTGTTCAACTTCTCCACGTCGTTCTTCAGCACCCGCTCGATGTACAGCTGCTTGATCTCGCGCTCCAGCCGCGACGGCAGCCCCGGGTACATCGTCGAACCGCCCGACAGCACTATGTGCTTGTACAGCTCCGATCTCATGTCGATATCGGCCGCCTAAAAAACAACCAACAATTATAGCTCTCCGATACTGATCTTTAGGTGAATGGTGGGGCTCTGTTCTTACTTGAATCGTGTTGAAAACTTGCTCGGCTATCCCTTGGCCTTCTACGTTGATTAAATGCGGTTGAAATAGCGCTTCGGGCGCTTCGAATCGCTCCCCGCCGACTTTAATAACGCGCCCATCGGGCAGGGTGTAGGGTTCGACGAGTATGGTGGTTTCGAGGGCTAATCGTTGCTCGGTTTCTATATCGTAGCCGATGTAGCACAATTTCTCCTTCATCATTCTCACCTGCGGTAATCGATGTATTTAATTTATTCGTTTCGAATCGGTTATCGAGTACTTACGGTTTCGAAATCGGCCGAGTGATTGAAAGCGTACCCTCTGAGCAACAGCAATTTGATCAGGTACCTGGTGATGTCTCGACCGGCGATGTCCAATCGCCTGGTGAGATGGGGCAGGGCGTATTCCTCGTAAACGGGGCAAATGTGGGTGACACCGTCACCCGAATCGACCACTACGCCCGACAAAAGTCCCTAGAACGTTCCGGATTAATTCGTTTTATTCGTACGAATCGGGAACCTACCTGGGCGTACAGCGTCAGGACGGCTTGAATGGCGACGTAAGCGCCCGCGAAACCGTATTTCTCGAACATCACCTGTATCATTTTCTCCCTGTTTTTCGTAGGGTTCATCGGCGGTTCCGTTAACAGAATCTACGTGATAAATTTAACGTTTAAAGTACTTAATAATTAGGGTATGTACTTATAAATCGTACTTTAGTGTTTGTTGTGTCTATGTTCATTTTTTGGGGGCCAAACGTGTAGTCCCAAACGTGGCACATGTCCTCCCAGTTGCGTACCACGCCGTTTTCCATGGGGTAATTGACTTCTAGGAGCGATCGGAGCGCCGACGCTTCATCTCCTACCATTAAATCCTGCGCAACAGTAAAAACGATTTAGTAGATATATCGCAATCGAAACGAACGTTTACGAACATGCTGAATACCATACAAATCATCTAAATGAGTCAATTAAAATTACAAATCGAATTCTTATGAGATTATTCAAACTAAAAAGAAACAAATAAAAACATTTCTATGAATTTAACACACAAGCAATAACGTTTTCGTTAATAATACTGTCACTATTTAAGCTGTTAGATATTTAAAATTAATCGTTTATACTTTTTTTTTTTCGGCATGCATTCGAAGAGCCCTACTTACAGGAAGAGTACTTGCGACTCCCTGTAGCATGAAAAACGATCGCAATTATTAAAATTACACTGTAAATAGGCGTTAAACAATTTATACTCGATTCGATCGAACATTATACGAATGTACCAAAGTTTTGTACAAGCATCAAACAAAAATTATATTAACGTGTTAATAGAAAGATATCGTTACTGTTCGATAAATACGAACACTTTTAAACTTACATCTACGTGTAAACCCTAAAAAAATAGGCATCAATAATGGAATATATTTTGTAGATAATGTACAGTGGATAATGCGAATAAGACACCTACCTTGACTTCGATATCACCTATTTTGTTTACAGCCCTGATTATCGGCCTTCCTACCATCGAAGGGAATATGTGAGCGGGGAAATTACTACCGGCGTAGCCGCATTTGACGAACTGCAAAACGAACGGGGCCGTTAAATTTTCGGAAAATTTAAAGCTATCGTACCACTTACGCCTGTTCCATTATCACAAACAATTACATTTCTACCTTCGCTATCCATTTTAATTTACAAAGAGACAACAATTATTCTAACTAACTTATTTTATCAACATTAAAAATTAGTCAACACCACACCTCACACCACGAAACATGACAGTTTGTTTTGACGTTTGACACGTAACCATTTTGACAATTTGGTTCGTTTGCTAACCTAGATGGAGGCCTCGAAATATTCTAATTTTTACTCGCGCAATTAATTATGCATTATACAATAAAAAAGACAAATTACAGAACGAAATATTTTATTATATACAATATAATAGACATATAATCACTATATTTAATTCTAACCATCAGTAACTATAAAATAAATATGAAGTAGAAAAATAATGGTTCACAGCGGGTTTATTTAAACGTAAATAAATTAGCAAAACAACGAATACGTTCCGAATCTATTCACGAGTCAATCTACCTATTCACCGGTTAATGTCACTGTTAGTTATTCGGAACTTACCAGTCGAATCTTTCAGATAGCAGGACCGGATTCGTTCATTCTCCGCAAGTCGAAGCGTGCTCCTGCAAATCGCGAGCAAATTAGAAATAAATACAATCGAATAGAAAAGAATTATACCTGAATTTCGTCCGTTGAGAAACAATTGTTACAGATCGGGCAATTAATTTCATCGAGCTTTTTCTTCTGCCTTTGCGAAGGGGCCACCTCGTTTCCTGCATCCTTGGAATTGCCAGTCCTAAGGCGTTTGTTTGGAATGTTCGAATTGCTCCTGCTTAACCACCTTTTGTCGTTGGTCGTCGTACTCTCGGGTACTTCATTGGTACTTTTCACAGCAGGAGCTTCCTGTTTTTTCTTGAAAGGGCTTCTTTTAGTTACGAGCGACTCGTCGGAGAACAACGACGATTTACTGATGATTTCTTTGTTGCTTAGAGCCTTCGATTTGGGAGTGTTGCTGCTGCTCGCAGCGACTTCGTTAACTTTCTCTTTATCGGGTTTCGAAGGGGTTTTGTTTTTACATTGGCGCGTGGACTTCCTCGACCATTCCTCCTCCGAGTCCCCTTCGCCTGTCACGCTTAGATCGGTGTATTGTTTCCTGACCGTTTGTCGCCCGGACTTGCTCGTGTAAATGTCCCGGGGCTGATCGGAGTCGCTGTTGGATTTGTCTTCGGGGTCGCCCAGGGGTATGGGTATGGGCCGGGGCAAGGGGGCCAGATTGTACGAGTTTTTCGTCGATTTGCGCCTCCTTTCAGCGAGATACGTGTGGTAATTGTATAGCATTTTAGCCTTTAGTTTTTGATCGGCTTTGCGGAATTTCTCTGTGTTGGTTATGTTGGCGAACTTTGGGGGGCGATCTTGGGAAATCGACTCGAGGATTTCGTTCTCGTTCTCGCCGTTTTCCTTCGGTGGATCGCAGGAAGGATTCGCAGGTTTGCTTTGTGGTGGATCTCTTGTACATTTCTCCTGCTTAATGGATACTTTATCCAGACTTTTGCTTATATCTTCGGCTAGGAACGAGTTCGTTTCGGCTACTTCTTCCAGAGAATCTCCGCCTAAAATGGATTTATGTATTCACAATAGATATGTTTTGGTTTTTTTGATTATGGTACCTTTTAAAGTAGGTTTATTATTAGCGTTCGCAATACGGTCCATTGTAATAATAATTTGCGTATAGAACGGACATGGAAATTGTTATAAAACAGGAAAAAACACAAATATTCAGTAAAATTAACCATAAAAACTTGTAAAACTCTGTATTGCACACCGCCAAATTCGAAATTCGTTAGCATGGTCACCAACATAACTCACCTAAAAGAAACAAAAATCCCTAAAAATGTACACAATAGTTTGTAAAATAATTATTACAGCTACGGAAATATTAAGAATTGTTAAAAACTAATCATATGCTTTAAAACAACAATAATTTTTATCTATTTTCTTGCGCGTTTCCGATATTTTTCCAAAATTATCCTTAAAAAAAGAAGAAATGACAGTAGTGACAGGTGACATTAAAGTTGTTGATCCGACTTTCGAGTTGTTTAGCAACGAAAATGTTTGATAACAAACAACACAAACAATCTTACTTTTACTCTGTTTGTATGCAATTTAATTTGCTACAAATGAAACGCGATTCTTATGGCTGAAGTTCACATTATCGGACAAATCTGCCAGGCCAAAGATTTCCCCAAGCAACGACTGTTTTGCCGCTGGCACTTGCAATTCGGTGAGTTAATAAATTTCGAACCATTCGGGAGTTTAGCGTGATAAATCATCGGAATTTTAGGGAACAACTGGAGACACGTATCCGGCAAGAAGGAGGGCCAAACCCAGGTCAGTTGGTCTAACGTCGACAACATTTGCAAGTGGTGTTTCCCTTTGGATATCCACCTATCGACGACAGGCATCCAAGGTGAGCTAAATGCGAATTTAAATTTTTTTGTAACAAAAACATTCCAGGTTGGCCGAAGATATTCATAGAAGTGTACCATTTCGATACGCTCGGTCGGGGCCATATATTCGGCTACGGGGTGGTAACGATACCCACCAGTCCGGGCACTTATGTGTTAGACTGTTACACTTGGAGGCCCTTCGGTTCGTTAAAGGAACGATTTTTCCAATACTTCCTAGGAGGCGGCGTCCAATTGAACCATCCAGATCAAGTCTTCTCATCGGAAGAACGATACAAACTATCTACGGAGGCCATGGGCGTCGTAACTCTAGACATAAACGTCGTATTTAGGAATTTTGTGAACTACGGAGTGGAATATTGAAAGCGAAATGCGTTCGATCGAACTACTATTGAGCGTTCTAGCCGTTTGTTGTGCCAAACGATTGCTGAAAGTCGATGAAATCGCTCCGACCGATACTCCTACTGTAACCACAACCGATAGTAATTATACGGACGAGTTTAATACCACAGAGTTTTATGCAACAACAGCCGCAACGACTTCGTTGCACAACGAATCGAGTCCCAACAACAACAACGTTGATTTCGACAGGGAAACTTCGGATTATTGCACCTGCGATTTACAGGTTTGTTTTCTTATTCATAGGAATTGTTATATTGTAAACAACGTTTTATTGTAGCCCGACATTTGCGATGTGAATTGCTGTTGCGATTCGGATTGTTCCGTCGATGATAAAGAGATTTTCGGCTATTGCGAATCCGAGCCGAGGCGTTACGATACCCGTTACTGCGACTACATGAAATACATTTACATAAACAACACTCGTTTCCAATGGGAAATCAACCAGAACGGGCTGTTTTGCGTTATCAAAAGCAACCTACCGCCTTCGTTCGTCGTGCAGAGGAAACACGTACGTTTCGTGAGTATTTTACGAGCGATTCGAACTCGAAATTTGTCGATTTGCAGCCGTTGAAAACGTTTGAGGAATCGGAAAAGGAGTCGATCGATAGATTTTCGTGGCCTCGACACGATCGAGAGGACGACGGGCATTTCAATCGTTCTAAATTGGTTTACGGGAGTCCCGTTTGGAGTGTGAATCGTAACAAATTGCGGAGATTCGGTGAGGCTTTCGTCTTGAATTTTACCTACAACTCGTTAGAATTTTTATATATTTTTAGGGGTGCCCAATAGTTTCGTGACCGACGGTTGTATAATTGTGGAGAATGTGAATTTCTTGCAAGATTTACACACCAGTTGCACCCAAGTGGTGAGCGAAAATAATCCCATGCTCAGCTTGGCGTATTATTTGGAACAAGCGAAATTCGTGTCCGGGCTGAATACCCTAAATCCGCTTAGTCGAAGCAAGGAAAATGTTTACGAGGTATTATTTTTTATTGTTCTAATTGCAAACGTTGCAACAACGCGCTGCCAAGAAGACATATTGGCAACGTCGCGACATCTCTCAATTTCCGGTCCGATTCGGCGCTATTGACAGTTGTTTTTGAACAATAAATGATGTAACAGTAAATGAAAACTAGATTTATTAAGTATTAAATTCTAAAAACTTATTAAATTACAAACTTATTAAACTAAAAACTATTAAATTCTCAAAGGTCGATTTTTTTAGCGTCTTGTTACATCGTCTGAAAAACAACCACTTAGTTACTCCATAACAACAATGTAAAACTGTCAAGTTAAGGAGACATTTTGACATTTTATTAATTATATGGTCTCTGGCGGCTAGGGTACAAAGAAAACTCTGATTGGAACTCACAATATTTAATAATATTAACGAAAATGAACATACATATATTCAAAATACTCGACTCCAAAGCTAAACGTCTCGTAATGTCTTATGTCAAACTTGTCATTTTCAGTTAGTTGTCAATGTCTTCTTCTTTTATTGTGTCTCGTCCGTTAGTCCGCCAACAATTTGACATTTTAAAGGATTATTTAGCGTTAAAAATGTATTTAAAATGCATTTTCATTGCAGGTGTGCGCGAAATACGATTGCTTATCGCCGGCGATAAAAATTTGCGACGGGTCGCTGGAAAAGTGCGAAGATTTCCACAAAAACGACACCAGAACGAGCGTACAGTGCAATTCGACCGTTTGCATCAACGCCGTCCGCCGATTACGCTACAATTTCAACCACAACGGCACGAAAGGTTTAACCGACGTTTCGCTATCGGTTAATCTCGGAAATATCTCGCGCGAATCCATCACCCAAGATTTCCACGTGAAGTTTTCGTGGAAAAACGCCTCGATGACAACCGCGAGTTTGAGCGGAAATCCCGGCTACTTGATCGGAAGACCTATACTCACCGCTACTCTAACGCGAAACAGCACTAACTTCACTACGATAGGTAAATCGATTACCAATTACCTGTCGATACCCAGTAACATAAACGGCGAATGCGTAATGAACTCGTCCCATCACACCGCCATCGAATTCGGTTTCAACCTCCTAACCCGCTGTAGATTCCGCAAGCTAATACACAATCGAAGAAAATCCCCGAACGCCACGGAAATGTGCAGAGAACTGCAAAACGCCACGTTGGAAATTTGGAATTTGCTGGATAACGGGATAGTAATAGGCCTATTCGGTAACGCGAACGCCGGGAAATCGGACGATTGGGAGAGGATTCTCTACGAAGAATCCCCTCGAATCGCGTGCGATCGTACTCGAGGCGCGTATCGTTCGAAAGACTCGACGATATCCTGCGGAAATTTGATAAAGGGCGTGAGGATTGGGATTTTTCATTCGAGGATCGATGTGGGAACGTTGGTGGATCAGCGGAAGATTTTGGCCGTTACTGTCTCGTTTATTTACTATAACGTTTCGTTGGGTTACAGTAAAGCGGATAATTCTGTAATGGCGGATGTCGAATTGGAAACGCAGGTGAGTTTCTACGATTTGACGGGGGAGAAGACGAGGAAAATCGTCGATCCGCCTAGCGTGGATATCAAATTGCCTTACGATTTTTTCTACCCGTTTGTACGGATTAATAATTGTTCTGTTGGTGTTACGTGCGATTTTTTCGTTTTAATTTTTAACGTAATGCTTGTTTTATTTGCACAAGTTTGTTGAGAAAGGGCCTCGAGCAGTCGTACCAATAGACCCTAAAACCTAGTGATTTTTTTGTTGTTACATTGGTCACACTGTACGACACTGAATTTTTCAAGTGTAATAGATTTTTATATAAGGTGTACTAGATTGTTAATTGGAATTAATTAGATAAGTAATGTTCTTTTTTATCGAAATGGAAAACGATAACCTTCAACAAACTCTTTATTTTTACACCTTAATAAAAAACAAATAATTTCTCAACTTCTTAGATTAGTTAGTTAATTAATTAACAGAATTCATTATACAATATTTAATAATATATATTTTTAATAATAATAATATTAACATTATTATTATTATTTTATAATTATACGTAATAATTCTATCACAGTTTGTTTTTCACAATTTTCATTTATTCGTATATTTAATTTATTTTATTCGTATCAATTTCTCCATCTTAATAAAATAAATGATTACTATTAAATTATTCTCTCAAATATAATATTAACAACAGTTATTTGTCAGTATATTTATTATTATTAATCAATTAATATTGAATCGTTCAAATTTAAATATTGTTGTAATCCTTTAAAAACGAAGCAACAACAAAAAAAAAAGAAGAAAACAACCGAAATCGAGCGTCCTAGTATCCTAGCATAATCCTTACATTTACATATATTTTATATTATATACATAGTTCTCATACATATACAAACATATATGTACAAACAAACTTTTGCGCGAACAATAATCTTTTAAACCGCCATTTTAACCTCCTCTTACCCCTCATTTCTTCCCTCCGTCCCCCAATATCACGAAATCTCCTCTCTTTCCTCATCTCTCTTTCATACTTCGTTTACTTCCACTCTCTCATACTCAACCTTCGCTCCTCCCCTTAGCAACGATCATTAGTCGCCTAGCAACCGTTTATCATGAACTGTCATCATCGCAATCGATTTTATCCACTTTAGGCACTTCCCGAGCAACAACCGCGCTTTCTTCTTCTACTATTACCCGCTCTTTCGCTTCTTCACCGCCCCCCGCGACTCCGCCCACCTCCTCAACGAGCTCCTCCTCCTTCCCGTCGCGCCCCTCCCGTTTCTCGCTTCGTCCCGCCTCTTTATTGTCGAGCTCCACCTCCGCAACGCCCCCATCTTCCTCCTCCTCGTCCAATTTACCGACGCCGGCGGCGGCGCCCACTCCGGCGCCGCACGTTCTACACTTGCAACAGACTATGCACGGCGCGGCCAGCAACAGGAGCGGCGACGCCACCAGCAACAGGACGCCGAAACCGGCGAAAATTCCGATCACCTGGGCGCGGTGCCAGATCACCGACGCCCTCGAATGGCCCAATTTGTTCTTGCACGGACCTTTGTCGTAGTGTCGCAGGAGGAAATCGTCCTGCGGGCAAAAAAAATTCAGTCAGTTGCTTAGCAACTATTGTCGATTGTTGTCTAGCAACCGTTGCTAACGGACCAGCAACAATTGTCTATTGTTGTCTAGCAACCGTTGCTAATGGACCAGCAACAATTGTCGATTGTTGTCTAGAAACCGAGGCTAATGGACCAGCAACAATTGTCGATTGTTGTCTAGCAACTACTTACGTCCAAGCTGGCGAGGCAGTACCAGCAAAAGACGTGTTTGCACCGTTTGCACATCATCTGGGCGCATCCCTCGTCCTTTTCGATGGGCACGCCGCACATGGGACAGCACTTGATCGTCTCCGAGTCGAATGGGATGCCGGGCGGGGCGGGGGAGGCGGCGTCGGCGGCGCCGCACTCGGCGCCGGGGTGCCAGTCGCCCTTGCAGGCGGCGCAGAACGTTTGCGAGCAGGCGGGGCAACGGAAGGGGTGCGGCGACGGCGGCGACTTAGGGGGGCGAGGGGCGGCCGCGCCGCCTCCGCCGGCGCCCAATTGGCAGACGGTCTCGCAGCCGGGTCGCGGACACCAGGCTCTGGTGGCGTCCAGGTCGACTTCTGCGAAGGAAAACGAACAAAATATATCGTAGTTGACTAGCAACGGTTGTCTAGTAACTTACCTCTGTTGAAACGGTATTGTTTGTGTTTATCGAGCAATCCGCGACCGGCCAACCGTTCGATTTCGTCCAATCGCAGCACGCCCTGTGAGGGACATTGGGCGTCCGGACAGCTAATATCGTAGGCGCCTTGGCCTATCTCGAATTCCACGTAGGTTTTCATGCACTGTAACAAATGACTAACATAGGAAAAAAAAGGAAGCTAAGTAACCACCTCCCACTTCTTACTAAACCCCTCCCACTTCATACTAAGCCCCTCCCACTTCATACTAAACCCCTCCCAGTTCATTTAAACTCCACCCTTTCATCGACAACTCACCTCCTTGCAAAAAGCGCAAGCGCATTCTTCGATCCTCACCACCTGGTGCGCGCCCACCTCCAGCAGGCACAGTTTGCAGAGCGCCGGCGGAGCCGCCGCCGCCGCCGTCACGGCGACGAAGACGCCCGTCGCCGAATCGAGCGAATATCGAGAACCGCTAGCCAACGTCAGCAGGCTGGAGCAGCGCGAGCAAGTGCGCACGCGCGTCACCTCGTTCGTAGCGGGCGGAGCCAACGTCGGGCGCGTCCCCCCGCCCCCGTTGTTGCTAGGCGACGGCTGGACGAGCGACAGGCTCGTCGCCGACGAGGCGGGTCTGTATATAATAGAAAAGAGCGATACTGTTAGTGATGTTGCTAGATTTACCAACTAGCAACTAATTTGACTGGTTTGAGAGTTCGCTTACCTCAAATAACCGGTCAACGTCATAACGGTCTCGCACCGCCTCAAACCGTCCAAACTGGAGGCGGGCCGGACGGCGCCGTGTTGGCCCGCCCCCCTTTTATCCCTCCCCCTACCTCCCGCCCTACCCGTCGTCGTTCCCCTCCCGATGCCGTTCCGCCTACTTTTGGCGCCGCCGACGAGCGGCTGTCGAGGCCCCGCCTCCCGATCTTCGCCCTCTTCGTCTTCGTCCTGGCCGCGCCTGCCGCCGAGCCACGCCCTCAGGCTGGTGGGCAGGGCGAACAATCGTTCGTGGCGCTTCCGTTGGGGGCGCGGCGTGGCGGGGGGCGGGTCGCGGGCGTTGTTATTGCCGCGAGGGGCGGCGTTGAGCGGCTTGGGGGCGGTAACGGGACGATGGGGAAGGAGGGCGGCATAGTCGGCCGGTTTGTCTAGCAAAAAAATGAGTAATTAGAACAAATTGTCTAGCAAAAATGAAGTAATTAGAACAAATTGTCTAGCAAAAAAGTTATTAGAACAAATTGTCCAGCAAAAATAAAGTAATTAGAACAAATTGACTAGCAAAAAAAAGTAATTAGAACAAATTGACTAGCAAAAAAAAAGTAATTAGAACAAATTGACCAGCAAAAATAAAGTAATTAGAACAAATTGACTAGCAAAAAAAGTAATTAGAACAAATTGTCCAACAAAAATAAAGTAATTAGAACAAATTGTCTAGCAAAAATAAGGTAATTAGAACAAATTGTTTAGCAACAAATCATATGTGCAGCGTAGCGACTCACCTTCGTCGAAACCGTCGCAGGCGTCGCGACGCCACGCGGCCGTCGTTTCCGACGGCGGCGCCTCTTCCGCCGCCTCCCTCAGCGTCCCGTAACCCGCCGACCAGCTGTAGACGGCGCGCCGACGTTCCCGTCCGTCGTTGTCGAGCGTCGCTTCGGCCGCATTGCTAAACGACCTGCCGGCGTTGCTAAGCGACGGATGGGCGGCGACGCCGTCGCCTAGCGACGTCCGCCTAGCAGGCGGCGTCATGGCGACGGGCGTGGGTGGTGGGTCGTCGGCCGGGGGTTGGCTGTGCGACCTGCGAAACGGGGATCAGCGGATTAGCAACAGTTCATTAGAAATGTTGGTACAACAACAATAGCAACAATCGACTGTCAACTGGGGATTAGCAACAAAGGTCCATTGAAAAGAGGGAATAATAAGACAATCGAACGTCGATTGGCAACTATTGACTAGCAACAAAGGATTAGCAACATTGTCAGATTAGATTAGCAATAAAATGCCAATAGAAAAGGGGGAATAATAAGACAATTGAACGTCGATTTGCAACAATTGACTAGCAACAAAGAATTAGCAACATTGTCAGATGATTAGCAACCAAATGTAAAAGGCTATCATATAATATTGATAGCAACTGTTGATTAGTAATGTCGATTAGCAACAAAAGTAATGTTAAAAGTAATATTGGAATAATAAATGACAAGCAATAATGTATAAGATAAAAATAAATTGATTGGCAACAATGGATCACCTAAAAATGAATAAATATTATGGAATGGAATAACAAAAATGAAGGACATAAAAAAAACGAATAAATTAGTCGAAAACGAAATCAACTTACCATTGAATTTGAATCCATCGAAATATCCCAGGCGGCTTTGAAAAAAAAAGGAAAAACGTCAGTAAACACTCAAGCCTAATTGAATTACCATATAAACATTTACAAAATTTGGATCCATTAATATAATCGCCCAATAATTTTACATAATTACAATATTAGATTCTCGCTAATTAAATTACTCAAATTACCCGTTTAAATTCGATTAGAAATCGGCGAATTAATCCATCGGGAAAATCGAGGAGGCTCCGCCAAGTATGCGGGAAAACAGTAGAAAAACAATCGACGAATCAGCGCCAACTCGATCGAGGAAAACCAAAACACGAATACACAGCAAAACAAACGACGAATTGGCGAATTTCAGCGGACGAAAAATTCACCAAACACTTCGTAGAATCGGGAAAACTCGCATTGCAGGAATTTCCACGCGAAAATTTGTCTACATTCGATTGAAATTCAGTTAAATTTGCCACGTTATGGTCTTGTCAAAGGTGACTAGATTAGGTGGAAAAATAAGGATTTTTTTTTGTCCGAGTAAAATCAGGTGAGTTGGTGAAATGTCAGTTTATTGACAAGTTTGACGTTTGAAGTTTGATTGAGAAAGTGTACTAAACGAATTGTGCTAAAATCATGTACTAGATTTATGATTTTTTACCTTGTAAATGGTTTCCAATGTATTTTTCAGTTCCAAATCTGAGTTCACTGGTTTAAATCCTGAATCTTGGCTCCTGTCGACATTTGTCTCATTAATAAATTCATTCATCAATTATTTTCCAACCTGATTTGACAGGTAATTTAAAAGCACGAAAATATTTAGTCTAACCAAATTATTAATCAGAAATTATACTTCAATACTATTTTTTAGTAAAAACTAGAATCGTTTTGACTTATTCAACATTAATTATTCTTCTTTTAATAATTGTGAAAATTACTCTGTGGTGTTCCAGTAACTTGTTAAAGAAGAAGAAATTGACAGTTACGAGGACGTGACAGTTGACAGTGATCTTGTACCCTGAAGTTGGCGTTTTCTTTTTTTATTGGCCTCGTTTGTTTCGATGGGGCTGTTTGTGGCATTATACAAGTTTGTTCGTTTGTACAAGAAGGTTTAGTAACTTTTATGCGAGGTTGGCAGACTTGCGTCAGCCACGTAAGTTTGACAAATCATTGACGTTTACGAAAATGTCCAACAAGATTTTTCACAAAAAAATGTTTAGTGCGGCGAATTTCAACTGAATTTCGGATTTAGGACTAATTTAATTAAATGTAAGTATTTCCGATGCCTAACGGATAGTGTACAGTTAGAGAAAAACGAGCGAACGTGCGAAAAGTGCTAAAGAAAAGTGGCGAGTTAGTGGTCTAGAAAAACGCGAATCATTCGAGTACAAAGTCGATTGAAATTAACAAGACGTTAGATTCTTGTTTAATTAAGAATTAGTTACGTGTTAGATGTCGAAAAAATGACGAAAAATTCACTGATAAGGGCGTATTTTTTATCGGCTAAATAGGTCATTATTTCTAGGTCAAAATCAATTTGTGTTTTACGAAAGTTCCACCTCTAAATATTCCAATTAAATTATAATAGATGATTAAATATAAACTATTAATATGAATCATTTAGTAGATTATAAAGTATACATTTATAAAACGTATTGTATTGTAATAAAATATTTATTTGTGTCTTATAAAAGTGGTACAAAAAATATTCACAATACATATATTTTTTTCTGTCGGTGTCGTCAGTTCAAAGTTGATTGAAACTGCACTGTTATTTACCAGATTATTACATTATCGCGCTGATAAATTTGCCAGAAAATAACATTTTTTGCATGTTTTTTCGTTCGCACACAACTCGTTTCAATTACAATACAATTTTTTTCCCCTATCTACTTTATCTCTACACGTATTGTTTAATTAACATAAGATTATATCTAATTTATTTTAAACGATAGCACCCATTATATGATAACACTTTGGAATGTAACGTTTAATTAACGAATATTTCTAGGTCAATTTCAACATCGCGATGACAGACAGACGCCCGAACGGCTTCCCATCGCTCCGACAGGCCCCGCCGATCGACCAATTCAACGGGGCCCATTCGTCGCAGTCGTCGCGAAGCTCGTCGCCCAACAGCAGGGCGATACCGGCGTCCCAATTGCCCCCGTCCAGGCCGCCTCTCGCGCTGGCATCGCCTTCGAAACACCCCCCAGGGCCGCTGCCTACGAGCGCCCCGATCGGCCCGTCGAACATCAACAGCAACCCTTCGGGGGGCTCGATAGAAAAATTCGCGCCCGTAGTGAACGATAACAGTGCGAACATAAACGCGCAGCACTTGATTCTCGATGGAAACGTGCGATGGAAACGAGCGACCTACGATCAATACTCGAACAGCGAGTTTGGTGCGAATCCGATCGAAAATCGCTCGGTAGGGGTAGCTAAAAGTTCTAACGAGATTCCGGCGAGGACGGCGTCGTCGTATTTCGGGGAAGCGCCCGCGAAACAGCCGCTCGTAGATGTACAATCCACGTTCAACAGAAATGTGCCTGCGAATCCGGTTCGATCGAGCCACGGTCCGTATTCCAACGATACAGCTCAGGTTATACAGCCACATGTAAATTCGCAATTGGCCAAGGACGAAGTCGTTACGAAAATTCCGCTGAACGCGAGCGTTCCGAGCGATCCGATCGGGTATCGATCGCAGACTAGTTTTAATAGAAACGCGCCGGCTACGATGAATTCCAATAGGATGCCATACGGCGGGGTGTACAGCCACTCTACGAACGTGACCCAACAGATGGGCGCTTTGAAAATCGACCAAAATCGAGCGAGAATCGACAACAGCGCGCCGTTTTACGGCAACAGCGCCAACCAAATTCGACCTGCCTACAACCAAAACGTGCCGCAAGCGCCTGCGAACGTCGTTCGAACGACCTACGATGCCAATAGACGACCGCCGTTGCCTCAAAACAGCCTGAATTCGCCTCAGATCGTCCCGAATTCGCCTCAGATCGTCCCGAATTCGCCCCAAAACGGCCCGAATCTCGCCTACAACCAACCGCCCAAAGTCAATCTGCACTCGCATCGCTACCCGACGCCCTTCGGCGACCACGCGCCCCACCACTACGAGCAACAATTCGACCTGCTCCAACAACCGAACGTGTTACCACCGATCAAAGAACCGCCGCCGGCGATCCGCCTCCTCGATCAGACCAACGTCGAAGCGAACTGCAGCCCCGATCTGTTCCGATGCACCATCACCAACGTGCCGGAGAGCGCTTCGCTGCTGCAAAAATCCCGCCTGCCGTTCGGCCTGTTGATCCACCCGTTTCGAGACCTCGCCCATCTGCCGGTCATCCAATGCAACGTGATCGTCCGCTGTCGGGCCTGTCGCACCTACATCAATCCCTTCGTGACGTTCTCGGACGCGAAACGCTGGAAGTGCAACCTGTGCTACAGGATCAACGAGCTGCCCGAGGAGTTCCAGTACGATCCGTTGACGAAGACCTACGGCGATCCGAGCCGAAGGCCGGAGATACGATCGAGCACGTTGGAGTACATCGCGCCGGCCGAGTACATGCTGAGACCGCCCCAGCCGGCCGTCTATTTGTATCTGTTGGACCTGTCGAGGGCCGCGGCGGAGACGGGGTATTTGAGTACGGTGTGCGAGGTGCTGTTGGAGGAGTTGGGCGGCGTGCCGGGCGACGCCCGCACCCAAATCGGATTCGTCGGGTTCGATTCGGCGTTGCATTTTTATTCGATGAGCGAGGGTGAGTGGTAATCGATTGATTTGATATACCCCCGTCAAGATTTAGAGGCCCCATTGAACTTCATAGAGTCCTTATTGAACTTCATACAGTCTCCATTGAAGTTCATAGAGTCCCCGTTGAACCTCGTAGAGACCCTATTGAACTTCATAGAGTCGTTCGATCCCGTAGATTCTCGTTTCTTGTTTGGCACATTTATCGTTAATTCTAGAACCATTTAAAACGCTCCAGGAACATTTAGAATAATCTAGAACCATTTAGAACGATCCAGCATCATTTAAAACCGTCTAGAACCATTCAGAACGCTTGACAATACATTATACGATTTTTTTTTAGGCGCCAATCAACCGCACGAAATGACGGTGATGGACGTCGACGACGCCTTCATACCGACGCCCGACGATCTGCTGGTGAACCTGCACGATCGCCAGGACCTGATCGTCGATCTGCTGCGACTCCTTCCGCGCCGATTCGCCCGTACAACGAACACCAGCAGCTGCTTGGGGGCCGCCCTGCAAGCGGCCTACAAACTGACCGCCTCCACCGGCGGCAGGATCACCGTATTCGCCGCCTCGTTGCCCGACACGGGCCCCGGCAAATTGATCAACAGAGAATCGACCAACGGGGAGCTCACCGACGCATCGAAGCTGAATCCGGCCAACGATTTCTACAAGAAAATGGCGCTCGAATGCAGCGCCCAGCAGATAGCCGTCGATCTGTTCGTGCTCGGCGATCGCCACGTGGATTTGGCGACGATCAGCGGCGTCAGCCGCTTCACCGGCGGCCAAATCCAACGTCATCCGTTGCTCGACGGCGGCGGCGGCGTCGCGACGCGCGGCAATTTCGCGCGATCCTTTCGACGCTACGTCACGCGCAAGATCGGCTTCGAAGCGGTGATGCGCGTGCGCTGCAACCGAGGATTGTCGGTCCATTCGTTCCACGGGAACTTCTTCGTCAGATCCACCGATTTGCTGTCGTTGCCCAACGTCAATCCCGATTCGGGATTCGCCATGCAAATCACCATCGACGAGGCTCTAAACGACATTCGAACGGCTTGTTTCCAATGCGCTTTGCTCTATACGTCGAGCAAAGGCGAGCGGCGCATACGAGTGCACACTTTGTGCTTGCCGATCGTTAAAAGTTTAACCGAAGTGATCAATTCGGCGGATCAAGAGTGCGTGGTGGGTTTGTTGGCCAAGATGGCGGTCGATAGGAGTCTGACGAGCGGTTTGATGGACGCTCGCGAGGCCTTCATCAACGCGGTAATCGACGTTTTGGGGGCGTATAAAGTGAGTTTGAACGCGGGCGCGGCGCCGAGCGGGTTACCGGCGCCCGATCGTCTGAAATTATTACCTTTGTACGTGATGAGTTTGCTGAAGAACCGCGCGTTTCGCAACGATCGCTCGATCAAACTCGACGAACGGTTGTGCAAGATGATGGAGATGAAAACGAAGCCTTTGTATATGCTGATGTTGGAGATTTATCCCGATTTGTATGCGATCGATGATTTGTATAACCAACCGGTTGTTAGTACGGATGACGGTGAGGAGGTTAACGTGCCGGTTAGATTGCAATTGACGGCGCGTTGTTTGCGCAACGACGGGATATTTTTGATGGATTCCGGCGAGAAAATGTTGATATTAGTATGCCCGAACGCTTCGCCGGACACCTTAAAACAAATGTTCGATGTTTCGAATCTGAAGAGCTTAGTAAGTAGTTCGGATGTACCGGAATTGGAGAACGATGTCAATCGGAGATTACGTAAGTTTATCGATTATTTGAACGAGGATAGGCCGTTTAGAGCCGCTTTAGAGGTGATTAGAGACGATAGTCCGAATAGAGGGGAGTTCTTCGAGCGATTGGTGGAGGATAGAGGGGAGAACGCGCTGTCGTATTACGAATTTTTGCAGCACGTGAAGACTCAGGTGAAATAAAAATTGTAGGTTTCGTTTGTTCTCTATTTAAAATGGAAGGATTGTTGTACGATCGATTGTTGACTATGAATTTATTTAAAAATTTTTTGATCTTTTACATGAACAAAGGCCAAAAAAAAAATACTGAAAGAACTGAATAAATCCCGCGGAAAAAATTAAACACCACAGTAAACTTTAGTAAGTTGGAATCGAACTAACCTGATATTGTAATTTATTTGAGAAGAATCAAAGAAAGCGATGGTTTGTCGAGTTTGTAATAGGACTCCGATAAAATAAGACTTTTTTTTAAAGTGTAGTTTATTATTTGTTTGTTTTTTTTTTTGATTTATTGTACTATATGAGAAATTATTGCTTGTACGTCGGTGTAATAAAAGTAATTGTTAAGGGTCAGTTTTTGTTTAGTTTTATCTTATTGTCCTTTATTATATTTGTACAATATAATTTTGATTTTTTACCAAACGCAGGCCTTTTAATACGCATGACTGGATCATAATGAAGGTGTTTAATTGAGTAATTAATACAGGGTGTTAATTAATTGAGTGTCGATACTTCAAGATGTTTTTTTCTAAAACTAACACCCTGTATATAGCAGTAATATCGTGAAATCATGTTTTTAAAATCATGAAGAAATATTTACCATTATTTTAAATTATACAGAGTGGCTCAAATTCATTTTGTTGTCTCCTTTATTATCCTAAAAAGTTCTAAATAATTATGGAAAAAGTCCCTGGAGATATTATAAGACTTTGCTATTAATAGACAACTATATGAGAAAGTCCAGAGTATCTAAAGGATATTCTGGATAAAATAATATACATATAGCTCGGATAACTGGATAAAATCAACTCCGCGAATAAATACAATATTCTATTTCGCAAATATTGCTGGCACATATTTAAATATTTATTAATTTAATATTACAAAGTTTTTTAAAATAAAATTTGATATCTTTAAACAATGTTTTGCATTTCAATTGGGTACAATCAACACAACTTTACAAGGGCGATGTGAAAAGTTCTCGGTCTGATAACGAAAAAGACCGCGATTTTCAGTTCGAGACTGTTTTAAATGATTCTGGGACGTTCTAAATGGTTCAGACATTCTTAAATAGTTCTAGACAGTTTTAAATGACTATGAGACGTTCTAAATTGGTCTGAAATTTTAAAATACCATCATGAATGCCTTTTTATGTAAAATCCTTCAAACGTGTTATTTATTTATTAAAAAAAACAATATTTATATGTAAAAATTTATTTCCTAAATACAATACTGTCTTGTAAATAAGCTTCTACAGCGTCTGGAACAGGCCCCCAATGTTCTAACTATAACCGTAAAGGCGTATTTAGAGCTCAACTATCTCACTTGATCATCCACTATCAGAGACATTAAAGCAGGAAGATATTTCCTCGTCACCTGACTGTCCAATTTAGCTTCTTTGAAATCCTGCGAATCGATCACCACCCGAGCGTTAGCACCCACAACGGCTCTATCAATATCGTGTTATCCTTATTATTGTGAAATAAATGTTTTTAAAAATTATCATTTTTGGAACGGGTTAACATATATCTATGTGTTAGGGGTCGAAAACGATTAGACGGACAATCATAAAAGACTACCTGCTTATGCAAATTTACTGTATTTACAATGCGACAATAACAATACATTTACTTTGAAAATAGTCTCTCAGATCCACTGCACTTGCGCCAACTGTTAGTACATTTTCTGAAATTTCACTGGTTTTAGGAATCCGAAACTAAACCACTTCATCTTCTTCCTTTTCCCCATCATCCCCATCGTCTCGAGCGGCCTCCACCTTAACGGGCAACAAGTCGCCCCATTTCGAAGCCCTCGCGCACCAATGCATCACTTTACCGTGCTTCGATTTGGTGAATATCACCTCTCGAAGCTTCCCATCGGGGCAACACATCCTGCAAATGGTGTGCTTTGATTTGACCAGCGTAGGCCTCACCAATCTCGGCCAATCAGATTCACCATCTTCAGTGTTTCCTCTTCGTTTTTCCAGATCGAAATCACCTTCTACAGTCTCTTCTCTTTGTTTCTCCTGATTGAAATCACCTTGTACACTCTCTCGTCTTCGTTTCTCCAACACCACGTACGAATATCTCTCCTTGTTGAGCGTAGAAGGCCTCCCGAAGGGCATTGAATGATAGGTAACTTCGAAATTACAGGGCGTCCCGTCATCGATTAGAAATCTAGGACATTCCAGTTCGTGAGGACACGGGCTGAATACCTTACATGTATAGTCCCTCGTGTTATCCTCGGTGCTTATAATAAAATCCCTGGCTTCGTTTACGAGTTTAAATCCAGCGTTGGTGCCTTGCTCGACGATCACCAAAAATCTATCCGTTTTCCTCCACAATTTGGATAGGATTTCCAGCCGGCGTTCCATCGAAGGTAGCTCGAACAGGCTGTAAGCGGAGCACACTAGATCGTACGAGGGGGCGTTGACGGGGAAAAACTGCCTGTAAAACACGCCGGTGAGAGGCAGTTGGGAGTTTCCGTGGCCTCCTTTCAGCAGCAATTCGGCCAAATCGTTCATTTCTCTGGACGAATCTATATTGAAGTATTCGATTAGGGTGGGTTTCCAGTAGGAATTCGCTGCCCAGGTGACCGATCCGGTGCCGGATCCGAAATCTAGCAAGCCTCTCGGCTTGAAATCTGGATGTCTGGATCGTATTTCGGCGAATATTCTAAATAAAACGGCGTATTCTGGAGCCATTCGCGCTATTAAATACAACAGGGAGTTGTTCGAATCGTATTTGATCGGTTTCCAGTTGTATATACGTTTTCCGGCTAATCTTTGTATCTCATTTTGTACGGTAGTTTTGATGTCTGGATCGTCGTCAACGTGCAGGTATTTGTTCAGTACCTTTGCCTGGATTTTGCTCAACTTCTCGTTTAATTCGGATTCTTCCTGGCAAATTTTTCTTCCGGTTAAATGTCGCGCCAGTTTCTGGCTGGCTTCGAACAAACTCGCCGCTGGATGTTCCTGGAGAACGTTCAATGTGGACTTGATCAAACGATCGGGTAAGATTATCGTTTTGGCTTGAATTATTCCCGGGTGTTTTCTGAATTTGTACACGTTGTTGTTTACATTGTCGATTACCGTTTTGTCCGGGGTGACCAACGGTTTCGGTTTCGTGCTCAAACGTCGGATTATTCTTTTAGTGGTAAGCATTTTAACAATTTACACTCGACATAACGTGTTCTAGTTCCGTGAACTTAAAAATTTTCAAAACACAGGGACAGCAAATGTGAGGTTAGGGTATTGTTTTTGTGGCGGATATACGACAAGTAACAGGCCGCCCAACAAGGTTGACGGTTGACAGATTGGATGTGCTGGCTAAATGCACTTTTATGCAAGCCATAAAAAAAGAAGAAGAACAAATATATAATATATATAATTATATTAATATGTATATATGAAATAAACATTCGTTATTGTATTAACAAAGTAGTTTCATTACCAGATAAGCCACATTTTTATTTTTGACATGTGGTATTAATTTCTTCTTTTTTAATTTTGTATTGGATAACTGCATAGTGAGAGTCAACTAATTGTAAAATTGCTGCCCAAATTTTGGATGGTTCTGGTTATAGTAATTCGAAATGGTACTGGAACGTTCTGAATGGGCTTTGGAGCGCTCTAAATGGTTCCGGACAGTTCTAAATGATTCTGGAACGTTCTTAACGGTTCTAGACAGTTCTATAATAAATTCTGTCAATTTAAAACTTAACTCGGTAACTCAAATTTGGTGAATCAATTTTGTACACTCGCAAATTTTTTCTTGTTATTTTAAACAATTATTATAACAATAAACAAATAACAAACATTAATAACAGAATTATATAAGAAAATAGGTTTTTTTACAATCAACTTTGTTTTAAAAATTTTAAATTTAACAAAATATATAACAATAATTTCCAATTCAATTATAGAAGAAAAAAAAAGAAAAAATAGTACATATATATATTATACACGAACAACTTTTTTCTCTTAAATGACTCTTTAAAAATTAGCTAATAAATCTCTAAATTTTCATAACTAACAGGTCGAACGAATCGCAGACGGCCTTCTTTTTAACAAAAACAAAAAAACGGTCGTCTATTGTTTCTTTCAAAGAAAAAAAGAAAACAATCGAGCGCCTCGTATAGAGAGAGTGAGAGCGTAGAGATTCATTTCAAAGCCAACTCCCTGGGAACGGACGGATCGGGCAGTTTCTCGTAACTCGGTTCGACGTCCCAAATGTCCCGGGCGTATTCGATGATGGTTCGATCGCTGGAGAACTTCCCTGCCGAGGCGATGTTCTGGATGCACATCTCGGCCCATTTCGATTGGTTCTACGAGGGTCGAACGAATTCGTTATGTTTAGTTTACAGATTTTGGACTTTTCTGGGTAGTTCTAAGCATTCTAAACGATTCTAGACAGTTCTAAACGGTCCTGGATCGTCATAAATAACCCCGAAGCGGTCCAAACGGTACTAAAACGGTTCTAAATCTAAATACAAAACAAACCACCAACCTGATAAACCTTGGCCACCTCGTCCTGCTTTTTAACGTACGCCTCGAAATCGGCCAACGAAAAGAACCTGTCGTACTTGAGCAGCACATCGGCGATATCCTTGAATTCGTCCGGATTCTCCGGACTGAAGAACCCGCTCGATATTTGATCGATCGCTTGTTTGGCCTCGGGCAGCGATTCGTAGAATTCGCGGGCGTCGTAACCGCGTTTTTTCAATTCTTCGACTTCGTCGACGGTCATGCCGAAGATGAAGATGTTCTCGTCGCCCATTTCCTCGGCCATTTCGACGTTGGCGCCGTCGAGGGTGCCGATGGTGAGGGCGCCGTTCAATTGGAATTTCATGTTGCCTGCAATTGAATGGTTTTTGAATGGTCGCGTGACTGGTAAAAGGCCACGAAAGGGGGGGCGATTATGAATAAGGATCTTATTATGACAATATCTTTAGTTCTATACAGTTCTTAATGATTCTGGGTCGTTCTAAATGGTTCTAAATTGTACTAGATCGTTAAAAAAAGATTCTGGAGAGATCTAAATGGTACTGGAGCGTTCAAAAAAGATTCTGGAGCGATCTAAATGGTACTAGAGCGTTCAAAGAAGATTCTGGAGCGATCTAAATGGTACTAGAGCGTTTAAAAAAGATCCTGGAGCGATCTTAATGGTACTAGAGCGTTGAAAAAAGATTTTGAAGCGACCTAAATGGTACTAGAGCGTTCAAAAAAGATTCTGGAGCGATCTAAATGGTACTAGAGCGTTCAAAGAAGATTCTGGAGCGATCTAAATGGTACTAGAGCGTTTAAAAAAGATCCTGGAGCGATCTTAATGGTACTAGAGCGTTCAAAAAAGATTTTGAAGCGATCTAAATGGTACTAGAGCGTTCAAAAAAGATTCTGGAGCGATCTAAATGGTACTAGAGCGGTTAAAAAAGATTCTGGATCGATCTAAAAGGTACTAGAGCGCTCAAAAAGATTCTTAAGCTATCTAAATGGTTCCAGAGCATTCTAAACGGTTTTACTTAGTCCTAAACGGTTCTGATGGTTCCGAAATGGCTCTACAAGGTTCCAAATAAAAAATTTCTCAAATCAAGTACCTGTTCCCGACGCTTCGGTACCGGCCGTCGAAATTTGCTCGCTCAAATCGGCCGCCGGCATGATTTTCTCGGCCAAAGTCACCCGGTAATTCTCCAAATAGATCAACTTCAATTTATCGCCGACGATCGGATCGTTGTTCACCACGCCGCCCACTCTATTGATCAATTTGATGATCTTCTTGGCCACGTAATAGCCGGGGGCGGCCTTGCCGCCGATCATGACCGTCCGCGGCGTGATTTTGGCGGTGGGATTCTTCTTGATGCGATTGTAGAGGACGATTACGTGGAGGCAATTCAGCAGTTGCCGTTTGTATTCGTGTATGCGCTTGACTTGGATGTCGAAGATCGAGGCCACGTTGATTTTGACGCCGTAGTCGCGCTCTAAAAGCTGGTCGGATAAAGATGAATATATAGAGAAGAAATACGAGTTAAAAATCATAAAAAAAATGTACCCACCTGCGCCAACCGGAGCTTATTCTCCTGCTTCACCTTCATCACGGCCCTCTGGAAATTCCCATCCTTCGCGAACCTCTTCAAACTTTTCAACTCGTCCAATCGCACGATCCACCCCTCGCCGATCTTATCCGACACCAAATCGCTCAACCCCGGATTGCACAGCAACAACCACCGCCTCGGCGTGATCCCGTTCGTCTTATTCTGGAACTTCTCCGGATCCAACTCGTAGAAATCCTTGAACAACGCCTCCTTGATGATCTCCGAATGGATGCGCGCGACGCCGTTGACGGCGTGCGCCCCGACGATGCTCAGGTGCGCCATGTTGACGCGCTTCTCGCCGTCCTCTTCGATGAGCGACATGCGCCGGAGGCGGTCCTGGTCGCCCGGGTGGCGGCGCTCGACGCGCTCCAGGTGGTGGTGGTTGATGCGGTAGATGATCTGCAGGTGGCGCGGCAGGATCGATTCGAGCATGGCGACGGGCCAGCGTTCGAGGGCCTCCGGCAGGATGGTGTGGTTGGTGTAGGCGCACGAGCGGACGGTGATGTCCCAGGCTTTGTCCCACGGGAGGCCTGCGTTGTAATAGATGTATTAAAAAAAAGATAGATTTTGGAGTGTTCTAAATGGTTATAGACACTTTTAAATGCTTCTAGAGCGTTCTAAACGGTTCTAATTGATTCTGGAGCGTTCTAAATTGTACTAGAGCGCTTAAAAATATTCTTAAACTATCTAATTGGTACTAGAGCTAATTGGTTTTGGAGCTAATTTGTGAATGGTTGCGTGATTGGTAAAAGGCCACGAAAGGGAGGCGATTAGGTATACAGAAAAAGAGGGAACGCTCGGAGTAGTGTTAGTTCTATACAGTTCTTAATGATTCTGGGTCGTTCTAAATGGTTCTGAAGCGTTCTAAATGGTACTAGATCGTTCAAAAAAGATTCTGGAGCGATCTAAATGTTACTAGATCGTTCAAAAATTATTCTGGAGCGATCTAAATGGTACTAGAGCGAAAAGAAAAAAGAGATAGAGAGAAAAAAGATAGATATATGTTTCTAGAGAGATTTTGGAGTGTTCTAAATGGTTCTAGACACTTTTAAATGCTTCTAGAGCGTTATAAACGGTTTTGAAGCGTTCAAAATGATTTTAGACGGTTATAAATTAATCTAGAGCGTTCTAAATGGTACTCGACAGTTCTAAATGGTCCTTGAACGTTCTAAACGAATCAGGAGCGTTGTAAATGGTACTAGACAGTTCTAAATGATTCTGGAGCGTTCTTAATGGTTCTAGACGGTTCTAAATGATCCTGTAGCTTTCGACATGGTTCTAGAGACAGTTCTAATTGTTTCTGGACCGAACAATATATTAAACAATCTTTTTTTTTGCAATTTTTACCTTCAATATCGACCAAAATCCTCATCAACTCCGGTATGGCCAACGAAGGGTGCGTATCGTTGAGTTGAATGGCGACTTTTTCGGGCAACAGATCGAAATCGGTTCGAGTGGGCGATCGGGCGCCGAATTTGGCCGTTTTAAAACGTCTGACGACGTCCTGGAGCGTCGCGGCGCACATGAAGTACTCCTGCTTGAGACGGAGCTCTTTGCCTTCGAAGAAATTGTCGTTGGGATAGAGGACTCTGGAGATGTTGGCGGCGAGATTTCTGTCCAGGACGGCTTGGATGTAATCGCCGTCGTTGACTGTATAAACGATTAGAACGAGGCCATTAGAATGAATTAAAATGAATTGTTTATTATTAGTATTAGAGAGAGGTGAAAGGCAAATATGCGCTGCATTTTTTTCACTTTTTCCATACTTTTCTACTTGTTTCATACCTTCCTACTTTTTTCATGTTTTTCCATGTTTTTTTCTTTACTTTCTTCAATGTTTTCTACTTTTTTTCCATGTTTTATACACGATTAGGTTTAGAATTAGGAATTTTCAGTTTTAGAAATTTGAAAAGCAGGAAGCACACAAGGTTCATGATTTACATTGTTATTATGGAGTAACTAGGGAGATTCTATCAAATTGACAGTTTTACATTGGTTATTATGGAGTTAACTAAGAAAGAATCAATACTCACAAAACTTCAAATTGAAATCCACAGGACTTTTAGCCGACCACAACCTCAACGTATTGACCACGTTATTCTGATAACCCGGCACGGGATTGTCGTAGGGCAAGGCGAACACCACTTGGGTATCGACCCATTTCATCCTGCCGCCCCCGTCGGGATGGTCCACCACCCGTCCGTAGAAATTCACCGGCAGTGTGTACTCCGGTCGGGCCTTCTCCCACGGGTTACCGTAGCGCAACCAATCGTCGGGCTCCTCCTGTTGCTCCCCGTCGACGATCTTCTGCGTGAATATGCCGTAGTCGTAGCGGATGCCGTAACCGTAGGCAGCCATACCTGTAATTTTCATTTATTTATTTAGTGGGTATATTTATTTTATACACTGTGCTTCATTCTGGAGCATTCTGAACGGTTCTGGAGCATCCTAAACGCTTCCAGACACTGTCAACAGACTCCGGAGCGTTCTAGATAGCCATGAAAAGTTGGAAATATTTACCTAGAGTAGCCATCGAGTCCAAAAAACAGGCGGCCAAACGGCCTAATCCTCCGTTACCCAAACCGGCGTCCTCCTCCATGTCCTCTAGCTCTTCGATGTCCAAACCGAGCTGATAGAGAGCCTCATCGACCGACGTCTGTATGCCCAAATTGATCATGGTGTTTTGGAGGGATCTTCCCATGTAGAATTCCAATGAGAGATAGTAAACTCTCTGGAAACGCGTTCGAAAGAGAGAGAGATTTCAAATCGTGCATTTAATAGTACTTTGTTTTGATTAATTAATTGTACTTTGTTTACTACAATAAATTTAGCAATTGTAGACAGGGCGTTCAAAAAGTCACCCCGGCCATAAAAATAAGCGAGTTTTGTTCGAAATATAAATGTTTTAGCTTTTATTTTTGATAATTTCGAAAAATGTTTAACCCAATAGATAGCCCTTGAAAAATTATTGGATATGTACGTGTTTTTTTTCAATCCTTATCTTTATCTTTTAAATCAACCTAACCTTGGGATCCTTCTCGTAATAATATTGCTGCGTCCTGATCCATCTCGACACCAAGTGATCCTTGACCGTGTGGGCCAACGCGAAATAATAATCCCTGGTCGTCGCGACGTTCCTGTCCTTCACCAAGGTGTAGTGCAAATGTCGGTTGAACGTTTTCTTGATCTCGTTGACGTCGTCCAGCTCGGCTATGCCTCGGACGCTGATCTGCTTGCGGCGCTCCGTGTCCGATTGGGGGGCTGCCATCTTGGCCTGCTCGTAAAGCTCTCTTAAAATCGTATTTTTCTACGTGTAAATCGAGCGTGCCGTGGAAGTGGAACCGCCCGAGCACTGCGTAATGACTGATTCGACTTTACGGGTTACTTCAGTTACTTGATTAATTGATATCGGGCCAAATCCTGGGTGTTTTTGTTGGTTAGGTTGATTGAAGGTGACCTTGTCAACGATTGAATCGCAGCGGGCCGGGTTCAGTGTTGCCACCATCAAAACTTCTTGCGTAATAGAATTTGACATCAAAGTGTACTAGATTTGAAATATTGGAAATACTCGGAAAAAGAAATATTATTAAAAAAAGTCAAAAAAGTACTTCTGTACGTACAGAAAAGTGTTTCAAGATAGTTGTTTGACAATTTTTTTAGAACTTGAAAATTGTAATAGATTTTTGCATACTAGATTTGAAATATTGTCTTTTAGTATTTATTTATTATATACATAGGCACTCGGAAAAAGGTAAGAAAAATTATTAATAAAGTCAAAAAAAATACTTTTGTACGTACAGAAATAGCGTAGTAGATGAAACTTCATTGTAATAGATCTATTACGATTGGTAATAGCAGTGGCAACACTGCTGGGTTGAGGTACCATTGATAATCGGGCGACTCGATTGTTGCTGAGAATGAGACAGGGGCGGGTGAAATTGGGTTTACTATTTTTAAATTTCCAGCGGCGCGCCTGAAACTAATGGGTCGATTCTGAGAACATCTGTAAGACCTATAAGCCAAAATCTGTAAGAGTTACAGGAAATGCAATTCTATCCTCATCTGTTACTTACAGATTCGCTTACAGATTCGTAAATATTTACAGGCTAGACATCAGTCACTGTAAGCGGTACAGAGTGTGGTAGAGAGCATTAAAAAGCATTATTCCTTGTGTTTTGTTGTGTGAACCTTACGGGTGTTTAAACTATAGTGCTCCACAAAAGTTAAGGAAGTTCACAAATATTGGGATTAATTTAAAAGTTGCAGGTTTTTTGATCATCAAATTTAGTATGAATTAATTTCGCATATTTGAAAATTCGGTGATCAAAAAGTTTGTAATTTTTAAAATAATCGCGATATTTGCGAATTTCCTTAACTTTTGTGGAGCAGTTTATTTAAAGTAAAAGCGTGTTTTTTTACTATGTTTTTTACTGTTTTTTACCCATAACCTACAAATGAATTTATTTGCGGGTGTTCTGTTAGAGAAATATGACAAGTGAGATTTTTGTAGTTTTAAATGGGTATCTACTTAAATAAATACCAATAATTATAATAATAAAAATAATTACATTTTTTAGAAATTATATGATATATTGAAAGAAGGCTAAATCCATTTGACCTCACAGAGAGGCATTTTAAACAAATATTTTGTTTATAAAATTTAAATAAAATTCTAGTTGATATGGAGACGTATTTTTCCTTTTTTTTCCATAAGATAAGGTCGGCGTCGGTACTCAGCTTTTAAACTTTTAATTATTATGAGGTTATAATTTTGACATTATAAACATGAGTGAAGTTGAAACCTATAAGGTAAAGATCTGTAACTTGACTTTTACAGATTTGGTTCCAGAATAGCAAATATTACAAATCTGTAAAGTTTCAAGTTACAGGCACTATTTCTTACAGATTCTGTAGCTTATAGGTAAATTCTCAGAATCGACCCATTAATCATATAATGATACATAGAACTACATTTTTTCTAAAAAGTTGGTAATAGCAAGTTTTCGAAAATTTAAATTACATTCGAACGTTTCGAGGACAAAAAAACAACCAAACTAATTTATTTCTAATAATACTTTCAAAAAAAAATAATAATAAATCAACCAAACAAGTACGTACAGGTCACAAAATAAATATCGTATGTACATTATGATACAAAACAATGAATCGACTAAAATGTACAGGGTGTTTTTTTTTTCGAACATCCTACCCTTAAACCAAACTTAATTTCGACCGAAACAAGATACTTAAACTATACAGGGTGTCCAAAAATAGACGTATTATGACGTGTATTGGGGGTATAAATATCAAATTAGAGGTAAAACTTCGTATAAATTTTGTTGAAAATTTAAAATTTATGGGCTCAAATAAACAAAATTTATTCAAAGTTGTACCCTTATTTTGACGTCATCTATACGCTCCCGAATTATTTTGACATCTATTTTCCGGCCACCCTGTATATAGCACTAGTCAGGAGTAAATTCGGGCGCGAATCGAGCCCGATCTAAGGTATATCTAAGACGCTTCGATTTTAGGCTTACGAAATTACAGTAGAATTTATTACTTCGAGAGAATAAAAAAAAAGCTTTTTAAAAAATCACACAAGGAATTTTGGAAATAGAATACTGCAGAATTCTAAAACGTTATGGACAGTTAAATGATTCTGAAGCGTTCTAAATGGTTCTAGAGAGTTCTAAATTACTATGAGACGTTCTAAATTGTTCCGAAATTTTGAAATGCCATAATGATGAGTTCTGAATAATCTAGAATGCGTTCTAAAGCGTTTTGAACTGTTTTGAACCGCCCAAAAACGGTTTTTGAATATACTTACGAATCGTTCTAAATAATTCCAGACAGTTCTAGAAATAATGATCCTTTTTTGACGTTTTTTACGGCTTTTTCTTTACATTCTCACAAAGCGACGAATTCTACTATTCAGGGTGTTAATTAATTGATTGTCGATACTTCAAGTTTAACTAAATATTGACAACCTGAAGTATCAGCGCTCAATTAATTAACACCCTGTACGTTGTATACACTGCGTTATTTATAAAACGTGTCAAAAGTGTCATTTTTTGATTAAACCAGAACGAATTTAAGAAAATTTAACGTCCATTTCGACGATCTTTACGAATCTGTCATTTTTTTATCAACGTTATTCGGTAAAAACGTTAGCTCACTTTTGACACTTTTGACACATTTGACACATTCTTTAGCGCAATAATCTTTAGGCCTTCGGTATGTCCAAATTATTTATGACGGCGTAGGTGAATTGTTGGGTGGTCGATTGTCCTCCGACGTCTTTCGTTTTGACTTTGCCGTCTTTGAGGACCTTTTCGATGGCCGATCGAATCATGTCGCCGTACCGCGGCAAATTGACGTGTCTCAGCATTTTGGCGGCGCAAAGCAACATGGCCGTCGGATTGGCGACGTTCTTGCCCACCGCTTCGGAGTAGGTGTGACGGGCGCCCTGTATACAATGATATTATTATTATTATTATTATGCACGTTGCTCCATTTTTTATCGCAACATAGGTTACATAGGCCATGGGTGCGATAAAGACAACTTCCATTAGACACTTATAAAGGAAAAGGAAAGAGTGACATTTGTGTTATTGGAACTTTTCACTCTGACAGCTGTCATTTGTCAAATGTGCAATAAAATGTGCATCAAATGTGCGAATAAAATAACAACCATCTTTTTTGGTGTTTTTTCACTTTTTTAGTACATATTTTTCCATTTTTAGTGCAATATTTGCATGCAAATTTTGACAATTTTCAATCCGTATTTTGGCCATTTTTAGCGCAATATTTGCATTCATATTTTGGCTATTTTGAATCCGTATTTTGGCCATTTTTACCGCAATATTTGAATTCATATTTTGGCTATTTTTAGAGCACATTTCTCCATTTTTATCGCAATATTTGCACGCACATTTCGGCATTTTTTTAGTGCATATAATTGGTGGAATTGAAGTAGATTGAAAATCAGTCGACTTACCGGTTCGAAAACGACGCAATTGGCCGAATAGGACGCCCCGGCGACGACGCCGGCGCCACCGACTAAACCCGACGCTAAATTATCGACGATGTTACCGTACAAATTGGGAGTTACCATGACGTCGAACTGTTGCGGATTGGACACCATTTGCATGGTGCAATTATCGACGATCATTTTCTCGAATTCGATTTTCGGGTACAATTTGGCTATCTGGCGAATTAAGAGAGAAAATATTACGTTTTAAAGAGTGAAGTTCGTACGTTTTGGAAATGATGATGTCGTTTTTTTTTTGGGTAATTTCGTAACGGTTCCGGACACTATTACATGTTTCTGGAGAGTTCTAAATGGTTCTAGAGAGGAAATTTTACTATTTTTTAGAGAAAAGTTTTTTCTACATTTTAGCTATGTAAATTTTTTTGAAAAAACCCGAAATTTCCGGGTCAATTTTTGTCATAAAAGAAGCAAATGTCTAGCGAAATTTTATAAGAAAATTACAATTATCTCGAAAACTATTCAAGGTATTAAAACGGAAATTTCACCAATTTGTAGAGAAAAGTTTTTTCTACCATTTTGTAATTTGAGTAATTTTGAAAAACATCCCAATTTCCGAGATATTTCGACTTTTTGTCATAAAAGTACTAAATTTCCAACGAAATTCTCTAAGAAAATCACAATTATCTCGAAAACTATTCAAGATACAAAAAAGCAAATTTCACCATTTTGTAGACAAAACTTTTCTCTACAATTCCGCAATTCGAACGATTCCGAAAACAACCCAAAAACCGCAACGATCCTCACCTCCTCGCAGCTCCTCAAAAACAACCCGTCACCCAATTTCATAATATTCGCCTTGTGCACGGCCGTCACTCTCTTCCTGCCGTTCTTCGTCGCGTAATCGAACGCGAACTTCGCGATCCTCTGCGATTTCTTCGCCGTGACGATCTTCAAACACTCCACCACCCCTTTCACCCCCTCGTGCTCCAAAGCCGAATACTCCCCCTCGGTTTGCTCCCTGATTATGACGCAATCGATGCCCGAATGTCGGAGTTTCACACCCTCCAAGGATTTCACGTGCACCTGTAACATGTTTTAAATCGAATTTAATTTAATCTCCGCATTTTATCCAGTTTTTATCAGTTTTATAAGGCCGCTAAATGAGGTAACAAAGTTTTACACTCACCACGTTCGCGTAGAGATCCAACGCGTTCCGGAGTTTCATGTTCAACGTTTGCAACTCGCCGGTGTGGCTGTAATCGGGCGTCGCCAGGATGCCCTTCAGGCACACCCGGTTCCTCGATATGCTCTCGGCCACTTTCTCCAGCGGAGCGCTCAGCGTCGGATTGACCTCGGAGAAGAAATAGGCCTCGAAGTCGACGGGCACGCCGGCCGCCTTGAACACCTCTTGGACGGAGTACATCAGCTCGGGGCCGACGCCGTCGCCGGGGATCATCGTGCAGGTGGTGCGGAAGTCGGGACGCGACTCGATCTCGGCCGGCTCCGCCTTTGGGAAATTTCGGGGGCGTTCGTTAAACGATGATGATGATAATTCGGGTTGGGTTGGGGGAGGCGTTAGAACTAGTTTAGGGACAATTTAGACGATTCTGGAGTGTTCTTATCGGTTCTGGACCGTTCCAAATGGTCCTAGATAGTTCTAAATGATTCTATAGCGTTCTAAATGCTTCTAGACAGTTTTAAACGATTATCGTGGGTTTAAAATGTTTCTGAAATGTTCTAAATGGTACTAGATAGTTTTTAATGAATTTTGAAGCGTTCTAAACAGTTCCAATTGATTCTGGAGCGTTCTAAAACAGTTCTAATTGATTCTGGAGCGTTCTAAATGGTTTTAAACAGTTCTAAATTATTCTAGAGCGTTCTGAATGGTTTTATAGACAGTTCTAAATGATTCTGGAGCGTTCCTAATAGTTCTAGACAGTTCCTGAATTAATGATTGGAGAGCCCTCATCAAGCTAAGAACTTTTCACCCTACCCTCGTATATTCCCATATATTCATATTCATACTTACAGAAAGCTGGCGAATTTGGCCTTTGGGCACACCATTTATGACCTAAAACAACAGTAAAACTTCTAATCAAATCCGTTTCGTTTAATAAATACAGAACTAATTCGGTAAATGGAAGATCTAACGAAAATTTGGCAAACAAAATCGAATTGCTCGACCTGTTATATCATCAAAATTTACACTTACTTTCGACAGCAATTTCGATACGTTTCTCGCTCGTACGGCCATTTTGTATCTTCTGAATATTCTGATTAATTTATTTTATTCGATGTATTAGTTACTTTATGCGCCCCAATTCGCTGAAAAATCGAATTTATCCCGTAGAGAAGTCACAAGTTACAGTAACCCATTAATTGAGGTTAGAATTCTCTTCGTTTTTACGAATCACGCTATTAATATGGCCACAGACTTATTTAGGAATCAGCCACTTTACCAAATTAATTTTAGTCCACAATACACTTTTTAGAATACTATTTTAGAATACTCCAGAATCATTTAGAATTCTCCAGAACCATTAAGAACGCCAAGGAAAAGAGCAAAAGTTATTACAAAGAGTGAGACCTTATTTAAAAAATAATTTAATTCGAATACGATACAGTCTTCATAAATTCGTAAAAAATAATACTAAAGCGCAAATTATCCAATTTGAATTACAAACTAATTAATACGAAAAAAGTATATATATTTGGCGTTTCGAGAGCAAAATGATCGATTGATACATCAATCGATACAACGAGTAGTATTTGAACAAAAAAACCTAACAATAAATATTCGTCGAGCTTGAGTATTTACTAAACGAATGCTATTTTGTAATAATAATACCGAGGAATAATTTCCAACAAAAAAAACATCCAGAAGCATTCAACTTCAACAAAAATAAACTGCTCACAAAAGCGAAGAAAGTTTCGCAAATTTTGCGATTATTTCAGACTTTTTGATCGCCAAATTTTCAAATATGCGAAATTAAATTCTCGTACCAAATTTGGCGATCGAAAAACCTGCAACTTTTAATTTAACCTCGATATTTGCGAACTTCCTCAACTTTTTAGAACGCTTCCAGAACTATTTGAAACTGTCTACAACAATTTAGAACGCTCCTTAGTCATTTAAACCGCTACAGAATCATTTAGAACTAAATAGAACCGTTTGGAACGCTCCGAAACCGTTCAGAACCCTCCAGAATCATCCGGAACCCATCGACTTCAACAAAAACACATCAGACTCCCCGAAACTCTTCGCCAACTCGTAACCTTTCGACTCCAAAAACTCTTTAACCGCCCCCGATTCACCACCGCCACCCCTCACGTTAATCACCCTCAACTCCACCTCGTTCCCAAACGGCACCGTTTCGAGTACTTGCAACTCGGTACCGCCGGTACTCAACACCAAATAATCCACGCGCGTCGCGTTCGCGGCCAACAGAACCGAATACAACGGGAAACACTTCACTCTCGTGTTGAACCAATCGGCGCCGTCGGCGTCGAGCAGGCCCGGCGTCGCCGCGACGCCCTCGCCGCCTTCGGTGCGGACGGAGACCTCCTTGGGGTAGGGCGAGGGGCTGAGGCAGGCGTGGACGGCCTTCGACAGGCGCCTGGCCTGTTTCTTCAGGGCGAAATAGCGCCGAGGATCGGGCTGGACGAGGAGGCCTCGCCAGCGGAGCCGCCGCTCCAGGTAGGCGGTTTTCGACGTGCGGCCGTCGTCGTAGGCGCCGGCTTCGACGAAGAAGCCGTTTTTCTGCGAAAGACCAGATGGAAAGATTAGATTGTGCTCGATTAGCAGTGTTCAATGTGAGGATTCGGGACCATTCGAAATGATTTGTAAACCATGTAGAATTATCTAGGACCATTCAGAACAGTCTAGAATCATTTTAGAACGCTCCAAAATCATTTAAAAAAGCGTAAAATGTGCAAACCTTAGCAAAATTTACCTTGTCTAACAAACGAACAACAAAAGCAGTATCTTCCGACATTTCCTCGTCCTCTTTCCGCGGTTCCTGTTTTGGTTTGTGGTTCGGTTCGTACGCAGAGCTCAAGTGAACCTCTCTGATGTAAGTCACCAATTGGGGATCGTCCTGGGACACTCCGAGAAGATCGTAATCCTGGCTCATGTTCACCCGGAACTGGTAGTGTTTTATAGCTGGAAATCGAATAGGATGTGAACGTACGCGTTGTTGGATAAATCGTTGGATTAAATTGGATAAATTGCTGGATAAATTCACCTGTGTTATCCATGTAGACGATCAAGACGGTCATGACGGTGGTAAAAGCGACGAAAAACGCTGCTAGCGGTAGCAATTTCCTCGTCACGCTGTTCGAGTTTTCCGAAGGTTTTCCCGGAGTTGGAGAGGCGTTGGCGTTTTCCGAATGAGTCATTTTTGATCTAGAAAAAACTGTTTGAACGTAGCATAAAGGCATTGTTCGAGAGAACTCGCAAGCATGCATTGTTTGATTGGCTGTATTTGCGAGTTAAACCGATAATTTCGTGTACTTACTTTCATAGAAAATCGAAAAAACTAACCGAAACCACGTTCGAGACGGTGGAAAATGAACAAATAAACTTAAAAACTTATAATAAAGCAATAAGTTCGTTGATTAATTAACAACAAAACATATTAAATCAACGACAATTGAAGTACTGTCAAAGTGTCAAGTGTCAAATTAGTCTTCTTTTTCATGTGTCCAACGTGTGTCCGGCGTGTACAACGAAACGTACTAGTTGCTTGTCATTTCGTATGTCAAATTTTCACAGAACATCGAATAGCTAGCAGAGCGAACATAAATAACAAGGAACATGGCGGTGCTAATTTTGTGTTCTGTAAAAAACATAAAGAATTATACTAATATCGACTGAAATATGCCCAATTGGTTAAATAAAATACTTAAATTATAGTCTATAAAAATTTGGTTAAAAGAATTTTGCACGTATGCCATAGATACTAAAGAAAAATATATTTTTATTGATATTAACGGGACTTTTATTAAAGTTGGCAACACTGATGCTTTAGTTTGGATTTGGTCTTGGACTTGATTCTTCAGTGTCAGTTTTGACGCCCTGAAAAATATCAAAATTTTTGATTATCCCAAGCGGATGAAAGTAAATATGATTCCTCTTCGGTATACGAGGAATTTGATTCTTCGTGCTCTGTGTGTCGTGTATCTGTCGGCTTTTTTGTCATTCTACGCACAAATACCGGGTAAGCAGGATTCCGATTGTTTACATTTTTGTCGAGTTGATTAAACTTAATGGTTTTATTAACGTGGGTATACCAGGAATTAATCGCTCCTATTTCGGATACGGGCTCTACGAGATCGTAATTGATGCCGGAACGGTTATTTCCGAACGGTTTTTATTCATAATAACTGTAAATCTGTCCGTTGTCGCAGGATTGTACGGCGACAATGGCATCGTTCCTGCTCGGACGTTTCTGGAAAACACCAAGCACGAATCGCTCGCCTGGAAAATCCACCATCGTCCCACTCTGTTGTGGTTAACACCCTTTTTGGGACTGGACGTCACGTCGGGTTTGGACGTACTAGCGCTCACCGGGGCCTTCTTGGCCTTCACCGGGTCAGTCATCGCGCCACTATTCTACAATTCCAATACTAATTTTTTGTGTATTTCGCAGAGTTATCAGCCAGAAGTTCTGCACGATACCGTTATTCGCCGGCCTCTGGTCGCTTTACTTCTCTCTGCATCAAATCGGAAGGACTTTCGCTGTCGTTTTGTAAGTATTCGAGTGCACCTCGAAAAATCCTCTCGAGGCTAACTCGATGATTTCTTTACATGCAGGTAATTTAATATAATACGGGCGTATTACATTACCTGGTAATCGAAGTAATGCGATTTTTGAGAGAGTAATTTTAGTGGATTTATATGTATTTGTTCCAGCGATGAATTTCTACTGGAAACCGGTTTCCTGGCGGTGTTCGTGGCTCCTCTGCTGCCGGGCCGCAGGGGCTCCAGAGGGGCTCCGCACAACAGCATCTCCTTCTGGATGATCAAGTGGCTTCTGTTCAGGTTTCTCGTAGTCGGCGGATTCGTCAAGCACTTGAGCGGCGATTCGGTTTGGTGGACTTTAAAAGGTCTTATATATTTCTTCTCTCTACTAACCTTAACCCAGACAGGGGCTCCAATGATTCGCCTGCTAAGCACAGCCCCTGCAAAGGGGACTTTTGTCTATACCTTAGGTTATAAAGGTGCTTTTCTAGACAACAGTGTCCTGTTATGAGTCCTGCTATCTCTTCTAACCTTATACTCCTTGATAGTTCTACAGTTTCCCTAACATGTCAATCAGTCTCTTATGAAATATGTTAATTAATTGGGTTTATTTTGTAGGTTTGATTCGCTATTACGAAACCATACCGTTACCGTCTCCTCTTTCTTGGTATGTATACGGTTACATACCCGAATGGGGAATGAAATTCGCAATGGTATTCACGAACGTGGTGGAAATCGCCCTGCCCTTTTTGTACTTCCTTCCCATCAGAAGCGTCAGGATTACGGGATTCTTTTTACACGTAATTTTACCATTTAAATAGCCGCGTAGTTCTCGTATAAAATCGCGTCGTATTTTTTTAGCTGTACCTCCAATTGTGCATCTTATTGACGGGAAACTTCGGCATATGGAATATACTGATGATGACTCTATCGTTGGCTTTGCTCGACGATCATTTCTTCTACAAGCGAAAGACCTCCGCTGGTAAAGGCCGGACGATTTTGAGTTTGATTTTCAACGTCGGTATACACGCTCTAATCGCCTACGGGGCGTTCAAACTCTTCTCGTTGAAGCTCGACGGATCGAAAATCGCATCTAATTTCGGTAAAGTATACTCGAAACACTTTCAATTCTCGTCTAATATATGTACGTTGTAGCTATTACGAAGAATTATTTGGAGAAATACACCACCGAATTGATCTTGTACATCGTTTACTACGGTTTGGTCACGTTGGCTGCGACCGTTTTATACGCCATATCCAACGCGCTCTTCGATAAACGCCAATCGACCAGTAACAAACTCGTAGCTTTGATGACGACTTTGTTTTACGCCACGATCGCCATTCTCGTGTTTCTCGCCAGTACGGTAAATATCGACGAACGCGTAAAATTATACGGGGTGTCCCTGTATTATAAACTTCAATTTCGTATGCCTGATTACAGGTACCGATCGCCTCGTTGAGCCCCATGACGAATTCCACGGTGAATCCGACCGTTCGAATGGTGTACAATCGATTGCACAAATTGAACGTGGTGAATCATTACGAGAGCGTCGCCAACAAATTCCCATCGACTCCGGGCCGCTACGAGATCGTCTTCGAAGGGGCCGATAACGTGGAGGGGCCGTGGAAGGAGTACAACTTTTTGTACAAACCCGGTAATCCCAATTCGTCGTTGCCGTTCGTGGGTGAGTCCCGCTTCGAAGCTCTTGCTAACGCCATTGTGGTTTAGTATTAACGCTGTTTAATTGTATTTTTTTGTATTTTTTGTAGCCCCGCATCAGCCTCGTCTGGATTGGCATCTGGCCAAAGCGGCTTACGAGCCGTACGAACGACATCCTTGGGTGCTGTCGTTCGTCCACCGGATTTTAGAGCACCAGAACGACGTGCTGGCGTTGATCGATTTCAGGGATTCGCCTTTCAGAAGGAGCGCCCCCAAATATTTGAGGGCTTTGCTCTACAAGTACGAGTACACGGGCGTGGATAAAAGGTTGGGAGAAATTTGGAATTTAGCGTTCGAATAGCGATAGAAATGGGTAGAAGTGGGTAGGGATGGGAGGTAGAGGAGGGTAGATAGGGGTAAAAATAACATGTGCTTAGCCTCTACAAGGGTGTAGGAAGGGTAGGGTAAAAGGAGTAGAGGAGGGTAGGGAAGGGGTAGAGATTTAATAACAAATAATGTTTGTTTATTTTTTTTTAGAAACGAAAGAGCTTGGTGGAAGAGAACGAAATTATCCGAATACGTTCCGGCTTTAACCAAAGATTCGCCATTCCTGCTGGACTTTTTGAAAGCCAGGCATCTTTTGCCTGCGAAGGCGGTTAAACCGGCGGGGAATTCGGCGTGGAAGAAAGTTTTGAATTCCATTCGTTACGTCATCAATCATTTGGAATCGACTTTGCTATTTTGGTCGGTCCTTTCGGCCGGTCTGGCCATCATTTCGACCAAAAGTTCCAATACGGGAGTCGCGAAATAAGTTATGCCTCTTTTTTTTTAATTTTAATTTTATTTTTATTTTATTTTTATATTATTTTCAGTTTTATACTAGATACTAATTTTTTTGTACGTTTATTTTATTTCCTTCCATTATTTCGTGTGTCTTTTTGCGAATCTCTTTTTTTTTGTAATAAAAATGTTTACTTGTTTTTTGATTATTGAATAAAATTTACGAACGATCTGATTAATAGAATTAATTGTGTTATTAAAAGAACCTAAACAAAACGAGACACGCCCGAGGATTTTATTCTTGTTTCGTTTATTCCTGTTTTATATCCTAAGATTATTTGTACTTGGTCTAATGGCATTATTTATTCTTGTTTTGTACATGATTAGCATAGTAGTAGTTTAATCTTACCTAATTATCATATTTCTTCATTGTTTTTACTCTATTAGGTATTATATTTACTATTTGGAACTGTTCAGCATGGTTTAGGATTGTCCAGAATCATTTTGAACCATTTTATAATTGACTGCTACCTTTTGCAACAGGGAGGATTATATCTGTGGATATGTCTAAATGGTTCCAGGCAGTTTTAAATGCTTCTGGAGCGTTCTAAATGGTTCTGGACAGTTTTAAATGCTTCTGAAGAGTGAAGAACCGGCTTTCCATCCGAAAGGAAACTTTTCCGGCTGTCGAATTGTCGATTTTCCGATAGATCTCGTCGAGTTACGTACGATTACTTTTCTTCAAATAACCGTAAAAAAAATACAAGCCAATCAGTCAGTCAATGTAGGCTGTTTTTATTTTCCTATAACTTCCCTACAAATTGGCGTAAGGAAACGCGGTTAGCGGCAAGTAATCAGCAACAAATTAAAGACAACTTTAGGAAAATTTCAAAAAAAATCGTCGTCATACTTTCCGAGAAACTCCCCATAAAACCCAAAAAAAAATAAAGAAGAAATCCCGAACCCAGGCCGATTCGAACGAGTCCTCTACCGCCGGCCCGTAAACACCTGTCACCCGTCACCCGTCACTTTCGGCGAAACATCCCTCGCGAAAAAAAACCCCGCGCAGCTCAAAAAACCGAAAATTCCACGTGACCATGACCGATCGCGACCCGAACCCCCTCATCGAGGCGAAATTCAAGTACATCGAGGACATCATCGACTCGCGCAAACTCCTCGGCCACTACGCCGTCCAGCACGCCGGCCGCTACGCCTACTCGCAGCCCAGCCGCACCGACTCGGAGATCACGGTGGTGCGCGTCGCGGCGCTCGAGCGCGACGGGCGCGACGCCGCGGCGCCCGGCGACGGGTCGCACCTGGGCGACAGCCCGTCGCTGGTCAACCTGGCGACGCTCGTCGGCGACGCGGTGCCCTTCGAGGGCGAGGAGCGGCTCGTGCCGCTGTCCTCGTGGGAGCCCGCCTGCGAGGGCCCCGCCAAGGCCAAGGGGAAGAGGAATTCGGGCGGGAGGGCGGCCGAGGACGGTTCGGCGGCCGCGAAGGGGCTGGACGAGGAGGGCTGGATCGCCAGGAAGCCCTCGTGGGCCGGGAAGATATCGAATTTTATCAGGAAGCTGAAGAATTAGGGCGGCTCGGATGACGGTTGTTGGTAAATTTTGTAAATTTCGATGGGTGTTGTTTTTTTTTTGTAAATTTCGTACCGTTTGTTTCTGGGTTTTTACCAATAAAATTATGGCGTTTCGTTTTGTTGTTTGTAGAAGAAAATACGGGGCCTTCGTGTGCTAATTTATTGCGAATAATCTGGTGAAAAAATACATAAAAAAGTGTATACAGTCAAGTGCAAATTTGTACGCTAGCGGTGTAACAAAGACAACTTCTGTTAGTCTCATGTAAAGGAAAAAGAAAGATTAATATTGTGTAAATAGAAGAAATTTTAGGAAAACTGGATGGTATTATGAGGAAAATTGAAAGGATTTTAGAAATCATAGAAGATTTAATTATAGATGGAGGGATTTTGAGAATCCTGGAGAAGATTTAGGTGGGTATGGCAGAGATTTTGGGATTCCTGGAGGAGATTTAGGTGAAGTTAAAAGGGATTTTAGGAATTCTGGAAGGTATTATGAGGAAAATGGAAAGGATTTTAGAAATCATAGGAGATTTAATTGTAGATGGAGGGATTTTGAGAATCCTGGAGGAGATATAGGTGGAGATGGCAGAGATTTTGGGATTCCTGGAGGAGATTTAAGTGAAGTTAAAAGGGATTTTAGGAATTCTGAAGGGAGTTTTGGGGAGCTTATTTGAATAATATTTGTTCAACTCAGAAGAATCGATATAACAAATTTGCACTTACCCATATAACAAATCGCACTTTAAGCCGGCATTTTTATTAACGAAGATATTTATAAAAAATATAAAAACTATCTAAAATCGTGAAAATAGAAATTCCACTACAACGGTAACGCAGAAAATCCTTTAATCCTTAATAGGTAACAATTTCGTTAAACAATTCAAATTTAAATATATTTTTCTAATATATGTAAAATATTTGGTAAATAGAATAAATCCGTTTATTATAAACATTTCTCACCGCGCTTTTTAGGCACTATTACATAAGCTTTCAAGTCAATCTCGCCTTTTCGATGTTCGATATCTCGCTAGGGGAAAACCCCAGGATGCTTTGGATGGCCTTCAAATGCCCCTGGCTGTTTTCCTTATCCGTTAAAAAGTAATACACAGCCGATTTGAGGAATTGCAGGGTGATTTCCGGATCGATTTTGTTCTTGTTTTTCATTTCTATCAGCTGCCTGTACATGGCCTATTAAAACAAAACTGCGATGAAAAAAAGGTATTTTCTATCGTTAAGATTATTGCCTATTAATAAACTCAACTTCTAATAATCCAGTGCATATTACAGGAAGATAACGAGGTAAATCCATCATGCAAAAATATAAGTAAAGTGCCGAAAGAAAAAAGCCAAAAAAGAACCAAAAGAAAGTGTCCAACAATTGTCTACTTTTTTACCTTTCTCGCACCGAGCACCCACAATGAAAGTGCCTCTTTGGCACTCAACAGGGGCCGCGAATTATTAGAAGTTGATTCATACTCAACGTCCTGCAAAAATCGAATTTTCGCTTAAAACCGGCGAGGAATAGACAATTTCGATCAACTAAATATTAGGGAAAAATAGCCCAAATACAAAATAGCCCAAAGACAAACTAACTTAGGAGAATTTTATCAGGATTAAAATTAAACGGATTGTAAAATATCGCATACATTGTCTTGTACATGTCTTTGAGTTATTGTAATGAATTCGCAGAGAACATAAGAAACGAAAAAAAAAATATTCAACTCACCCTGATATTTTCTAACTCATTTTTAGTCACCTGCAGCTCGTTGAGCAACTCCGGCACCGACACCCTGCTCGGGTGCTGTTGCGCCAATTCTATCATCTACCAAACGAAAATCATCTCTCATAAACACCCTGTATATACTCAAACAAACGCACAAACCTTCGAATGGTGCCGCATCAAAGCCTCGCCACCTTCGAGCACCGCCTCCTGCGACCGCGACCCGGCCTCCTCCAATTTCCTGCCGGCCTCCTCCAACCGTTGCTCCAGCTCCTTGATCCGCTCCTTGGCCGCCTCCAATTCGGGCACCATCTGCCAATACCGCGTGTTGATCTCGTTGATCCTCGTCAGCAGCTCCTCCACCTTCTCGTTGTGCTTCTGCCTCACGTGCAGGCAGTCCTCCTCGTGGGTGCGCACCAGCTCCCTGAACCGGCGCTCGTACTCCTCGATTATCCGCCGGTGCTCCAGCTCCTGCTCGGTCGAGGTAGACTTCTCCAATCTGGCCCTTCTCTCCGGTTTATTCGCCGGTCTACAATCGTCTAAACACATGGATTCCTTCGAATTTACGGACGAACTGGTGCAGTCTTCGAAATGACCCGAATCCCCGCAGGAATTGCTCAGATCGTTGATCGCCCCCATTCCATCGGGCGTCGTCTCATCGCCCACGTTTTCCCTCACCGTCACGACGTCACTGTAACACAAATCTCCCATTTATCATCTCTCATCTCCCATAATTCACCTCCCATAATTCATCTCTCATATTTCATCTCTCATATTTCATCTCTCACATTTCATCTCTCACATTTCATCTCTCACATTTCATCTCTCATATTTCATCTCTCATATTTCATCTCTCATATTTCACCTCTCATATTTCATCTCTCATATTTCATCTCTCATCTCATGATGAATGATTGTATAGGATGGGAAATACCTGGAATTGGAGTGATCTTCCGGGGAGCCGAGGGCGGCCTTGTAGAGCCTCAGCTCGACCACCTCCTTGGTGAGCCTGAGTATGTCGCTGTCCTTGTCGTCGAGGTCCTTGCGGGCCTGTTGCAGCAGGTGTTTCAGCTTCTTGACTTGCTTGTGGGCGCGCTGAGTGGGCGTCAGGTACTCGTCGCCCGGCGCTCCGGCGGTTTGGTTGCAATGGAACACGTACCTTCGAGCACCAGATCTCGTTAAAGGGGTTGAAGATGCGATGAGAGGAATTTCGGGATCGGTGGAAAGGATTTTGGGGAAATCTGAAGGGGGTTTGGGTGCAGATAGTGAAGGCGTTTTGGGAATCCTGGAGGAGATGTAGGTGGAGATGTAGAAGGTATTTTAGGAAATCTGGCAGGGGTTTTGAGGAAGGAAGATTTAAGAGGGGATAGAAGGTACTTTTGGGATTCTGAAGGGGGTTTAGTTTGAGATGGCAGGGATTTTAGGAATCCAGAGAGGGATTTTGAGAAGGCGCAGATTAAAGGGATTTTGGGAATCCTGAAGGAGATGTAGGTGGAGGTATAGAAGGTATTTAAGGAAATCCGGCAGGGGTTTTGAGGAAGGAAGATTTAAGAGGAGATAGAAGGTACTTTTGGGATCCTGAAGGGGATTTAGTTTGAGATGGCAGGGATTTTAGGAATCCAGAGAGGGATTTTGAGAATCCTGAAGGAGATTAGGCGCAGATTAAAGGGATTTTGGGAATCCTGGAGGAGATTTAGGCGGAGATTGCGGTGATTTCAAGAATTCTGAGATGGATTTTGAGAATCCTGGAGGAGATTTTATGAATCATAGAAGGGATTTATGTGGAGATGGAATACTGTAGAGGAATTGAAGGTCTATTTAGTACTTACTTCATGCTTCTTCCGGAGAATGTAGTACCGTTACAGGCGATGCTGGAATGATCACAGGACGCAATGCTATTAACGCTTCCTGAAACCGAAATATTCGACTCAGACATCGATCCCTTTGCGAAATTCGGAATTTTGACAATACAAATGAAGCTTAAATTCCCGCCGTGGTCTCGCCTAATCGCGTTATTCGGCCTCAAAACCGAACACCATCGACGTGGCGCGAGATACACGCTCCAATTTTTCCCCTAATCGAAACCCCGCGTAAATAATTAATAAAATAATAAACTCACCGACGCTGGTCAAGCTTTCGTTGTCCCAATTATCGATAGCACCGGCCGAAAAGTTCCTGGAATCCCCGGTGATGGGACGCACGGGGGACGGTCTGGAATTACCGCTGTTACCAGCTATTTTGGCGTTCGAAAGCGACAAAGACTACAGGAAAAAAAAACATTTAAAAATAGCCGAAAACGAGCCGAGGAACCGGCGCTCTCACCAGGCTGCGAAGGCGCGCCGGCGACCGGGGGCCGCAGGCGGGGGCCCCCTTGGCGATCTTCACCCTGTCCGGTCGTGGCGCGGGCTTCTCCATGGAGGAACGTCGCCGTGGCGGGCTCGGAGGAGACTGAAGCGCGCTTTCACGCTGGGAAAATCGATGGGCGGCGCCGGCGCCGGAGCGAGGCGGCGTCGCGACGCGCGCCGGGAGGCTGTTTTGTCGGCGCAGCGGCAGGGGGCTCGACGGTACGGGGATCCGCGTGGGGGGTTTCGTGAACGGGGTACCGCTCATTTTGCCGCTGGGAAAATGCGGGAAATTTGTTGAAAATCGTGTGGTATAGAAGGTGGCGAGATTCGATGGACGTGTAAATGAGAGATGAGATGAGAAGTGAGTGATGAGAAGTGAGAGATGAGATGTGAGAGATGAAATGTGAGAGATGAGAAGTGAGAGATGAAAAATGAGAGATGAGACATGGGAAAAGTGCGATGAGAAATGAGAGAATATATTATATGTGGCTGTAATCTATGTATGTGAACTATTATTGGAGGCTTTAATAGTATTTGCAAGCAAATAGATGTTCCAACTATTGACTTAATTTATTGCCTGTGATTCAAACAATTTCAAAAATTACGAATTTCTTAAGTTATTTAATCGGATTTCTCAAAAAATTCCTCAAATATCCAGATCGCTGGTTTTACATCCTACGAAGCTATATGCCCATCGAGTCACGGGACAATTTGTGTATTTTTTGAATATGAATACAGTTTTGGAATCTCAAAATTACCCCTAAATTTTCCACAAAATATCAAACATTTGCACAAGTTTATTCATTAAAAATGAACATAAATACATAATTTTATTTGAACTATTTAATAGTTATAAAATTTTGCAATCATTTCAAACCAATAAACATTATAACAATTATTATTTATTATGAAATTGACTCTTTTATTGCGCATTATACGTACACAAATTGTGCAAAAAATGCTCCAATTTCTACAAACATTTCACTGTACAGTTAACTAACCAGGTAAATTTTTTCAAGTGTGTACATAATTATTTGTAGATAACATAATTGTTTACATACTTTAAAAACAGATATTAAATGGCACCATAACAAAAATTATGGATTTTATCGTATACTTTCGGTTTTTAGGAATAAATTACATTGTATAGGTATGTATGTATATCCAGCGATTTGAAAATTTGAGGAATTTTTAATAAGAAATCTAAATAAAAAACCGCAAAAATTGCATACTTTTCGCATTTGTTTGTCATCAACTAAAACCAATAGTTGGAATATCTATTCGCTTGCAAAAACTACGAAACTCTCGAATAGTTTAAATAAAATAGATTACACGATTTTCCCAAAAAAAAAAAAATATACCACGTTGCTCATTACCCAAACATTTTCCTATCAATACCGAAGAAAAACCACAATCTTTACACACGTACTTACGCGAAATTCCTCCCGATTAAACCTCAAATCCTATTTTACTGCAAACTTTCACGAAACATATTGCATTAATACGCTTTTAAAAAAAATCATTGTTCTTACGTATACCTGCGTACGTCGTACTTAACTTAACGATAACGAAATAACTGCTATTTTATTTTATTCGCCACTATATTTTGTTACGCTCCGTAAGCGTATCCGTGCATTTTTATTTTCCACGGCGAATCCGCCGTTTCTCTACACGCTATTATACCTTTACCCATATTTTATTGGGTAATTATTTCGGTTGCGAGAGAAATTGTATTTAATCGCGAGTAACTGTTGCGAAATAAGTTCGGATTTCGTTTCGTCATTATCTATACTTATAGAAATATTATTGTACTTTGTGTTGTCTATATGCAGGGTGTTATTAAACATTGTGTACATTCGAAAGGGGGTGATTCCTTGGTTTATTTTATGACTAAAAGTTCATATAAACGTGGGTCCGCAAACGCTTCGTTACTGATCTACAGAGTGTTGAAATTTCATGATTTTTTTTGTTTCTTTTTTAGAGCTCCTGCAGTTTTTGAGATATTTAGCTCAAATTAGGTAGAGGATATAGAGTATATAGTATAATTTGAGTAGAAGGGGGTCACTTTCAACATTTATTATTATGTAATTTAATCAATATTATTTACGGTTTTTGTTTTGTAAAATAAATCATTTGTACAGAAAATCATTTTTCATTTTTTAAAGAGTCAAAAAAAACTATTTTTCTTTTGGTTAGCTTTTGTTCATGTTAAATCAATGAATGCCAATGTCTGATTTAAGATAATTCTAAACTGTTCAAGACTCTTCCAAATTGGTTCGATAACGGTTAGTTTAAATAATAATTTTTACGCAAATAAGTAGGCGATTTGTACACACGATATAGTTTTAGTTTATTAAATAAATTACATAAAATAACTTAACAACTGTATACATATATTTAAACATCAATTTATTCATCTTTCTTAGATTCTACTGGAATGTCTTCACCGGCGTATCCTTCCCTCCTCGACTTATCCACCGGATACAACCTAAAACAAAAAAAAAACAACCCTTAACTACCCTCATAATCTACACATCAGTTCTAAATTGTATGCAATTCTACGAGTCGAACAAAGAAAGATTATTAAAACAACAGTGGATTAGAGTGAGCGAGTTGCAATCCCGCCACAACATCACCACATCTTTCTCCTTTATACGAAACTAATGCAAGTTGTCTTTGTTATACTTTCCTCTATTACTCTACACCACCCTGTATATAAAAAAAACAAAACCAAAACTCACCATCTTTGGTACAAATAAATCACGAAGACGATATCGTCCCTGAAACAAGCCACCCTGTGCGCCATCGGCATGGAAATGACGAAAGCGAATACGTCATCGATGAAGGTGTTGAATGCCCTATAGGTGAAGGCCTTCCACGGTAACGCGGCCACCGATTTCAGGCGATAGTTCACGAACAGTTGGGGCGTCATGAAGACGAATCCGAAGGCGTACACGCCGTTGGCGGCGCTGTTTATCGTCCAGGAATACCAACTGAAACGAGGATTTAATGTTGTGCAAGATATATACGGGGGTGTCCCGATGAAAAGTAGCTTTCTACGTGGTTCTGGATAGTTCTGAATGGTTTTGGAGCGTTCTAAATGGTGCTAGACAGTTCTTAAACAGCTCTAAACCTTGTGCTAGATGACTATTGTTGTAAATTTGCACCAATATAACAAAACATATATGCCAAAACCGCATTCTTCAAGAACAATTAGACTTTTCAAAAATTATAAGCCTATTAAATGGGCTACTTCATCATTGGACCACCCTGCATTTAAAACCTCCAGGTGTTTCTAGTACCTTTTATGCGGTTGGTACATGAGCGAATAAACGGCGGATCCAACGCACAAAGGGTAGATCAAATAGCTCAAATAATTCATGCATTCCTCGTCGTATTTCCTCGTCAATTTCTCCTCGTCCGTCTCCTTGCGATCCCTATCGAACGAGATCCCCCTCCAAGATATCTTCGTTTTGAACACCTTGCTGACTTTCCAAAACTACAATTACAATTAATTTACAATAATTTCCGCGTATTTACACACACTATTACCTCGATTAAAGTGCCTATACCGCTGGGTACCAACACCAGCAGGGAAGTACCTTCGTCGAGCAGAAACAGAAACACGACGGTCTGCGAAAACGCCCTCCACAGTACCGCTCGAGTGGACAGACCGGCCATGGACGTCTGCGATTTCCAGAAGCTCACGTCGCTTTTGAACGACAGAAAATCCAACAGTAGCTGTAACGTATACACAGTAAAAGACCCCTTCGATTCGCATCGAACTAAAAAAAACTTACGTGTACGCTACCGATGAAGAACGTCAGGCATAACAAATACAAACTGGTATCGGCGAATATTCCCTTCACATCGTCCAGATCCTTTTCCGTGAAACCTAAACTGATGAACTGTCGTAGGGTCATTTCGATTTGTATCAGAAACCGAAGCTTCCCCATCGTCGTGGGATTGTATATGTACGTTAGATTCATCGATCTAGTGTCCTGGGTTATTTCTACTAGATCTTTGGTGCGCATGCTCAGCACGTCGTTTTGGAAGAGCGGCAGGAACTCGCTTTTTCTGGTTACTCGGAAACTCTTGGCGAGCTCGAACGGTACCGAGGACACGTTTATCTTCTCCGAGCACATCGTTATCACGTACTTGGACTTTAAATGGGGGACCGGTAGATCGGAGGAGCGGGTGTTAGTGCCCATGTCTTTGAGTAGGTTGAACGAGGACTTCACCGGTACAGCGTATTTGGTTAAACGGGCGTTAACGTAGGTGGATTGCTGCGAAGCCACCAGATCGTACAAGGTGTATTGATCTTTGGCGTCGATCGCGGCGGCTTCGTCGCTCGGCAGGAGAACGGAATGTATGATGAACGATCCGTTGTTTCTTACAGGTTTCGTGATATCCAACGACACGATTCTGCAATGAAAACGCGAAAATGGTGAATTAAAATTAGCTTGTGCGTAGCTTAAAGGCGTACTTTTCCAATGGTTTGGTGTAATCGAAGGGTCTCTCGCGTAGGATCTCCTGCATGTTGCCCGATTTCGAGTTATCGGTGACGAATACCAACAGGTCCATCTTGGGCTCGTCGTTCAAATAGGATTTGAAGCAGTTTTCGCCCTTTATATTCTGGCATCGCGGCGGCTGGAAGACGGTGTACAGGCTGTACATCGATTTAAAGATGAATCCGAAGAATAAAATCGTCAGAATCGTGCTCAACGAAGGTAACATATTTGATTTTTTTGTTACCTATTTTACCATTACTAAATGTTGTTTACGAGTTGTCAAAACTGTCAATACGAAAAAAGAAGAGGAAAAAATGAGTAAATCAATGTCATTAGTCAATTATTACGCAATCTTTCTTCTCAAAGGTTCTAAAGCATGTTGTGAGGTGTATTTCGTTTATTATCATGTTTTTCGACATAAAATCAATCTTTTAATAAATTATAAGTTCCTATTCGCCATTTTCAATAATAATAATAATTATTATTAAAAAAGAAGAGGAATTGGAATTTAGTCAATGTCATCTGTCAGGTAACTGTCATTAGCAGATCCGGTAACTTTACGCCATCTTTCTTTTCGTACGTGCTAAAGCATGGTGAGGTTTATTTCTGCTTATTATTTTGTTTTTCTATATAAAATCAATCTTTTACCACTTAATAAGTTCCTATAACGTTAATAAAAAGTACTCTCCATATAAAAATCGATACGTTGTTACTATCATTGTGAAAAATTCGTTTTTAACCGATACAATGTTATTTTCAGCCTTTCCAAAGGTTTGTAGAAACGGGCCGGATCGCCGTCGTCTCCGATGGCCCATACAAAGGAAAACTCGTCAGTATCGTAGACGTTATTGACCAAACCAGAGTAAGTACAATTTTACAATTTCCGTTCTCATAACCTCAAAAATTCCCGTACACAACATGATGATACATTTTGATAGGAATTGCCGTCTGACGCGCGAGCTATGCAGCCAAATTACTAACTGATAGTAGAATAAAAGCTACCAAAATCCTCAAAGCATCGCGCTGGTTTTTCTAACGTGTATTTTTCTGTTTCGATAGGTACTGGTAGACGGACCGACCACCAGCGTGCCCAGAGGGCAAATTAGATTAAACCAATTACATTTAACGAAGTTCCGCATCAAGTTTCCCTACGCGGCCTCCTCCCGCGTGGTCAGGAAGTCCTGGGTGGCTGCCAATTTGGACGAGAAATGGAAACAGTCCGTTTGGGCCAAGAAGGTCGCGGCCAAGGAAAAGGTTCGTTGTCATTTTACACTTCTACTCGAATAACTGGAGACAGTGACTTCACTGAATCCACCCAATGAGAGCTCTCTCTCGTTTAATGAATATGATGAACCTTTTATTTGATAGGAATTGCCGACTGATTTATATCTGATGCTACTCTAATAATCTGATTAACTTTCGTTGGATTCATTTCGATGTGTTTGCTTGTATTTGTTTTGGTTTAATATGGGATGTTTTTTGTTGTAGCGAGCGGCTTTGACGGATTTGGACAGGTTCAAATTGCGCAGGGCTCGCACGACGAGGAACAAAATCCGCACGGCCACTTACCTTTGCTTGAAGAAAGCCGCCTCGAGAGACGGTACTCTCTACGGTAAGAAGAAAATGGCGAAAGGGGGCGATAAGCCGAAGACCGCGAAGAAAGCGAAAAAGGAAGTCGTCAAGAAGGTCGCTAAGAAATAATTTAAATAAATAGAGGTTTGTTTAAAAAAAAAACGATGGTTTCATTTTTATTTTCTTCCAAATTGTTCTCTAACGATCGACGAGATTCGTCTTTCGAAGACTGTACAATAGATATGTGTAAAATGGAACAATTCAAAATATACCCTCTACGTATAAGTTGTATAAAAAATACGTTTACTATTATTTTAATCTTAATTAACTTCATAGAAGCGCAAATTGTAGATATGTCGATCGGAAAATAAATGCCATAGATTATTCGAGAGAAAATAATAAATATACAGGCAAGAGATTACTTTCTTTCAGAATATATAAACTTTTACAGTTACAATACAATAATAAAATATTTCTAAATTTACTCCCAAAATAAATAGACTCTGAGATATGTCTTTAACCATTTGAACAAAGGCCGCACACAATCACTACTCGTATACTAATTGATTACTAAAAAATATATATTCGATTCTATGAGATTGTTAATTGTTACTGTCAGATCAGATATGTTATACATACAAAGTTTATGCTTAATTTACGAAATTTTTAACTTATCGATACCGGTTTAATACTTATGTGTATCAACAAAGAAGACAATTCGAGATCCTCGCTGTAGGAATTCTTCAACCAAACGCTTCTATATCCGCTTCTTATGCAATTCACCTATAAAAAAAAACAATTGTATACTCGAGATTTTACTAAAAAAAAAGAAGGAATTATAAACGACTAGAAGTATCAAAAACAGTTCAGACCGATGCTCGAATGCTTTAGAACTGTTCAAAATCATTTAGAACAGGTTCAAGACTATTTGGAACGGTCCATGATAAACTAGGACTGTCCAGAATCATTTTAGAGCATCAGAATCAGTTCAGAACGAAGCTAAAAGTATTTAGAACTGTTAAAATGAAGAAAAAGTAAACAGAATTTACCGGATAAGTAGCCTGTCCGATGAAGTTGGGCTCTCCGAACACGTCCTCGTCTTGCACCAGGAACCTGAGCAGCGCGAAATGCGGATTCGTCACGATAAATTCGCAAATTTCCTCGTTCCATTTGGGATTCAATCCGTTATCGAGCACGTGCTTAGTGACCAACTTCACGCCGGAATCGTACGAGGCTCCTATTACTTCCACTTCGACGAACGGACTGGCCGTGCCTTTCTTCAATCTACACAAATTAAACGGTCGTTATTAAAAGAAGCAGAAGAAATTCAACTTAAACCTCTTTAAAAACCGAAATTGAAGAAACTGAAGATGAAACGCCGGTTAATAACAAAAAAAGAAGAAATCACCGAACCAACTGTAGAAGATGGATGGATTCTAATAGAAAATCACCTGTACAAATGCCTCCCGCCGATGATCCTGATCGATATCTTCATCGGTTCGACGCCGAACAAAGAGCTCTTATCGTTCGGATCGAAATCTTCGCGGAACATAAACTCCGGCCTCAGAAGATAACCGCAATTTCCGTTGTCGCGAAACTTCGCCTGGTTGAGTTGCATCGGCCTGTCGCCCGTTTGGAAATTCAACGCCACCATTTGCGAACCGCAATTCCACATGTTTATCGGATTGTAATTCGACGAATCGATCCTCTGGCCTTTCGGGTACACCTGAAACAGACACAGGCATGATAGATACGAGTAGAAGAGAGAAAAAAACATTGTATTTCGAACAGGTAAATTACCCGCGAGAATTGGTAGTGGTGGTACTTCAAAAAGAACCGCTTCTCCTGCTGGCATATCAGCTTCTCGGCTTTGTTCTCGGGAAACGAGGACATCTCGTAGAAGAGGAACCCGTGGTTCTTGATCTTGTCCATATTGAACGTGGTCGATTGACAGTAGATGATCAAATTCGACATTTCCTTGGCGATCTTGAAGGCCCTTTCCATTTCGCGGTGTTGCGTTTCCATACGCGACGCCTTCTGCGAGACGTCTTTGATCGCCGAACACCATTCGTGCGCCTTTAAACAAACAACAGTAAATACAGGTTGTCCCGATATGAAAAGTAGCCCTAAAACACCGACAACGACGGCTACTTTTCACATCGGGACACCCGGTATACGAATTTCGTACGATTTCCTCCGTTTGCACGCCGCATTCTAACGCGGGACAAGCCGTCGTAGGATTTATCCTGATTATCCATTCCATAGTTTGTCCGGGATTTCTTCCGTAAGTCACGTACACGCCGTTCATATCCAGGCTTCCCTGCAACGCCGGCTCTCCAGACTGGAAAAAACATACAATTCCCTTACCATCCAGCATCGATTCCTTCGACATACGTCCACAGAACCGGAAGTACGCCGAAGGCATCATCGTTACAAAACATAGATCAGATTCCTTCGATGCATGTTCTTATCCCCAAGAGATGAGAAAAGTCCTTCTTTTTTCAAAGGTTTTTGCATGTATTTGGGGGTTCAAACACGGAGGAAAATGATAAACAGGTGCTTGACCTGACCTTGAAGAACCGGTTTATCATTTTCCTCCGTGTTTGAACCTAACTACTGATGCATGTTCATCAACAGACCGTCCCCGAGAGATGAGAAAAGTCCTTCGATGCATGTTCATCAACAGACCATCCCCATTAGATGAGAAAATGTAGAATGTGATTCTTACGGATTCGTCGATGTCTTGGGTGTCGGATCGATCGATTTCCCTGACGCTGGACGAGGGAAAGTAGCGCTGCCTGAGGCCGCCGTAGTCGCCCTTCCACCAGCCGTCGGCGTCGGTGGTCTTGGTGACGTTGGTGATGATGGCGTGCTTGCAGAAGGACAGCTCGTCGTCGCGCGACGCCATGTAGTCGCGCACCGCGATGGCGGCGACGTTCGAATTGATGCTGCTGGGGTCCATGTAGGAGGGCGTCGCGTACGCCGAGGCGTCGTTTTGCTCCTGAAGGAAGAACTTCCAACGTTAAAAGGGTTCGTTTGTGCTCGGTGGTAATGGCGAATGGTTGGAGAGTTTTTGGCGGTGCATTTTGCGATCTACCATGGGAATGGTAGAGAAGGAATTGAATTGTTGCTCGTTGGAATGGTGAAGAATGGAGTTTTCGGTTTTGTAAATGGTGAAGGTTAGAGTTTTATTGGTGCATTTTGCTCCAGGAAATGGTAAAGAATGGAGTTATGCTCCTGGAAATGGTAAAGAATGATGAAGGTTGCAGGTTGTTTTGTAAATTTGTTGGTAAAAAATGGTTTAAGAGGTTCGTTTTGCTATTGGAAACGGTAAGAAATAAGAGTTTTCCTGGCGCAAATGTTAAAAGTTTTCTCCTCATCATTGGAAATACCAATGATTAGACTTTTCCAATTACAACAAAAAAAATTCCGTTTGTTTACTTCAATTTCCAAACACTCGAGCTCGCGATACCCCGAGACTAAACAACTTTTACTCCAATATTAACCTTTCTCAGAGTTAAAAAAAAATACAAAATTCGATACACTCTACCTCCATCGAATTAATCCCGAATATTTCCCATTTCGACCGGTACAGGTTTTTGAATAACAAAAAATAAAAAACCTAATCACCCGTATATACCATTATCTATGCTCACCATAATTTCTATGATTAGAGAGGTTTTCGGGCGCATTAAACAAGACGTCAGGGTGGGTTCACTAAACCCGAAAAACCCGAGGATTACCTAATTAGAAATCCGACCGTTCTAACGTAAGTTTATTAATGGTCGCGCCGTACTCACGGAACCACTTTTCTGTAAACACCAGTACCGTACCGAGTTTAAATTCGACATAAATATTCAAATAGAAAAGTCCAGAATCATTTCAGCAACCAGGATCAGTTGAAAACGACCTTAGGACCCTTTAGAACTGCCCGAAATCGCTTAGAACCGATTCTAAACTATTTGAGACACTCAACAGTAGACTAGAAAACTCCAGAAACCTCATTTAGAACTGTCTTAAAGTAGAACTAATCCAGTGACGATCTATGATAAATTAGAAAAGATAGGAACTATTTAGAACTGCCTGAAATCGCTTAGAACTGATTCTAAACTAGTTCCGACAGTCTAGGATAAACTAGAATAGTCCAGTATGCAGCAACATTTTCAAAAACCATCCACAGAGAGCTTGTAGTTCTGTTTCAGACGTCCACCCTGTATACTCCAAGCGTTACAAAAACCATCTACAGAGAGTTTGTAGACGCTCATCCTGTATATTCCGAGCAATATAATAGAAAAAAAACACGAAATCGTTAGGGAGCCGATTGCGCGAGTCCGTCCCTGCGCCTCCCCGGTACGTCCTAAAGGTATGCACCCTTTTTTTTTCGGTAGAAGGACGAGGCGGAGGAGGAAGGGCGGGCGTTAACATTCCGATCTAGGGTTAAAAAACTACGAAGGGAGTCACAGACACTGATTTTTAATCGGACCGAGTCGCGCAAGGTGCTTCGAAACGAAACGAACTACTTGAAACTCGAACTACTCATCGTCATAGTGGGTACCGGTGTTTCGTGCGTTAAAAAAATTAGAAAAAATGAAATTGTACGGCATTTTGGTGAGTTTACTTCGCATTTTGTTGATTTATTTTTACACGCGAGGTCTTCGTAAAATAATAAAATACTTCTAGTGCATGTAGTATAAGTAAAAATAAAGTTCTTATAAACTTCTGTATGGTACCCTGGAGATGTATACAAGTACCAGATAATATAACAGAAGAGTTTTAAATCTTAATCTGTAATCTCCAATAAACTCAATAGTATTTACCAGTTATTAACCCAGTGGGTACTTTATATCTGAGATAGTCCGTATTTCTCGATTTTTTTTTATTCATTGTACCAAAATAAATACAATTTTAAGCCAAACAATACATACGAAAGTAGGGTGAAATGTTCTCTGCCTGAACCATTTAGAACTATGTAGAAGAATACAGAACGCTCCATAATTATTTAGAACTGTCTAGAACCATTTAGAAAATCGCGGTCTTTCAGTGTCGGACCGAGAACATTTCAACTTACCCTTGTAAGTATAGATCTACATTAGTTCCCTCTACTTGCTCACCGCTTGATACTTGTTAATCCGAAGATTATTATCGAATTTTAAAGAGGTCTGGATCTTAAAAGCTTTATAAAGTCTCCTCCTATATCTCCGGTACTTGTAATATTTATAGAATTTTGTTTTTACAATTAATACATACAAATTTCTCATCATCGCATTTTATTCGAAAGGTGTTCGTTTTGTACGCGAGAATATCCACGCCTCTACCGCCCCCGGCGGATCCCACTTCTGAAATGCTCGGCGAAGAACACGCGAATATAAACGACAAAAGAGACGAAACCCGAAACGAAGACGTCCACAAAACGGAAGGCAAAACCATCGAAGACGATCTCGAGTACCCGCCAATCGTGCGAAACGCCAACGATCGCCTGGACGTCGATCGTTTGCGCCAGAAATGCATGCACCTATCGAAACTGCTAAACCTAAACAAACGGCCCGAAAAGACCGGGAATTTCGAAACCAACGACGATTACCGGCCCGTGTACGTTACCACGCAAAAACCGACCCAGAGACCCAGCAGTTTCTACGTAACAATTCAACCAGAAAGCAACAAACTCTCCATACCGGCCGCATCGGCCATCAAATACATCCGACTCGAGCCGGTTATACTGCAAAAAACCATCCTCAACAACGGCAGAACCGTCTACTACTGGCACAAGAACCTGCCCACCTCACTGGAGTACCCCGACAAACGGGAGGACCCTTCGTACGATTATTACCCGCCGCTTTACCACAATTTCAAACCGTCAGAAACCGCTACGGAAACCACAACAACCACAACAACAGAAGAAACGGGAGGTTTCGGGTACGGTTTGAGCCATTTGATTCCGTTCTACGGGGGCGCGGAACCCACCAGCACCACCACGGGGTCGCCTGTTAAGCCGGAAGAGGCCTCTTACAAGTACTCTGCGCCGTACGACGAGTACTTCAGGCAAACGTGGCCGTACCATCCGTATTTCTACGCGCCTCAATTGCAACTGGTCGTGCCCAAAGTCGAAGACCACGCGGAAGGGATCGATAAGTAGATTGTAAAATAATAATAGTTGATTGTTTTTAGTTCGGTTTAATGCGAGTAATTTTTGTGTAGAATATAAGTAGTTTTGTAAAACGAAACGTGTATACGTAAATAGGTCGGATGGTGCAATTTTTTTGTAATTTTTTTGAATAAAATAAATAATTTACAAACGTACCTCGGCTCGAAAAGGCCGAAGGTATTTGAACCTGCGTTTTGAAAATCTTTTTATTTTATTATATCTCACAACGAAACACCCCGTAAAATATTTGTAAATATTTGGATGAAATAAATATAATTTGAATGGACTTACCACCGCCATTCTTCGCACTTTTTCTTCGCTGATTGGATGGCTCAAATTGACGCGTTTGTACAAAGGGTAGGTTTGATAGTAGTTGATCAATTGCACTAAACTTTCGAATTCCACGTTGCCGATCGTGTACAATCGTCCTTCCAATTTTATCCTGCAGTGCTTTATTTTCTTGTCCGCTCTAAACAAAAAATAAATATAAATAGAATCGATTATTGCACGAGGATAGGTTGGAAACTTCTCGATCTGATACACTGAGGGCGCTCTAATCAGCGAAAAATTCTTGTTTCCTCTTTGGGACATTTACAATCAACTCTAGAATTGTCTAGAACCATTTAGAACTGTCTAGAACTAAAGATAATGCCATAATAAGAAGAATAATGTAATTTTTCAAACGCTTCAGAAACAATTCGAGGGCTCCAGAAACATTTAGAACTATCTACAACCATTCAGAACGCTCCAGAAACATTTAGAACTATCTACAACCATTCAGAACGCTCCAGAAACATTTAGAACTATCTACAACCATTTAGAACGCTCCAGAAACATTTAGAACTATCTACAACCATTTAGAACGCTCCAGAAACATTTAGAACTATCTACAACCATTCAGAACGCTCCAGAAACATGTCCCAGAACTTCGAAAACATCCCTCGTATATATTAACCTCTCTAAATCGATAAATACCTAAAACTAATAGTGTAGCAATTGACGTCGTTCTCGCTGGGTCTGACTAGAAAAGCCCCTTCGATCTTCTCCCTGCGCAGGATCTCCTCGGCCTGCGTCTTGCCCGTGTTCTTGTGGTACCACTCCTCGTTCTCGTGCAGATTCGGCTGCGGTACCGGTTCCTGCAGCGTGATCGAAAACTCGGCGGTGACCAACGGCGAGGCGCGATAGTGCGTTATGAGGCTGTACAAGCTGTCGAAGTACTTGGCGTCGATCAAGTAGTACTTGGTCTGCTGGCGGTCCTGCTTCGAACGGATCCTGCAATGGTTCACCTGGCCGTTGCGCCAAAACGACAGGCAGTACTCGCCGACGAACGTCACGCTCGCTCTCACCAGGAACGTACCGTCTCCTGGTGTAAACCGATAAATGAGATTTAGATTATCTAGAGGTACTACTTGAATAGATGAAATGAATGAGTATGCATTAGAATCATTTTGAACCATTTTAGATTTGATTTCAACCATTCGAAGCAGTTTAGAACTATTTAGAACCGTTCAAAATTATTTTGAACTACTTTAGAGTTGACTACTATCATTTAAAACAGTTCTGGGGTATCTAAGAACTGCTCATATACTTTACTCTGTTCTACTCTACGAGTACTCTATTTTACTCTACTTTACTCTATTCTACTCTACGAGTACTCTACTTTATTCTGCTCTACGAGCACGCTATTTTAATTTTGCTTTACGAATATGTACTCCACTTTATTCTACTCTACGATTACTCTACTTTACTCTATTCTACTCTACTCTACAAGTACGCTATTTTACTTTTGCTTTACGACCCTTTATTCTACTCTATTTTACTCTACTTTACTCTATTCTACTCTACGAGTACTCTACTTTACTCTACTTTACCCTATTCTACTCTACGAGTACTCTACTTTACTCTATTCTATTCTACGCTTACTCTACTTTACTCAATTCTATTCTACGAGTACTCTACTTTACTCTATTCTACTCTACGACTACTCTACTTTACTCAATTCTATTCTACGAGTACTCTACTTTACTATACTCTACTCTACGAGTACTCTACTCTATTCTACTCTACGACTACTCTACTTTATTCTTCTCTACGAGTACGCCATTTTACTTTTGCTTTACGAGAATGTACTCCACTTTATTCTACTCTACGAGTACTCTACTCTATTCTATTCTACTCAATGGGTAGGGTAGGGTACTCTACTTTACTCTATTGTACACAATTCAATCCGCCCCCCTTCGTCGTACCGTACCCAAATGCGAATAGGCCCTCAACAGTTGCTCGGCCTCCTCTCTGCCCTTCTCCAGCTTCCCGTGGAACCACTTCTCGCCGAAGTGCAACTCCTCGTTGGGCACGTTGTGGTTCTTCGGCCGATGAAAGGAGGCGCCGCCGCCGTCCTCCTCGTCCTCGGACCGTTCGGCGTCGCCGGCGTTCAACTTGTAACTGTCGAAATAGAACAGCTTCGATTGCGTGAGCACGAAGAAGTGCGGATTCCACTCCTTGTCGACGCGATCCTCGAGGTACATGATGCCGTTCTTGGTGGAATTCCTGAGGTCCATGTCGGCGGCGTCGTTGCGCACGGGCATCGAGGACGATTCGTCCTGGCCGTCGGGCAGCTTCTTGTGCTTCAGGATGATCTTGCGGCGCAGCGCGAACGGCGACGGCAGCTTCGATTCGTTGGATTCCAACGGTTGCGTCAGCAACATGTCGCCGAACACTTCCTGCGAATTTTTTTATCGTAAACTTAAGGACATTCGCGCTCGCTAGGCAATGACGTCGTTTTTAGACGACGTCATTAATTTCCACGCAGTTCAACGTTTCCCTAGTGTCAATGTTAATTCTCCCATTTGGCTAGGGGAATTTTACGACGCGTAGTTGAAAGTCGAAGGCGATGTTGTCATGCATGCTTTGTAGTTGACACTTTGACAGGTTATAACTACAATTTTTTGTTTTTGCGCGATTTTCCTGTATTTTTTCAAGTTTACGAGTAGGTTTTGTGGTCTAGATAGTTTTTCGTGCGTTTTATGTACATTTATCGACAGTTTCTCCCGCCATTTTCGGTGTTTTTCGACCTATTTTGGGAGGGAACGGGACGACGTAAGCCCTTTTTTTTTCGATTAATTCCCTATCAATATTTTCGATAGTTCAGCACATTGAAATTTATAGGTTATGTTAAACTTACAAATAGTTTTTTAAATGAATATTTCTGTTTCATAGGGTTGTGAAGCGTTGCAAATAAACACCTCTCCCGTCAATCGGATTGCAGCCTAATGCATTTCTTCTTTTTAAATTCTAAACAATGAAAGTTAACATAACCTTAAATTAAACATATCTGTAACATCAAGATTTTCATTTCAACCCGGCAACGTTGCAACATGTTGGCTTGTGACGTCATTGCCTAGCGAGCGCGAATGTCCTTTACTATACCGCTAGCTGCCTATCACTTAGCTAACGCACCTGCATGGCCGAGGCCATCTTCTTCTGTTGCGGCAACGTACAGTTGTCTTCGATCGATAGGATCACCGGGTAATCGGAAGCGGCGAAGGCGTGCTCTTTGATCGTCTTGATCACATCCATGAATTTGATTTTGGTGGTCAACGTGTGCCCGTGATAGATGAACGGATAGCCGTCCGGCCCGTCCCAGCAATCCAATTCGATGCACCGGCAACCCATTCGCAGGCACCTCACGTACGCCTCCGTCGAGGACTCGCTCGACCACTGATCGCCCGTTAAATAACTAAAAAATAAACCAGCCATGAGTACTAATCTCTACTAACGACTACCATCTAGTTTCTAATACTCACGTGTTGTGAGAGGACGATATCCAGTAGTGGGACAGCGGCCTCGACATGTCGTGGTACACGGCATCTTTTCGACTGTCCCACAGCTCGTTTTGCTTGGAGAAGAGAAAGTCGAGGAACTCGGAGACGGTGAGATGGGGTTCTTGCACCTCCCGCTGCGGGTCCTTGAGGAAATCGCAGATGAACTGCGACACCGCGCGCTCGTCGTTGCCGAGCTGATCCTCCTGATCGTTGATCAGGAAACTGACCATTTCCGGCAGGTTGATGGTGTTGCCGTTCGAGGAATACTCCGAGACTTTGTCGAAGAGCTCGTGGGCTTTCTGCAAACCGGCGTAAATCGGTGTGAGTTCGCTTGTATGGGAGGTGTACCGAATGGTGCGGTAAAGTGGTTCGTTTACTCGGTTAGTTTTAGTTCTAAACGATTCTAGACAGTTCTAAAGGGTGCTGGAGCGTTATTAGTTGTTAGTAAACGAGCTTTACCGCACTATCGGGACACCCTGTACGTGTGTAATGAAATTTACGCCTTCTTCGAAGATTATTTTTTGGTACAGATTGGCGAAATCGTCGAATCCGATTTCGCCGCGTTTCCTCGTATCGACTTCGCTGAACAATTCCCTCAGTTTATTGTTGGATAGTTTCTTCGGGAAGAAGGATTTCAAATCTTTCAACGTTACACTGAAACAGATATTGTTAATTGGTTTAAATTCGATCGATTTATCGATGTACCTTTCCCTGGAACCTTCCATCGAATAAAACTCCCTGCGCAGCCAATTTTGGATTTGCAACGGGTACGGTGCTTTGATCGTGTCATTGACCAAATACTTCAATCCCTTCAGCCATCGTTCGCATTCCACCTCCGATAGAGCTAAATAATAATGAAACAATTAATTTTATTACAGTACTTTTAATTGTACGATACACTCACCGGCTATGCTCAAAACTCTCAACTTAAACTCCATCCCGTAGTAAATAACGAAGCATTTGCTTTCGATCTTCTTGGCCTCGTCGGGCCACTTCTCGAAGTCCTTGCTCCCCGTGCCCTGTCTGATCTCCTTCACCTCGCTCAGATTGAGCGCCCCGTCGTAGGAGGGTTTCGAGTTGGAGGCCGGCCTGGTCCAAATCAGCTGTTTGGTTTCCCTCCGTATGGCCAGCGTCTTGCGCTCGGGCTTCTTCCGCCAGGAGTACTTGTGCACCAAAGTGCCCCTCTCCAATTGGCTGATGATCTGCTCCATTTCCCCGATGTAGCCGGCTCCGGACGAGGACAGCCCGTTGAATGCGTTGAACATGTTTCGCTGGCGTTGGGTCGGTCTGAAACGGGCGGTTTTAGATAAAATTATTTAAACAGTACTCGAAGCGGCTAATGCATCGGTAAATATCGCTGGAATAATCAATATCGACCTAAATTTAGCGAGTGGATCGGCCATCGCGAGTAAATAGAGTTTGTTGTATCGAATATATCGAATGGTTCGGGATATTTGCGGCGATTCGTCGCGATTTTCGTGAATAGAATTGGAGTTAAAACGCTTACCAAAGTGACACGATGCGAATTTTTAGTCTCATTTATTGCACATGCTTGGAACCGAACGTTTAAACTTAACGATACAAATAAAAAAACTGCTTCGACTTGGAATAATATCGCTAATTATGCACCATATTTTCATTTCCTTTTCTACATTACATATGAAAAAAAATACTGACTTGAAGTAAGTAACCAAATTTAAAACTAAACGTCAAATAAATCACAGACCGCATATTCGGTGCTCAAATGACGGTCGCTGTCACAGATGTCAAATTCTTCTATTTTTTAAACATAATTTATATCGTCTATATATTACGTTGGTTGAGTCGCATTGATTTTTTGTTACTTAGCATAATGGGATATTTTTTTAAATGCCGCCGCATATTTTAAAGTATTACAGGAATTTCACGTAAACAAATAGAGGTTATGCTCGGATAGCGGTCGAAAAACAAAATGACTGTCGCTGTCACAAATGTCAAATTCTTCTATTTTCTTAAACAATATTTATATCCTATATATATTATGTTGGTTGAGCCGCATTACTTTTGATAATGGGGTGTTTTTTTTAATGCCGCCGCAGTATTACAGAAATTTCACCTAAACAAATAGAGGGCCGTAGTATAAAATAATTGCAAATATAATGCTGTGATTGTAGGATGTGAAATATTTGCACGCGATGCAACCGAAGCCTTTGATACACAGAAACCTGAAGGGTCCGAATTTGATGCTGATAAACGGCGGAGTTAATTTGAAGATATGCGATTTCGGTACTGCTGCTGATAAGAACACTTACATGACTAACAACAAAGGATCTGCAGCTTGGATGGCGCCCGAAGTACGATTATTAATCGATTTACGAAGGTTGTTTTGTTATTATTTATTATTCTAGGTGTTTAGTTCGTCGACTTATACGGAAAAATGCGATGTCTTCAGCTGGGGAATCATCCTGTAGGAGGTGCTATTGAGAAAGAAGCCTTTTTACAACAGAGGGAGCAGCGCTTTTAGCATAATGTGGTCAGTGCACATGGGTAAAAGGCCGCCTTTGTTGAAAAACGGTGTTTCATAACGGTGACAACGTTGTGAAGACTCTACCGCAACCCACAGGGCAATTTTTGAATCCTTTGTCCATCGAATGCGATCTCTTAATTGTCCATATAAAAAACTTGGTGTAGAATAGAGTAAAATGTTGTAGGGCAAAGTAGAGATTGAATAGAATAGAGAAAGGAGAATTATAGTAGTAGAGAATAGTAGAGAAAGGGGAGCAGACTAGTGAATAGGAGAAATAGAATAGAGAAAGGAGAGCAGACTAGTGGGTAAAAGGAGAAGTAGAGTAGTAGAGACAGGTGAGCAGATTAATCGAGGAGTAGACTAGTAGAGTAAATAAGAGCGGAATAGAAAAGATTAGAGTGGGCTAGGGATGTTTAATAGAGCGATTAGAGCAATATAATGTGAAATAGAGTAGATTAGATACGTTTTTGAGGCGTGAAAAACAAAGCGATATTTTTGGGTCTGTTTTTGGGAAAGAAAAACAACAAATAAATCTTGAACAAAGTTATTTTTTTGGCAAATTTGAAGGTCGTTCGCTTTAACTTTAACCCAGTCTTTCGCTCAAACAGGAAGTTTTCGTTTGGGAGTTTTATTTCGGAAAAGCTCGCAAGAAATGGCAAAAATGTGATTATTTTTAAAAGTTATAAACAATTATCGTCTAAGAATGCAACTATTAACTTCCCTTAATCTCGTATAAGAGAAAAAGGATTGATAATTGTGCGTTGATTGCACCCTTCTTACTCTAACCTAATGACAGTAGTTATTTCAATAATCTTTCTTTGTTCAATTCACGTAGTAACATAATAGTAACTTTAATGATTGTTTACAGACGTTGCTGACACTTTGCAGAGTACCGAAGAGAGTCGAAACGTCGATCAGGACAATAGCAGTATGAAAATACTTTTTGGTTTAGGTGGAAGACAGGTCCCTACCCACCTGTCGCCCGGTGTGATACCACCACACCAGCTTTAAGAGCTCTTTAATAATGCCTAGTGCATGTTTCCGAGCTTTGCTGGTGGGCCGGTCCCCAGGGTAGGAGGTGACGACCTCATTAAGAGGAAGAACCAATTAACGATCTCCACAAGGGGTGATAAGCCAATAATGACATTTTCTAATATGTGGCATTATTATTTTCAAATAAAAAACCATGATGTCGTCTACTGGGGTAAAATATTCCGGAGGTAAACTCGTTCCCCAATCGGATCTCCGGGGGGGACTATTCCAGGGGATACAACATGGAGATTCAAGCTCCTCTAATCATGCCACCAACGGCTCATCCAATCAAGATCCCCATTTGAGGCCGGTCACGACCGATTACAACGATCCCAATTCGGTGGCTTTGATGGAGGAACACGTCGAATTGGCCAAGGAATACTGGAAGGTGAATTTCATCAACTTTTTCCTCTTCTTCCCGTCTCCTTTTACCATCCTCTGTTTGACATATGTCCTTCCTTGCTCCATCTAATATTATCCGATATCTCACACTTCAAGTCATTAACAATCATTAACTACTGATTGTATATGTACAGGAGATTCCTAGGAATGGTATAAAAAGTAGCATTTTTGTTCAAACGTGCAGGTTCAAACGGAGCTGGTGTTGATGACCCAGAAGAAAAACAAACTGTTCAAGAGGCACTTGAAGGAGTTAAAGGAGGAAAGGAAATCGTTGGAGTTGAACGAGCAAAGGCAAATGTCGGTGGGACATCATCAGAGGAATTCATCGAGGAATCCGGGAGTATTCTTTCATTAGGCGTATTATTGTTACTAAGTAATTAAGACCTTTTGTGATACATATATTTTGTAATATCTTATTTATATGTACGATTTTGTTATCGTATAGAATTGAAAGAAAGTTTGTTAAAAATTGATGTAAAAGATGTCTTATTTTTGATGATATTGAAAGAATTAATATAACTTCGTTAAGGAAATAACGTTTTTATATAAGAAATCTGAAATTGGCGTCGAAAAATTGGTAGATAATGTATAAAAGGCATATATTAGAGTACTAGCGGTAGGCAGGGCGATCGGATACTTTGAAATTCTGGTTGTCTACCTAGTAGGGTACATAAATTAATACCTAGTTCGAGAAAAATGTAATAGATGGCGCATTTAACACATCGCGCACATTAGCGTATGCTTAGGTTACTTAAGAAAGTATAGCTACGGGGTGGTACCGGCGGGGGAGGCTTGGGAGCGCAAATACAACTTTCCAATTTCATATTTTCATATCATTCTACCATTCATTTATGAGGATGAGATGAGTTTCATCAAGAATTTACTATCGTGTTGTTTTATTCATAAAAGAGCAACATACCCCTACCGTGGCAAAGGAGGTACTGAGCGCTCCGGCCGCCGACATGTCTATTTAATAAAATTTGTAAACGCACGTGGCGCCATCTAATAATTTACCGACGAACTAATATTAAACCAATTGTAGGAAACTGTTTAATACCATCTTCTTCTTTTTCGGATTTGGGCCTCAGCTACTGCGGCTATTCGGCCACTCTGGAGAATAGCGGGGGCCAACTTTTTTTTGTTTTCTAAATAATTTTTAATGCATTGCAATAATTTTTTTTTCTTTGTCGACATAATTTAAGTAGAAATTAACTTGATTAAAACTCTGATTCACTTCAATAATCGTTTATTCATTCGAAGGAAATTGTCGAGGAAACGAACTCGCTTTCTTGATCTTATTTTGCACCTATATTTATCTCTCGTTATCCAGCGAGTTCGTTTTCCCGAGTTTTCTATAATTAACAATAAATAAATCGTCAATGCGCGGCATAAACGGTAGAAATTTCACAATATATAGATATATAATCAAACAAAAAAAAACAACAACTGCCTTTAACACTTAACAATCTACGGTAAAATTATCCATACATAACATAATATAGTCGCTTTTCGGGTTCTTTAAAATCCAATAATTTCTTTATTATAATACGCTCATGATCAGTATCACAGTATCCTTGTTAATAGTTAAATTTGTACCGAAATTGGTTCGTTTTGCTCGCAATTCGCCGGTCCCGGTACAAATCCAACTCGAATATCTCATTTCGTTTTCTCAAAAAAAAAAATAAACATTTTCTACAAAAAAAAAACAGTGTAAAATAGTGTAAAATCAGTAAAATATATGTACAACAAACGCCCCAATTATTATTTAAACAACTTGGTGGCGTAACACCAAATGCGGAAAAAGTACTCGTCCTTCTTCAGCAGCGTGCCCTTCGAGTACGAATGTATATCCGCGTCCATGCTGTTGTCCCTCAACCACGAGGTGGACGTCTCCGTGCTGTAGGAAGTCGGCTCCTTCTCCGTAGCCTCCTTGAAATCGTCCTGATCGGTATCTGAAACCCAACAACCCCCTTCAATCTCTCGGAACTCTTCCAGGACATCCTGTACACTCACCGCCCGACGGGAGCACCTTGAACGGCTCGTCGGACTCCAGGGGCTCGCTGACGCCGATCTCGTTCTTGGCGAAGATCCTGATCATGTAGTCGTGGTCCTCCTGCAGGTCCCTGATGGTGAACTTCTGCACGCCCTTCTGCACTCTGCCGATCTCCATCCACATGGTCTTCTTGGTGTCCCTGATGGCGATGTTGTAGCCGAGCAACGGCGATCCGCCGTCGGATTCCGGAATGCCCCATTCCACCACGATGGCGTTCGGTCCGATGGTGCGGATTTCCAGAGGGGGAGTCGGTGGTGATGGTACCGCTGTGAAGCAAATGCGATCAAATACACTGGAGCTCCGATGGAGGTCTGTAGGATTGGCTACAGGCGAGCTAGGGGCGTGAAATTTGGTGTACATATAGCCTCAGGTATTGTCTTGGTGTGTTCAAAGTACTATCCTCTTCGACCAACTAAAAGGGATCTTTAGGGTGGATTTAATATGCGATATAGTGACTTGGTTTTTGTACATAGCCTCATTGAAAGAACCGTTTCGATTTCTAGGAGGTGAGCAAGGGTGATGATATTTGGAGGGCATCAACACAACACATGAGGCTATATCTCCTGAAAATTTCACATCTCTAGCTTGGCTATTAACATTTTTACGAGGCTCCTAAATAGCGAATGAACATTTTGAACAGTGTAATCGTTCGGGTACTTACTGGCATGGGTTCTCATTTGCACCACTTCTGAGGTAGCGGGCGGGCTCAGCCCGACGCAGTTCTCCGCGAACACCCTGAACAGGTAGTCGCTCTTCTCCTTCAAGTTTTCGAAGGTGTACTCCAAGGAGAAGGCTTCAGTGGTGAACACCTTCTCCCAATGTGGCATGTACTCCAATTTCTTCTCCAAAACGTACCCGGTGATTTCGGTACCGCCGTCGTTCTCCGGCGGTTCCCACGTCAACGTGGCGCTCCTGCTCGTGAGGTCCCTGATCTTGAGGTTAACCGGCGGAGACGGCGGTGCTGGAAAGTTTAAAATTTAAACTGTTGTCCAATCGAATCATCACCAAGCGGAATGCCGAAGCTTACTTTTGTATTGAATGTTAGCAGGAGGAAAAATGCCCAGTAAGCAGTAAAGCGATTCATCGGTTTTTTGGAATTGGTAATGGATTCCTATAAAGCAAAGCAATAAAAAAAAAGCGAAGGGAAGCTAAATGCTCGCCAAAAGAACCAAAATCCTCTACACTTACTTATCCTGGAACCAGCCACAATAGCCTCCGCAGGAACGAAGGGATCGCTGGTTCCAATGGCGTTCCTCGCCGTTATCCTGAAGCTGTAACCGTGCCCCTTCTCCAGATAGTTCGCCGCGTAGTTGGTCGCCCCCTTCGTGGCGCCGATCTTCTTGAAGGCCTTCTTGCTCTTGGCCTCCTTCATCTCCACGATGTACTCCAGGATCTCGGAGCCTCCGTCGTGCTCCGACGGCTGCCACTGGATGGTGAAGGACGTGTCCGACATGCCGGAGATCTCCAGGGGTCCGCGCGGCGGTGAAGGTTTATCTGCAGGGTTCCAAACATAATGAAGAAAACTGCTCGATGTATCGATCGAGCTACAAGTACTTACCGCCGATTTTGAGTTTCGACGAAGTCTTGAGCTGGTACTTTTCGACTTTGCAAGTGTATTCGTACTCGTCGTCGACGGTTGTCTCGCGGACGATTAACTTCCTGGTTCTAAACTCCGAGGTGATCGAGTACCTGGACGATTTCTCGATGCGTTCTTCGTTCCTGTACCAGGCGACTTCGACGTCTTCTTTCGACAGTTCCACTTCGAACTCCGCGTCCGATTGCACCGGTACTATCGTGTACTCGGGCAGCTCCTTGATGAACGTACACGTGGGTACTTGCACGGTGAGCCGGGCCTTCGACGACTGAGTGCCCACCTCGCACGAGTAGACACCCTCATCTTCCGGCTCCGATTTGTACACCTTGAGCTTCTGGCGCTTGCCGTCGATGGAGAGCTGCAGGTGCTCGGAGAACTGGATCTCCTTGCCGTCCTTGTACCACCTGGCCAGAGCGTCGCCTTTGGATAGCTCGATCTCGAATACAGCTTTCTCGCCTTTGTTGACGGTCTGGTCTTGCAGTGGCGAGACGATCTCGGGCGGCAGCTCGATGACCGTTACGTCCGCTCTGCACTCCTCCTCCACCAGCTTGCAGCTGTACTCGCCTTCGTCGTGGATGGATGTGGATCTGATGAGCAATCTTCTGACGCCGCCGAACTTCTCGGTATCGAATTTATCGTCGTCTTCGTCGAGGTTTACGCCATCTTTGAACCATTTCACACCGGCCGTGTCCGATGTAATTTCCACTTCTAACACAGCCGTATCCTTCTCGGTGATCTCGAGGTCTTGAAGCTTCTTCACGAACTCCAGCTTGCGCTGCTTCACTCGCACGGCGGTTTCGGTTTTTTGGTTCTTCACCGTGCATTTGTACCTGCCGATGTCGTTCTGGGTGATGTTCTTGATGATCAACTTGTGCGTTCTTCCGTCCTGCACCACGAGCCGGTGGTCCATGCCGCTGATCTCGACGTCTTGGTACCACCATTTGGTTCTCACGGAATGCGAGGTCTCGCACTCCAGCTCGAGCGTGTCGCGCTCGGACGCCTCGTACGACTCCTCGAGGGTCTTGGTGAACTTCACCTGGTCCACTTCGATGGAGACCTTGGCGCCGTGGGAGGCCCTGCCGGCGCGGTTGACGGCGATGCATTTGTAGTCTCCCGAGTCCAGCTCCGAGTTGGTTTCTTTGATCCTCAGCTCGGCTGTTTCGCCGTCGAAGGCGATGCTGAGCCTCTCGGACGGTTCCAGAGGTTCGTTGTTGAGCAGCCAGCGGATCTCGGGCGTGGGGTTGCCGGTGACCTTCGCTTCGAGCACCAACGGGGCCTTCTGGGGGACGGATTGCTCCTCGAAGCGTTCCACGAACAGCGGCGGTTCTTCGTTTTCGGGGAATTCTGCGGAAGCAACGGGAATTAGTAGGTCTTCGGGTGAAGGTTGTTGGAGGTGACACGAGCGAAATAAGCGAATGTGGCGAGAGGTGGTTCGTTTTATTAGACAAAAGCTATTTACAATTGCGATAAAATATATACACTTTGAGCGATTATAAAGCTTAAAGATGCTGAAGAAATAATAAGTTCTTGGCGAGAAAAAGAACTGCACTTGTGATAAAATATTTGTACTCCTATTAAGTGCCTAAAAGCTTTGTTAGAAGCTGAAGGTATTGAACACAAAGCTCCTGTTGAATTGCAATTGTGATGTTTGTACTCCTATAAAGCGCTTAGAAGTTGTGTTAGAAGCTTCAGATGAAGATATTGAATACCAAGCTCTTGTTGAACAGCAATTGTGATAGTAGATTCGCAAACTGTAACCCTAACAAGCGCTTAGAAGATTTGTTAAAGGCTGAAACAAGATGATACCATTAAGCAATTGAAGAAAACAACGAAGCTTACCTTCCACAGTTAAGTGTGCTGTGGTTTCGACTTTCCCTTGTGAATTCGTAGCTTTAACTGTGTATTTACCGGTATCTTCGGTACTAGTTTTCTCGATAGTTAACGTGTAAGTATCCCCGTCTCTTCTACATTTGTGCTCAGTAATCGGTTTGCCATCTTTGAACCATTCGATGGTGGGTTCCGGATTACCCACGATGGTCGTTGACAGTACTATCCGCTCGCGTTTCCTAACAGTAAGCGATTCCAGCGGTTCCAGCACCTCCGGAGCTTCCTTGCTCTTCGTGCGCACCTTCAACGTGAACTCCACCGAAGCCTCGCCTTCTCGATTCTTCGCCACCACCCGGAACCGGCCCTCTTGGTTCTTCTCCACCTTCTTGATCTTCAATATCACTTTGTAAGTATGCGCGGTCTCCGATATAAATTCAACGGTGACGTTTCCTTTGGGCGTTACCCGCTTGTTGTTGCGGTACCATTTGACCTCGGGTTTGGGTACCCCCAGCACGGTGCACTCCACCACCACGTCGGACTCCTCCGGCACGCACCTGGACCTCGGTTTGCCGGCGAACGTCGGCGGAATCCCCTCCAGGATGTCGCACAGCGAAGAAGTCCGCGACAGGCTCTTCCTGGAGATGGAGGTCATCTCCGAGCCGTGGTCCGACAGAGGACCCTCGACGATGAGCTCGGTGGTGCTGGAGGCGAAGCCGGCGCTGTTCTTCGCCACGCAGGTGAAGGTGCCGGCGTCCTCGGGGAAGACCTCCTTGATGACGAGCGTGGCGGTGTTGTCTGCGTCGTAGTACATGGCGAAGTCTTTGGAGGTTTTGATGATGTGCGTCTGCCGGAACCAGGTCACTTGGGGCCTGGGGAAGCCTTCCACTTTGCATTCGAATTGGACGGTGTACCCGTCGGGGGTGATGATGGGCTTCAGCCGTTTGGTGAACTTCGGAGCCGAGGCTTTGTCCTTCGATTTGGGTTCTGTAACAGCGTGGATTAGACAATAGTGGTACAAGTTTGTGAATATGGTAGGGTAGAGAAGGCTGGCGAAGAATAAGGATGGTTAGGGAAGGTTAGAGAAGACTAGGGAAGGTAGGGAAGGGTAGCAATCTTGTGGGTACTTACTTTCAAACACCGGCAGTTTGTCAATCTTCTCGTTGAGTTTCCTTTGTACATACTGATTGTACTGCTCCTCGTTCATGAGGATTTTGGCGGGTACCCAGCCGGTTTCTTCAGTTAGGTGTTTCTTCACCAACCACCAGTCGGAGTCCGGGGACTCCATCACGTAGACCTTCTCGCCTTCCACCAGGTCAATGGCGGAATCGGCTTCGGCGTCGTAAATGGTAATCGAATAGTAGACATCGCCTACTTCGACTTCCTCTTCGTGTATCACCTCCTCCACCTCCTCCTTCTCTTTGGTGATGCTCAAACTGACGGCTTCTGAAAATCAGGAGATCTGAGGTAATTGTAACTCGGCAACGCCGCGGGGATTAGCTTACCTTGTTCGAAGGTGACGGACTCCTTGCGCTTGGGCTTGACGGTGAAGCTGCCCTCTTCTTCGAAGTCCACGTGCTTCGTCGGCTGCTTGAAGCTCACCTCTTCTTCGTTTTCATCCACCACGGAGTACTTGCGGGACGGCTTGCGCTTGAAGGCCACGTGGAAACTCTCCGAAACCTCGTCTTCGTCTAGGGGGGCTTCTTCGTCGTCTTCATCGATGATTTCTTCGATGGTGGGGCCTTGGTCGTCGTCGGTTTCCTTGGTGATTTTGACGGTATCTTCGGCCGCTTCTTCCGAGTAGGTGAGCGGTTTCTTCTTCTTCAGCTTCACCTTGGTGGAGAGGTTGATCTCCTCTTCGGCGTAGGAGTCGAGGGAGATCTTGAATTCCTGCTCGATTTCTTCTTTGGTTTTGGACGAGCGCGGTCTGAAGGTGACCGTTTGGATTTCTTCTTCTTTCGGTTCTTCTTCTTTCGCTTCCGAGGGCCTTCGTATGGGTTTTAGCCGTTTGACGGTTAATTCTTCGGATTCTTCTTCGGTTGACGGTTGTTTTTTGGCGGGTTTTCTGATGACGGCTTCTTCTTCTACACCTTCTACATCTTCTTTCGGTTTTAATTTAATTTCTGCTTCTGGTTCTTCAGTAGAAGGTTGCTTTTGTGGAGGTTTTTTCTTCATGACGACCTCAGGAACTTCTTCTTCTTCATCAGGTTTTTCAGTAATTTCGTATTTCTTTACGGTTAACTCGTTTTCGTCTTCTTCTTTAGTAGGTTTAGGTCTAGGTTTCATTTTAATTTCCGCTTCCGCCTCGTCTGTTGGAGGTTTCTTCATTGTTTCTTCATCATCTTCTTTTTCTTCTTTAGCCGGGACGAATTTCTTGATTGATAATTCATCTTCGCCTTCATCCTCTGTTTTCGGTCTTTCTTTAACCTGTTTGATTTCCAATTCTGCTTCATCCTCGATTTTAGGCTTGACTCCTATTGTAACCTCGACCTGTTCGTCTTCTTCTGGTTTAGGTTTTTTCTTCGATTTCGGTTTCTTTATCTTGATTTTAGCTTCTTCTTCCTCAGCTGGTTTTTCTTCCGGCACAAATTTCTTTATAGTGACTTCCGCCTCATCTTCTTCTTTGGGTTTCGGTTTCGGTTTTTTGATGGTGATTTCCGCCTTTTCTTCTTCTACTTCTTTCTCTTTTTTATCTTCAGGTATGATTTTCTTTATGGTTAATTCAGCTTCTCCTTCGTCATCTTTAGGTTTTGGTTCTGGTTTAGGTTTAGAAATTTTGAGAGTAGTTTCTTCGTCTTCTTTGGGTTTAATTGTTATTTCTGCTTCTACACTTGTGTCTTCGGTTTCTTCTTTTTCTGGTTGTGGAATTATCTTTTTAATTGTTATTTCAGCCTCAGCTTCATTATCTTCTTCTGGTTTCGGTTTACGTTTCGGTTTTTTAATAGTGACCTCTGCTTCTTCTTTAGTGGGCGGTTTAACGGTAGTTTCTTCTTCTGGTTCCTTCTTTTCTTCAGGGACGAATTTCTTGATAGTGACCTCAGCTTCACCCGTATCTTCCTTTTCAGGTACTTTCGGTTTTTTAGTAATCTGTAATTCAGTTTCTTCTTCAGGTTTCGGTTTAATTATTATCTCTGCTTCAACTTCAGTATCTTCTGTTGGTTCTTCTTTTGGTTGAGGAATTAATTTTTTAACGGTTACCTGTGCTTCTTCCTCCTCTTCGGGTTTCGGTTTCGATTTGCGTTTTTTGATTGTCACTTCCTCTTTTGGTTCTTCCTTTACTTCTTCTTTTATTGTGATTTCTGCTTCCACAGGAGTATCTTCTTCTGGTTCTTCCTTTGGTTTTGGAACTTCCTTTTTAATTGTGACTTTAACGTCTTCTGTTTCTTCACTAGGTACTTTCTCGGGAACGTGTTTTTTGATTACAATCTCGGCCTCTTCTTCTTCTTCAGGTTTTGGTATTTCTTTTTCTATTTTGAAGGGTACTTCAATTTCTTCCTCAACCTTTGGTTTTATTTCGATGGTTGTTTCGATTGTTTCTTCTTCATCGACTTGCGGTTTCTTCGGTTTCTTGGGTTTCTTAACCTTCACTTTCACCTCTTCGGTTTCTTCGGTTGTCTTCTCTTCAGGTACGATTTTCTGTATAATTACTTCAGTTTCTGCTTCATTTTCTTCTACCGGTTTCGGCTGAGGTTTCTTTATAGTTATATCCGCTTCCACTTCGGATTCTTTATCTTCTTTTTCTGGTTCAGGAATCTTTTTGACTGTCACTTCTGCTTCACCATCATCTTCAGGCTTCGGCTTTTTCTTCTTTATGCTAACTTCTGTTCGCTCTTCAGTTACTTCTTTCGGTTCTTCGGGAACCGCAGGCACTTCTTCGGGGATTTCTTCATCCGGCTTCTTCACGATTGACAATTCTGCTTCGCCTTCATCTGTCGGCGGCTTCTTCTTTTTCTTCAGTTTTGCTTTAACCGTAACTTTTTCAGTTTCGGTTACTTCAGTGTCGACAATAGTTTTGGTTTCTGGTAATGTCAACGTTGCTTCAGGTTCTTCTTCGTCTTCCACGGAAGGTTGAATTTTCTTGGGAATTGTGACGGTTTCTTCGATTTCTTTTTCTTCGGGTTTATCTTCCTTTTTATGGGGTGGTTTTATTTTGAATTCTTCCACCTTCTCCGGACTGGGTTCTTTAGGTTTCCCTTTGACTATTGCAGTCTCTTCTTCAGGTTGTGGTTCTTCAGGTTTAACGTCTTTCTTCGGTTTCGTTTTCTTCTTAGGTTTCTCCGGTTTCTCGCCTTCTACCTTCGGTAAATCGAGTTCTTCCTTATCGTGATCTTCCCTTTCGATATCGAACGGTTCGAATGGTATCCTTTCCGGTGATGTTTCTTCTTTTATGTCTTTAGTTTTGGTTTCTTCAGGCGTTGTCTTCACTTCCTTGACGACTTCTTCAGGTAAGGTTTCTTCTTCTTTCACCGGTCTCTTTTTCAGTGTTACGGCTTCTTCTTCTGCTTCTTCTTCGGGCAATTTACCTTTTTTAGGTTTGATCGGTATCGTTGCTTCGGGTTCTTGAGGTTTCTCCTTTTCTTTCTTCTCATATTTGTAGCTTTCATCCACCGTTTCGGGCTTGTCTTTCTTTAATTCTTCGAATTCCAGGTCCAGTTTCTCCAAATCCGTGAGTTCCTTATCGACGTCCTTCAATTTCCTGCGCTTCGTCTTTAGAGTCTTCTCTGCTTCCTTTATGTTCCTTGAAATTTCCCCGCTTCCTCTGATTGTCTTTAGGTCCGTAATCTTCGGAACTTGAAGATCCGGAGGAAAGTCTACGCGGTTTATCCTGCTCTTCAATCTCGGTATTCTCTCTTTTTTCGGTTTATCGAGTATCTTCGGCTTAGGTTTGGGTTTCTTTATTTTGACTTCTTCCTTTATTTCTTCAGTTTGTTGCGGTTTTATTTCCGGTACCTCTTGAGGCGTAGATTCTTCTTTTTCTTGCGGCTGTTGAGGTAATTCTTCTTGTTGCGGGATCGGTTTAATTTCTTCAATTTCTTCGGTTTTAGGTTTAGGTTTCTCAGGCTCTTCTTCTTCTCGCGGTACAGAAGGTTCTTTTACTTCTTCTACTGGTTCTTCAGGCTTAGATTCGTCTGGTATTGGCGATTCTTGTTTCTTTATTTTCTTCTTTTTGATAACCTTCTTCTTCGGTTTTTCCAATTCTTGTTCTTCACTAGATTCTTCATCATCATCTTTGATGTAAATCACAGATTGCGTAGGTTTTTCAGGTACCCATTCGGTAACTTTCATTACCTCGTTTTCTTCGTGCTTCTTAAACGGCTTGAGTTTGATACCTTCTGGGGTATCTTCAGGTTTGCCTTTATGGGGTATCCTAAACTTAACATCCTCTGGTTCTTCCTCTTCGGGTTTCTTCGGCGTTCCTTTTTGCAAAAGGACTTCCTCGGTTTCCGGAGCTGGTTTGGCTTTCTTCTTTTTCACGTATTTAGGTTGCTCTTCAGGACGTTCAGTCTCTTCTTTTTCTTCTTCTTCAGGCGGTACGTACTTTAATCTATCGGTGTCTTCCCTGTCGATGTCGAACGGTTCGAAATCTATTTTATCTTTGAACTCTCTCGGTTCCTTTTCTTCGGGCGCCTTTTCTTCTTCTTTAGGTTTGGGTTTGATCTTTTTGAGGTCTTCTTCAGGCTGCTCGGCGGGTTTTTGAGGGGTTTTCTTCAATGTTATGCTCTCTTCCGGAGCCTCAGAAAGGTCAGGAACTTTGCCTTTTCCTATTTTTATGGATACCTCATCGTCAGGTTCAATTTCTTTAGGCTCCTTAGGCGTTCTTTTAAACTTGACAGTTTCTTCGGGTTCCTCAGTTTGCGGTTTTTCCGGTTCTTCGTAATCCACGTCGAGTTTTTCGAGCTCGACTGTCTCGGGCTCGTCGTCTTTGACCTTGAGTTTTCGCTTGGTTTTCTTCACTTTCTTGGCTTCTTCGATATTGCGAGAGAGCACGCCATTTTCCTTGACTGCTCCTATTTCGGTGATTTGTAATTGTTGCAGGATTTCCGATAACGGTGGAAAATCTACGAAGACGATCCTACTCTTCAGTTTGTGCTTCGGTATTTTCACGGTTTGTTCTTCTTTCTTCGGAGTCGCTTTGGATTTCTTCAGTTTTATGTCGGCTAAATTGATGGGCTCGGGTGCAACTTGGTGGATTTTGGCTTTTTGGGCTATCACCTCCACTTTTACGATCTTCATCAAAACCGGCTTCTCTTTCTTCGGTTTCTTCACGGTTTTTCTGTACTCTTCGTCGACTTTTTCCGGTTCTTGTTTCTTTAGTTCTTCGAATTCTTTGTCGAGTTTCTCCAGGTCTTTGGTTTTGACGATTTTCTTCTTCTTAGGTTTGATCTTTGCCGCTTCTTCAACGTTTCTCGACAGGATTCCGTTGTCTCTTATGGCATTTATATCTGTAACAGCCAATTGTTGCAGGATTTCTGTTAGAGGGGGGAAATCTACGTAGTTGATTCTGCTCTTCAACAACACCTTGGGCAGTTTCTTCTCCGGCGCCTTTTCTTCTTTCACCGGCTTCGCTTTCTTTAGTTTTATTTCTGCGAATTCCGGTTTGCTTTCGGTCACAACAGGAAGTTGAGGTTTGTTCGCAGGAATTCTCTTGACGGTCAAACGAACAGGTTTCTCAGGCGCGATTTCTTCAGTTTGAGGCTTCTTTTCTTTGGGTTTCGTTTTCTTTACCTTCTTTACTTCTACGGTTTGTTCCGTGATTTCTTCTTCTTTTGTTACAACAGGCGTTTCTTCTGTAGTTTCCACAATTTCCTGTTCGAGTGGTTTAACTTCTTCTGGCTTCTCTTCTACAATTTCTGTTGTTTCTTCTTTGATTTCTTCAGTTTCTTCAGTAGGTTCTTTTATAGAAGGCTTGCGTTTTTTAACTTTCTTTACTTTCTTCTTTTCTACTGTAACAGTAACATCTTCTTCGATTTCTTCGACAAGAGGTACCATAGAATCTATTGTTTCTTCGCTAATTTTCAGTTCTTCCGAATCTTCTTCTTTTTTGAAGGGTTTAAGAGTGATTTTCTCAGGAATTTCTTCAGGTTTGTCTTTTTGCTTGTATTTAAGATTGATTTCCGGTTCGGGTAATTCTTCATCTTTTTTGCCTTTTCCTAGTACGATTTGAGATTTTTCTTCTTCAGGCTCTTTCTTCTTTTTAGGTTTCTTTGGTTTCTTTGCGACCTCTTCGATTGGAACCTCTTCAGTTTCTTCAGGAATTTCAGTTGGTTTGTATTCTTCTAATTCGCGCTCGGGTTTCTCGTATTCCGGTGCTTCGAATGGTTCTAAAGCAGGCTGTTCTTCTTCTTCTATTTCTACGGACTTCTTTTCGGGTTTCTTCATTTTAGGTTTCTTTTCTTCTACCGGCTTTTCCTCATCTACAGGCTTCTCCGGCACTTTCTTTAGCTTGACTACCTCCTCTTCCTCTTTCTCTTCAGGCACCTTACCTTTGCCGATCTTCAATTTAGTAGGTTCTTCATCTTGCTTCTCAGGTTTCTGTTTCTTAGGTGTAGGCGTTTTGTACTCGTCATCGATTTTCTCGAGGTCCTTTTTGGATTCTTCGAATTCTTTATCGATTTGCTCCAGCACCTTCAATTCCCTGTCAATATCTTTCACTCTAACTTTCTTCTTTTTCGGAGCCTTTTCTGCTTCCTTGACGTTCCTGGAAAGGATTCCGTTGTCCCTGTAAACAGGCGGGAGCTCCTTTATTCCAGGTACTGCCCGTTTTTCGTTGTCAGGTGGGAACGGCACGTGGACTATCCTGCTCTTCAGCAGGAATTTGGGCATCTTCGTTGTTTTGGGTTCCACCTTTTTGGGCGGTTTGGGTTTCTTCAGTTTTATTTCATCTAATTTCACCGGTTGATCTACTTCAGTGACAACGGGTACCTGTGGTTTAGGCGAAACTGTTTCTTGAACTGTTAGAGTTTCCTTTTGAGGTGTTTCTTCGGTTTCCTCATCTGGTATTACGGTGGGTTCTTCTTGGGCGATTTCTTCCTCATCGGCCTTTTGAATTTTCTTCTTTTTAATTACAGTCTTTTTGCGTTTAACCTTCTCGATTTCCTCCAAAGGTTTGGGTTTCTCCTCTTCTTCTTCTTCTTTTTCTTCTGGTTTCTTTACTTCTATGCGCGTTTCTTCAACTTGCTCTTCATCTAGCGAAATTACCTGTTCTTCTGGTGCAACTTCTTCTGTTACTGGTTTAATTTCTTCAACTTCTGGTTTTATTTCTTCTTCTTCTTCCGGTTTAATTTCTTCTTCCTTCGATTCTTCCATTTTCTTGACCTTAGGTTTTGGTTTTTTGATTATTTTCTTCTTCTTCGCCGGTTCGTCCAATTTTTGCGGTTCTATGTCGAACGTTTCTTCTTCTTCGGCTGTTGGAATCTTCGAAAGAGCCATAGGCGTGTCAACATCAGCTTTAGTTTCATCTTCAGATTTTTGCTTCTTGAACGGTTTTAATTTTATTTCTTCCGGAACTTCTTCAGGTTTAGGTTTCTGCTTGTACTTCAAAGTTATATCGTCTTCTTCAGGCGTTTCCTGCGGTTTGGGTACACCTTTGACAAGAGTAATTTCTTCAGTTTCAGGCACCGGTTTAGTTTTCTTTTTCTTAGGTTTCTTAGGCGTGTCAGGTACCGGCTTTTCTTTATCTTCCTTTTCGAATTCGAATTTATCAAGTTCTTCTTTTTCGGGTTCTTCCCTTTCGATATCGTAAGGTTCAAATTTCATTCTGTCTGTATCTTCTTCTTCTTTTATGACTTTAGCTTCGATTTCTTCTGGTTTCTTTTTTATCTTCGGCTTTTCTGGTTGCTCTTCTTCTTGGAGCGGTTTCTCCGGCACCGCTTTCAATTTAATTTTGTCTTCAGTTTCTTCGTCTTCGGGAAGTTTGCCTTTCTTTTTCACTATTTTCTTCGGTTCTTCTTCGGTTACCGATTTTTTACGAGGTTTTGCTTCGTATTTGAAAGCATCATCAACCTTCTCTAATTCCTTCTTCTTGTATTCTTCCATTTCCAGATCAAGTTCCTCCAAAGCCTTCAAATCTACATCTTTATCTCTAAGACGACGTTTCTTCGTTTTCTTCACTTTCTCTGCTTCTTTTACGTTCCTTGATAATACCCCGTTGTCTCTATATACCGGCTCTAACAGGGATATTCTGGGCAGTTGTTCTGCTTCAGTTTTCGGCGGGAAATCAAAGAAATTGATTCTGCTCTTCAGCAGGAATTTGGGCAATTTTGTCTTCTGCTCTTTCTTCTGAACCACCTTGGGTTTCTTAAGCTTGATTTCGCTCAGCAATGGCACGTCTTTACTCTCCACTATCTTCAGCTTCTGAGCTTTGACCTCTTTGCGCTCGATGGGCATCAGAACTGAGGTTTCCCTTCTAAGCGGTGGTTTCTTCTTTTCGACAATTTCATCTTCCTTTTGCACTTCGTCTTCTATTGGTTTTTCTTCTTCTTCAGGCCGTTCTTCTTTAGTCTTGGGTTTCTTCTTTTTCGGTTTCTGTTTCTTCGCTTTAGGCTTTTCTTCTTCTTCGATATCTTCAATAATTACGCTGGTTTGCGGCGATTTGCCTTCTTCTTCTACCGTAATTATCTCAATCAGTTCGTCCTTCTCGCCTTTCGGTTTTTTGAATCTTCGTTTAGTCACCTTCACTTCGGGATGTCCTTCGAGTACCTCCGATTTGGTGATGGTGATTTCTTCAGGAAGTTCTTCAATGTAAGCAGGGGTGAAGAAACCTCGTATGGGTGGAATAGTTTCTAAGGATTCGATGGGAAGATCGATTTCTTCGATGACGACCGTCGTTTTGGGCGCCTCGCCTTCTTCGATTACAGTGAAGATTTGCGTGATTTCTTCTTTGTTACCGATCCTCTTCTTCAGCACTTTCTTCTTCGATATCTGCTTCTTCGGGACCCCGTCTTTGCTTATGGTTTCGATTACTTGGATTTCTTCAGGAACTGGTTCCGTGTATGTGGGTTGCATTGGGGTTTCTTCAGTTTCTATTTCCTCAATGGTTACGGAGCTTTGGGGTTGTTTATCTTCTTCTTCTACAGTTTGGATTTTGATTAATTCGTCTTTGCTGCCTTTGCGTTTTTTGAGTACGCGAGTTTCTATGACTTTCTTCTTCAATTTGCCCAGTTTGTCTTTCTTCTCTATGACTTGGATTTCTGTTGGTAGTTCTTCGACTATTTCTTCGGGAATTTGAGGTAGTACTAGGTCTTCCGTAAAGTCTATTTCTTCGATAACCACGGAAGTTTGGGGTTCCTTGCCTTCTTCTTCTATGACGGTTATGCTAGTGGTTTCCATTTTGTCGCCTTTCTTCTGCTTGATCTTCTTCTGTCTGAGCTTGGTCTTCTCCACGCCTTTGGGAGTTATTTTCTCTATTATCTTCGTATCTTCTGGAAGCTCTACGATGTACTGCGATTCATCTTCGATTATTTCTTCAGCTGGTACGTCGACTTCGTGGATTACGATCGAAGTTTGCGGCGCCTTGCCTTCTTCTTCTTTAGTGATGATTTCGGTAATTTCGTCTTTGCGACCTTTCCTCTTTTTCATCACTTTCTTTTTCACCGTTACCTGTTTGTTGTCTTCCATTTTGATTTCGATTTCTTCGGGCATTTCGATGACCGTAGCAATCGAAGATTCAGGCCATTCTTCTTCTTCAGTCGGGAGTTCTTCTATTGTGACTGATGTCGTGGGTTCTTCGCCTTCTTTTTCTTCAGTGCGTATTTGCATGATCTCCGTTTTGTCGCCTTTCTTCTTTCGCAGAATCCTCTTCTTCACGGTGGTTTTCTGAGGTTTACCTTCTTCAGTTTCTGATTCGATTATTTGTATATGCTCGGGAAGTTCTTCGATTATTATTGGCCTTTCGTAGGTGGCCGTGACTAGGCCATCTGAGGCTTCTATGGTGGGAAGAGCTAGAGCTTTCTTCAAAAGTTCGATTTGGACCATTTCTACAACTCCTTCGGCGTTTTCTTTTTGTTTTGCTAGAGTTGGAACGAATAAGATGTTATCTTCAGTAATGAGCTTTACTTCTTCCTCCTTGGGTTTCTTAATTTTCTTCTTTACTGTCTTTTTAGTTTTCGTTTTTTCCTCCGTGATTTCTTCCTCTTCAGGTTGTTCTATTATAGTTGTTGTTTCTGGTTGTTTCGTTTCTTCTTCTGCGATGAACGTTTCTGTTACTTCTTCTTTACCATCTTTTATTACGCGTTTTTTAATGACTTTCTTCTTTTTGTCGACTTTGGTTTCTGTTACTTCTGGTATTTCTTCGATTGTCACTGTTGTTTCTGGCTGCTTGCCTTCTTCTTCTACTGTTACATATTCGATTTGTTCTTCTTTATCATCCTTTCGTCGTTTGGTTACTTTTTTGGTAACCTTTTTCTTTTTACCTTCTGGCGTTATTTCTTCTTTTATTTCGACTTTTTCTTCTTCAGCTTCGTAAGTAATTGGAGTAACTTCTTCGGGAGTTTCTAATTCTTCAATAGTTACAGTTGTTTCGGGTTGTTTGCCTTCTTCTTCAACTGTAACGTATTCTGTTGCTTCTTGTTTGCCATCTTTCTTCCTAATTACTTTCTTTTTGGTGACTTTCTTCTTTTTACCTTCTGGTGTTATTTCTTCACGCACTTCAGTTCTTTCTTGTTCAGTAATTGGAGTTACTTCTTCTTCCTCTTCGGGACCTTCCAATTCTTCTATAGTTACTGTTGTTTCAGGTTGTTTGCCTTCTTCTTCAACCGTAACGTATTCTGTTGCTTCTTGTTTGCCATCTTTCTTTTTAATTACTCTCTTTTTGGTGACTTTCTTCTTCTTACCTTCTGGTGTTATTTCTTCACGCACTTCAGTTCTTTCTTGTTCAGTAATTGGGGAGATTTCTTCTTCTTCCGGTGCCTCCAATTCTTCAATAGTTACTGTTGTTTCTGGTTGTTTGCCTTCTTCTTCGACTGTTACATATTCAGTTTCTTCTTGTTTACCGCCCTTCTTCTTAATTACTCTTTTTTTGGTAACTTTCTTCCTCTTACCCTCTGGTGTAATTTCTTCACTTACTTCAGTTCTTTCACTCTGAGAGATTGTTATGACTTCCTCTTCCGGTGCTTCCAATTCTTCAATAGTAACTGTTGTTTCAGGCTGTTTGCCTTCTTCCTCAATTGTAACGTATTCGGTTGCTTCTTGTTTACCGTCCTTCTTCTTGACTACTCTCTTTTTAATAATTTTCTTCTTTTTGCCTTCAGGTGTTATTTCTTCAATAACTTCAGTTCTTTCCTGCTCAGATATTGGAGTTACTTCTTCTTCTCCCGGCCCTTCCAATTCTTCTATTGTGACTGTAGTTTCAGGTTGTTTGCCTTCTTCTTCTACCGTAATGTATTCCGTTGCTTCCTGTTTACCGTCTTTCTTCTTAACAATTCGTTTTTTAGTAATCTTCTTCTTTTTACCGTCTGCTGTGGTAACCTCGCTAATCTGAACTCGTTCTTCTTGAGCTTCTTCAGGAGTTTCTACTTCTTCTATAGTAACTGTAGTTTCCGGCTTCTTACCTTCCTCTTCAACCGTAGTATATTCGGTAGTTTCTTGCTTACCATCTCGTTTTTTAACTACCCGTTTCTTAATGATTTTCTTCTTCCCTTCTTCAATTACCTCTTCGGTCACCTCTTGCGGTTTTTCTTCTTCGAAGACAATCGACGTTTGAGGTTCCACAATTTCTTCTTCAACCACCAAAATCTCTCCGCCTTGTTCGTCCTTTATCTTCTTAACTACCTTCTTCTTCGTGATCTTCTTCTTCTTGGTTTCTTCCTCCACTACCGGCTCGATGGTAATTTCTTCCACTTTAACATCAGTTTCTGGAAATTTTGTGCAATTAAGAAAATGATGTTAATCGCATAAACATTCGCCTACCTTTCTTATCTACTTCTGATATTTCTTCAATGGGTTTCTGAGTTTGTACGGCTTCAATGATAACGGATTCTTTGAGTTCCTGCACCAATTTTCCTTTGGCCTTCTCCTTGTCAGCGGGCTGCTCTTCTAAAAAACGCCACAACGAAGCGTTAGAACAAAATATAGCGAAGAAAAAATGAAGAAAATTTCTTACCTAGTGACATGTCCTGTGTATTTTCAGATGTGTAAACTTCAGTGACTGTTTTAGGGGTGAGTGGTGTAATTGTTGGTGTAATTTTCTCACTTACAGTCGCCTCTTCGAGCGCGTCAGTGTACTCGTAAACGTTAACATACTGCCTGATGAGCTTATCTTCTTCGAAGATCCTCACTATTTCCGTCGCTTCGATCTTCGGCCCGATTTTCTTCAGAAGTTTCCTCTTTTTGGTGACGGTTTTCACGGGTTTCTTGCCCTTTTTAGTTACTTGACTGACGGTTATATCTTCCGGAAGTTCCAATAAAGCGGCTACTGGATGTGAAGTATCATCTTTCTTCGGTTCTTCTTTTATATCCAACTCTCGTTCGGGCGATTCGCCGTCGATTTGGCGAGTGTAGATGTCGATGGTTTCGACTTTGCCGGCTTGCTTCTTCTTCTTCAGCGGGCGCTTCTTCACGGTTTCTTCTCGACCGTCTTCTAAAACGCGCGTGGTGGTTTCTTCTTTGTATTCGAAGATTATCCTGCATTTGCCGGTGGATACGTTCAGTTCCAATGGGAACTGGGGCAGGGGATGGGATAGATACTTTTTGATCATCTCTATTCTCAGTATATTCAGAATTTCTTCATCTGTAAAGTCGCATCTTGCCTCGAACAATGTCGGCACGAAGAGTATCTTTTCTTCGGGAATTTCTTCTTCTTGTACGGTTATCGTGGTTTGCGGTTGTTTGCCTTCTTCTGTTACGGTGATTATTTCGGTTTTTTCTTCTTTGCCGTCTTTCTTCTTTTTGATGACGCGCTTTTTGGTTACTTTCTTCTTCTTCTCGCCTTCTTGGGAGACTACTTCGGATTCTTGCACTTCTTCCGGCAGTTCTTCCACGACGCAAATGTCTTTTTCGGGGAGCTTTTCTTCCGGAACGTCCAGTTCTTCTTCAATTACTGTTGTTTGCGGTTCTTGGCCTTCTTCTTCTACAGTAAGAATTTCCGTTTTGAGTTGCTTCCCGTCTTTTTGCCTGCGAATGACGCGTTTCTTGGTGGTTTTCTTTCGCACTTCGCCTTCAGGCGTAACGATTTCGGTTATTTCCTCTTCCGGTCTTTCTTCCAACACAAGCTCACCGGTGGGGATCTTCGGAATGATCATTGTATCTTCAATTTCGGGTTTGAATTGATCGTCCGATTCGCTCTTTTTGAAAGGTTTCAGTTTGATTTCTTCCTTATCTTCGTCCGGTTTGGGTTTCTGTTTGTAATGAAGAGATATTTCTTCGTCTTCAGGGGCGTCTTTAGGTTTAGGTTTGCCTTTGGTTAGGATTCTTTCGTCCGATTCCGGTTGTTTCTTAGTCTTTTTCTTTTTGATGGGTTTGGTTTCTTCGATTTTCTCATCTTTAGGCGTTTCTTCCGAAATAGGCTCATTTTCTTTTTTAGGTTTTTCGAGGGTTTCATCATCGAATGGCGTTGGCGCGAATTTAATCTGATCTTCATCTTCTTTTGGAGTTATTTGTTTGGATTTATCTTTAGGTTTTGATTTAGGTTTGGGAACTTCTGTAATCTCTTCTGGCGCTTCTTTGCCAGGTATAGGCTTAAGTTTAACAGTTTCGAGATCTTCGATTTCTTCCGGAATTTTTCCCTTGCCTATTTTTAGCTTCTTCGGCTGTTCTTCCGGTGATTCTTTCTTCTTAGGCTTGATCTTTTGCTTGTAGGCTTCATCTATTTGTTCTAGTTCCGGTTTCTCAGGCATATCGACCAGATCTAGTTCTTCCAAAGCTTTCAAATCCAAGTCCTTGTCTCTGAGTCGTCTCGGCTTGGTTTTCTTCAGTTTTTCTGCTTCTTTTACGTTCCTGGACAGGACGCCATTGTGTCGGTACAAAGGCTCGAGGATGGAAATTCGAGGAAGTTGTTCCAACTCTCCTTCTGTTGGAAATTTCACAGGAGTTATCCTGCTTTTGAGGAGGAATTTAGGTAATTTCACGCGATCTTCTTTTTTGGGAAGAACTTTGGCTTTGCGCAGTTTTACGTTGGCCAAAAGAGGGATGTTTTCGGAATCGACGATTTTTAATTTTTCCGGTTTTTGGTCTTTTCTTTCGATTGGCAACAAGACTGAGACTTCTTTTCTGAGTTGTGTGGGTTTCTTTTTGATGATCTCGGTAGTTTCGGGTTGTGTTTCTTCGGTATCTCGTGTTTCGGGTTTCTTTTTGATGATCTTCTTCTTTTTCTTAATAGTCTCTGGTATCTCGATTTCATCGATTGTTACTGTTGTTTCTGGTTTTTTGCCTTCTTCTTCGACTGTTACTATTTCGGTTTTTTCTTCTTTGTCGCCTTTTTGTTTTTTGATGACGCGTTTCTTTACGATCTTTTTCTTCTTTTTGCCGTCAGTAGTTTCGTATTCAGTTACTTGTACTTCTTCAGGAAGTTCTTCAACTGTGTAAATAGGTGATATTTCTTCAGGAGCTTCAAGTTCTTCAACAGTTACGGTAGTTTCAGGTTTCTTACCTTCTTCTTCAACAGTTACTATTTCTGTTTTCTCTTGTTTATCACCTTTCTGTTTTTTAATGATTCGTTTCTTCACAACTTTCTTTTTCTTCTTTCCATCAATACTTTCAATTTCTGTTACTTGTACTTCTTCAGGAAGTTCCTCAACTGTGTAAATAGGTGAAAATTCTTCCTCGGGAGCTTCTAGTTCTTCAACAGTTACTGTTGTTTCAGGTTTTTTACCTTCTTCTTCGACGGTAATTATTTCTGTTTTTTCTTGTTTATCGCCTTTCTGTTTTTTAATTACTCGTTTCTTCACAACTTTCTTTTTCTTCTTGCCATCAATAGTTTCAACTTCAGTTACTTGTACTTCCTCAGGAAGTTCTTCAACTGTGTAAATAGGAGTAACTACATCTTCAGGAGCTTCTAGTTCTTCAACAGTAACTGTAGTTTCAGGTTTCTTGCCTTCTTCTTCTACGGTTACTATTTCTGTTTTCTCTTGTTTGTCACCTTTCTGTTTTTTGATGATTCGTTTCTTTATGATCTTTTTCTTCTTCTTGCCATCTATAGCCTCAACTTCAGTTATCTGTATTTCTTCAGGAAGTTCTTCAACTGTGTATACGGGAGAAATTTCTTCTTCGGGAGCTTCTAGTTCTTCAACAGTTACTGTGGTTGCAGGCTTTTTACCGTCTTCTTCAATTGTTGTATATTCAGTTGCTTCTTGTTTGCCATCTTTCTTCTTTACTACTCTTTTTTTAGTGATCTTTTTCTTTTTACCCTCAGGTGTTATTACTTCACTGACTTCAGTTCTTTCTTCTTGTGTTACGTGTGTAATTGGAGAAACTTCTTCAGGAACTTCTAATTGTTCAACCGTTACTGTTGTTTCAGGTTGTTTGCCTTCTTCTTCAATTGTAACGTATTCTGTTGCTTCTTGTTTACCGTCCTTCTTCTTAATTACTCTCTTTTTAGTAACTTTTTTCTTTTTGCCTTCAGGTGTTATTTCTTCACTAACTTCAGTTCTTTCTTGTTCAGTAATTGGAGTTACTTCTTCTTCTTCAGGCCCTTCCAATTCTTCAATAGTAACTGTAGTTTCAGGTTTTTTGCCTTCTTCTTCAACTGTTATGTATTCTGTTGCTTCTTGCTTGCCATCTTTCTGTTTAATCACCCTCTTTTTAGTGATTTTCTTCTTTTTACCATCGGGTGTTATTATTTCACTAACTTCAGTTCTTTCTTTTTGTGATACCTGAGTAATAGGAGAGATTTCTTCAGGAGCTTCTAATTCTTCAACAGTAACTGTAGTTTTGGGTTTCTTGCCTTCTTCTTCTACAGTTACTATTTCTGTTTTCTCTTGTTTGTCTCCTTTCTGTTTTTTAATGACTCGTTTCTTTATAACCTTTTTCTTCTTCTTACCATCAATAGTTTCTACTTCAGTTACTTGAACTTCTTCAGGAAGTTCCTCAACTGTGTAAATAGGTGAAAATTCTTCCTCGGGAGTTTCTAGTTCTTCAACAGTTACTGTTGTTTCAGGTTTTTTACCTTCTTCTTCAATTGTAACGTATTCCGTTGTTTCTTTTTTACCATCTCTCTTCTTAATCACTCTCTTTTTAATGATCTTCTTCTTTTTACCCTCCGGTGTTAATTCTTCTCTAATTTCAGTTCTTTCTTCTTGTGCAACGTGTGTAATTGGGGAAAGATCTTCAGGAAGTTCTAGCTCTTCAACAGTTACTGTTGTCTCAGGTCTTTTACCTTCTTCTTCGATAGTTACTATTTCTGTTTTTTCTTGTTTGTCTCCCTTTTGTTTTTTAATGACTCGTTTCTTTACAGTTTTCTTTTTCTTTTTACCATCAATGGTTTCTACCTCAGTTACATGCACTTCCTCCGGAAGTTCTTCAACTGTGTAAATAGGGGAAACTTCCTCTTCGGGAGCTTCTAGTTCTTCAACAGTTACTGTGGTTTCAGGTTGTTTACCTTCTTCTTCAATTGTAACGTATTCAATTGCTTCTTGTTTACCGTCCTTCTTCTTAATTACTCTCTTTTTAGTAACCTTTTTCTTTTTACCCTCTGGTGTTATTTCTTCACGCACTTCAGTTCTTTCTTGTTCAGTAATCGGGGAGACTTCTTCCTCCGGTGCCTCCAATTCTTCAACAGTTACTGTTGTTTCAGGTTTTTTACCTTCTTCTTCAACCGTAACATATTCTGTTGTTTCTTTTTTGCCATCTTTCTTTTTAATGACTCTCCGTTTAATGGTCTTCTTCTTTTTACCTTCCGGTGTCAATTCTTCTCTAATTTCAGTTCTTTCTTCTTGTGCAACGTGTGTAATTGGAGAAAATTCTTCAGGAGTTTCTAATTCCTCAACAGTTACTGTAGTTTCTGGTTTCTTACCCTCTTCTTCAACAGTTACTATTTCTGTTTTTTCTTGTTTGTCTCCCTTTTGTTTTTTAATGACTCGTTTCTTCACGATCTTTTTCTTCTTCTTACCATCAACAGTTACTATTTCAGTTACCTGTACTTCTTCAGGAAGCTCCTCAACTGTATAAACAGGAGAAATTTCTTCTTCGGGAGCTTCTATTTCTACAACAGTTACTGTAGTTTCAGGTTTCTTACCCTCTTCTTCAACAGTCACTATTTCTGTTTTTTCTTGTTTGTCACCTTTTTGTTTTTTAATTACTCGTTTCCTTACGATCCTTTTCTTCTTCTTACCATCAACAGTTACTATTTCAGTTACCTGTACTTCTTCAGGAAGTTCTTCTACTTTAAAAACAGGAGAAATTTCTTCGTCTGAGTCCAAATCTTTAGATACTTTTACTGTTGGCTGAATGAGAGCTTTCTTCAAAAGTTCGATTTGGACCATTTCTACAACTCCTTCTGCATTTTCTTTCTTTTGTGCAAGAGTTGGTACGAATAAGATGTTATCTTCAGTAATGAGCTTTACTTCTTCTTCCTTGGGTTTCTTAATCTTCTTCTTTACTGTCTTTTTAGTTTTCTTCTTTTCCTCCGTGATTTCTTCCTCTTCAGGTTGTTCTATTATAGTTGTTGTTTCTGGTTGTTTCGTTTCTTCTTCTGCGATGAAAGTTTCTGTTACTTGTTCTTTACCATCTTTTATTACGCGTTTTTTAATGACCTTTTTCTTTTTGTCAACTTTGGTTTCTGTTACTACTGGTATTTCTTCGATTGTTACTGTTGTTTCTGGCTGCTTGCCTTCTTCTTCTACTGTTACATATTCGATTTGTTCTTCTTTATCATCCTTTCGTCGTTTGGTTACTTTTTTGGTAACCTTTTTCTTTTTACCTTCAGGCGTTATTTCTTCTTTTATTTCGACTTTTTCTTCTTCAGCTCCAAAAGTAATTGGAGTAACTTCTTCGGGAGTTTCTAATTCTTCAATAGTTACAGTTGTTTCGGGTTGTTTGCCTTCTTCTTCAACTGTAACGTATTCTGTTGCTTCTTGTTTGCCATCTTTCTTCCTAATTACTTTCTTTTTGGTGACTTTCTTCTTTTTACCCTCTGGTGTTATTTCTTCACGCACTTCAGTTCTTTCTTGTTCAGTAATTGGAGTTACTTCTTCTTCTTCTTCGGGCCCTTCCAATTCTTCTATAGTTACTGTTGTTTCAGGTTGTTTGCCTTCTTCTTCAACCGTAACGTATTCTGTTGCTTCTTGTTTGCCATCTTTCTTTTTAATTACTCTCTTTTTGGTGACTTTCTTCTTCTTACCCTCTGGTGTTATTTCTTCACGCACTTCAATTCTTTCTTCTTCAGTAATTGGGGAGATTTCTTCTTCTTCCGGTGTCTCCAATTCTTCAATAGTTACTGTTGTTTCTGGTTGTTTGCCTTCTTCTTCAATTGTAACGTATTCTGTTGCTTCTCGTTTGCCGTCTTTCTTCTTAATTACTCTCTTTTTCGTAACTTTCTTTTTCTTGCCTTCAGGTGTTATCACTTCACTAACTTCAGTTCTTTCTTCTTGTGCTACGTGAATAATTGGAGAAGCTTCTTCAGGGATTTCTAGTTCTTTAACAGTTACTGTAGTTTCAGGTTTTTTGCCTTCTTCTTCCACTGTTACGTACTCAGTTGATTCTTGTTTGCCGTCTTTCTTCTTAATGACTCTCTTTTTAGTGATTTTCTTCCTTTTACCGTCGGGTGTTATTATTTCACTAACTTCAGTTCTTTCTTTTTGTGATACCTGAGTAATAGGAGAAACTTCTTCGGGAACTTCTAATTCTTCAACAGTAACTGTAGTTTCTGGTTTCTTACCTTCCTCTTCAATTGTTACTATTTCTGTTTTCTCTTGTTTGTCGCCTTTCTGTTTTTTAATGATCCTTTTCTTTATGACCTTTTTCTTCTTCTTGCCATCAATAGTTTCTACTTCAGTTACTTGAACTTCTTCAGGAAGTTCCTCAACTGTGTAAATAGGGGAAATTTCTTCTTCGGGAGCGTCCAATTCTTCAACAGTTACTGTAGTTTCAGGTGTTTTACCTTCTTCTTCAATTGTAACGTATTCCGTTGTTTCTTTTTTACCATCTTTCTTCTTAATGACTCTCTTCTTAATGATCTTTTTCTTTTTACCTTCTGGTGTTAATTCTTCTCGAATTTCAGTTCTTTCTTCTTGTGCAACGTGTGTAATTGGAGAAACTTCTTCAGGAAGTTCTAGCTCTTCAACAGTTACTGTTGTCTCAGGTTTCTTACCTTCTTCTTCGATAGTTACTATTTCTGTTTTTTCTTGTTTGTCTCCCTTTTGTTTTTTAATGACTCGTTTCTTTACAGTTTTCTTTTTCTTTTTACCATCAATGGTTTCTACCTCAGTTACATGCACTTCCTCCGGAAGTTCTTCAACTGTGTAAATAGGGGAAACTTCCTCTTCGGGAGCTTCTAGTTCTTCAACAGTTACTGTGGTTTCAGGTTGTTTACCTTCTTCTTCAACCGTAACATATTCTGTTGTTTCTTTTTTACCATCTTTCTTCTTAATGACTCTCTTCTTAATGATCTTTTTCTTTTTACCTTCTGGTGTTAATTCTTCTCGAATTTCAGTTCTTTCTTCTTGTGCAACGTGTGTAATTGGAGAAACTTCTTCAGGAAATTCTAATTCTTTAACAGTTACTGTAGTTTCAGGTTGTTTGCCTTCTTCTTCAACTGTTACGTACTCAGTTGCTTCTTGTTTGTCACCTTTCTTCTTAATGACTCTCTTTTTAGTGATTTTCTTCCTTTTACCTTCGGGTGTTATTATTTCACTAACTTCAGATCTTTCTTCTTGTGATACCAGAGTAATTGGAGAAGCTTCTTCAGGAACTTCTAATTCTTCAACAGTTACTGTTGTTTCAGGTTTTTTACCCTCCTCTTCAACTGTTATTATTTCTGTTTTCTCTTGTATATCACCTTTCTGTTTTTTGATCACTCGTTTCTTCACAACTCTCTTTTTCTTCTTACCATCAGTAGTTACAACTTCTGTTACTTGTACTTCTTCAGGAAGTTCTTGAACTGTGTAAATCGGTAAAACATCTTCAGGAGCTTCTAGTTCTTCAACTGTTACTGTAGTTTCAGGTCTTTTACCTTCTTCTTCGATAGTTACTATTTCTGTTTTTTCTTGTTTGTCTCCCTTTTGTTTTTTAATGACTCGTCTCTTCACAATCTTTTTCTTCTTTTTACCATCAATAGATACAACTTCAGTTACCTGGACTTCTTCAGGAAGTTCCTCAACTGTATAAACAGGAATAATTTCTTCCTCAGGAGCTTCTAATTCTTCAACAGTTACGGTAGTTTCAGGTTTCTTACCATCCTCTTCAACTGTTATTATTTCTGTCTTCTCTTGCTTATCACCTTTCTGCTTTTTGATTACTCGTTTTTTCACAACTTTCTTTTTCTTCTTACCATCAATAGTTTCAACTTCTGTTACTTGTACTTCTTCAGGAAGTTCTTGAACTATGTAAATCGGTGAAACATCTTCAGGTGCTTCAAGTTCTTCCACAGTTACTGTTGTTTTTGGTTTCTTACCCTCTTCTTCAACAGTTACTATTTCTGTTTTTTCTTGTTTGTCTCCCTTTTGTTTTTTAATAACTCGCTTCTTCACGATCTTTTTCTTCTTCTTACCATCAATAGTTACAACTTCAGTTACCTTGACTTCTTCAGGAAGTTCCTCAACTGTATAAACAGGAGTAATTTTTTCCTCAGGAGTTTCAAGTTCTTCAACAGTTACAGTAGTTTCAGGTTTCTTTCCTTCTTCTTCCACTGTTACTATTTCAGTTTGTTCTTGTTTACCATCTTTTAGTTTTTTAAGTACACGTTTTTTAATTACTTTCTTCTTTTTCTTGCCATCTTGGGTGATAACTTCACTTACTTGAACTTCTTCTGGCAATTCTTCCACCACATAAGTTGTTTTTTTAGGTATTTCATCAGTAGGTGCTTCAAATTCTTCAACAGTTACTGTAGTTTCAGGTTTCTTACCTTCTTCTTCAACAGTTACTATCTGCGTTCGTTCTTCTTTACCGTTTTTAATTTTTTTAATAACCCTCTTTTTAGTTTTTCTTGTTTTTGTTGTACCCTCCGGCGTTATTATCTCAGTTAATTCTTCAATCGGTTGTTCCTCCTCTATGTATTCAACTTTAGGCGTTTGCGGCAAATGCAATTTATCATCAATTCCTACTTTGAAGATTTCTTCATCTGCTTCCTTTTTAAACGGTTTTAATGATATATCTTCCGGCTCACTTTCCGGTTTAGGTTTCTGCTTGTAACTTAGGCTTATGTCTTCTTCAGTATCTTCTTCTGTAGGTTTAGGTGTGCCTTTACTTAATGGCGTCCTTTCTTCTGAAGTATCTGTTTTAGGCTTCTTCTTCTTCGGCGTTTTAGTTGCCTTTGGTTTCAGCGTTGATTGGTCTTTTTCATCTTCACTTTTTTCTTCAGGTTTATCATCAATAGAATCGCCTTCATATTTAAAAGGTTTAAATCCAATTTCCTCATCTTCTTTGGGTTCTATAGTTTTGCTATGTTTCTTCTCTGGCATTAGTTCTGTTCCTGCTGTTTGTTCTTCCTGCTCAGGTTGTTTCTTTGGAACTGGTTTCAATTGAACAGTTTCTTCACTTTCTATCTGCTCAGGTATTTTGCCTTTCTTTTTGATAAGTTTTTTAGGTTTTTCTTCGGGAGTGTCCTTCTTTTTAGGTTTCCTCTGGTATTTGAAAGCTTCATCTATTTCTTCCAAGTCAGGTTTCTTCGGTAGATCTTCCAGATCTAAGTCTTCTAACGATTTTAGGTAGTCTTTGTCGCGCAGTCTTCTTCGTTTGGTCTTTTTGATTGCTTCTGCTTCCTTTAAGTTCCTCGATAAAATTCCATTTTCCCTGTAGATGGGTTCCAAAATGGATATACGAGGTAGTTGTTCTTCTTCTTCCTTTGAAGGAAATTCGATGTGCGTAATGCGACTTTTTAATAGGAATTTAGGTAACTTCACGTGATCTTCTTTTTTGGGTAAAATTCTCGCTTTCTTCAATTTAATATTCGAGAGTAAAGGCACTTCTTTGGTGTCTATTATTTTAACTTTCTGCGGTTCTATTTTCTTCATTTCAATGGGAACCAATACAGAAACTTCTTTCCTTTGCAGCTTGTCCTTTACTTCGACAGGAACAGTTTCATCTGGTTTCTTTTTGTGTTTCTTTTTCTTCTTTGGAGAATCTTCTTCAGGTAATTCCGATTCCTGAATAATAACAGATACTTCAGGTGTTTTGCCTTCTTCTTCTACAGTAAATATTTGCGTGGTTTCCAATTTACCGTCTTTCTTTTTCTTGATGGTGCGCTTTTTAGCAATTCTCTTCTTCTTTTTTCCATCATCAGTTAATACTTCAGATACTTCCACTTCTTCGGGAAGTTCTTCTACTTCGTAGCCTCTTGTGTCTTGTCGAGGAGTGTCCAGTTCTTCAACAGTAACTGTAGTTTCAGGTTTTTTACCTTCTTCTTCAACAGTAACAATTTCTGTTTGTTCTTGTTTGCCATCTTTAACCCTCTTAATTACACGTTTTTTAATTATTTTCTTCTTCTTCTTACCATCTTGGGTGATAACTTCACTTACTTGAACTTCTTCGGGCATTTCTTCAACTACATAGGTTGGTTTTTCAGGTACTTCTTCAGCAGGCGTTTCAAATTCTTCAACAGTAACTGTAGTTTCAGGTTTTTTACCTTCTTCTTCAACAGTAACAATTTCTGTTTGTTCTTGTTTGCCATCTTTAACCTTCTTTATTACACGTTTTTTAATTATTTTCTTCTTTTTCTTACCATCTTGGGTAATAACTTCACTTACTTGAACTTCTTCTGGCATTTCTTCAACTACATAAGTTGGTTTTTCAGGTATTTCTTCAGCAGGCGTTTCAAATTCTTCAACAGTAACTGTAGTTTCTGGTTTTTTACCTTCTTCTTCAACAGTAACAATTTCTGTTTGTTCTTGTTTGCCATCTTTAACCCTCTTAATTACACGTTTTTTAATTATTTTCTTCTTTTTCTTACCATCTTGGGTGATAACTTCACTTACTTGAACTTCTTCTGGCATTTCTTCAACTACATAGGTTGGTTTTTCAGGTTTTTCTTCAGCAGGTGTTTCAAATTCTTCAACAGTAACTGTAGTTTCTGGTTTTTTACCTTCTTCTTCAACAGTAACAATTTCTGTCTGTTCTTGTTTGCCATCTTTAACCCTCTTAATTACACGTTTTTTAATTATTTTCTTCTTTTTCTTACCATCTTGGGTGATAACTTCACTTACTTGAACTTCTTCTGGCATTTCTTCAACTACATAGGTTGGTTTTTCAGGTTTTTCTTCAGCAGGTGTTTCAAATTCTTCAACAGTAACTGTAGTTTCTGGTTTTTTACCTTCTTCTTCAACAGTAACAATTTCAGTTTGTTCTTGTTTACCATCTTTAACCCTCTTAATTACACGTTTTTTAATTATTTTCTTCTTCTTCTTACCATCTTGGGTGATAACTTCACTTACTTGAACTTCTTCTGGCATTTCTTCAACTACATAAGTTGGTTTTTCAGGTTTTTCTTCAGCAGGTGTTTCAAATTCTTCAACAGTAACTGTAGTTTCTGGTTTTTTACCTTCTTCTTCAACAGTAACAATTTCTGTCTGTTCTTGTTTGCCATCTTTAACCCTCTTAATTACACGTTTTTTAATTATTTTCTTCTTTTTCTTACCATCTTGGGTGATAACTTCACTTATTTGAACTTCTTCTGGCATTTCTTCAACTACATAGGTTGGTTTTTCAGGTTTTTCTTCAGCAGGTGTTTCAAATTCTTCAACAGTAACTGTAGTTTCTGGTTTTTTACCTTCTTCTTCAACAGTAACAATTTCAGTTTGTTCTTGTTTACCATCTTTAACCCTCTTAATTACACGTTTTTTAATTATTTTCTTCTTCTTCTTACCATCTTGGGTGATAACTTCACTTACTTGAACTTCTTCTGGCATTTCTTCAACTACATAAGTTGGTTTTTCAGGTTTTTCTTCAGCAGGTGTTTCAAATTCTTCAACAGTAACTGTAGTTTCAGGTTTTTTACCTTCTTCTTCAACAGTAACAATTTCTGTTTGTTCTTGTTTGCCATCTTTAACCCTCTTAATTACACGTTTTTTAATTATTTTCTTCTTCTTCTTACCATCTTGGGTGATAACTTCACTTACTTGAACTTCTTCGGGCATTTCTTCAACTACATAGGTTGGTTTTTCAGGTTTTTCTTCAGCAGGTGTTTCAAATTCTTCAACAGTAACTGTAGTTTCAGGTTTTTTACCTTCTTCTTCAACAGTAACAATTTCTGTTTGTTCTTGTTTGCCATCTTTAACCCTCTTAATTACACCTTTTTTAATTATTTTCTTCTTCTTCTTACCATATTGGGTGATAACTTCACTTACTTGAACTTCTTCGGGCATTTCTTCAACTACATAGGTTGGTTTTTCAGGTTTTTCTTCAGCAGGTGTTTCAAATTCTTCAACAGTAACTGTAGTTTCTGGTTTTTTACCTTCTTCTTCAACAGTAACAATTTCAGTTTGTTCTTGTTTACCATCTTTAACCCTCTTAATTACACGTTTTTTAATTATTTTCTTCTTTTTCTGACCATCTTGGGTGATAACTTCACTTACTTGAACTTCTTCTGGCATTTCTTCAACTACATAGGTTGGTTTTTTAGGTTTTTCTTCAGCAGGCGTTTCAAATTCTTCAAAAGTAACTGTAGTTTCAGGTTTTTTACCTTCTTCTTCAACAGTAACAATTTCTGTTTGTTCTTGTTTGCCATCTTTAACCTTCTTTATTACACGTTTTTTAATTATTTTCTTCTTCTTCTTACCATCTTGGGTGATAACTTCACTTACTTGAACTTCTTCTGGCATTTCTTCAACTACATAGGTTGGTTTTTTAGGTTTTTCTTCAGCAGGTGTTTCAAATTCTTCAACAGTAACTGTAGTTTCAGGTTTTTTACCTTCCTCTTCAACAGTAACAATTTCTGTTTGTTCTTGTTTACCATCTTTAACCCTCTTAATGACACGTTTTTTGATTATTTTCTTCTTCTTCTTACCATCTTGGGTGATAACTTCACTTACTTGAACTTCTTCGGGCATTTCTTCAACTACATAAGTTGGTTTTTCAGGTATTATTTCAGCAGGCGTTTCAAATTCTTCAACAGTAACTGTAGTTTCTGGTTTTTTACCTTCTTCTTCAACAGTAACAATTTCTGTTTGTTCTTGTTTGCCATCTTTAACCCTCTTAATTACACGTTTTTTAATTATTTTCTTCTTCTTCTTACCATCTTGGGTGATAACTTCACTTACTTGAACTTCTTCTGGCATTTCTTCAACTACATAGGTTGGTTTTTTAGGTTTTTCTTCAGCAGGTGTTTCAAATTCTTCAACAGTAACTGTAGTTTCAGGTTTTTTACCTTCCTCTTCAACAGTAACAATTTCTGTTTGTTCTTGTTTACCATCTTTAACCCTCTTAATGACACGTTTTTTGATTATTTTCTTCTTCTTCTTACCATCTTGGGTGATAACTTCACTTACTTGAACTTCTTCGGGCATTTCTTCAACTACATAAGTTGGTTTTTCAGGTATTTCTTCAGCAGGCGTTTCAAATTCTTCAACAGTAACTGTAGTTTCAGGTTTTTTACCTTCTTCTTCAACAGTAACAATTTCTGTTTGTTCTTGTTTACCATCTTTAACCCTCTTAATTACACGTTTTTTAATTATTTTCTTCTTCTTCTTACCATCTTGGGTGATAACTTCACTTACTTGAACTTCTTCGGGCATTTCCTTAACTACATAAGTTGGTTTTTCAGGTATTTCTTCAGCAGGCGTTTCAAATTCTTCAACAGTAACTGTAGTTTCTGGTTTTTTACCTTCTTCTTCAACAGTAACAATTTCAGTTTGTTCTTGTTTACCATCTTTAACCCTCTTAATGACACGTTTTTTGATTATTTTCTTCTTCTTCTTACCATCTTGGGTGATAACTTCACTTACTTGAACTTCTTCAGGCATTTCTTCAACTACATAGGTTGGTTTTTCAGGTTTTTCTTCAGCAGGCGTTTCAAATTCTTCAACAGTAACTGTAGTTTCAGGTTTTTTACCTTCCTCTTCAACAGTAACAATTTCTGTTTGTTCTTGTTTACCATCTTTAACCCTCTTAATAACACGTTTTTTGATTATTTTCTTCTTCTTCTTACCATCTTGGGTGATAACTTCACTTACTTGAACTTCTTCAGGCATTTCTTCAACTACATAGGTTGGTTTTTCAGGTTTTTCTTCAGCAGGCGTTTCAAATTCTTCAACAGTGACTGTAGTTTCAGGTTTTTTACCTTCCTCTTCAACAGTAACAATTTCTGTTTGTTCTTGTTTACCATCTTTAACCCTCTTAATGACACGTTTTCTGATTATTTTCTTCTTCTTCTTACCATCTTGGGTGATAACTTCACTTACTTGAACTTCTTCGGGCATTTCTTCAACTACATAGGTTGGTTTTTCAGGTTTTTCTTCAGCAGGCGTTTCAAATTCTTCAACAGTAACTGTAGTTTCAGGTTTTTTACCTTCTTCTTCAACAGTAACAATTTCTGTTTGTTCTTGTTTCCCATCTTTAACTCTCTTAATTACACGTTTTTTAATTATTTTCTTCTTCTTCTTACCATCTTGGGTGATAACTTCACTTACTTGAACTTCTTCGGGCATTTCTTCAACTACATAGGTTGGTTTTTCAGGTTTTTCTTCAGCAGGCGTTTCAAATTCTTCAACAGTAACTGTAGTTTCAGGTTTTTTACCTTCTTCTTCAACAGTAACAATTTCTGTTTGTTCTTGTTTCCCATCTTTAACTCTCTTAATTACACGTTTTTTAATTATTTTCTTCTTCTTCTTACCATCTTTGGTGATAACTTCACTTACTTGAACTTCTTCTGGCATTTCTTCAACTACATAAGTTGGTTTTTCAGGTATTTCTTCAGCAGGTGTTTCAAATTCTTCAACAGTAACTGTAGTTTCTGGTTTTTTACCTTCTTCTTCAACAGTAACAATTTCAGTTTGTTCTTGTTTACCATCTTTAACTCTCTTAATTACACGTTTTTTAATTATTTTCTTCTTCTTCTTACCATCTTTGGTGATAACTTCACTTACTTGAACTTCTTCTGGCATTTCTTCAACTACATAGGTTGGTTTTTCAGGTATTTCTTCAGCAGGCGTTTCAAATTCTTCAACAGTAACTGTAGTTTCAGGTTTTTTACCTTCTTCTTCAACAGTAACAATTTCAGTTTGTTCTTGTTTACCATCTTTAACCCTCTTAATTACACGTTTTTTAATTACTTTCTTCTTTTTCTTGCCATCTTGGGTGATAACTTCACTTACTTGAACTTCTTCGGGCATTTCTTCTACTACATAATCTGTTTTCCCAGCAAATTCCTCATCAGGCATCTCTTCTACATCATATTTCGGTTTATCCTCTTCAATCCTCTCCTCGCCCATTTCCTCCTCCATTTCCACTATATCCACCCTGCTTTCCTCCTCATCCGGCTCGGGCCCCGTACGTTCAATCACCTCATCAATCACAACATCGTTATCTCCCTCCCGCTTCTTCTTTTTCCTTATGATCGTCCTCCTGATCTTCACGTTCTCCGTCCCTTCCGGCGTCGACCTAAAGTTCGTTATGATCTCTTTCGTTTCTTCCGTGTCTGTGTCGTGTTGAATGTTTGTCTGTATGTGCTCGACCTTGTTATCCACTGTACTTGTTCGTGTTTCTCTGGCTTGTGTTTTATGTATTTCTGGTACCTCCAGTGTGCCTGTAATTTCATGTGTGTAAGTATATTCATCGTATAAATTTGGATTTATTGGTTAGGTGTGTATCGTCTGTATGATATGGACCTATAGGTTGATGGAAATGGACCTATAGGTTGATGGACCCATGACATGGACCTATCACAAAGACCTATTGAGCTATAGATGGACCTCTCGATCCATTATAGAGATCTACAGACCTATAATATGAACCTATGACCCTTTGACATGGATCTTTAGACCTGTAACATGGATCAAGAGATCTACAACATAGACCAGTGGATCCTTGACATGGACCTATGGACCTATAGGGCCTGTGAAAGGTTGAATGCGCAAACTTACCCTCTTGTTCTTGCAGCAACACTTCAGTGATTTGTAGTGTAGGTGTTGTATCGGCCATCACGATTTTAACGGTTTTCGAAGTGGGCCGTGATTGGTCTAGTGTTCCTAGATTATCTTGGGGCGTCGCTTCGTTCACGACGATCTCGTGTTGAGGAAAATCGACGTAATTCAACTGGCCTTTGTGGCGGGTGAGTTTTTCGGTTTCCAGTAGGTCGTGGGATTGCAAGGAGGTGGTTTCTTCGCTGACAACCACGGTTTTCTGTTGGATTTCTCGTTTTGCTGTGGTTTCCGTGGCGGAGACTTGTTGTACGTCCTGGCCGGTTTGTCCGTGCGTTAGCACTTCAGTTACCACTAGGCTTTCTTTCAAGGATATCGTTTCGCTAGCTTTGGAAGGTTTCGGTGTAACTACATCGATGTCTTGAGCGATCGCTTGCGCTACTACATCAGTTTCGGTTAGGCTTTGTAGGGAATCCTGTTGTACTGTGGCTTGTTGTAAGGTTTCTTTCTTCTCTACGGTGAGGTTTGCTGCATCTTCCAAGGCGCCTACTTTCTGGCGTTCCACGACAACGTGCTCGGTGAGAGTAGTCGTGGCCTTCTCCGTTTTGTACTTATCACTGGTGAATGGTGATTCGGTTTGGCTCGATAGTACTTCGGTGATTTCGGCGGTTTTTCCGGGTTTCTCTAAGGAAACGTCGACGGATTTTTCCGCTTCGGTTACGGAGCGTTGGAAAGTCGTTTCCTGTTCCGCGTGAACTGTTTCCGTTACGTTCAGAGGCTTGAAGGGTATTTGGTCTTTGGTGGCGAATTTTTCTTCGGTTGGTTTCTCGGAGATGTCGCTGATGGAGAATTCCGATTGGACTTCGGTGATTTCCGTGGCTTCGCTAGGAGTGATTAACTTTTCCGCGGTTGATGTTGTGGTAGGTTTCTCTGTTAGTATCTCTTCCAGTTCGTTTGCTATGGTTTCAAAGATAGATAGGGATTCACCAGGTGTGAATTCGATGTTGATGGTTTTCCTGTCAGGTTGTTCTTCTGTTAGGGGTTGTTCGGTTTCGTGGATTTGCTTCTCTGTGACGATTAGGCTTTCCAACTCGTCCTGCGATTGCCTAGCGTTGTCCTTGAAGGTAGTTTGCCTATCGAATTGTGTCGTGGTGTCTCCAGGAACTATTTCGGATCTGGTGAGTGATTTGTGTGGTACTACGTTGATTTCTGATTGCTTCTCATCCAATCCAACGGGCTTTAAAGGAAGTTCCCCTTCATTTGTGATAATTTCTGTAACATTCAAACCGCCAACTTCGGAAATTATAGTTTCAGCCGTCTTCAAATCGGTTGCTGGTGAAGCTGAGAATTCTGATTCTCTCTCGTGTACTATATTCTCTATTTCCATGATGCTTTCGAACGTACTGGTTTCGATGTTAACATTGGATTCTTTAACGTGTTCTGGTTTAAATTCCGAAATATCCTCATTAGTGATTACTTCAGAAGCTTCAACAGGCCTCATGGTATCCAAGAGAGTCTCGGCTTTGGTGCCCAGTTCTGGACTTTCCTTGAACTCTTGCGCTACAGCCTCTGATAGTACCTCGCTTATAGTAACTCCGGATACAGTGTCCAGTTTTCGAGTAGCTGTCTTGGTGTCCACGATTAATCTTCCTTCGTAGTCGCCGAGGCTTTCTATAACCAGGGGTTTGTCTTGCGTAAGGCCTTCCGATGGGCTGAATTCTGGCAGAGCCTGAGCTGATTTAGCTTCGACTGGTTGCAGTTCGCTTGTCATGGAATGCGTCAGAACCTCCGTAGTCTGGGAGCTGGTGTTTTCGATTACGGCAGGTTCAGCCGAAGCGGCTTCGGGGCGTTTAGCTTCGTCGAAAGGCTGCTCTCTTTCGCCTGTGATGATCTGCATGGAGGAAACGGCGGTTTCGATGTCGATCTGCGCGTGCGCTTGCCGCTTTTCAGATTCACCAGGTGTGAAATCAGACTCTTTTTCTTGTACTTGATGGTGGGTTTCCACCACTTCCTGGTGCAGGATGGTTTCCACGTTCGCTGTGGTGGAACCTTCCGGTATGGTTGCGAAGTCTTTGAAGGTATCCGCCGGTTGGGTTTCCAGTTTTTCTGGAACAGCCATGACTTCCAAGTCAAACGTAGCTTTATGCTGGGCGGCAGATTGGAAATCTTCCAAAGATTGCTCCTTTTCTTGAACTGTTAACTCGGTTATGTTTAAACCGAAGGATTTTTCTTCCAAAGCAACATTTGCTTCGGATGTTGTCGGTTTGAATGTTCCAGTAAATTCCGTTTCGTTTTCGTGCACAACATTTTCTGATACGACCAAAGGATTCAGAGTGTCTTCCTTTTGCTGCGCTACGAGTTCCTCGGGTTGCGCGGGTTTGTGTTCACCAATAGCTTCGTGTAAATCGTTGATTGATTGTTCAGCTACTCTGTGCGGAGTGTCCAACAAGCTTTGGGCTTGCTTGGTTTCTGGAACGTTAAATTCGTTGAGCTCCCCTTCTTTCTGTCCTAGTATTTCCTCGGTTAATGTAATAGATTCTTTGGCTTCCAAGGAAATGGTAGCTGATGATTTGGGTTCAGCAATACTGGCAGTGAATTCGCGTTCGATATCCATAACGGTTTGTTCTGATACAATGATGGAATCCAAGGGTATCGTGGATTCGAGCGCTTTACCTTCATTAGAAGCCTCGCTTTCGAGCGTCTTCAATCCGTCTTCGACCAAAGGTTGAGATTGCACGACAACCACGCCAGCTTCGGATAGGTTTTGCTGCGCGTAGGTTTCGCTGAGTTTTAGCTCAGCTAATTCGGTTTCATTTTCATGCACCATCACCGTTTCGACTGTAACAGTTTGGTCTTCATCCATCAAAACTGAAGCATCCTGTGGTTTAGGTTTCTGTTGCTCAGGCGCTTGGCTCTCCAATTCCGAAGCTACCGTCTCGCTCAAAACAGCCGTGGGTAATGAAGAGATTTCAGTTTGAGCGTTGGCAGCTAGTGCTTCGCTCGACTCGAAATCACCGGCTGTATCCAGCAATTTGTGTTCGGTGCTTAGAGATGTTGAGAAAGTTTCCAGACCAGGCGCTGCTTGGTATGACTCTGGTTTGATGTCTTTGGGTAATTGAGCTTCGTTTTCATGAGAAATCGTTTGGGTGATGGTGAGACTTTGGTCCGGGATGAAGGATACTTCAGCGCTCTTTGATGGTGCATCGATTTTATCAAAGTATGATTCGTTTTCTTGGACAAACGCTTTGGTTTGTACTAAGGATTCCAGCGTTGTTTGTTCAACTTCTGCGTTAGCTAAAGTGCGTTGTTCCTCGGACACCTCACGAGTAGATTCTTCCGTTTGTACTAGAGATGTTTCGGCCACCGGTTGGACATCTATGGATTTGGTGGCTGATTTTCCTTCAGACAATTCCGGAGATTGGTATTCGTTTTCTTTCTCCGACGGTACAATTTCGGATACCTGGCTGACGGTTAAATTCTCGAAGTTTACCTCAGCAGTATGTCCAGTGGGTTTAAGTTCCTCCGCTAGATTTGATTCGCTTTCGCCTGGAACAGCTTCGATGTTCACGAGACTTTGATGCTCGGATTGAACTTCGATCGCTGACTGAGTATCAGTTACTTCTTTTTTGAAGTCTCCAAAGGCGTCACTCGGCAAAATTTCTTGGACTTGTACTACATCTTGAGGTATCAGAGACGTATCCACGGTTTTCTTTTCGGGTTCTTCACTCGTGAACGATTGTTCTCTATCTTCCGGGGATACCGTGGTGACGGTTAAACCTTCGGTGATCTGGAATTCCGGTTGGGCTTGTCTCCTCGACGGTGCAATTTCCGATAGCACGTCTTCAGATTCGAATGAAATAGTTTCGGTGGTTTTGAAGCTATCCACCGGTATGTAATCCCGCTGGGCTTGCTCTTTACTAACCTCTTGTTCATCGAACTTGCTCATGGATTCGTTGTGAACAGTTTCCTCTGTAACAGCGCTGATGAACGGTACAACAGTCGAATGTCCTTCGAACGATTCCAGTTGCTTAGCTTCGGGCAGCGATTTTTCCTTATCGTCTGCGGTTACTTCGGTTATATTCAAGCTTATAGCTTCGGGAATTTCCATGCTGGCTTGCTTGGCCTCCGGCACCACGTCCTCCAATTTGGTAGCTTCCTTCTCTCCCACGGTAATTTCCGTTTGAGTTAGAGCTATAGCAGCATCTCGACTGGCGATAGCCGTGTGGGATTCCGGAGTTGTTTGGGTCAATTCACCGGGAACAGCTTGCGCTGTTATTTGTTCGTGCAACGCCACTCGTTGTTCGTCGAAGCTCACCTGAGCAGAGGATTGCTCGGCTTCGGGCAGCTTCAAATCGCCTTCCTTTTGGTCGGCTCGGGTTTCTGTGATGGTCAGAGCCTGACCCGGTAGAATTTCCATGTTAGCTTGCTTTTCGTACGGTAAAAGTTCTTTAGGGAAAAGCTTCTCCACGTCAGTAACGTTGGTTTCTGTTACTACGAGTTCGGTGAAAGGTTTGGTGTATTTCTTCGCTTTGCCGGTGGGTATTTCTTCTTCTTCGATGAAATCCGCGTGCACCACGCTTTCGATTTGGGACGTGACGAAGACTTCTTGGGTGGTTAATGCTTGCGATGCCAGTAATTGTAATGGTTTGGGCTTGTCTTCGTATGTTTCTTCTTTCTCGTTAGTTTGAACCAGTGAGACGTTAGCGCCCGATAGAAGCTCGGTTAAGTTCACCACGACGTTCTTACCTTCGGGCTTGGCTTCTACGTAGTCTTTTTCCTTTTCGGCTAATTCGAGTTCAGTTACTTCCAGCGTGTTTAAGGCTTCTTGTTCCGCAGCCGCGGTTACCTCCTGTGGCTGGTCGATTTGGAGGTTCGAAGTGTGCTCTCTGGTCTCCGTGAGAATGTTGCTGGCTACCAGTCTGCTGGAGATGTCAGGCGTGGCGTGTACGCCTACGGGAGCTTCGCCAGGCGTGTAAGGTTTCTCGCTGTCTTCAGTTCGAGTTTCCGTCACGTTTATGGCAGTGTTGTGGTATAAAGTTTGAGTAGCTTGTTTCGTTTCCGCGATTTCATCCTTAATATCTTTGATGTTTTCAGTTGGAATTGCTTGGGATACGACCACTTCGCTGCGGATCGATTGTTGCACGTTAGCTTTACCTTCGTCTTTGGTGGGTTCCTTCAGAGCGCCGATGGTATCTTCTGGTGTGGTTTCCTCGATGAGTCCTATAGGTAGTAAATTACCAGGTAGTTGCTTGACCTTCTTGGATTCAGGCAGCTCGAATTCGTTGAGTTCCTTCTCAGTTTCGAGTATATCCGATTGAGTTACGGTGACTTCTTCTAAGGTTCTTGTCAAAGAGGATTCGATGTTGTAGGTTTCTTGTTGGAGGTGTTCATATTGGGTTTCCGTTTCTCCTGGGTGGGTTTCGGTGATGTTGGTGGCTTCCTGGGTTTGGATGTCTACTGAAACTACGTCTGTCTTGAACTTAGGCAGCGAGGTAAAGTCGCTGGGTAGTTCGTTGGTTTCGATTTCTTCGATCGTAAGGGATTGGTTGGGCGCTACGGATACTTCTGGTAGTATGCTGGTAGGTTGGGAGAAATCTGGAAGGGTATCCTCCGATTCCTGCACAGTGGTAACAGTTTGACTGGTGCTTTCCAGGTAAGTAAACGAAGCTCCGGCGCTCTTGTAATCGACCGGTTGGTCTTCGTACTGCATCTCCTTCTCGTTGTAAAACGTAGTCTGCGACACCAGCGATTCCAACGGAGATAACTCCACCGAGCTCTGCTGGAGGTTCGGCGCCTCCACGGCGATGTCCCCTTGCGGTTGCTGCGTGTCCACGGCGCTGACGCTCACGCCCTCCGATAGAATTATGTTCTCCACGGCTTGTCCGCTCTCTGCCACGAATTCCCCATCGAATTCGTTCTCTTTTTCGGAAACCTCCGTTTGCGAAACCACGACGCCTTCTTCGGCGGCGATGTTGAAGCTCGCCTTCTGCGAGGGCGGCAGCCTGCCGGGTATATACTCGCCTTCCAATTCCGGAGCTACGGTTTGCGTTTGCTGCAGCGACTTCTGCGCGATGACGCTCTTCGTGGCGACTTCGGTCGCTACGAACGCCTCCGGAAGATGTTTGCCGGGTTTATCTTGCGCTAGCACTTCCTCCACGCTCAGCGGCTCTCTGGCGTCGATGTTGTATCTGGGTTTGATGGGGATCGGTTTGGTGAGCTTCAGGTCCTCTTCGGCCATGGCTTGTTGGACTTCCTCCACGTGCAGGCCTTCTGTGGTGGTGAACGCCGGCTGCGCGTGGACTCCGGTCGGTTTGGTGAAGTCCTCCAGGTCGGTTTCCTTTTGCGATGCTTGAACGTCGGTGATGTTGGCGGCTTGTTGAGGAACGATGGCGATGCTGGCGTTTTCTGCTAGTTGTTCTACTTTATGGAAGTCACCAGGGGAGTCTCCTAGGTTGTGTTCTTGAACAATCAGGCTTTCTTTGGACACGAATTCCGCGGAAGCGTTGTATTCGTTAGGTTTAGGTTGCGGCACGTATTCGCCGGTGGTGCTTTGGACGGTCGTTTCGGTTGTTTCGAATGTCTCTAGAGCATCTATGGACTTGCTGGCTAGAGATGTGGTGGGTTCGAAGCGATCGCCGGTTTTTTCTTGTTCCTCCACGTAAACAGTTTCGTTTAAAAGTGAAGTGTGCGGTAATAAATCCACCGATGCTTTGCCTTCTTGTACCTCCTCGTTGATCTCCGGAGCTAGGCTCAAAGCCACTGCTTCGGAGTACGTAGCTGAGGTGTTTATTTCCAGGGGTTTAGCGTTTTCTGTTGTCGCTGGGGTGAATTCGGATTCCTTCAGCGATGCCTCAGTTTCGGAAACAGTCTTAGCTTCTTGAGGTATAATAGTCAACACGGCTTTGTTGTCTTGTACTTGAGCGGTTTCGTATTTGCTCGAGGTGTCTCCCAAGGTGATTTGCTCGATTTGCACGCCTTCCAGAGGTTGCAACACCTGATGTGCGCTGGAACTGGCCGGCTTGAAAACCTCATCGAAGCTTCCCGGCACCGTTTGCGCCGTTTGTTCCGTTATTTGAACAGCTTCAACGTTATCGATCCTTGTATCTGCTGTGGCAGATAGGCTGGGGATACCTTGGTAGGCTTTTTCGGTTTCGTTTATTTCGATTTCTTTGCTGATTATTGCAGAATGCGGTAGGATATCAACGGTGGCTTTTAGGTTATCGATTGTTTGGTCGATGTGGGATATTTCGCCAGTGGTAACTGCTTCTTGGACAATTTTAGATGAGCTCAACGGTAGTTCTTTTTGAGCGGGTAGTTCAGTGGGTTCTAGTACACCTGTATCTTCTTCTTCTATGTCGTATTCGTTGGTGCGAGGTTTGTACATTTGGATTTTCTTCTTAACCACTCGCTCTTCGTCGATGATTTCTTCTATTTCCACTTCTTCTGCGGAGCCTTTCTTTTTAACAACGTCGCGATTTTCCTCAACAACGGATTTTCCCTGCTGTCGAATTTCCCTCTGCGTGTCTTCCTCGACTTGAACGATTTCTGTGAAAGTGTATGTATGATAGTCGGATGTGTCGCAGAAACTCAGACAATGTGCTCAGAAAGGCTAAGCGTACAAGCTCAAGCCTAGAAACTAGATAATCGTGGCGGAAAAAGTAGAGATGAGCCGGTATTAATGAATTGCGAGTAAGTTTTTGTCGTGGGTGAGAGTATACGTTAGGTTTAATAACACTCACCTTAGCGGAGCCTGTTAGAAATAATCACTAATAAAGCCATGCTCACTATTTTGTACACTAATTTACGGGCGGTTCTAGCCGAAGCTTCACTATTTCACTAAGTTTTTTTGTCCAAGAGAAGCGATTATTAATTAAAATCTAACGCAGCTGGTTTTAATTTACTATTTTCTAATGCGAATTGCGTGCTGTAATAAACTCCGAATACTATATTCTTACAGTTTTATATTCATTATCATCTGTCAGAATACCGTTTTAGGAGGAATATAAAAATATTTACATAAAAGAGAATTCGAAATAATCCCATTCCATTCACAAAAAGCCTTTGATCGGGTGCTAGGAGTACTTACTAACAACCTAGTACCCCCGTAAAATTTACATTAACAAGCACTCCATTCGTAATCAAGTTATCTTACCTTCGATTTTCTCGTCTTTCTTCTTCTTCTGCTTCTTTATGATTTTTCCAGAATCTGGAAAAGTGCAATATGCAATTAACCGGGTCCAGCAAGAGTCGAGTGTTGCTTACCTTCCAAAATTTCGACTTCTTGGAGCAAAGTAGCAGTCTCAGAAATAGACTTGGTCGTGACCTAAATTAAATAAAACAAACAATTAAGTTACGCATTTGAAGAATTAGATGCGAAGAAGAGCAATATTCAGGAATAGAAGATAAGAAGAAAATTGGACAATTACACCATCTTGGACGATTGGAAAATTTCGGAAAAGCCTAACATCCGAAGAAGAAACAAACGTACCTCGGTGACTTCGGCAGTCTCCCACAACCGCTGCAGGAAGTCCTGCGGCGTGAAGCTGGTGATGACCTCCTCGATGGTAACGTACTCGGCCTCTATCATCTTCATGAAGGCGCGGAAGCCCACGGTGGCGGCGAGTTTGCTCTCATCCACGGCGCTCTCCTCGGTGAGCACCTCGGACACCAGCGGCCCGTAGCCCTTCCTCTCGACGACGTTGACCAAAGCGGACTGGGCCTGGGGCGACTTCAGCGACGGGAACCTGTCCTCCTCGTAGAGCACCGTCACCTCCTTGACGGTGATGCCGTTCTTGAGCAGGTAGCCGATCTCGGCGATCTCCCTCAGCGGGTTCTCGCCCGGCCCGAACTCCTTGGGACTGGTGAACTTCAGCATCTGGGACACCTCCTTGGCCATCTTCGTTTCGCTCTTGCGGATGATCTTCTCGCATCTGTCGATGATTTGGTCTAGGTTGATTTCGGCCAGCTCGGTGACGCCTTGTTGGACGGTTCGAGCGGCTTTGGATGTCCTCGGAAGGATCTTTTCGATGTCCTTGATGATCTCTTCGGTTAGGATTTCCTCGCGGTATGTAGCTTCGGCGGGCGAGAGCAGCTCGGTGGCTTTTTCTTCGGGCAATTCCTCGCTGTGGTCGTCTATCTTCTTAGCCGTTGCTATCGCTTCGGTACCTAAAGGTTGTTGCAAATCCAAAATAGGTTTCGCCTTCTCCGGTTTGGTGGCTTCGGGGATTTCTTTGGTCGATTCGATAGCTTGCACTTCGGTAACGTCCAAAGGTTTTTCTTCATCGGTAAATTTAGTAGTGACCCGTCTCCTTTCAGTTTTCTTCTTCTCGATCTTAACCCGTTCCTTCTTGATCCTCTCCTCTTCCTCTTTGGCTCGCTTCAGCTTCAATTCGCGCTTCTTGTGTTCGGGTATTTCTTGAACGTACAACTTGGCTTTGCTGGTAGCTTCGCCGGTTTCGCTCACCGCTCGGCAAACGTACGAACCGACGTCTTCATCAGCTACGTCTGTTATGGTTACGCTCGTCCTGTTATCTTCTATTCTCACTTTGATCCTCTCGGTGTTCCGGATGATTTTGTCGTTGTGATACCAGATCACGTCTGCGAAATTCGGATAAATTTCATTTAGGTGTCCAGGCAGAGGAGGAAATTGCTTCAAACTTCCCCAATCTTTCTTACTTTTCCCTAGCCTTTCCTAGCCTTCCCTAGCCTTTTCTAGCCGTCTTTAGCCTTCCCTAGCCCTCCCCAGCCTTCCTTAATCTTTCCTAGCACTTCCTAACCTATTGTAGCCTTGATTAGCTTTACTTTTGCATTCCCTAGCCGTCCCCAGACATCCATAACCTTTTTCTAGCATTTCCTAACTTTCTCTAACATTTGCTATGCATTCATCAGCGTTCTCTATCCTTCATGAGGCTTATCTAGATTTTCTTAGCATTCCTTAGTCTTTCCTAGCCTCCCCAGACATCCGTACCCTTTTCCTAGTTTTCCCCAGCCTTCATAACAATCTCCCATCCTTCTCTACTCACCTGGTGTAGGTGTTCCTGATAGAAGACATTCAAACTTGACTGTTTCAGCTTCGGTGGTTCGAATGTCTTTGATTTCATTGATGAATGTGGGTGGACTTTTCGCGGCTGCAACATCAACGAAGATGATTAAAAGTTCTCGGAAATACGTCGGTAGTACGACATTTTGATCGTGCACAACACATCGCAGAGAGAATAAACGGAAACAAACTGACCTTGCTATGCCCAAAAAAATAAACTCCAAATGCAACATCCCAGGAATTCTCAAGGGTCTGGTGCAGGATCGATTCTATTAACTATGCCTGTGTTTGAAAGGGATATTTACCTGTTGTTCTAAACGCTCACGGTCTGGTGCATGCTGGAAGAGGGTATTTATTGGTCTAAACAAAATGCAGAAAAAAAATACGCTTAGATATTAGCGAAAGGCGCAGGCAAAACGGGCGGTTAGTTTACCTTCGAAGCCGCTAGAGGGCTCCGGCACGAAGGCCGAGGCCAGGCCGCAATCGTTGCCGTCGTCGTCCATGCACTCGCTCTCCAGCAGCAGGAACTCCTGCAGCTCCTCCTGGCTGTCGGCCGTGTGCAGCTGGAAGAAAGCGCTGGGATCGATCTCTCTGGGCTCCAGCGGGAACATGGGGTTGTTGTCGCCCAGTTCGTACTCCTCCTCGTCGTCGTGTTTGATGTAATTGTCGCTCTTAACCCTCGGGAACGTCCGGTATCTCTCGGCCATTTTGGTTTCGCTCGTTTCCGAGGGGATCATATTGCAGGAGCTCGAGTATTTGCCCAGGGAGTCGTAGTATTTGCGCCTGTCCGAGCCTCCGCTGCCCTTCAGGCTGCTGCTGCCCGTCGAAGGCTCGCTCTTTTCCTCTATGGGCGATAGGATGTCGAAGAGATCGGTTTGAGTTTCTTCTTCTTTGAGACCAGCGGAGTTTTTGCTGAGGAATTCTTCCGGGAACGCTGGAGATTTGATCAGCTCCATCACGGAACTCAGCGAGTGCCTGTGAGAGTTGAGATAATCCGACATGGCAGCTGTGATGAAATCGCTGGATTTGGATTCCCCGCTCATCGCAGGCTCGCTTTGGATCGAATGGTGCGATTGCGTTAGATAGAAAGGCTCCTTGGCAGCCAGGTTACCGCTAAACGAGAGCCTCTTTCTTACCTTACCTTCGGTTTCGCGCTTGGTCATGGATTCCAGGCTATCGGCTGATATATCATACGACAAATCATGCGATAAGCTGCGATTATCTGCGATATTACCTTTAAGTGCGGTGGAGAGCTCTTCCATATGGGTCACCCACTCAGGCTTCCTGTAGTCCTTGGTCCCGACGATACCTGATAAACAGAACTATGTAAATCGCATTGCAAAAAATTTGTAGCGAATAGAGTGAGTTGTATTTGTAAATAGAAGTGTGGTTTTTGTTAAATGTTGAAGATTGGAGGAGAAAGGAAGGGAATACGAAGCTGAAATACGAAGCTGAAAGTAAAATTCGATTAAATATTTGCTCGCGGAAGATTAGTAGGCGGTATTTACCTTCTGTAGTTTCGACGAGGAGCTCGGAGGTGGTGACTGCTACTCCTAGAGGATTAGCAGCTTCGTACGTTATGGCTCCCGTGTCCTCGGGCAGGACTTCGGAGATGGTCAGCACGGAGGTGCCGTCTTCGAAGTTCTCGATAACAAACTCCTGAGACGGTACGATTTCCTCGCCGTGTTTCAGCCATTTGCCTTCGGGTTTAGGTTTGCCTACAGCTTGTACTTCGAACTTGGTTACTTCGCCATCTTTGACGGTAACCACTTGGGGAAGTTTCTTGACTATCTTCGGCGCTACTTCGGCTTCCGTATCCGACGGGAAGAGATCGGTTTCGCTTATGGTCTTGTCGGCCAGCAGATCCTCTTCGGAACCGGTCATGTGACCCAATTCCGAGTCTGGTACGTATTCGTAGGCTTCCACGATCAACGACGATTTGCAGATGGCTTCGCCGACGCGATTTACGGCTTCGCAAGTGTACACTCCCGCGTTTTCCGGGAACACCTCGCTTATGGCCAATGTGCAAAGGCCTTCGGTGTCTTGGTAGATCGTAATGTCCTTGGCTTCGTCGACGACGACGTCGTTGTGGTACCATTGGACTTTGGGTACCGGTTTGCCGGTCACCACGCAGCTAAACTCCACCTTTTCCCCGTCCATGACTCTGACGGGCGAGAGGCGCTTGACGAACCTCGGGTACTCGAGTTCTTTGGTTTCCTCCCATTCGGTGTCGTCTATCAGGTTCAGCGTGGACGTGCAGGTGACAGAGCCTACTGCGTTTTCCGCTCGACAGGTGTAGGAGCCTGCGAATTCCGGAGTTACTTCGGTTATCAGTAACACGGATTTGTTGTGTTTGGTGACGACTCTACGCGCTTGCGACGGTGTGATCGGGGTGAGATCGTGGAACCATTGGAATGTAGCTTCAGGTGTAGCTTCGACGATAGCTTCGAGGATGACGGTATCGCCTAATAAAGCCTTCTGCGGTTTGATCACTTCCACGAAGCGCGGCGGTTGGGCGTCCGAACGTTGTTCCACTACGGTTACCGATCCCGAAGACCTAGCTTCGCCTCTTTTGTTGACAACCCTCACTTCGTATTTGCCGCCCTTCTGCCTCTTGGCCACTTTCTTCTTGATCACCAGCTTAGTGGCGTTAGCTTCGGTTTCGATGCGGAAATCGTCGCTGGGTTTGATCTCGGCGCCGTTTCGCAACCAAGTCACCTCCAGCTGGGGGGTGCCTTCGAAGCCGGCTTCCAGCACGACGTCTTCGTCGGGTTTCACCAGCGCAGCTCGCACCGGCTTGGTGATCCTGGGAGCGTGAAGAACCACCGGTTGCGCGACCGAAACCGATTTGGATATCACCAAATTGGCCCGGCACTCGGCTTGCCCGAACTTGTTCGAGGCTTTCACGCTGTAGATCTTCTCGTCTTCTGGCGTAGGTTTGGATATCTCCAAAGTAGCCACGCCAGTGGCGGGGTTGAACGATTGTACATGTTGAGTGGAAGGTTTGAGCGGTTTTCCTTCTTTGAACCAATGAACTTCGGGTGTTGGTTGGCCGGTCACCACGCATTCCATCGAAGCTGCTTGGTCTTCTCCGACTATCTTCGGTTGCAGCGGTTGTGTGAAGCGCGGGGCTTCGCCAGGTTCTTCTTTTTCTGCAAAAACATACAAGTTAGTTAGCAACTGCGGTAGTACGAGGTGTAACAACACAAAAAAAACACTTTTAGCTTTAAAAACAGTTATGCTTCGAAGCAACGTCAATCGGAAGCGTTATCATTGGTTCAGCCGAGCAATAGTGTACCTAGAATGACGAGGTTCGCCGTAGACGTGGCAACGCCGGCGGGATTCGATGCTTTGCAGGAGTATATGGCGACGTCCTGGGGCTCGACCTTGGCGAACTCCAAGGAGACGGTGTTCTCGACGATGTTGACGAAGACTCGCTCGGTGCTTTGCAGCACTTTCTCGTTTTTGTACCAGGTGATGTCGGGGAAGGGCGCGCCTTCGACTTTGCAGGTCAGCAGCGAAGGTTTGCCTTCTTCGGCGACCGCAGGCTCGACTCTTTGGGTGAACCTTGGGGCGATGGTTTTGGGCTTGGTGCGCTTTTGGAGGATGGTTTTTTCTATTTCGGTTCGTTCTTCTTCGGTTAGTTCTTCTTCTGTTGGTATTTCTTCGACGATTTTGGCTTCGTCGAAGGTGACGGTTTTTTGTTTGACTTTTCTGATTTTCTTGGTTTTCACTTGGACGGTTTCTTCTTCAATTTCTTCTTTTTTATCAAGGGCTTTGATTGCTATTGTGTCATCGTGTTCGCTGAGAGGAATTTCTGTAGCAAATTCTCGTTTGATGGTTTCTATTTGAACTTTTTGCACAGGTGTTTCAGGTTTTTCTTTACTGATAGGTTTCAATTTGATTTCTTCCTTTTCTTCTTCGGGTAGAGGCTTCCTCTTACCTTTCGGCATTTCTTTGGATTCTTCGTCAGGTTTAGGTTTCTCCTTAACGGTTCGTCTCCATGGTGCTTTGGGTTCTTCGACGATAGGTTGGGCTTCTCTGATTTCTTCGGATATTTCTTCAGCTTTTTGTTCGATTATTTCGAGTTTTTCGTCGGTGGTCTTGGGCGACACGTCAAACTCAGGTTTCTCGTATTCTTTAGGTGTAGCGATAGATTCTGGTGAAGGTTTAAATGTAGATTTTTCCGGAACTTCTTCTGGACCTTTTGGTTGCCTCTTTACAGGTTTTAGTTTGACTTCTTCTTTAGATTCTTCTTCTAAAGGTATTTTGCCTTTGCCTATTTTCAGAGTAATTTTTTCTTCTTCTGGTATTTCTTTTTTAGGCTTCTCTTGTCTTCGCCAAGGAGTTTCTTCTATTTCCTTGGTTTCCTTAGGTTTCTTGTCAATTTCGACCTTTTCAGCAACTTCTGGTACGTATTTCTCGATTTCCTCAGGTTCTGGCATTTCTTCTTCTTTTTGAGGTCTCTTCTTTTTGATCTTCTTGACGGTAACTTCTTCTTTTTGTTCTTCCGCTTTAGGTATCGGTTTTAACGTAACTTGTTCAATTTCAGCTTCTTCAGGTTTAGGTTGTGATTTAGGCACAGGCTTCAGTTTCGGCAATTCTTCAACTTTGACCTCTTCTTGTTCGTACTTTTTAGGTTTCTTAGGTTTCGGTTTTTCTTGATCGTCCAATTTCAAAACCACCGTATCTTCGATTTCTACAACTGTTTCCACTATTACAGATTCTGGTAATTCGACTCTCTGAATTTCCTCTGCTTCAGGCTTGATTTCTTCGACGTCTTTAATTTCTTCAGTCGTTTCTCGTACAGGTTTCCTCTTCGGTTTCTTCCTTCTCGTTCGTTTCGTTTTGCCAACTTCAATCACTTCTTCGATTTCTTCTTCTTCTTCTGAAGATGATTTAGGTTTTTCTTCTGCTTGTTGTTTTTTAACAGGTTTCAATGTAACAGTTTCCATTGTTGGTTTTTCAATCGGCTGGATTTGTTTTGGAGTTTTCTTCAATTGCACTTTTTCTGGAGTAACCTCTTCTTCCTCTGGAACAGTTACTTCCTTAGCAAGTTGCGGTTGCTTGTCAATTTCTTCTGCCTTTTCAACTATAAGAGATTGCTCAGTAACTTTCTTAGTTGTTTCTTCTTCAGGTGAAGTATCAACTGTTTCTTCTCTTTCGTGTATTCTATCGTCTTTCTCAATCTTCTTCTCTTTCTTGATTTTCTTTTTAATTTCTTTGGATTTTGCTGGTTCCTTTTCTTTTTCTTCTTCAGTTATCAATTTTTCTTCAGTGATTTTGTCGCTGTCTTTCTTTGTTTTCTTTACAAATTCTTTCGGTTTAAGTTCGATTTCTTCGATTTCTTCTTCATCTATTTGTTTAATAGCTGTTTCTTCGACAGTTTTCTTAACTGGTTTTAAGTCTACTGCTTCCAATTCAACTTTGCTCTGTTCCTTTTTACTCACTTTGGACGGTTTCAATTCAATTTTTTGTTGGTTCCATGGAACTATTTCTTCTTTAGCTTCCAGAGGAATGCGTTTCTTCTTCGGTTTTTCTTCAGGTTTATCTGTTGGTTTGTCTAGTTCTTCGACTTTAGGTTGTTCTTCTTGTTCTGGTTTTTCTTCAGTTTTTGCTTCTTCCACTACAGGCTCCTCTTCTTTAGGTTTAATTGGCTGTCTAGGTTTGCGCCAAGATTTTACTTCTGTTATTTCTTCACTTATATCTTCAGGTTTAGCTGTTTCCTCAGGTTTAGCAATTTCCTCGGGTTTCTCAACTATATCCTCTTTTTGAACGTCTCTAACGACCTTTTCTTTATCTTTTTTAACTTTCTTTTTGATTACCTGCTTACTTTTATCTTCTTGTTCTTCATCTTCAATAGGTTCAATAAGAGTTTGATCTTCAGTATAAACTTTTTTGAATGGTTTTAGTTCTACTCTCTCTAGTTCATCTTTAACTATTTCCTTCTTTTCAACTTTAGATCTCTTAAGATTAATTTGTTGTTTATTCCATGGAATGATTTCTTCTTCAGCTTTCTGTACTTTAGTCTCTTCTTCTTGAACTTTTTGCAAAGGTTTCTCTTCGGTTGGTTGCTCAATTACTGGTTGTTCTTCTTCAGGTTTTACAGGTTTTCTAGGCCTACGCCAAGATTTCACTTCAACAGTTTCTTCTTTGGTTTCGATTGTTTCTTCAGGCTTAATATCCGTTATTTCCTCTTTCTTGGTGTCTTTAACAACTATTTCTTTGTCTTTTTCAACTTTCTTCTTGATTATCTTTTTACGGTCTTCTTCTTGCTCCTGTTCTTCAACAGGTTCAATTAAAGTTTGATCTTCAGTATGAACTTTCTTAAATGGTTTTAGTTCCACCTTTTCTAGTTCATCTTTAACTATTTCTTTCTTTTCTACTTTAGATCGTTTAAGAGAAATTTTCTGTTTATTCCATGGAATAATTTCTTCTTCTGCCTCTTGCAATTTAGTTTCTTCCTCTTGAACCTGGTGCACCGGTTTTTCCTCTTCAGGTTTTGTTGGTTTTCTAGGTCTACGCCAGGATTTCACTTCGGTGGTTTCTTCTTCTACTTCTGTAATTTCCTGAGGCTTCACAATTTCCTCAGGTTTAACTTCAGTTTCTTCTTTGAAATCATCCTTAACCACTTTTTCCTTTTCTTTAACCACTTTCTTTTTGATAATCCTTTTAGTTTCTTCTTCTTGCTCTTGTTCTTCAACAGGTTCAATTAGAGTTTGATCTTCAGTATGAACTTTCTTAAATGGTTTTAGTTCCACCTTTTCTAGTTCATCTTTAACTATTTCTTTCTTTTCTACTTTAGATCGTTTAAGAGAAATTTTCTGTTTATTCCATGGAATAATTTCTTCTTCTGCCTCTTGCAATTTAGTTTCTTCCTCTTGAACCTGGTGCACTGGTTTTTCCTCTTCAGGTTTTGTTGGTTTTCTAGGTCTACGCCAAGATTTTACTTCAGTGGTTTCTTCTTCTATTTCTGTAATTTCCTGAGGCTTCACAATTCCCTCAGGTTTAACTTCAGTTTCTTCTTTCAAATCATCCTTAACCACTTTTTCTTTTTCTTTAACCACTTTCTTTTTGATTATCTTTTTAGTTTCTTCTTGCTGCTCTTGATCTTCAATAGGTTCAATAAGAGTTTGATCTTCAGTGTGAACTTTCTTAAATGGTTTTAGTTCCACTTTTTCTAGTTCATCTTTTACTATTTCTTTCTTCTCTACTTTAGATCGTTTAAGAGTGATCTGTTGCTTATTCCATGGAATAATTTCTTCTTCTGCTTCTTGAATTTTAGTTTCTTCCTCTTGAACCTGGTGCACAGGCTTTTCTTCTTCAGGTTTCGTTGGTTTTCTAGGTCTACGCCAGGATTTCACTTCAGTGGTTTCTTCTTCTACTTCTGTAATTTCCTGAGGCTTCACAATTTCTTCAGGTTTAACTTTAGTTTCTTCTTTGAAATCATCCTTAACCTCTTTTTCGTTGTCTTTTACCACCTTCTTTTTGATTATCTTTTTACGTTCTTCTTCTTGTTCTTCATCTTCAACAGGTTCAATAAGTGTTTGATCTTCTGTATGAACTTTCTTAAATGGTTTTAGTTCTACTTTTTCTAATCCATCTTTTACAATTTCTTTTCTTTCAACTTTAGATCGTTTTAGAGTAATCTTTTGTTTATTCCATGGAATGATTTCTTCTTCTGCCTGTTGCTTTATTGTTTCTTCCTCTTTAACTTTTTCCAAAGGTTTTTCTTCTGTTTTTGGTTGTTCCACCACTGGTTGTTCTTCCTCGGGCTTTACAGGTTGTCTTGGCTTACGCCAGGACTTAATTTCAGTAGTCTCTTCTTTTATTTCAGTAACTTCTTGAGGTTTCGTGACTTCTTCTGGTGTTGGAAGAGTTTCTTGTTTGATTTCATCTCTAACAAAAGTTTCTTTATCTTTTTGAACCCTTTTCTTTATTGTCTTTTTACTTTGATCTTGTTCTTGTTCTTCGACAACATCGATGAGAGTTTGTTCTTCAGTATGGACTTTCTTAAATGGTTTTAGTTCCACCTTTTCTATTTCATCTTTAACTATTTCTTTTCTTTCAACTTTAGATCTCTTAAGGGTAATTTGTTGTTTATTCCATGGAATAATTTCTTCTTCAGCCTTTTGTACTTTTGTTTCTTCTTCTTGTACTTGCTGCGTAGGCTTTTCTTCTTCAGGTTTTGCAGGTTGCCGTGGCTTACGCCAAGGTTTCACCTCAGTAATTTCTTCTTTAGTTTCAATTATTTCTTTGGGTTTAGTAGTTTCATCAGGTTTGACGAACGTTTGCTCTTTCTCGTTATCTTTAATTATTACCTCTTTGCTTTTCTCCACTTTTTTCTTAACGATCTTCTTGCTTTCCTTGTCTTGTTCTTGTTCTTCAACAACATCGATGAGAGTTTGTTCTTCAGTATGAACCTTCTTGAATGGTTTTAGCTCTACTTTCTCTAGTTCATCTTTGACTATTTCCTTTCTCTCAACTTTAGATCTCTTAAGAGTAATTTGTTGTTTGTTCCATGGAATGATTTCTTCTTCAGCTTTCTGTACCTTTGGTTCTTCTTCTTGAGCTTTCTGTAAAGGCTTCTCTTCTGTTGGTTTCTCAATCGCAGGTTGTTCTTCTTCTGGTTTTAAAGGTTGCCTAGGTTTACGCCAAGATTTCACTTCAGTAGTTTCTACTTTGGTTTCGATTATTTCTTTAGGTTTAGTGATTTCCTCAGGTTTAATACCCGTTACTTCCTCTTTCCTGGTATCTTTAACAACCTGCTCTTTGTCTTTTTCAGCTCTCTTCTTAATTATTTTCTTACGCTCTTCTTCTTGTTCTTCATCTTCAACAGGTTCAATTAGAGTTTGATCTTCAGTATGAACTTTCTTAAATGGTTTTAGTTCTACTTTTTCTAGTTCATCTTTGACTATTTCTTTTCTTTCAACTTTAGATCGTTTTAAAGTAATCTTTTGTTTGTTCCATGGAATAATTTCTTCCTCAGCTTTCTGTACTTTTGTCTCTTCTTCGTGAGCTTTCTGCGATGGCTTTTCTTCCGTTGGTTGCTCTATCACTGGTTGTTCTTCTTCAGGTTTTATAGGTTGTCTAGGTTTACGCCAAGATTTTATTTCAGCAGTTTCTTCTTTGGTTTCAACTTTTTCCTTAGGTTTAGTATCAGTTATTTCCTCTTTCCTGTCATCTTTAACTACCTGTTCTTTGTCTTTTTCAACTCTCTTTTTAATTACTTTTCTACGTTCTTCTTCTTGTTCTACATCTTCGACAGGTTCAATTAGAGTTTGATCTTCAGTGTGAACTTTCTTGAATGGTTTTAATTCTACTTTTTCTAATTCATCTTTCACCATTTCTTTCCTTTCGACTTTGGATCGCTTGAGAACTATCTTTTCTTTGTTCCACGGAACGATTTCTTCTTTAGGTTTTTCTTCAGTAACCCTTTTCTCTTCTGGAAGCATTTCTTCTCGAGCTTCTTGCACTTTCGGCACTTCCTCTCCTGCTACTTGTTGAGTAGCAGGCTTCTCCTGCTTCCTCCACGATTTAGTTTGAACAACCTCCATTTCTTCAGCAGTTTGCTGCGTTATTTCAGTTTCTTCAGCTCTCTGTACCGGTCGAGTCGGTTTTAGCGCAACTTGCTCAATCGTGTCTTTTTCGACATGCTTGGATTCCCGTCGAGTTTTCTTCAGGAGGACTTTTTCCTGCGTCCAAGGGACGTCCTTAGGTTTCTGTTCTTCTTTATCTTCTTCTTGCGTGGGTTCTTTTCTTGCCGCTTCAGGTTTCTTGAGAGCAACTTTCTCTTGTGTCCAAGGTATTGGTTGGGAAACGGTTTCTTCTTCTGGTTTATCAGCAGGTTTAGGCTTCCTCCAAGCCCGCGATTCGGCTTGTTGAGTTCGCGTGATATCTTCTCTTTCTTCAATTTTAGTAATCGTTGCATCTTCAGTGTGAGTTAGTGGTTGAAGTTGACCTCGTTTCTTAACATCGCTCTTCTGCGATTCTTCTAGTTTGAGAATAGTAGTGTCTTCCGTGAATTGGGCGTTCTGCACCAGTTCGAGCTCTTTTCGTAAAGGCTTCAAAACGACCTCTTCTAAAGTATCTTTTTTGAGTTCTTTAGGTTGTCGAGGCGTTGGTTTCAATTGGACGTCTTGTTGTGTCCAAGGCACCGGTTCTTGTGGTTTCGGTTGAGTTTCCGGTACTTTCTGATCTCGCTTCCTGCGCCAATCTTTCTGCGCCAGATCCAGCTCAGCTCGCTCTACTTTCTCCTGCTCTGTTACGGCGGAGTCTTCGGCGTGGATTTGTTGCTGTTTGCGCCGAATTATCTCCTGTTCTCTATCGCTTAGAGTCAAAAGAGTCGAGTCTTCGGTGTGTCGAAGCGGCTTTAAGGCCACATCTTCGATTTTCTCCTTCGGTATCTCCTTCCGTTCCCTTCGCGTGGCTTTCAACGTGACCTGTTCTTCGGTCCAAGGTTGAGCCTGCGCCGGAGCCTGCGATAGAGCCTGCGCCGGAGCCTGCGGTGTTCTGCCCTTTTGTCGCCAAGGCAGCGACTCGTCCCCGACTGGTAATTCGACGCCCTGTTGGGGCTGCGAGCCCCCCTTGGAGCCCAGGGAGGCCCGTTGGGCGGTGGTGCCCGGGCCCCCGGGACCCTGTTGGTCTTTGATGTGCGATTGGGTGTCTTCGGAGCGATCTTCCGTTTGGATTTTCGATGATTTTCTGTACGATCCTATTCGTCCTGCGTTGTGGGAATGCAAGTTTGGGTTATGATTGATTGAATATTTTTATTTTGAGCGTTTGTGTGGAACAATTTTAGAATTGGGTAAGAGATTTTGAAATTATTTACGCGAAGTGTTTAAAATCCTTCCGTTTGGGCGGCAAATTGCAATTTCTTCGCGGTTATCCAGGTGTATTTTAAGCGAAACTAGGACACAAGTGGAGAGAATTTCCCGAATCGCTGCACTGCAATGAGTGCAACACACGCATAAAATACACTACAAAATGGGGTATTTATAGCATCCGAGTGAATACACTATCGTCTAAAAATAGCCACGCATTCACACATGCTCGCCAGCTACGATCTTAGTTGGTGGTATAGTTTTTTTTTTCTCTCTCCCGTTCTCTCTCCCGTTTACCCGAAAAATCTATTTACGTGACCGAATCGTCTAACAGTAAAGGACCAATTTCGGTTTAGTCTATTTTCGGCGGCGCGTGAATCACACAATATCGTAAAAGCGTACGGAGTAAATCGAGTTGCACACGGTGGATTTGTGTGATTTGCACCCCACCACGCGAGATTTTCCCGAAAAACTCGGTGAACTCGGTTTACTCAGTGACTGGTCGCGATTCGGCTGTGCCGGTGCGGTGATTTTAGTGATTTTTTCGGTGATTTCGAGCCGCGTAAAATTGCGCCCGGGGCGTCCCTTCGCAATTTTACGCGGCCGGTGTTGAACAGATTAGAACGGTGCGCGATTCACGCCCGACTTCCAAGTGCTATGCATTTTATTTTATTGTTTGTTATATTGCTAATAAATCTGTAAAATTTTGTCCAGCGTTTTTGTTTGTTGTTTTTGCCGGGCGCTGGTTTGGACGCGGTCCAGGTGGTGTGCTGGTGAATCACCGAATGAGGAATCATCTACTGTTAGTAATAGAATTTTTTTTTGGGTTTCCCCCGCGTTAAGGTGACGGTGTTAAGTGTGTAAAGGTGAGACGGGGATCCAGGAGGTCTCCAAATTTAGCCGGTTTTAAAATAGCCGGCGTTCGTGTGTGTGTGTCATATTTGCGCACGACCCCACGCTATATAAATTCACTCGAGTCGAGTGTAAATTTAGAATTTTTCCACGGTTAATGTGGAATTCATAATGCAGGTGAGAGGCTCGGTATTTTGGGAGGTAGGCCGACGAAATAGCCCAAAGACACGATCGCCCGAGACACATTAACCCAAAGGAACTGACTAGAAGCATCGAAAACGGTTCAGAACGATGCTAGAATTATTTAGAATTGGTCAAAGTTTAATGTCACCTAAGGACAATACAGGACAAAGACATAATCGCCCAAAGAATTGACTAGAAGCATCAAAAACAGTTCAGAACGATGCTAGAATTATTTAGAATTGGTCAAAGTTCCCTAAAGACAGAATCGCCCAAGACAAAATAACCCAAAGACAAAATAGCTTAGGAGAAAAAACATATCACAGTAGAAGAATTATCATATATCATGAATTTGTCGAGCTATTTTTAGGACAATCAGTCATGAGGATTAAAATTAAAGAAATTATGTACAAGAAATTATAGATTATTTTGTATTGAATAAAATGAAATAAGAAAAACCAAAGAAAGCATTGAAGAAAATATAGAAAACTATCTACAAACGGTTACATAGTAACATGTTAACTTTTTTCAAATATTTTTAGAATGTGTAATGTTTGATATTTGATAAATAATGCAATTAGAAGTTAATTATTGCATTAAATAAAATGAAATTATTGTTTTTTATAAAATAGATCAATATGAAAAAATGACTTAGAAACACTGGAAATCTAATAAATAATGCTTGCTATTAATTTTACTGAAACTGTTTTGTCTCAGGCTATTTTGTCCTTGGGCTACTTTGTCTTTGGGTTATTTTGTCTTTGGGCTATTTTGTCTTTGGGCTATTTTGTCTTTGGGCTATTTTGTCATTGGGCTATTTTATCTTTGGGCTATCTTGTCATTGGGCTATTTTCTCGTTACAATTTTCTCTTTGGGCTCTATTGTCTTGGGCTATTTTGTCGGGTAACGATTTTAGGAAACATTCGCGCTGCATTATAACGGGTTATTACTCAGAAACTCAAGTTCGTTTTCAACAACAGCCTTTTATTTAAATAAATCATTGCATTTTATACAGAATTTTTCAGGTAAACATAAGTTTATAATAAGAAGCCCAGCGTTTAGCGTGATTAGAGCCAAAAGCTGTAAACGTTCAATCCGCAATAAATAAAATAACATAACACTTGGAAGTTTGATTCACCATTTCGCTAATTCGCGTACCCAGTGATTTAATTGTTAAAATAAATCGGTGAAATTTTTAAATTTATCCACGATCATAAGTTAGGAATATGGACGAAATATATATATTTTTTATTTTTTTCCTATAGACAAAACGAAGAAATTAAAGCGGTTCATTTCTTACTTTTTACTGTAAGCTTGGCGGATTGTTCGACTTGTCCTGCGGAGGATGTGGCCCTGCAGGTGAACACTCCGGTGTCCTCTTCGTAGGTCGAGGATATCAGCAGAATTGCGTTGTTTCCTTCTTGGATCATCTGAAACAACAACAGAAATAATCCTTTAATTCCTTTTGTAACATCCTTAAATTATCCACATTCGACATAATTAGAAATTAAAGCTTCACTCTTTTCATATTCATCCTTCTATACATCCTTAAATTATCCTCATTTGATACAATTATAATGTATAATAAATTAATGTTACTTTTTTTATACTAATCCTTTCATAATATCCTAAAATTATCCTAATTTAAGACATTTTATAACAAATCTCAACTATTTGATGCTATATTATTTTATTCGAAAAATTGTAAAATTTTAATGTAATTTGAGTAAAGCTTTTAAATTAATCTCCACTTTTTTTATACTAATCCTTCCATAGCATCCTTAAATCATCCTAATTGGAGGCATTTTAAAATAAATCATCAACTATTTGATGGCAGCATATTTTACCAAAAGGTTTATTCAATTTTTAACGCAATAAAAAATGTTTATTTACTTAAAAAATTTCGAACAGCGAGCCGATTTATAATTAAAAGACCCTCGCGTTTATTTTCAGGCGTTTATCTAAACTAAATTCACGCATCTCGCTCAAACACACTAAATCATTTAATTAAACAAACCTTTGGCGAGATTTTTATCCAAAAAAATCGCATTCCAAATGATTAATAGATAGCGTTTTTGGCAAAACTTTAGCTGTAATACGTGTTGCATAATTACCTGGAAATCTGGCGATTCGGGTATAAGGAACCCATCCCTCAGCCATTGGATGGTAGGCTTGGGTTTCCCGGATATAGTGGTCCTGAACTGAGCAGGACTACCCTCCACTACAGTCACATCCCTCATAGGAGTCAACGAAGGCGCCACCTCCTGCACATCAGGAGCCAGCACTCTCAACTTAGCCTGCGTAGTAACAGTCCCCGCAGGATTCTCCGCCGTGCATTTGTACACTCCTTCGTCCTCGGGGAAGGCTTCGGAGATCTTCAGCGTGCAAAAGTCGCCCTCCTTGGTCATCTGGAAGTACTTGGAAGGCTTGATGACCTTGTCGGCCTTGTGCCATTTGATAATCGGCGCCGGTTTGGCGGATACGTTGCACCTGAACACCACGGCTTGGCCCTCTTTGATGGTCTGGTCGCGCAGAGGTTCCACCAGAACCGGGGCCTTCTCTGCACCAGGTGTAGTAGGTTTAGAGGATTTCTGCGGAGCTGCAGGCGCGATCACCGAGCACTCTGCCTCGCATCTGCATTCGCCTGAGCTGTTCATGGCGACGCACTCGTACTTCCCCGCATCGTCCGGAGCCACTTCGATGATGAGCAGCGTGTACACCTCGTCCTCCTCGAGGGTTTTGTACCTGATGTCCGAGGAGATCTTCTTGCCGTTCTTTAGCCAGTAGACGTCGATCGGCTTGGTGCCCTCGACCTTGGCGTCGAATCTCACCAGTTGGCCGGCGTTGGCTTTGGCGCTTTGGATGGTGGTGGTGAAGCTGGGCGGTACGGCGCCGGTGCGGCCGTGCCTCCTGCGCTCCTGCACCACCAAGTTGGCGCTGCATTTGGCGGTGCCGCCGCGGTTCTCCGCCACGACGCTGAAGACGCCGGAGTCCTCGAGGAACACCTGTCTCATTTGCAGGATGGATTTGGTGCTGAACGTGTAGACTTTCAGGTCGGGCGAGCTGGTGATGGGGAAGTCCTCTCTGTACCAGGTGATCTTAGGTAGCGGATCCCCGTCGAATTCGACTTCGAACTTGGCGGAATCGTTCTCGAACGCTCTGACCGGTTGGATTTTCTTCGTGAAGAACGGAGGGTTAGATGGTAGCTGTTGGCCTTGTACCAAACGTTCGGAGGTCTTGGCTTTGTGTTCCACGTCGGTGGTTTCGGTAGATGTGATGTTTCTGGTGATCTCCAGGTCGCCTTTCTGTTCTTTTTGTACTTGTTTCTGCTTGGTGACGTAGACTTCTCTGCCGTGCACTCCGGATTCTGTCGGCTGCGGTTGGTATCCAGGTCCTCGCTGCTTGGTTTCCACTTCGGTTTCGCTTTGGACCAATTCCTGGCTCTTGTCGGTTTTCCTCAGTTTGATTTGGTCTTTGTGAGGCACAGGTTTCTCCTGGTCGGGTTTCGGTAGCCGAGGCACCGGCGCCAAGTTCACGTTGTAATTAGGCTTCTCTTCTCTGAAGAAGAAAAAAAAATAAGAAGTTTGAGTAAGTTGGTGTTTGGAAAATGGTAGTACTCACAAGTTTTGCTCGTATTGTTGAGCCATGCCTCTGGATACCGAGCTGCTGACGACTTTCTCACCGGGTATGGCGTATTGGTGGGATTGTTCGCGGAGTCTGATTTCCTTGGTCACCTGCTCGTTCTCGAGCTCTTGGATTTTGCTGTAGTAATCCTCGCCTTTTTTGGTTTTTACGTTCCTCTGCCATTCGGTTTCCGGCTCTTTGAACTCCTTGGGTTGCACGTGAACGCCGGTCACGTTGACCCCGCTTTCCCTCAAGGTGGTGTTGCGCTCGTCGAAGACCTTCTCTAGCTCGGTTTCACCGCGTTCTTTCTGGTAATCAGCTAGTTCTAGATCATACCATGCTAAGGAAACGAGTCGAGTTAGATTCGGAGCGGTAAAATGCGAACGATTACGTTACACTTAATGCACATATCAAACGAACTAAAGGGTTAAGAGTTGATCGTTTCGAACCCTTCGTACATACTCGGTACTTACATGCAAGACTTACAGCAATATTCAAGGCGTACCTGATTCACGTTTGCTCCACCAGCGGAAAGCTTAAAGTTACCCTGCACCATGTGCCTCAAAAGCAATAAACCTCGATTCACTGAATTGGGTATATAGGTAGGAGATTTTCGGGAGTCGGGTCGATAGAGTAGAAGATAAAAATGTTGTTGTTAGTGTCATGTGCAAGACGGCTGCTATAGTTATTTGTGCATAGTGTATGAACCTGTCTACCGGGCGCCACCTGGCGGGCACTTACGTCTCGGCGAGTTCTTCAGCACTCCTCGGTAGTCGTCGTGCCTGGGTATGATGCGCAGCTCGGTCTCGGCGATGGCCTCGCCGACGGAGCTGCGGGCGATCACCTCCACCTTGCCGGTGTCGTACTGCCTGGTCTTGGGTATGTCCAGGTGGTACATGCCGTCGTAGGTGAGCTTGTAGCGCGAGCCGCTGACCACCGTGTGGCCGTTGATCAGCCACATGACGCGCGGCCTCGGATGGCCTGTTACGCGGCAACAGAACCGGGCCCATTCGCCTTCTTCCACCGTCACCGGGTCCGGTTTGCTGACGAACACCGGCGCCTGTCGGGGCTTCGATTCCTCCACCGCCTCCTCCGGTACGCTGCAAGAAATAGTATAAGTCGAGGCTTGGAGCTTAAAGGTGGTGAACTCACTTTTGCCAAGAGGCTTCCAGTTCGCGGATCCTTTCGATGCTCTTCATGCCTTTGGGTAGTTGCGATTCGTAGATGATGCCCGGTTTACCCGCTGTTTTGATTATGGCTCTGGTTTCGTCCATGCCGTACAAGTTGGTGGCCCTGCAGAGGTATTCTCCGCTGTCTTCGGGGTATACCCAGCCGAAGTTCATGGCTACGTAGCCGAAATCGTAGATGGGAGTGAATCTGTTCTCTAAAAACACGGTTTAACCGATAAGCAGGAAACGATTGTTGGTGATGGTGGACTTACTGTGAGGAAGAGGTTTACCGTTGAGGAACCATTCGACTTTCATGTTGGGATCTCCAACGGGAGCCAATTGGCATTCGAATTTCGTGGATTGCATTTCCACCAGGTCCGTTTGATCTTTGATCTGCGTCACGAATCTAGGCGGTTGTTTTTTATCTACATCGTACAAATCGTCTTCGGTCAAATAAATCTCGGAGGTGTACTTCTTGATGGCCGCCTCCATTTGCATCAGCGTCTCGGATTTCTTCATGCCTTTAGGCACCTGGTTTTGTAAGATGATGTTGGGCAGCTTCTTGCAGGATATCCTGGCCTTGGTGAAGTCCTCGCCGTGGTCGTTGACCGCCCTGCATACGTACTCGCCGGAGTCCTCTTCGTAGACGTAGAGGATGTCCAAGGAGACGAAGCCGAGATCGAAGACGTTCCTGTAACGATGTCCCGATGGTAGGGGTTTGCCGTTTCTGTACCATTCGACGCGCAGCTTGGGATCGTCTTTGGGTTCCACGTGGCACTCGAAATGCACGGATTCCGATTCTTCTACCGTCGACGATTCGATTTGGGTGATGAATTTCGGCGGTGAGTAAGTCTTGTCGACGTCCGGAGCCCTGGATATCGGACCCTTCTCGAGTTCTTTGAGCTTCTCCGCGCTCATTCCGGACGGCAACTGGCTTTCCGTATCGATGCTCTTCTTGGTCGTTGTGGTCACCGTGGCTTTAGTGGTGGCGGTGCCCCATTTGTTAGTGGCGCGACAAATGTATTCTCCGGCATCTCTGCTGTAGGAGTAGTCGATGTCCAACGATATGAATCCGAAATCGTTGATCTGGTGCACCCTGGAGCCGGTGGCGAACGGTCTGCCGTTGTGGAACCAATCGATTCTCATCGTGGAATCGTTGACGGGCTCCACTCTGCAATCGAAGTGAATCGGGCCACTTTCGGGCACGTCCACGTTGTCTTTGATTTCTACGATGAACCTCGGAGGATTGGGTTTCTCCTCTTCGGATAGAATTTCCTCGCGTTTGTGCAGTTGCTCTTCGAGTTTCTGTATGCTCTCGGTGCCGGTGCGGAAGTTGGACGGCAGCTGGGGCTCCATGACGATGCCTTGTCTGCCTTTAACCTGCAGCTGACAGGACACGGTGGCTTCGCCGTGGCGATTTGTAGCTTTGCACGTGTACAAACCGGAGTCCCTTTGGTAAACGCCTGACACTTCCAATATCACGAACCCAAAATCGTTGATGGTCTTTATCCTGGAACCGGCCCACAGGGGTTTGCCGTTGTGGAACCATTCCACTCGCATGCTGGCGTCGTTGACCGGTATCAGCCTGCATTCGAAATGCGCCGAGCCGTTCTCGTTGAGCACCAGGTCCGAGGGGGAGGTGATGAACTCCGGCGGTCTGCCGGTGTCGTCGTCGGGAGTGAGTTGAGACGGCGCCACTCCGAGTCCCTCGAGCTCGGCTATCTTATCGATGGTGCCCTCCATGCCTTTGGGCAGCTGCGACTCCAAGATGATGCTCCTCTTGCCGGAGACCTTCATGGTGGCGGTGGTCACCGCCTCGCCGTATTCGTTGGAAGCCCTGCAAGAGTACTCGCCCGAGTCCTCCGGGTAGACGGGCGATATTTCCAGTATGACGAAGCCGAAGTCGCAGAACGTGCGGAACCTCGAGCCGGTCCTGAGCGGCTTGCCGTTCCAGAACCACTCGACTTTGAGCTTGGGATCGTCGGTGGGGATCAGCCTGGCTTCGAAATGGGCGTTCTCGCCTTCGCGGAGACTGTCGATGTTCGATAGCGGTACTGTGAAAACCGGAGCTTTGCCTACTTTAGTTTCTTCCCTTTCATCTCTGGTGCGTACCATGGAATCTTCCAAGGTCTGGATCTTTTCTAATCCGCCTTCCATGCCCTAGGGATAATTCGTTAATAGAAATATGGAAAGGTGTTGTGGCGACTTACCCGCGGGAGTTGCGAGTCCAGGATTAGGTTCGTCTTCGATACGCACTTCAAATTGGCTTTGGTGGAGTCCTGTCCGTGCTTGTTGTAGGCCCTGCACTCGTATTCGCCGGAGTTCTCCTCGTAGCAGTAGAGTATATCCAGGATGACGATGCCGAAGTCGTGGAAAGTTCGGTACCGGTGGCCGTGCGGCAATTTTTGCCCGTTGTAGTACCATTCCACCACCAAATCGGGATCGGTGACGGGCGTGAGGCGAGCCTCGAAGTGGGCGCTCTGCCCTTCCACCAACTTGGTAACGTCCTGGATTTGGGTGATGAATTTGGGCGGTTCTGTGACGGGAGCAGAGGGCGCTTGGGCGTGCTGACCATGCATGCTCTCCAGTTCTCTTATCCTCGCCAGGGACTCCGGTTGAAGGGTGTCCGTGAAGACGCCGCCTCTACCGTGAGCCGAGATGGTTGCTCTGGTGAAGTCCTCTCCGTATTTGTTGTAAGCCCTGCACACGTACTCCCCGGAATCGTGGTTTTGAATGTAGGAGATGTCCATGACGACGAAACCGAAGTCCGCCACCCTTTTGATCCGGTTTTTCTCCAGTATGGGTTGCCCGTTGTGGTACCATTCGACCTTGAGGTCGGGATCGTTGACCGGCACCAACGTGCATTCGAAGTGGGCGGATTGCCCGTCTTTGAGACCTACGATGTCCTTGATGTGAGTGGTGAACTTTGGTTTTTGTCCACCCGTTCTCTCGACGCACCCCAGCCGGACGCTTTGTTCGGCTACGCCCCATTTGTTGGTGGCTTTGCAGGTGTAAGTACCGGAATCTTCGATTTTGGTACCTAAGATCTCTAGCACAACCATACCGAATGCGTGCACCGTTCGGAACCTGTGCGAAGCTTCGATGGTTTTGCCGTTGTAGAACCACTCTACTTTCATGGTTTGATCACCAACAGGAGTCAAACCAGCTTCGAAATGAGCAATCTCGCCTTCAGAAAGATTGGAAAGTTCAACGAATTCCGATGTGAACACCGGAGCGTGTCCTTCTTCTAATTCTGCCTTCGGCGCTTCAGGTCTGTTGAGAGAGTCCTCGAGATCCTGGATCTTCTCCAGGCCTTCTTGGCCTTTGGGATGTTGCGTTCTTTCGATCAGATTCGATTTGCTGGTGCAGTAGATCGTCGTCGAGGTGAAAGCTTCGCCAGATTTATTCGAAGCTTTGCAGGTGTAGATGCCTTGGTCTCGTTCGTAGACATCTGTGACGTCTAGCGTGACGAACCCGAAGTCTTGGGTAAATTTGAACCTGCTGCCGTGGTCGATGGATTTACCGTTGAAGAACCATTCGATTTTCATGTTGGGATCCTCCTTAGGTTCCACCGTGCCTTCCAAATGCAAAGGTTGGCCTTCAGCTAGGTGGAATTCCGGGTTCAAGGGTACTATCCATACTGGCTTTCCGTAGTCTTTCTCAGGCGCTGAAGGTTGTCTCTTGTACTTGCCAGCTATGGCATCTTCTACGTCCTGTACGGCCTCCAAGCCGGCCTTTCCTTGAGGATGCTGGGTGTCCAGGTAGATGTTCTGTTTGGCGGTGCATCGCAGCTTGCCGGTAGTCGAAGCAGAGCCTTTGGTGTTAGAAGCCTTGCAGGTGTACATGCCCGAATCGGATTCGTACGTGTGGGTTATATCTAAGGATATGTAGCCGAAATCGTGGGTCGATTTGTATTTGGAACCGCTAGGTAGAGGTTTTCCGTTGACGAACCACTCGATGACCAGGGTGGGATCTTTGGAGGGTTCCACGTTGCACTCGAAGTGCACGTTGTCGCCTTCTATGCATTCGATGTCGTTGAGATGCGTGATGAAAACGGGTAGGTCGTAAACGGGTTCTGGTGCATCTTTTCTGGCGACTTCGTGTTGCTCCAAGGCTTGGAGTTTCGGTATGGCGTCCGGATGAAGGGTGTCTCCCAACAACCAATGGCGATCCGCGATTTTCAGGGTGCAAGTTGATATAGCTTCGCCTAGTTTATTGGTCGCTTTGCAAGTGTAAATGGCCGAGTCGTCATCTCTCAAGCCATTGATGGATAACGTAACCAGACCGAAGTCGAAGGTGCTGCGCAGCCTTGCACCCGTAGACAAGGATATTCCGTTTTTGAACCATTCGATGCGCAGGTTGGGATCAGCCCTGGGCTCGACTTGAGCTTCCAAATAGACGTGCTGCCCTTCCACCAGGTTATCGTAGCTCTTCAAGTGCGTGGTGAACACCGGCGGCTGTTGGGGCGTCTCGTCGACGAACATCTGAGGCACCTTGTTCATCTCGGCCTCCTTGAGCTGGATCTTCTGCCAGGCGTCGGGGTGCAAAGGCTCCCCGGATATGTTCGACCTCGGCTTCACCTTCATCGAGATCGAAGACACCGCCTCGCCGCTCCTGTTGATGGCCTTGCACATGTACACGCCGGAGTCCTCTTTGATGGTGGAGAGGATGTCCAAGGTGACGAACCCGAAGTCGTGGGTGACCTTGAAGCGCGAGCCGAGCTTCAGCTCGATTCCGTTCACGTACCACTCGAACTTCAGGTCCGGATCGCCCACCGGTACCACGCGAGCTTCGAAGCGGGCGTGCTGGCCCTCCCAGAGCTCCGTGGGGCCGGTGAGCAGTTGGGTGAATATGGGTTTCTCGAACACGTGATCGGGTTCGTCGGGTTTGGACGCTAGCGGTTGCTCCAATTGGGCGATTCTCTTCTGAGCTTCTGGATGCTGCGTGTCCAGCTGAATACTCGCCTCAGCTGCACAAAATTTACATATATGAGTTTGGGTGCCCCAAAATATTTTAATACTTACTTCTAATTTTCATAGACGCCGTGGTGACAGCTTCTCCGAGCGGATTGGTCGCCCGGCAAATGTAAACGCCTTCATCTTCGGCTCTGATGTGGGTGATGTCGAGAGAAACGAAGCCGAAATCGTGCACCTTGGTGATGCGCGAGCTATCTTCCAGAGGTTTCTCGTTCCTGAACCACTCTACTTTGAGCGTGGGATCACCGACAGGAATCAACCGGCACTCGAAGTGAGCAGTCTGACCTTCTTTAATGAAGTCGATGTTCTGAAGGGGTTGAGTAAACACCGGTCGCTGCCTCGTAACAGCTTCGTCGACCTCAGGTCGTTTGTAGGGCTGCTGCTGCTCGAGCTGCCTGATTTTATCCAATCCTTCGGGCCGCTGCGATTCCGAGATGATGTTGCTCTTGGCGATGACCTTCAGGTTGATGGAGGAGACGCATTGGCCTAGGTTGTTGATGGCCTTCACCGAGTACTGGCCGGCGTCCTCGGGCACGGCGTGGCCGATGTCCAAGGCGATGTAGCCGAAGTCGAACGTGACGTGGAACCGCGACGATGCCGGCAGCGGCTTCCCGTCGTGGTAGAATTCGATGCGAAGGTTCGGATCGTGGATGGGCTGCACCTGAGCCTCGAAATGGGCGGTTTGCCCTTCGTAGATTTCGGTGGTACCGCGTAATTCGGTAACGAATATAGGCGGCGTAGGTGCTGGTTCTTCGATTTCCAGCCTGGCGTGGTGACCTTGCGCTTCCAACTCCCTGATCTTCTCCAAACCTTCCGGGTGATGGGTGTCCAACAGAATGCTCTTTCTACTGCCGACTTTGATGTTGCACGTGTTGACAGCTTCGCCTACTAGATTAGTGGCTTTGCACATGTAGGTGCCGCTGTCTTCGGAGTAGGCGTAGAGGATATCCAAGGCTACGTAGCCGAAATCGTGGGTGGTTCTGAACCTGTGGCCGGCTCGTAATTTCACGCCGTTAACGTACCACTCGATTTTGAGGTTGGGATCGTTGACGGGCTCCACTCTGCACTCCAAATGAGCGTGTTCGCTTTCTTTGAGGTTCTCCAGACTGACCAAAGGCGTCAGGAAGACGGGTTTCTGCGGCGGCGCTTCGAATTCTTCCTTTTTAGGTCTCTCGTAGCTCTCCAGTTGCTTGATCTTGCTGAGACGTTGCTCGTCCAAGGTTTCCAATTGCAGGCCGGATTTGGCTACTACTGATACGCCGGCTGTCGTTACGGCTTCCCCAACGGCGTTTCTGGCTCTGCACATGTAGGTGCCGCTGTCTTCGGAGTAGGCGTAGAGGATATCCAAGGCTACGTAGCCGAAATCGTAGGTGGTTTTGAACCTGTGGCCGGTTTGGATGGGTCGTCCGTTGCAGAACCATTCGACTCTCATCGTGGGATCGTTAACGGGAGTTAGAGTCGCTTCCAAATGGGCGGTAGCGCCTTCCGGTAGGTTCTCGATGGTCTTGAGACCCCTACCGAATTGGGGTTTCTCCAGCACCAAGGCGTCTTCGTGCGATACGCGCTTGTACTTCGAATCGTCCTCCAGGTGTTGGATCTTCTGTAGAGCGCCTTGGTGTTGGGTGTCTCTGATGATGGAGGATTTAGCTGGAATAATGCACCATTTAAAATTACTTACGTACGTATTACAATTAGTTTATTACATTTAACGTTTGTAACCACAGAAGATGTGGCTTGTCCAATTCTGTTGGTAGCCCTGCAAGTGTATTCTCCGGAATCCTCCGCGTAGGCCGTGAGAATGTCGAGGCTGGCGAAACCGAAGTCGTAGGCGGTCCTGAACCTGTGACCTGTAGTCAAAGGCTTCCCGTTGTGGAACCATTCGACCTTCAAGTTCGAGTCCAAGTAGGGCTCGATGCGGCATTCGTAGTGGGCGCTCTGCCCTTCGAATATCTCGGCGGGGCCGTTGAGTTTCGTGGTGAAGACGGGCGCTTGCGTGATGATCACCTCCTCCTCTTCGCGGCGCTGGTACCTGCTGGAGTCCTCCAGCTGGCGCAGCTTCTGCAGGGCGCCTTCGTGTTGCGATTCCATTTGCAGCGAAGCTTTAGCTGGAAACGTTCGATTAGCTTGCGGTAAACGAGCGGATATTTGGACTTACATTGCACGAAAAGCGTGGCAGAGGTGACGGCTTCGCCTAAATCGTTGGTTGCTCTGCAGGTGTAGGTTCCAGAATCCTCCGGGTTCACGTATTTCATGTTCAAGGCCACGTATCCGAAGTCGTGCATGGTGGTCAAACGGTTGGCTGAAATTCACGTTCTTATTACACGTACTTGTGCAGTACTTGGGTACTTACAAGCTTGTATTGGTACTCCGTTTCGCAGCCATTCCACTTTGAGTCGGGAATCGCCCACTGGAATGAGCCTGGCTTCGAAATGGGCCGCTTGGTTTTCGGCCACCCGCAGGTCCTTGACGGGCATGGTGAAGCAAGGAGCTTGGCTGACGGTCTCGTCTTGGGTGGTTTTCCTTTGGTAGCGCGAGGAGTCCTCGAGCTCCGTGATGCGCTCCATGGCGCCCTCGTGCACCGATTCCAAGTAGATGGATTTCTTGGATTGCACGTTGCAGACGGCCGAGGTGACGGCCTCGCCCAGGGCGTTGGTGGCCCTGCAGGTGTACGTGCCGGAATCCTCCGGGTAGGTGTAGAGGATGTCCAAGGCGACGAAGCCGAAGTTGTTGGTTTCGGTGAACCTGGATCCGGATTTCAGGGGTTTGCCGTTGTGGAACCACTCGACTTTCATGGTGGCGTCGGATACTGGAATCAATCTGCACTCGAAATGGGCCCGTTGGCCCTCTTTGATGTCGATGTTCTTTAGGGAGGTGGTGAATAGCGGAGCCTGTGTCGTAGTTTCCTCGATTTCGTCTCTCCTCTGGTACCTAGAGCGGTCCTCGAGGTGCTGGATTTGCTGCAATCCAGTCTCGTTTTGGGTGGAAGTGATGATTTGACCCAATTGTCTGCAATGCAGTACGCAATTGACCTCGTCGGAGCCCACCAAGTTCGTCGCTTTGCAAGTGTACGTGCCGGAGTCTTCGGCGATGAGGTCCACGATATCCAAAGCCACGTAGCCGAAATCGTGGATCGGCCTGAACCTGTGACCTATCGTCACCGGACGGCCGTTTTTGTACCACTCAACCTTCAGATTGGGATCGGTAACAGGCTCGATTTTGCATTCGAAATGAGCGTGTTTACCTTCCGTCATGTGCTCCAAATTCTTAGGCTTCGTGACGAATCTAGGTTTAACAGTGACCTGTTCGTCCACGAATTCGGTGCGCTTGTACCTGGAGGAATCCTCCAGATATTGTATTTTTTCGAGACCAGCCGGATGCTGGGTCTCCAAAAACAGGTCTTTCTTAGCGATGACCTTCACCGAGCACGAAGTAACAGCTTCGCCGAGCTGGTTCCTGGCCTGGCAGGTGTACACGCCCGAATCCACGGGGTACACGCTCAGCAGATCCAAAGCCACGTAATCGAAATCGTAGGCCGGCCGGAACCGGTGGCCCGTCTTCACGGGTACCCCGTTCACGAACCACTCCACCCTCATGGTGGGATCGCCCACAGGCTGCAGGCGGCACTCCATGTGCACGTTGGTCCCTTCGACTGTCTCGATGTTGTGCAAGGACCTGGTGAATTGCGGCGCCTGCAGCACCGTCACGTCCTCGGCGATTTGCTTGCGATAGCGCGACGAGTCCTCCAGGTGCTGGATCTGCTCGAGCGACTGCTCGTGCTGGGTGTCCGTTATGATGTCCGAACGGGATATGACTCTAACGCAAGACGATGTGTGAGCGGAGCCCAGCTGGTTAACGGCTCGCACTGTATATTCCCCGGAATCGGAGGCGTTCGCGTGGATGATGTCCAAGGCGACGAATCCGAAGTCGTTGTAGGTCCTGAAACGGGAGCCTACTGTTACAGGTCTTCCGTTGCAGTACCATTCCACGCGCATGGTGGGGTCTCCCATGGGTTCCAGTCTGCATTCGAGGTGGATGTTCCTGCCTTCGGACACCGGAGGAGGATCGGATAGAGGCACTACGAACACGGGCTTGGATTTGCACAGTTCTTCTATGTGGTACTGAGGTTCGACGAATTTCGATTCCTCGATGTGCTTGGTCTTGTCGTAGGCTCCGCGGTGCATGCTTCTCGTATCGATGCTAGCGCGCGCTAAAATTGCAATTATAAAAAAAATCGTTGTAATAGAAATTATTATATATCTAGCTTACTTTCTACTGTCATGCTGGCGGAGACTTGGGCTTCCCCTAGGACATTTCTGGCCACTGCTGTGTAGGTGCCAGTGTCTTCTTCGCGTACGCCTAAGATGTCCAAAGCGACGTACCCGAAGTCGTAGTAAGTTTGTATTCTATTGGCCGGTTGGATGGGTTTGCCGTTGAAGTACCATTCGATTTTGAGCGTGGTATCGCTTTGGGGCTCCACTCTGGCTTCGAAGTGCCCGCGTTGTCCTTCGACGATGACGTTAGTGCCCTTCAACGGTCCCAAGAACCTGGGTTTCTGCGTAACTTGCACCTCCTCCTTGGAGGATCTGTTGTATCTACTGCTGTCTTCCAGATGCTGGATTTTCTCCAGACCACCGGGATGTTGGGAATCGAAGCTGATGTCCTTTCGGCTGACCACGCTCAATTGCGCCGTGGTCGTAGCTTGGCCTACTGCGTTGTAAGCTCGGCAAGTGTAATGTCCCACGTCGTGGATCGTGACGTCTTTAATGGTTAGAGCTACGTAGCCGAAGTTGAAGAAGCTCGTTATTCTGGAGCTAGCTTCTAGCGGACGGCCGTCTTTCAACCATTCCACTCTCAATGTGGAATCTCCTACCGGCTCCAATCGAGCTTCGAAATGCGCGAAACCCCCTTCGCGAATTTCGTTTTGATCCTTAATAGGCGTTTTGAACACCGGAGGTTGGGTGCTTTCCGGCTGCTCTTGCACGTACTTCTGGTGCATCTGCTGCTGGTACGCCTCTAATTTCTCCACCTCCTCGATGTACTTCTGTTGCTCGGGTATTCCCAGATCGCCGGTGACCGATGAACGGGTGAAGACTCCGATGCTCGCCGAGCTGATGGCCTCGCCCAAGTGGTTCACAGCCCGCACAGTGTACGTTCCGGCATCTTCGGTCCGTAGGTGCAGGATGTTGAGAGAAACGTAACCGAAGTTGAAGATGGTGGTTATACGCGAACTGGCGGTGATCGGTCTACCGTCTTTGTACCACTCCACTTTCATCGTCGGATCGCTTACGGGAGTCAGCTGGGCTTCGAAGTGAGCGTTCCTGCCCTCCTGTAATTCCCCGAGATCCTGGAGCGGTCGTATGAAGTGGGGCTTCTGGTTCGAGCGTTCGTCCATACTGTCGGATCGTTGGTATCTAGAGTAATCCTCTAGGTTTTGGATATACTGCAAGCTATCCGGGTGCTGACTAGATTGTTCAATCGAAGCTCTGGGGTTAATGCTAAGCAAGGCGCGGGATTCTACGCAACCGGTAGCGCTCGTTACGCGGCACGTGTACTCCCCGCTGTCGTTCATTATTAAGCTAATTATATCTAATGCGATAAAACCGAAGCGGAATATAGATGTGGCTCTAGAACCTGGAAATGAATAGGCGAATGTAGAGAACGGATCGAGGGATAATAGAGAAACTTACTAGCTGCTAAAGGTTTTCCATTCAAAAACCATTCTACACGCATGGTTGGATCGCCAACGGGTTCGATTCTGGCCTCAAAGTGGACTTTTCCTCCTTCAAATTGAACAGCATCTCTCAGAGGAATGATAAATTGCGGCGGAGGATAGACTCGATCCTCTTCGCCTGGAGGTGCGTGCGGGCGAGATCGTTCAACATGACGAAGATAAATAACTTCTGGACCAGGTTCGGGTCTAATGATAAGAAAAAAAAATGTAGAAATATAGAACGTCGGGGGATGTGTTCGTTGAACACTTACTCAGGTTCGATGACTTTCGTAGGCCTCGGTAAATGTAGGCGTCTCGGTTCGGGCGTCGGACTCTGCGGCGTTTGGACGAAGAGTCTGGCGCGAGTGGCGGTGGAGCCGGCGACGTTCTGGGCGGTGCATTGGTACCAAGCGGCGTCCGATACGCGCGCCCTCGGTATGTCCAAGGTGGCGGCTCCGCCATCAATCGCGATGCGGACGTCCGGACTGCTGACCAGCGGCGCGCCGTCCTTCTGCCAAGTGATGCGCGGCGTGGGAGTGCCCACGGCTCGGGCGTGCAGCCGCACGGGCTCCCCTTCGACGACGTTCACCGTGGAAAAGCGCTCGACGAACTTGGGCGCCACCACTTGCTCCCTTTCGATGACGTTCAGATTGCACTGGAAGGAGGTCTCGCCGGACTTGTTGCGGGCCGAGCAGGTCACCACGCCGGAGTCGTTGCGACTCACCGTGGTGATCATCAGGGCGTGGTTGCCGGACTCGTTCACCAGGATCTTGTGGTTGTGGTCGTCGACGACCTGCCTGCCGTTGATGTACCAGGTTACCTCCGGGTAGGGGCGGCCCGTCACCCGGCAATCGAACCGGGTCATTTTCCCTTCGGTGACGTCCCTGTCGTTGCATACTCTCACGAAGTTGGGTGCTAAATTTTTGCTGCTGTCGCTGGTCTCTTCGATTTCCGTGTGCTGTTGTTGCTTGAAGGTCGATTCGTGGATGATTCCCTCTTGGGTGGTCACCGGTTCTATGGCTAGGTAAGCCGATGAAACGACGCAACCTTGAGGGTTCTCGGCCAGCAGAGTGTAGTGACCGGAGTCTTCGGAGGCGGCTTGCTTGACTCTCAACGAAGCTTGGTTGTTGGAGAAGGTGGTTTCGTATTTTTGATTGTCGATTATCCTCTGGCCGTTTTTGAACCACGTGATCCTCGGCCTGGGATTACCGGATACTTTCGATGTGAACACGGCATCCGATCCTTCGAGCAGCTTCGAATTCCTGGGTTTCTGGGCGAATTGCGGCGGAGCCGGAGGTCCCAGAGACCTCTCCACGGTAGTGGACACTTGATAGTCCTTCTCGTACGAGGATCTTCTGGTGATCGATTCTCTGAAGGACACCTCCCGCAGGATTCTGTACTCGAACGTATCGATTTTGAAGTCCTCCGTGGTGATGGTGGTGGTGGTGCCGTTCGAATAGGTGGTCGTCTGGTCGAATTTCGAGAAAGCCTGCCTCTGGGGTATCTGCATACCCTCGGGCGAGATGTACACCGAGCATATGGCCGCTCCGTACTGGTTTTTCGCGTTGCACACGTACTCCCCTTCGTCGCCGGGTCCAATCTGGTTGATCTGGAAGGCGATGTCGCCGGTTTGCTCGTTGTAGGTCAACCGGTACTTCTGGGAGCTGACCAACGGCGCTCCGTTTCTCGTCCAGGTGACTGTCGGTTGGGGTTTCCCCGTCACCCGGCCGTCGAAGGTGGCCGTGCCGCCCTGCGCGAACCTGGCGTTGCTGAACACCTTTTCGAAGACGGGCGGCTGGGCGTTCGGACCGAAGCCGGGAATTTGCTGCAGTTGCTGAGGGGTCATCTGACCTCCTGGAATGCAAAATGTCACGTTTTGTCGGGGTGGTTTTTTTTTCATAGGGGATGTTTCGTAGAAGCAACTGATGCTGTTAGTGTATTACTTGATTAATAAATTAGAAATGCGTGTTTATGTAAATTGCGAATATTTTTCGAGTGCTCGAGTTGTTTTTTTTTATTTATTATGATTTTTCGTGGAGAAAATGACAGTGCGAGTGGACCGAGCTGGGGCTATTTTAGATCTTGGATCGCGTTTCAGGCGTTTCAGGCGCCCATTTCGGGAGCAGCTCTATTTTTACTGCACCAATCGGTATCATTGCAGTGTTACAATGTTGGAATGAGATGCCGGAGAGTCGCGAATTTCGCGATTTCGTACCCCTAATTATCGAAAAAAAAAATGTATGTATGAGAAATGTAAACAGTTTTTAAAAATAGCAGGAATTTTCACCGATAAATTTAGCTCGGCGTAACGCGATGTGAGATGATTTTTGGTTGAATAACTTATTCCTTGACCTTCTTTTTAGAATTGTTTAATTAATTATTAAATTACTAGTTAATAAAATAATATTTCGACGTAAAAGGGTGATAAATTTAGTTTGTTTTTTTTGAAAAAAAGCCAAAAATTTCGAATAAAAAATGGCGCTCGCCTAGTTACTTCATCATAATAATAATGCGAAATTCGACAGGAAACTATCCTGCGTTTTGGCACATTTGGCCGAAGTATTTTGGTTTTCGCATGAATCACGGTTTTATTTTCGCGAAATTAACGTGCGAAATAACAAAATTCATTCGTCGTGATTTCGATGGAGTTATTTCGTATTTATTTTGATGGATTCGATCAATTTCCCCACCGCATTCGAAATATATTTAGGGCATAAATGAATATTTGTTCCTAACGCGCGAATTCCTCTCGAAAAATGAGGTAATTTTAACCGACTTTTCGCGATGGGATAATTTTAGAACCGACTGGCAGGAAAACCTGTGCAATATTCTCGCCGATCTTCGAATCTATTTTCGCGGATTTTCTGAATAATGCACCCATTACAAGCTAAAAATATTCCAAAATTTCACACTACTCGATCGATTTACGGCACTTTTATTACGTCCAGACTTTCAAAATACTTCTATTTAAGCGAGGAAAATAGCGCAAAACTATTCGATATCGACTACGCTTACTATACAGGGCGCTTCAAAAAATTAGGGCTGATTCGAGTTAGTAAATGAACAGTTTTTAAAACACCCTGTATAGCAATTTTATTAACTGCAATGTAAGGGATTTAACGCTTCGTTATCGCGCCCATAAACATTCTTTAGAAGCGATTAATGGAAATGCGATCGCATGAAAAAGAAAATAAATGTTAAAATAATTGTTCCTAACCTTGTATGTGTCCGGTAACCTGCCTAGTGACATGTTGCTCGGTTCTAGTAACCCTTTGGGTGTGCTGGGAGTGTTGGGTTTGCTGGGTTTGTTGCTGTTGGGAACTCATCTTCACAGTAACACGGTCAAAAAAATCGAAAAGGAAGCACACAATATTCGAAGAATAAATATATAACACAACAATCACTGCAGCACGATTACAATGGAAGAGTCCGTTTCGAGAAATACAACTAAACTGTGTATAATAGTCTCTTTTTTTTTGTAAATAAATGTATCGAGTAAATTCGTTTGCCTTCCGCGGCTTCAGTTAGCAGAAGTTCAAGTCATCATCCCCGATGTCTTTTTCCACACCAAGACGTCGGTCGTTTGCGAATTGCGAGCGAAGAATGGGCCGGTGCGACGCCTCCCGTCGCGGCGCCCCTCGCGGGCCGGCGGGTGGGGGACCGTGGGGGCTATTTTAAGACGCGCCTGACATGCGATCCGGCTTAGCGGGTCCGCGGTGTTGCCAGACGGGCGGGGTTTTACGCGGTTCTGCCGCGGAAAGGGGGTTGGGAAATATGCTGGTAGTTCGTTTGGTAATGTAGATGGGAGTTTCGGGTAAGTTTTGTTTGATGGTGAAAAGTGCGTTTTATAAATTTGGTGTGTGGGAAAATTCTCGAAAAGTTAATGGTTTTTGAGATTTGGCGATTTATTTAGGCATGTTTGTTTGTTTGTAATTTTGTTAATTATAATAGTTTTTTAGCTGTAACTTAAAAACTAATTAAAATTGAGATGTGCTGTTTTAAGCATTCGATGGAAGAAAGTGTACTCTACGATTTTGCAAGTATGAAAAATTTTCGAAAACTTAATAGTTTTTGAGATTAGGCGATTTATTTAGACACATTTATTTGTTTGTAATTTTTGTTAACTAGTAGTTTTTTTGCTATAATTCGAAAAATATTTAACATAGAGATATGCTGTTTTTATTATTAGATGGAGAAAAGTATACTCTATAATTTTGCAAGTGTCAAAAATTTTCGAAAACTTAATAGTTTTTGAGATTTTGCGATTAATTTAGAGCGATTTATTTGTTATAATTTTTGTAATTAAAAAGTTTTTTGCTATACCTAACTCAAAAACTAATTAACATAGAGATATGCTGTTTTTACTATTCGATAGAGAAAAGTATACTCTACAATTTTGCAAGTGCCAACAATTTTCGAAAATTTTATAGTTTCTAGAATTTGGCAATTTATTTAGGCCCATTTATTTATTTGTAATTTTTATTATTTATAATATTTTTTTGCTATAACTCAAAAACTAATTAACATAGAGATAATCTGTTTTAAGCATTCGATGAAGAAAAGTATACTCTACAATTTTGAAAGAATAAAAAATGTACATAAATATAAGATTTGGGGAGATATTTTGATTTTTGAGGTGCCCAGAAAACCGAATTCTTCCTTAAAATATTCAGTACTTAAACTCTTCAAATATCGATTATAAAAAACCAAAAACCTACAATCAATGAATCAGTCAATCAACTTCACTTGCAGCTTTATAATATCAGATCATTTTGAGCCTAATAAATATGAGAATAAATCGTAATCCGATCATTTCCTCGCCGTCGCCCATCGATGAATTCCCAATACATTCGATCTCTCGAAACACCCGATATTTAACAACCAATAACCTTTCTTTTCCAATTTTTTATTAATTTAATTCGTTACGCACCCGCCCAAATAATAAGTACAGCACAAGTTCTGGTATTAACTCTGTTTAATTAGCGTTATTATTTACAAAATTCTGTCCAGTTAACCGAGATTTTCGAGTTGGCAAAACTTACCGATGAGCTTTTGCGAGCTTTCGGGCGATTCCGGCCGGCGATAAAGCTCCAAATCGGGCGATAAAGTCCTTCTTGTCGTGGTTAATTGCCGGTAGGTACCGTACATGTGAGATGGTACTCCTGTAAAATGTATGAGGAATGTGTAATAGACTCGATTATGGATTAATGGAGGATTAATGTGGGATTAATGAGGGATTAATGAGGGATTAATGAGGGATTATTTCGAGTAGCGTGCCAGGATTTGTAGCCAGAAAAATGAGTCAATTATTTTGCATCATTCATAGAACGAATTTAATCACGGAGCGAAAATAAACGTTCGCTAAACGGCTAATTGAATGCATGGAAACAATTTTGGTGTGTGAGCCAATAAAATTCTGGTGAAATTCCACAAACGCCTCTCGAGTATTTACAGTATTTATTTGGGTTTTGTTTAGAGGATTTTTTTCTCTAGGAGATTTTTGGTAATCAATCAGCAACTTGGTTTTTTTTTGGGTTTTATCATAAGCAGATTTTTTAATGAAAATTCGAATCAATTCATACATCATCGCGCTCTTGAATGTAATGACCTTCCCGTAATAAAATTCTCCGTTTTTAATGCACCCAGGGCCGGATTTTGCAATAAGCTTCAGCCTATCTAGGGCATATAGAGATCAAGAAGGGTTGATCTATTATTGATGTAATTTATTATCTATGTATCTCGAAAGCCAATCGAGATAAAAAAACAAATGTTTATCAATTTATAGAATAAACAATTCTGAACAAATTATAAAGTATCGAAAATGTCAAAAATTCTCAAAATTTCCAAGATATCTGGACTTTTTTGTCACAAAGCTACATAATTTCTATTGCCGTTTTATAACGAATCCTCAATTATTCTGAAAACTGCTTGAGATATAAAAACGAGATTTTTACCATTTTGTAGAATTAATAATTTTCTACAAATTTCAAAGAATCGACAATTTTGAAAAATCCCCAAACTTCCGAGATATTTTCACTTTTTTGTCACAAAAATAGCTAATTTCTATTGCTGTACTATATAAGGAACCTCAATTATCTCGAAAACTACTAGAGATAAAAAAACAATATTTTAACCATTTTATAGAATAAACAATCCCCTACAAATTTTAAGGTATCGAAAATTTCGAAAAATCCCAAATTACCGAGATATTTTCACTTCTTTATCAAAAAATACATAATTTCTATTGCTGTACTATAGGGAATCCTCAATTATCTCGAAAACTACTAGAGATAAAAAACAAAATTTTAACCATATTACAGAATAAACAATCCTCTACAAATTTCAAAGAATCGAAAATTTCCAAAAATCCCAAAATTTCCGAGTTATTTTCACTTCTTTATCAAAAAAATACACAATTTCTATAGCTGTACTAAAAGGAATCCTCAATTATCTCGAAAACTACTCGAGATAAGAAAACAAAATTTTAAACAATTTATAGAATAAACAATCCTCTACAAATTTCATAGAATCGACAATTTCCAAAAATCCCCAAATTTCCGAGATATTTCAACTTTTTAATAATAACATTACTTCAAAATAAGATATGAAAGTGTCTGGCAATTAAATAAAATAGTCAAGTGCCTTCGCCCTTCATCTAAACCCGTCCCTGAATGCACCCGACTATAAAACACATAAGTACATTACACAAAAAAAAACCCGTAATAAAACCCGAACGCCTCTCGATCGGTAAATACAAGCATGCATCTATTTCGGGCCCCGCTCTGGGCACGTTTCCACGTTACGTGGGGGCCCGATGGCGTTTCGACGGCTCTCCCGTTGGCAACGATCGCCTTCGACGTGCCAGTTTTCCGTTGCACATGAGAAATTCGCTTGGAATTCGAGTGAGTTCGAACGTGGGCGGACGAAATACCGCTGGAGGACGGTGCAAGCACCAGGTGCTTTGATTAACGCTGCGTTTCACCCGATTCCGTGGATTTTTTGGGACCTGGTGCACTCGATTATTATCTATAGTATTGTAAAAATGAGTCAAAAACCGTCGGAGGATGGTGCAAGTCACTGGTGTTTCGATTAACGAGGCGTTTCACCCGATTCGGTGGATTTTTTGGGACCTGGTGCACTCGATTATTGTCTATAGTATTGTAAAAATGAGTCGAAAAAACCGTCGGAGGATGGTGCAAGTCACTGGTGTTTCGATTAACGAGGCGTTTCACCCGATTCGGTGGATTTTTTGGGACCTGGTGCACTCGATTATTGTCTATAGTATTGTAAAATGAGTCGAAAAACCGTCTGAAGATGGGGCAAGCACCAGGTGCTTTGATTAACGAGGCGTTTCACCGGATTCCGTGGATTTTTTGGGACCTGGTGCACTCGATTATTATCTATAGTATTGTAAAAATGAGTAGAAAAACCGCCGGAGGATGATGCAAGCACCAGGAACTTCGATTAATGAGGCGTTTCATCCGATTCGGTGGATTTTTTAGAACCTGGTGCACTCGATTATTACCTATAGTATTGTAAAAATGAGTAGAAAAACAGCCGGAGGATAGTGCAAGTAACAGGTGCTTCGATTAACGCTAGGTTTCACCCGATTCCGTGGAATTTTTAGGACCTGGTGCACTCGATTATTGTCTATAGTATTGTAAAAATGAGTTGAAAAACCGCCGGAGGATAGTACAAGCACCAGGTGCTTCGATTAACGCTAGGTTTCACCCGATTCTTTGGGACCTGGTGTAGGCTATTATTATGTATAGTATTGTAAAAATGGAACAAAATTTTAGGGGTGGTAGTTTACATAATTTGAGACCGATTCCCAGATTTCATTTTTCTTCCTTCATTTTTCAAATTATAATACCTAAACAAAATTTGAAATATTAGAAATACTTCAAAAAATGCGGTCCTATACATCGGTTGAAACCGACAAAATAATGATTTATAAATTAAGTGATTCTTATTCGAATATGTTATTTATTCCATATGGTCTCTATTTTTTTGGAATCATGGATAAATTTTAAAAGTAAACCGACATTTTCAAACAGTAGAAGAAAATAAACTAAACTCGAAAGAATTATTAACTCACCTAATTTGTTCTTGAAAAATAGTGAAGTTCATAATGATTGTTTATTAATGATCCTATTGAACGAGTGTGGTATTTCAAATATCGCAATTAATTGTTCCAGAACATCACTAACTAAACTGATAAGAACACTAAGAACTAAAACAATCAAATATATCACAAAAATCTATTTAACCCCGATGTTATAATCAAAACAATACAATTCGCACCAGAAAAGAATCGGTATCGATAACGCTTTTCCTTTTTGACAGCTGGAGGGCGGAGGGGGAAATTTTCACTCGCTGATAAATACACCGTCTAGATTTTTTGAGTTAATTCCGATCAGCTGACTATTCTTGCCAGGGTTGTATTCGCTCTTTTTGCATTTATTTCTAATGGCTCTATTTTATTGCGAAGAGATATATATTAAATATGTATAGTTATCTACAAAATTCCTTCATATTTGTGTATTATGTAAAAGTAAGTGTGGCAATTTCTCTTATCAGACAAAAATATATTTGGCAATTTTCTTGTATAAAAAGGGTAGAGTACCTATCTGAAATATTTTATTTTTATGTATTTTTAATGGATATTCCTGAAATATACACAACAATAATTGCAGTAATTAGGTCGACAGATTCTCCAATTTTTTTGCGTATGTATTGTTTGAAAGAGGTAAAAATAGTTTCATGTATATACAGGGTGTGGCTTATAAATATTATAAATAAATTTAATTCTACTTTTAATCCAGATTTATTATTAGTAAAAAATATTATTTACAATCATTTTTATTATTAACCGAATGATGAATAGAAAGCCGTAAAAGAAAGCGAGTGGGAATAATATTAAATTAGTACAGATACAAAAACACTCTAACTCTAAAACATTGTTATATTTGGACTATTTCCAAATTGTTCTGTTTGGTCTATTTTAAATTTAGTGCGATACTCGAGAAAATATTTATCTAATATAATAAATAATCGAATGGCTCGATTAAAATCGATCGAACGATGATAAATAAATTATAATACTTATACTCGATTTTTAGTTCTTAAAATAGACCAAACTTTTTTTATACATGCACTTTTCATGTCAATTTTATATTCAATTATAAGCAATAAATTAATTTCCTAAAGTTAGTAACAACTACTCTACAAATCAATCATTCGTTAACAAAAACTTACCGTTGAAAAAATAAAAAGGAGGTAAATAGAAAAGGTAAAATATTCGTATGCAGAAAAGCTTTAATAACCAAAGTAACAGACACAATAAATAAATTATAGTAAAGGTAACAAATATAAATATATATATTTCGCAAGTACCGCCGGCATTTCAGCGCCAGGAAAACAACTCATATAAAGGAAACAAAGAGAAAAATAAAATATACACGTATACATAATTTCAACTACGAAGCACAGTAAAAGAAAACCCACATTGACTAGTACCATTTTTCCGCTTTTCCCAATCAACAACAACCTACTAGAGAGTTAGCACCGCCACCTTCTACTTTATATACTGCGATCTGCGCTCACCTGGTACTTCCAGAGTCGCCGAGGTATTAGCAGCTCCGATGGGATTGGTCGCGGTACAAGTGTAAGTACCGGCGTCCTCTGAAAATCGATTACCCACAAATTATAAATCCGCCGATTGCACGAAGTGAGAGGGTACTCACCCGGATAAGCCTGAGCTATGGTCAGCCTGCAGACGCCGTTGCGATAGTGCAATTGATAGTCGCGGGAATTGTTCACTATTCTACCGTTTTTGGACCAAAGGACGTTCGGCTGGGGCTCGGATTGGACTATGCACTCGAATTTCGCCGATTGTCCACTTACCACGGCTATGTCGCGAAGCGGCTGGAACCCAAGAGGACTTTATTAGAAGATAACGAAGAGAATCTACTAGATATGTCCAGTACAGGTCCAATAAAATGAATAGATTACTACTGTACTAGTACAACCACTGCTAGTGTATCAGAATAATACTCAGATGTTCAATAGCACCGAGATCCTTGGGTCTTAATTGAAAAAAATACAAAGAGAATCTTCTAAATATATCTAGTACAGATCCAATAAAATGAATAGATTACTACTGTACTAGTACAACCACTACTAGTGTATCAGAATAATTCAATAAAAATTAATAGAGTACTACTGTACTGCTATCAGAATAGAAAAATAATGTGGGTTCAAAGTGAGATAACAATCTGGTGCATTGGTAATACTCAGGTTCCTAGTATTTGCTGGTACGACAAGAGTTCTATTTTAAGGTTGCTTGGTAGTACCAAGATATACAATATTGAGGAATATACGTACCGTTATGAAGAGAGGAGCGCGAGCTTGGGCCGGATTGAAGACTTTGTGGGTACTTCCCGGGGTGCTGGGGCAACTGGGCGGCGTTTGGCGTCCCGGTACTAAAATTTAGACGGGTGGAATTTTACGAGGGGCGATAGGAATTTTCTCGTCGAAAATCTGTGTAATTCCGAATTACACAAACTTTCGTCGAGGGTGTTAGAAATAGTCCGGGGTTAAATCTGGTTGTTTAATCACCGGGTTATTTCTAAATAGAATACATGTAAAGCGATAATGGCGAAAAATAAATAAAATGTCTAATGAACGAAAAGAAAAAATTATCTAACATCTAATAAACATTCATAATAGAATTAGAAAAATATTCAATTCTACCTACTTGAAAAAAAAAAAATGTGTAAAAAGTAGTGAAGGAAAATATTGGTTATATTTATGTTTGTATTCAGAAGTATCAATTAAAATATAACCGGTTGGTTGGTAGAAATTTGACCGGTTGGTTACAAATAAAATTAATCAGTTGGTTATATATTTAACCAACCGGTTATATGTATTTTACAACGTATGCTTAATCGTTGGTTATAGAACACTTCTAAATACGTACTTTATTACTGTTAGTGATTCGTAAAAAGCATTAGTAGCGGTAGTACTATGGGAAATTTCCAAACCAAAAAAAACAACCAACGACTTATCGAAATCCTCGTCGCGAAACAAAAAAAAAAACTCCCTCATAGTACTTCAATCAACACACCGAGTACCTGCGAAAGTATTATTAAAAGCCGGCGACGTGCTAGGCAAACTAGGCGACAGAGATGCGGGGCTACACGAAGAAGGCTCCCATCGCGAACCTGCTAACAAACGGCCGCCGCTCGACCTGCCGCCCTCGCCCTCGGACACCTCGCTCTCCGACGTCGGCTCCCACTTATTGGCCGCCCTCCCCGTCGGCGCGAACTCCTTCGGCTTGAACTGCGGCGACGGCCGCCGGTTCTGGCCCGATTTCTCGTGGTACACCGGCAATTCGATGTCGCGCGTCCGCTTCGGCGGCTCCACCGCCGCCGCCGACCGCTTGCCCGCCGCCGCTTTACCGCCCTCGCCCGGCAGGATTATGCCGAACTCGTAACCGAAATCGTACTTGAAGTATATCAGACCGGTATCCGGATCCACGTGCTTCGTGCCTAAACGAAACAAACACATGCATAACTTTACCTTCTCTCCATGTTTAAGATGGTTCTCAAGGTTATAAAGCTTTGCTGCCGAATATTATAGTAAGATAAAGGCCATTTCTGGCCTCCCCATCACCAAAAAAACGCGCAGGAGACAAACGACAGTTGATAAAACGACAACTGACCGATGATATATGATAAACGACAGCTGACAGATGATATATGATAAACGACAGCTGACAGATGATAGACGACAGCTGACGGACGACAAATGACGTTCTTACCGTATTGGGCCGCCCTGGATTCCTCTCTGTAGACCTGGGCGTCGCCGTTCTTGACGGCCGGTTGTTTCCTGTTGACGTCTTCCATGATGTCGGCGACGAACTTGTGGGTTTTGGATTTGAAGGCGTGCGTCATGCTGTCCATGTGATCGGCGGCTATGCGGCCGGCGGTGGATTTGATCCGGTGGTCGGGCGCGTAGCCGTATTGGGGCTCGCGCTTCACCAGCTGGCTGTTCTTGCTCTCGCTGAACCTCCCGTAGACCGATTGGTGTTGTTGCCTTCGGTAATCGGGCGGCGTGTCGAACTCCATGGGCGAGAGCACGCGTTCTTTGCGCGACGGCACGCTGGACGATCGGCCGGGCGTCGGCGCTTTGACTCGCCTGTAACCGGAGCCGTCCTGCGGCCCGTGCGGCGTCCACTTGGCCTTGATCTTGGCGCCGTCCACTTCGCTCTCGTAGTCGCTTTCTCTGAACTCGCCCGGCACGAATTTGCTGGGCGTCGGCGTCGCCGCCGGCGGCACGCTGGTGGATCGCCTGGTGTCCTTCTCGCCGAATTTGATGACCTTGTGGGTCTGCTGGACGCTCATCGTGCGATGGCAGTGCTCGCTGGACTCGTCGAAGTGCACCGAATTGGAGGTTTCGTGCTGGACGGCGTTGGTGTACGGGGCGCTCACCGTCGACCTGTAATACTGGGTGCTCTTGGGGCCCGGCGCGTACACGATCTCCGGCGGCGTGCCCGGCCTGAGGATCAGATCGCCGGCGATGGGTTTGGGTTTGTAGACGACTGTTTTCTGGGCGGGTTTCACCTCCGGCTTGATGGGCTCGAATTTCGGGCGGTAGTCGACGGGGGACGCGGGTGTTCGTCCGTACTGGTCATGCTGTTTAGTCGGTGTTAGTACGGGTCGGACGGGTTTGTAGGCGGGTTCTTTGTGGGCGCGTTGCGGGCCCCAGACGGGCGGTATTCTCCTGTCGTGGTCGCTTTCGTAGTCGCTCTCGCGACACTCACCTTTGTGGGGTCTGATCGGCGACGGGACGATGGTCCTTTGGTGCTTCTCGAATTGCACGTGCTTGTCTTGGTGCTCGTACAGCTTTTGCGTCGTGCGGTTGGTTACTATTGGAGTGTTCACCAGTTCCTGCAAAAAACTTGATGTTAGTATTTCCTGGAATTTCTGCGGAGTATATGACGTTAATGGAACGTTGGGATTGTATATTGGAGGAACAATTAAAGTGTAGTTACAGGTGGGTATATAAAATTACTTGTATACATTAACGTAGTTAGGACTGTGTCGGTTCTAGATTGATTCAGCATGATCTGGGATTGGCTTTGTCTGGAACTAGGACTGTGTCGGTTCTAGATCGGTTTTGATGGCTCCAGCATGATCTGGAATTGGCTTGGTTTGGAACTAGGACTCTGTAGGTTCTAGGTCACTTTTGATAGCCATGATCGGGAACTGGTCTGGACCTGGATTGCTCGGTAACTAGCATGGTTTGGAACTTGCATAGGAAAATGAAGATAAATAAGGTGTTGTGCCAGAGTATTCTGGTATTGGATCATGCTAGTTCTGGAGCGTGGTGGAGAAGAGGTCTAGAATCGGCGCAGCTCGAACTACTCATCGAATTAGTGACATTAAATTAAACGGGTAAAATGTGTACTAAGCATATCAAAATTAGATAATGTACCTATTACCAAAAATTTGTGTACACCTATCAAAAAAATATATAGCACAGGTACTAAAAAATATCGCATGCAAGGTTCAAAAATAACAAAAAAAATACATATTAGTTCGTGTAGCAAAAAAACAACAACACAACACACAACAAATCGTTAGCGAACCTTCTGGTCGGTCTGGATCTTCCTACAAACGCGCGGTTTAATCGCGACCTCGGCAGATTCGCCGGTTTTCGAAAACCTTCCGCCAGCTTCCCTACAAAGCTCCGTATCGGCCATGTACCCGTCGATCCCGCGCTGCGCCAGCGCCGGCGCGTCCAGCGCGGATCTCTTCACGTCCCTGGCGTGCCTGCTCAGCTTCTTCACCTCCTTGACGCCCTCGAAATCGCTCTCGTAATCGCTGTCGGCGAATCTACCCTTAGCGAATTTGGCGGGCGCCGGCGGCGGTCCCGTTCCCGGAGCGCTCCGCCTCTCCGGCCATAGCGGGGTGTCAGTAAGCGAGCTGGTCTCGGCATGCTGGGGGTTTTTCGCGGGCACGGGGGGCGCTCGCGGTATTACCTGTTTGGGGGGCAGGGGCGGCGGCGGGGCGGTCCATTCCTCGGGCAGCGGCCTCGGCGGCGGGGCGACCCATTCTCGGGGTTGGGGGGACCGGGGCGGACAGGGCGGGGCGTAGGCGATCTCGGGCGGCGGGCCGGGTTCTAAATATACCTCGTCGGTGATGTCCTGCACTGATATAGGCCTGATGGGCAGTACGTCCAGCGCGTGTCTGGTTTCGCCGGGAGGCGGCGGCGGCGGCGGCCAGGATTTTATTATCTCCGACGGTTTCGCGTTGCTTTCTTCTATGATATACTCCGATTTGCTTTGGGTGAAGGTGTCTTGTTTGGCTACGCTAGGAGTCCACTTCTTCTCGAGAGTACTTTGTACAGACCAAGTGGGTTGGTACTTGATCTCCTCCGGTTGCGGCGGCGGCCAGGACTTCTCCTGGTGACTGTCGGTGAATTTGTGCGCCCATTGCTTCTCCATCACCAAGCCTTCTTCGGACGGTTCCCCTTGGACGGAGGAAGGTCGCACCAGCGTCTTGGACGTGCTGCTCTCCATGGAGCGGCTGTACGACGACGAGGAGGACTCCGTGAACGTCGTCTTCTGCGTGGACGGGAAGATTTTTATCGCCCCTCTGGGCACCTCGTGCGGCGACAGCTCCTTCTGGCTTTCGGAGATGCGCTTGATCCTCTGGGAGACGTCTTCGTGGCGTTTGAACGAAGGCGGCGGTTGCGGGGCGTAGCAGATTTCCGCCGGCGGTTCCGGTTGCAGTTGGAAGTCCTGGGTGATTTGGGTGGTGGAGAAGGATTGGAAGTGCTCCTGAGGCGGTACGATGGATTGCGACGATTTGAACGAATGGTATTCCTGTATTGAAGGTTCGGGTTTGGGTGGAACCGGCGGGGGAATTTTTTGCTCGAATTTCTCGTAAATGTCGGGTTTGATCGATTCCGGTAGGGTTATTTCTTTTGGTGTCGGAGCGTCGCCTTCTTTGATTTTTTTGACGAAATATTGCAGAGACGATTGCTTCGATATCGAGCTGGTTTCGATGCCTTCTTGATCGTCGACTTTCTTCTCTTGGTATATTTCGTGTTGCAAATCCGCACCTGCTGGTACTATGGGTTTAGGCATCGGTATATCGGGCATTTTGTGTTCGAGTTTCACCACGCGCTTCTCCTCGGAAGAAGATTGCTCTGTAGTAGAAGTCACCTCTGATTTGCAGCTCATACTTTGCGATAATTCGGTGGATATAATACGCGAATCAGTTGGAGCAGTTACCTTCATCGGTACTAAAGCTTGTTCGCTTACAGCAGATAACTTGCCGGCAGATGTTGCCTGTTTTTTGTTTATAAAAGGAAAATTTGTAATTAGCTGCCCGAAAGCATCCCAACCACCAAAATTATGACCTAGTAGTAATAACTTACCAATGTTTCATGCTTTCTCACGTCTTCGAAAACCACGGATTTCACGACTTCCACCATACTATCCGGAGCCGGCTCGATTACAGCTACATCTGCGATGCTCTGGGCTTCCCCGCCTGAATTGGTTGCTCGCACCATGTACCGACCAGAATGGTTAATACCAGCTGCAAGAAACAAATAGAATTACCCACCAAGATAACCTACGAACACTCTATTCAGTTGTGGAGTACTCATCCAACTTCATCGCAGCCTTCTACTCACCGTTATCGATGATCAAAGTGTGCCCTTGCCCCATGGATTTGATCTTGTAGGTGGTGCGATCGTTGATCAAGTTGCCGTCCTTGTACCAAGTGACAGTGGGCTCGGGTGATCCAGTAATCTCCACCTCCATGATGATGCGATCGCCTTTCTTGATCACTTGCGCTTGCAATCGACGACCGAACACCGGCGGGAAAATGGTTTCTGGAAAATCACATTTTACAACTGGAAAATATGGTAGTTTCGCACGTACTTCTAACAACCAAATCGGCGGTACTAACGGCGGTACCGCCTTCGTTGATTGCGGTACAAGAGTACCTCCCGGCGTCCTGGACGGAAACGCTTTTAATTTCCAACGCCGTGCGATTGTTCTGCCATGTAATGGTGGTTCTCTTGTCTTCCACGATGTCTTGTCCGTTCTTGGTCCATTTGACCTGGGGCGCCGGCTGCCCGTCGAGGATGCCCTCCAGCGTGACGTCGACGTACTGATCGACTATTTTGCCGATAATAGGAGTCACGAACTTGGCCGGTCGGATCCTCGCCGGCTTGTGCACCTGGAGTTCCTGCGACGACGGGGACTTCTCCGGCAGCTTGTGGTACTCTTCGATCCGGCGGGACTCGGCGATTTCCGGAGCGCCGCCGTCGATTTGCTTGAACGTCTGCGCGTTCTGCGAGATCACCCGGTGCTCCTCCACGTTGTTGTTGTCGGAGATTATCTTGCTGGTGTGCGATGTTTGGGATTGCGTTACGACCTCTTTGCTGGATTTGTAGGAGGTTTCGACGTGCTGGAGCGCCTCCGGTTGGTTCTCTTGCAAGGCTATGGTGGCGGATGGTTGAACTAGCAACGAGGCGGTGCAATGGGCTTTGCCTGCTTCGTTTTCCGCGTGGCAAGTCACCGTGCCGGAGTGGTCGCGTTTGGCGACCGGGATTGATAGAACCTCTCGGTTGCCTGATGTGGATACCAAGAAATCTTTCCCAGAAATCGGTTCTTCGTTGAACAACCACTTGATTTTTGGTGTCGGTTTACCCACGACGATGCACTCGAATTTCGTGGCGGTGTCTTCGTAGATGGTGCGATCGCCGAAGCCCTCTTTGAATTCCGGCGGTTGTTTCACTTCCTCGTGCAGCACGGTGTCCGTGGGTTTGAAGGATTTGACGATGAGCTGGGCGAAACATTTCGCCTCGCCGGCGCTGTTGGTCGCCTTCACCGTGTACACGCCCTTGTCCTCCGGCTTCACGTTGGCTATTTCCAGCTTGAAATTGCCGTCGTCGTCGCGAGTGAACACGAAGTGCTCCGTATCGGTAACCGGCAGGTTGTTCAACAGCCACTTAACATCAGGCGTGGGTTCGCCCGCTACGTTACCTTCCAAAATCACTCGGTCTCCTTCTGACACCAGAACGTCGGTGAGTAACTTGGAGAATTTAGGAGCCACGCCGGGTTTATCTTCCGCGGGTTTACCACTTTCGGACGGAGTGACGCTGAGTATACACCTGCTGGAAGCTTCGCCAGCAGAATTCAACGCGACGACCTTGTACTCCCCGCCGTCCTCGGGCAGCACTTCCTGGATGACCAGCGAGCACCTGTCGCCTTGGAACAGCAACTGGAAGTCCTGCGACTCCTTCACCGGCCGGTCGTCGTGGTACCAAATCACCTCGGGCTCCGGCTGGCCGACGATGACGCAGTCGAGCCGCACCCTGGCGCCCTCGGCGGCGGCGGCGTTGGACAGCGGCAGCTGGATGGACGGCTTGACGGGCTCCATGTCGCTGGCTATCTCCGAGTCGGACGTTTCGGTGGGCAGGCGGCCCTTCACCGATACGCTGCAGGAGGTGGCCGCCTCGCCGGCCACGTTCGTCGCGGTCACCGCGTACGCGCCGGCGTCCTTCGGGAAGGCTTCCAGCACCAGCAGCGTCGCCTTGTCGCCTTCTTGTTGGAGCTGCAACGAGCGAATAAAATCGCCGTTTAGGTGGCGGAGCCGGGCGGTAAAATAGCGCGTACTTGTACTAATTATAAACGAGCGCGGTGCCAAGAAAACTTACCTTAATTTCTCGGGTTTCTTTGACCGGCTTGCCGTTGTGCGACCAGGTCAAAGTGGGCGCGGGCAGGCCGGCGATTTCGCATTCTAGTTTTATTTTCTGTCCCGCTCTGGCCATCACGTTGGACAAGGGAGAGACGATGGTCGGCGCTTCGGCCGGTTGGGCGGCTGGAAATTTTTCGAAAATTACGCGCGTGTTATCGGGAATATCTGTTCGAAGAGAGAAATTCAGCCGGGTTAAATTTAGACGAGGTTGTCGTGTTGTTTTCGATTGCTCGAATGTCGTGGTTATTTCGAATGCACCAGGTGTTGTATACGGGGTATATCAAGACGAACTTAAACTATCTGTATATTAGAAACTACTTGATAAATTAATCAAAATATAAGATCAATTAAACCAATTAAAAAAAATTAAATAGGGTGCCTACTAGGAAGGTCAAATGATTTTGAACTTGAGCTGAAAAACTCTTTGTTAAATTTTAAAAATATAAAATTTCTACGTTTTTTTTTAAATGGAGCCAATATACTTTTATAAATTGTATAAAAAAGTTGGAGTATATTATGAAAGAGTAAGTTTGTTGTTCCAGTTTATTTTTGAATGCTCCTCAAAATTCTGCCAAAATCCCAATGGGGTTATTGAACTTCACACTAATTACTTCCATTTTGTATTTATTTCAGTTAAACTTACTAAAAAAAAAGTTGAACAAATTCCCTCTCAAATTCCAATCTACCATCATTATCGAAAAAAAAATACTTACGAGTAACAGCGAGATTAGCAGTACACTGTGCATTCCCCATTTGATTAGCAGCTTTGCAGGAATACTCGGCCTTATCCTCGAGCCTCACCGCCTCGAACTTGAGTATAGCATTCCCGTTGTTGTAGGTGATGCTATAATCGGGCGAATTATCGATGCACTCCCCGTTCTTGAACCACTGCACCGTAGGCAAGGGGTTCCCATCCACCAGGCACTCGAACTGGAACCCGGTCCCTTCCTTGGCCTGGCCGGGCTGCAGGGGCTTGCTGAACGACGGGGCTTGCAGCACCTCCTCGGGCTCGCTCTCCTTCACCGAAAGCACCGCCGAGGTTTCGTCCTCTCCGGCGGGATTGGACGCCCTGCAGGTGTACCTGGCCGAGTCCTCGGCGAAGGTCTCCTCGATGGTGAGCGAGCAGAGGCCGGCTTCGAAGGTGGTCCTGTAGTCGGGGTTGTTCTGTATGGATATGCCCGCCTTGTACCAGGTGATGGTGGGCGCCGGGTGGCCGGTCACCTGGCACATGAAGGTGAACTTGTTGCCCTCTTGTATCACGGCGTCGCTGAGAGGCGAGACGAATACGGGGGCTTCGCTGGCGTCTTCGACGATCGGTATGGGCGAAGGTACTCCTCTGGTGGAAGAGGTCGTTTGTATTTCCAAGTCGGTAACTTCGCTGATTTCTATGGAGTGTTTTTTTAGCTCCTTCGCTAACGTAGCTTGTTCTTCTTTGAGCTTCGCCTCGGCTTCTTTGATCTTCTGTTGGTCCTCCGCTTTACGCGTTTCGTTGGCCAATTTAGCTTCCTCTAGTTTGTGCTTTTCATCTTCTAGCTTCTTGCGTTCCTCAGCCAGTTTGGCTTCTTCTTCCAGTTTGGCCTCTTCGGCTTTCTTTCGCTCTTCGGCCATTCGGGCCTCCTCGGCTCGTTTGGCCTCCTCGAGTTTCTGCTTCTCGACCAGCAGTCGTTGTTCTTCGGCTTGGATTTTCTCGCGCGCCAGACGCGCCTCTTCGGCCAGCTTGGCTTCCTCCGCTTTCCTGCGCTCCTCCGCCGATCTGGCTTCTTCCGCCTTGCGAGCCTCCTCGGCCAATCGGGCTTCCTCTCTCGATTTCTCCTCTTCCAATTTTCTGGCTTCTTCGGCTCGCTTGGCGTCCTCGCGCTCCTTCTCCAGTCGCGCTCGTTCCTCCTCCGATGCCTTCAGGTTTCCGGCCAATGTGTTCAACTCTTTGGTGATCGCTGCGAAGGATTCCAGCATTTCCTGGTTACCGCGCAGCACGGGAGCGTATTTGGTGTCGTCTGGTCCGTACAGCTGAGCGGCCAGTTCGGTTATTTTCTCTATCTTCTCGTTCTGCTTCTCCTCGCCGGGAGTCAGAAAGTCGGATACTTCTTCCAGCAGTTGCTCCGCTTCTTCCGGTTGCTTCACAGAAGTCGACTTCCTCGCTATGGTCACCAGGAGCTTGCTGCCTTCTCTGAACCATTCGTCAGCCTATAAACAAACAGAAATGTAGAAGATACCAGTAGAGTGAAGCAAAATTGCTACCTCTTCGACTAACTGGAAGTAATGAACGCTGGTATCGATGAGACTCCTGGTGGTTTTCATTTGGTTCTTCAGGTTGTTCCATCGGTCCTGCAAGGCGGAGATTTCGCTTTGTACGTGAGTTGCATCCTGGTGGTTTTCGGCTATGAGTTTCTCGCTGGATTTGATGAACGATTGTATCCTCTCCTCCATAGTCTGGAATATGCGGTGAGTAAATTCGCGTGATGGGCATTAAGGATCGTTTGTACTAACTTTGACTAGTTCTTCTATCTCGCCGAAGGCTTGAAGGGCCGCTTTGGCGCTGGAAAGGGACTCGCCGTATTGGTTCTTGGCGGATTTGAGCTGCTTGTTGATGTCTTCGATGTTCTCGTTGATGGTCTTCAAATCGCCGTCGAAGGCGGAGATCTGGCGCTGCGACAGAAGAGAATCCTGCTTCTGCTTCCATTGGCGCTCGAATTCGGCGCGCTGGAGCTGCAGGACGTGCTGCAACTTCGCCACGTCTCGTTGCGCGGCATCGGGAGGTTCCTGGAAGCGATGCGAGTTAGTAAATGGGTTGGTTGAAGGGGATTTGGTTTACTTGTTTGGTGATTCTGTCGGCGATTTGGTCGCATTCGGCTTGGGCGAAGCGCAGCCTCTCGGTGATGGTTTGCTTTTGGGATTCGTGCTCTTGGAGTATCCTGTCGATGGAGGAGACGTCTTTGGAGTGGAGGGTTTTCTGCAATTCGGCGTTGTACAATTCGGCTTTCTTGTCGATTTCCTCCAAGTTCCTGAAGTAGCCGATCAACACCTGGCAGAGCACTTGATAGTCGGAGACGGTGTCTTGGAGTTTCTGGTTGAATTCCTGGAGTTTGTTTCTGATGGCAACTGCCGAGGGGTTTTCTTCGGCGGCTTGTTGGAGGAGTTTTTCGGTTTCTTTGAGTTTTTGGTTGACATCCGATTGGGCTTTGCGGATTTCTGGTAGGGTAGATGATAGCTTGTTTTCGATGTAATCGGCTAGATCTTTGGGTGCGGTTGAATCGCTGGTGATGATGGGATAGAGTTGAGTGTCCAATTTCGTCGCCAAGCCAATTGTCTGGAAAATACGATAATAAAATTTCGAATAACGCTTTTAGCTAATAAAAACCGATGCCAATTTCGATGAAATTATTAGCGCTCTCTATCATCCAGCTTGAAGTTGATGTATATCGTCGACCTATTTCATTTTATGTAATAACAATGTAACAGATACGGATTTTGCGGCGTTTCGCTGCGTTCCAAAAATAATGCTTTTAATTCTAATTCCAACGGATTTATTTCGATACAGTGATGTCAAAATGTAGCCGCGAAACGCCTACGAATTTTTTCCACGAATTTTATTTGTCCAGAAGCCGCGATGTTATTCAATCAATTGAATGTACAATTTGTAGAAAAACAAATTTAATGCTAAATTGTTTGCTGAATAACCGTTAATTTGAGAAAGAAAATGGCTTAATGTGCAGTATATAGTTTTGTTCGATTGAGTAAAGTACTATAATGAATGTAGTATTATTTTATTGGGGTCATTTTGGTGAGAATTAGTGGGAAAAATATTTTAATTCAGTAAGGATTTTATTTAAAAATTGATGGTTTTGCAAAACCGAAACGTCTGAGAAGAAAAAAAATGCTAACTTCCAACTTCCAGCTTATTAAAAATACATAAAAATTATAACGATGACATTTTTTCAAAATAATTTAAAGACAAAAATGAATATTGAAAATCTATTTGCAACAGTTTAATCGAAATCAAATATCCGACTTTAAATCACCGATTTTAAATCAAATTTCAAAATCTGTTTGAACAAGTTTAACATTTTTCCAATTACCCAAGTTTCTCCCCATTTAACACTTTTGCCCTATCTCTCCTAAATTTCAAGATATCCACATTTATTTGGGACACTGTGTACCTACAAAAATTTTCTAAAAAACTCAAAAAGAAAAACCAATATTTAAAATCCGTTTTCACCAATTCAAAATCCTCCCAATTACCCAACATTCTCTCCAACCAACCCTTGTCGATCTCCCATGATTTCCAACTTATTTGGAACACAAAAACCCAACGAACACAAACCAAAACAACGCAGGTAAACAGAAACTTCCACCGGACAGTCGCAGGCGGCAGTTCCCCAGGTGTCCACCAGGTGTCCACCAGGTGTCGCTCCGCCGGTTCGCGGGCGTTCGTTCCCCAGGTGTCCACCAGGTGTGCACCGGGGAGCCGCCGCATCAACGTTACCTTGGTGCTCTCCTCCATGGTGACTTCGAGGCGCACGAGGAGTTCCCGGTGCTCCGCCACTTCGGCGTGGAAGGTCTGCCAGGTCCTGGCGACGACTAACTGCCGCCCCGACAGCCTCTCCAGAACGGCTTCGACGCAGAGGCGGGCGCGGTTCGCGTCGACCTGGTGCTCGGTTATCTGGAAGATGTTACGCGCGATAAAATTAGATTTTCGGTGGATTTTATTCGATCGGCTCGAATATATCTGCTCTTTTTTTTTAATGGGTTTCACGCGGTCACAGATAGATGCACCGACTTTAATATACGTGTAGGCTAAAAATATATCTAATAGTTGCTGTGATATGAATTTAAGAATAGATGTGGAAATATAATTCAATACAATAATAGGATTTGTAATCTTGAATAATCTCTTCCCTATAACTTTTCTGAACAATGAGGTAAGTAAATGCTGTTTGCGGGAGGTAATTAGTAATAAATCAAAGAACATTGTGGGAAAATTTCATGAAAATCATATTCGTACTTTCTGAGAAAATCCCGAAAATCAATGTTCGGGAATCCCCTAAGTAGGCTCCTTTTATTTTCCCTATAACTTCGCTAAAAATTGAGCTAAATAAATGCTGTTTGTAGGAAGTAATTAGTAATAAATTAAAGAATGTTGTAGGAAAATTTCATGAAAATTATATTCGTACTTTCCGAGAAAATCCCGAAAATCAATGTTCGGGAATCTCCTAGTTAGGCTACTTTTCTTTTCCCTATAACTTCGCTAAAAATTGAGCTAAATAAATGCTGTTTGCAAGGAGAATTAGTAATAAATTAAAGAATGTTGTAGGAAAATTTCATGAAAATTATATTCGTACTTTCCGAGAAAATCCCGAAAATCAATGTTCGGGAATCCCCTAGTTAGGCTACTTTTCTTTTCCCTATAACTTCGCTAAAAATTGAGCTAAATAAATGCTGTTTGTAGGAAGTAATTAGTAATAAGTTAAAGAATGTTGTAGGAAAATTTCAAAAAACTCGTACTCATACTTTCCGAGAAAATCCCGAAAAAACCCATAAAATCACGAGAAAAATAAAAAATTCTAAAATGGGCACAAAAAATCCAGTTTTTCACCCGAAAGAAAACTATTACAGGTTTCGAAAGGTAGATCTCGTCGAGTTACGTAGCTTTGCATATTTTTCCGATTTTTTCTCTTCAAATAAAACCGTAAAAAATAAAATATGCCAATCGCTCAGCCAATGAATCGTAACTAGTTATAGTGAATGAGCTCCCATTTAATTGGTATTATAAAATTCGTTATAAAGCAAAAATACAGCTAGTTTTTTTATTGACTCATTCATAAAACTTTTATTCATTCATTAACTCGAATCTAATCATTCGATAAATCTCGAGAGAGTCGGGAAAAGGCGTTTGGTGAACGAACTTTCGCGTGGAGATTCTTCGTCGGGAATCCTATTTTATTTTATTTTATTCCCCTAATCATCGTTATTTTTAGATGCGACCGCCTTCGAGTAAATAGCAACTGTTGAATATAAATCAAATTAGAAATAGCCCGTCGGCTCAACGAGCATTGTAGTGGATTCTCCTACGGCTCGTTATTTTCGAAAATAATCTACTTATCCGTAAAATAGCAGAAACAAATATGTAACACGTTGATTAATTAATCTTACGTTATTGAATAAAGTTATCAGGAAACTTGTTTAATCTCTTAATATCAATTAATTGGTGTTTGGATACAACATTGATTTGTTACACGAGACGTAAAAGGCCAAAGCTACTGACTTTGGACTAAGTAGAAGAAGAAAGAAGTTTTCTATGCTAGGCTAAATCTAAATCCATTTACTTACACTTTTGATTTGCTCGATGAACGTAATACCAGTATTTTTAGCGGATTGATAAAGCGGCTTGATAGTCTCGAATTTCTCCTCCAGGTGTCTCATGACATCATCGTCGACGCTGTTCCTGTTCCGGGCCAGAATCCCGTCCAGTTCGTCCATACCCTTGTGCACCGTCTCCGCCTCCGTGTGGAACTTCACGTAGATCCTGGCCAGCTCCATGCGGTTCTCCAGCACCCCCTTCAGCTTCATCCAGCGCTCGTGCAGCTGCTCCACCTTCACGTCCACGTCCTTCCGCTGCCCGTCCTCCAGGTACTCCAGTATGGGCGGCAGGGTTAGCAGCAAAGCGTTAATCTCGGTGCCTTTCGTCTGCAATAGGAACACGAATTATCAAACGCATACAGCGTGGAGTTGCCGAGGAAGTACCCACCTGGAGGTCGTTGAGTAGCTGGTTGTGCAGGTCGTAGAAGTCTTTAGCCATGATGAGGTCGTTGCCCATGTCCCTGTGGGCTTGTAGAAACGCCTCGGCTATCGTCACCAGCCAGTTGTAGATTTCGTTGTGCTTCTCCAGGAAGTTGTTCAAAGCTCTGTTTATCATCACGTTTTCTTCTTTGTGCGCGGTACACAAACCGTCCAGCAGGATTTTCTTGTTTTCGAGCTCTTCTACTGCGGCTTTCACGCCTTCGGCGCCCGTACCGCGCCCGGCGGCGTCCAAGATGGCGTATCCTTCTGCCAGCGGCTGAGAAGTGGCTTCTTCGATGGCCTTGGCGCATTGGGCGTGCAACTGGGCGAGTTGCGGAGACGTTTTGGGCAGTACTGTAGCTGTTAATTGTATTTCGAGTTGGTTCAATTTCGTCAGTACCATCTGAGCGGATCTGAAGAAAGCGATGACCCTCTCTAAGAGCGCCTCGCGACTTTGAAGATCGGCTAGATAATCAGACGTAGCTGAGAGGATGGCGTAAGCTTGTTGGGTGGCTTCCTCGCCGGCATAGCACCCAGACGATACCAGTTGTTCCGTCGCTTTGGTTATCTTCAACGCTCTCTCTTGCAATTGCTGCGCCTCCGGCAGCAGCTTCTTGTGCTCGTGCAGCAGCAGTTCCGCGCTCGATGAGGAATCGCCTGCGATACAACTCGTTTTTAGTAACAGAACATTAGAAAATGGATTGATAGTTACCGTATTGGTTGCTGTTGGTGAGCAGCTCTCTTCTATTTTGAACAGCGCCTTCCAGTTCGCGCAAGTCCGCTGCCAGAATGGCCAGCGCCAGGCATTGCTCCAGCTGGGTCTTTCTCCTGCAGAAGGTTCCTTCCAGCACTTGCCGTCTGAGATGCAGCTCGTCCAGCCAGCCTTGTACTTGCGAAACGGCTGTAAATAAGCAATCGATCAACCATTCTGATTTTGTTTATGCATTTAACAGCGCGGTACCTTTGTTAACGGACGTTCGAAGGCGCTCCGGCCTGGAATCCAGCGTGCCCTCGGCGCCGAGCTCCTTCAGCCTTGCGAGCAGCGAGTTGCCGGCCTGCAGGGCGCCCATCAGCGCTTCGAGCAACGCGCGCCGCTGCTCGTGCACCATCGTCAGGAAGTCCTTGACGGCGTCGACGTTCACCGGCACCTCGGTCTCCTTGCAGGAGACCTCCAAGGCGGCGGCCTTGTCGAAGAAGTCGCCGGCGGCGCGGTGGTAGAGCACGTTCAGATCGATGATGCGCTTGCGCAGCTCCAGCGTGCCGTTGATGTCCTTCCAGGCGCGGCCCAGGGACTCCGCCATGGCGGCGTAGACTTCGGCGCGGGGCCGTTGGGTGGCGATGAGCTGGTCCGCCTGCCGGAGGAGCTCCTCCACGGGGCTCTGCTTGTTCTGGAACGTTTCGAAGGGTTTTTTGTGGCGAGTCGCTCCGGCTCTGAATGTACTTACTTGTAGTTGTCGTAGGACTTCATCGTGGGCTTCTTGTAGCGCCAGAGCTTCCGGAAGGGTGTTGCCCAGTAAGGTGAGGTCTGGGGTTATTTCCAGTACTTTCAAGCTGATCCAGTCGCCGCACTGGAATGGTAATAGGCAATTTAATTACTGGTATTTCGTTGTGGAAATTTACGAGAATAAATTTGTAGGTAGTACCCAGCGAGTGTGCTCGTAAAACTGTTGCGAGATTTCGCAAGAAATCGATCGAACAATGGGTGAATTTTTGATTTATAGTGTGCCTATTGAAATCGATAAGCTCGCCTATTTAATTGATTCGGAGTCGGATCTATTATTTCGCGAAACGTAATTTATTTTACTCGAAAGGCCGTAAATCAACTGGCATTATTCATACACGCCGTAATTCGATTCTTTCGCATCTATACAGTAATATCGATTCGTTGCAAGATCGATGAACCTCACGCAATGTACATCTACACGTTGTTCTATTTCGGATTGTACAAATATTTATAATGACCGAATGCTTTTAATTTTAGTAATTAGAATACGAGTTGCCGGCCGTAAAACCCCGAACCGAGAAAAACCATATGGACCAGGAAAATCCGTAAATTCATCGTTCAAACCATTGAAAATGTAAATTTAAATTTCGAGTCGATTCGAAACAGGTTGAAAAATGATATCTAAATGATGTCTGTCATCTGAATGATATTTGAAAAATGATTAATACTTTTATTCTGAATTATTTCTGTCATGTGAAAGATATTTGCTGATAATTTGAACGATACTTGTAATCTGATTAATATCTATCATCTGAATGATACCTGTATTCTCTATATTTGTATTCTGAATGATATTTGTAAAATGATTAATACTTTTATTCTGAATTATTTCTGTCATGTGAAAGATATTTGCTGATAATCTGAACGATACTTGTAATCTGATTAATATCTTTCATCTGAATGATACCTGTATATATTCTCTATGATATTTGTAATCTGAATGATACTATTATATTCTGAATATTAATTGTAATGTGAATGACACCTGTATTCTGAATAATATCTGTCATCTGAATGAAATTTGTAATCTAAATGATACTTGTAATCTGGGTAATATATAATATCTATTATTATCTGAATGATACTTGTAATCTAATAATATTTGTTTTCTGAATGATATCAATCATCTGAATGTTACTTGTATTCTGAATGGTATCAATCATCTGAATGATAATTGTATTCTGACTATCTGTCATCTAAATGACATCTATCATCTGAAATGAAATGACATTTGATTGATATCTGTCAAGCCAACGATGCAAAGAATCGTTTGGAATTGTTCTGCGTGAGCGTGTGTAATGTAATTTATGTGGAATATGGAACTTAAATGAACTGCGGTTAAGAACTCACGAAATCCATTAGATAATTACAACGACCTACTAATAATTCCGATTGTCGCGCCTAGGTGGAGAGTAGGCGTTTTCTAGACGTAAAAATTCATTACTTCGAACGGATTATAGGCAGCTCTTATACGCCTAATATAGGTTTCACATCTTAAACGGACTTAGATTGAATTTATTAGAGGATTTCGAGCCGGTTTAAAGCGTAATAAATTGTTATTGTGGTGCATATTGCAACTGCTTGCGCTCTAATGATTTTACATAATTAAAAAAATCTATAAATAGCGGACATTTTTTGCGGGATAAATCGGTAAATTGTTAATGATCTTGTCGAGATGTTTTTAGTGGACGTTTCGTAGGTAGAGCGGCGAAAACGTGCCAGGTACTATAAATAGTAAATGATGTTTGTGTATTTACTTGCATACGTAAGTGCGTGTATGTTAGTACCTGTTTCAGAAGTTTTACGGCCTTTACTTTCTACATCAACTTGCGCAACATCTCTCGTTGCTTATTGGCTTTCGATCGGTTTCGTCGAGAACTCGTCGAGGAATTGTTTATTTGCATTTTCGATGCGAATTTGTATAGGAGATTACCAGCAGTACATTTATCAGGAAGTTCTGTTTGAGTTTGTTTTAAAGAACAATAGCATTTTTTCTTATCTAATTCAGTAGATGTAAAATTTGCAGGATTTCTGATGGGTTTATTTTCAGTACAATAGTTGCAATGTATAATTCTTTTAACGGTTGTGTTAGGTATTATAATTTGTAGTTTTCTCGGTTGGAAAACGACGTTTATTTTACCGATATATTCGCTAAAAATGCAATGCCTTAGCGATCCTCGAAACCACTAGAATAGAAACGAAAAAATAAAAAAAAATATATAATACATGTATGGTTTTAAATTACACCGGTCAACCTTGACTTATAACGAGATGTGATCGAATCTCTGTATTATTTTTTAATATTTATACCACCGTATAAAATGTCGCAAACCAGTCGTATAAAAAAAAACTTTTGTTCTTTGGCAGAATGTAAATTTAAATCATAACGAAAATGACGCCTATTAAATCTCGAAAGCAGATGAAAAATCGAGCCGAAACGACCTACTTCGGGCGCACCGACCAGTATTTAAATTTCAAGAACTCGCATGAACATGTGTAAAAATAAATTTCGGGCTTCGATGCTTTCAAATTCGAAAATAACGCCGAGCAAACGCAAACATGTGCTGTACTCTATACATACATACTTCATCGGAACATTATTCTTAGCTGATTGAATATTTTCTTATTGAATTAGGAGATTTTATTAATTTGTCAAATACCAGGTAAATGATGTCAGAGTATATCTAATTGGGTAGAAAGAGCCCAAAAACAAAATAGTTTAAGAGAAAGAACATCACAGTAGAAGAATTATCACAAATCATGAATTTGTCGGGCTATTTTAAGGACAATCAGTCATAATTTTATTTGGTGTCAAAGGGAAATATCAAATGGAAATAATATCAAAGAAGGCAATGAAGAAAGTATAGTAAACTATTACTATACAGAGTGTTCTCGAACTTATGGCACTAAATTTTGCATAAATTAAGACCGATTTCATTTTTCTAAAAAATCGGTCTTATGCAAACTACCGCCCCTAGAATTTAGTGCAATAAGTTCGAGAACACCCTGTATACTAGAAAAATTATCAGGCGCATTTAATTTCCAATTCCACGGGCATAATTCACTCAACATTGCGTTCTGAATTCTCCTATTTTCTCATTCAAAATCCCGCAAATCGCTTCCTCTATGGTTCTAATAAGAGTTAATTAGTGGAGCACAGAACGCTAAACTAACGGCTCTTGCTTTATTAGCACATCAGTTAGAATCATGTCTGTGACGAATTAGCGTTTGTGTAATTAATTTATTAATTAAATAAATTTATAATCGGACAAACATTTAAACATTCGCTGTGCAATTTTATTGTTTATCAAACGAAACGTCGAGGAATCCCGACGATTGTCAATGAACGATTAATTATACATTTAATTATCAGTTGTGAGTCGATTAAATGGCATGAAAGATTAGCTACGAGTTAATTGTGGAGCAATTAGTTTGCTATTCGAAAAGTGTCGCGTTAAGAAATATATTTTTTTGTGTTTTATAAGCGTTTATAAATAAATCCCGATGTTACCTTGATAAAGTGGGGTAATCGTAAAATATACAAACAGCTTGTCGAGACTATCGCCTTGGATTTTTCAATAGATTAGTTAATTTCGCATTGTAATTAATTCAAATAAATGCGAAAAATTATATAATTTTTTTGTGTAACGTATCGCCCGGACTATTACCCGATTTCTCGTTTCTTTTTTCCAATACAAAGTGTCGAGAGAAAGTCTACTAAATATACTTTATTGTTTAAAAGAACGCAATTAATACTTTTACAACGAACCGTTATCGTTCAGTTTGCTTATCCTTCAATTAAACAAACGCAATTAATTACTCAAATTATTTGTTTTCCTGACCTGACCTGCCCACAATAAATACGCATCGTGACTTCTCTTGTTGATATTAAATCAATTTTCGAGACACGTGCGGCCAATTTCGCGAATACAACATTCTCGCGGAAATATTACCGGCGAAAGCAATTCGGAAATTATGTCATTCGAACACAATTACGACCTGAATTAGCTGGAATCTATTTCTCTCCTTAAATGGCCGCGATTCGAGCAGCTCGAGTTTCTTCGCCGTCCCCAAAACGGGCGTAGAAAGTGAATTTTTGCGTCCGGCAAAATCTCCTCAACGACATTCTTTCCCTTGAAACGGGTGAATGGGGGTAAAACGGGGGTAAAATGGGGAAAATATTTACGTGTAACAGGGCGATGACGATTCTGGTGTGCCCGCTTTGCACGGCTATGGTACTGATGGTGGTCGTTTTGAGCATGGCAGAAGAAGTCGATGGTACCGGCGGTACCTCCTCCAGTCTGGTGCCGTTTTCGACCGGCCCGTTTGCTTCCATTTTTCGAATTTATTAAATACTAACACTCGCACATTACACTCAAACGCTTATGCACTCTCAAGTTTTTTTGTTAATCTGCAAAATTAATGTGTTTTATTAAGAGCATTGTATAGTGTATTTACACTGCTGTACACAATTACTAACGCAAAACTTGATAGTGCAATAAATAGACACCCCGCAAACAACACAAAGGCACTGATTAATTAATTATTATCTGGGAATTTCGCGCGTGTAAATTTGTAAAAATTTTCGTTTCGTTCGAAGATTCGTAAAGCGACAGGCCGGAGCCGCTCGAGACACTGCCGGTGAGTCGGGTTTTTCGCGATGGAATCCTTAACGCGGTCTCCTCCTTGCGAGCCGGCCAATCGCCGGTCCTGCTGTGCACCAGCACATGCTGAGAGGTTTCTGTGTATCGGCTAGACGGGCGGCGTCGCGGCGCCTTTGGTGATGGGTCGGGAGGTCTTCGAGGGGTTGCCTGGGGTCGTGGTGCGTCGGGAGGGGTGTTGGAATGGGCGGGTTTGGGGCTTTAGGGGTTTGAAGTTTGGGGATTTTGATGAGATAATTAATAATTCGTGAAGTTAACTCATTAAATTAACAATCTGGCAAGCGTCGCGGCGCCTTTGGTGATGGGTCGGGAGGTCTTCGAGGGGTTGCCTGGGGTCGTGGTGCGTCGGGAGGGGTGTTGGAATGGGCGTGTTTGGAGTTTTAGGGGTTTGAAGTTTGGGGATTTTGATGAGGAGATAATTAATAAATTCGTGAAGTTAACTCATTAAATTAACAATCTGGCAATAGCGCATATTTTGAGTTTTTTTTAGGGGCGTGATGGGTCGTGAGAGGTGTGGAAATGGGGGGTTTTTGGGTACAAGTTTGGAGTTTTAGGAGTTTGAAATTTGGGGATTTTGCTGAGGAAATAAGGGAAATTGGGAATTAAAAATGTACCTACTTCCCTTATCTACCATTTTTAAGGGTCTTAAAATTTGGGGATTTATGTTGAGAAAATAAGGAAATCGAGATTAAAAAATATACTACCCTTATCGGGAAAATGGGAATTTTGATGGGAAAATAAGGGAATTGGCAATTAAAACTCTTATTTACCCTTATCAACCGTACCTACACTATTGAAATTCGCCGAGTAAACTAATTATAAATTATCAACAATTTTTCCATTAAAATTAATTACAATTATTCCTTTTTCTTGAATTGTGGTGATTATGATAAGAAAATACTTTATAATTCTTTGAGTCAGCTTATTAAATTAACAATCCGCATTTTTAATGGTCCTAAAATTTTGGGATTTATGAGAATAGAGAATCGAAATTAAAAATTAAAAATATTCTACTCTTATCAGAAAAGTAAGGGAATTGGAAAATTAAAAATCCTATCCCACCCTTATCTAACTTACACTGTTGAAATACGTTGAGTTAACTAGAATTATTTATAAATAATTTTTCCATACAATTATTCCTTTTTCTTGAACGAAATTTCCAATAGAAAAATCGAAATTAATTTTGGAAAACATCACGCATCGAATTGAAATTCCGCGAATGTTTCCCATATTACTCAACCGAATCGTGCCGACCAGACTTCAATTTAATATTAAATAAAAAGAAGTTAAATGTTTTAGTTGTTTTGGCACGCATTCAACATCGCCTAATTAAAATCCATTTCGATTTATTTAATATACGCGCAGAAATAGTATCATTTTTATTTATATAACTGCACCTATAACGAGATATATCAATCATCTTCCTTCGAGCAAATAGAATGTACTAAAATAAGCGGAGAAGTCCACCCTGTATAGTTACCTACGTAATAATTTATTTATCAATTCGATTTGGCTATGGTGCAAATTACATTAATTGCTTAAATTTTCATAAAACCGTAACGCAAACGTAGGCAAAGTTGAAAAATTCTAATAATAAATGCGCCCACGCGGAAAATAATCGCATAAATAAACCGAACCAGTTTGTATGAAAATCGAACGATATGTTTTGAAATTTGGGGAATTTCGGAAATTTCGCTTTAAACAATAAGTTTTCCGAAATTTTTTCATGCTGGAAAATGCACACCAAATAAAACGCAAGCCACTTTTCGGGAAAAAACAAGTTTATTGTATAGCAATAAAAATAGGAAAAACAATTAACAAAATCGAAAAAAACTGGCGATGAAATAAATTAATTATCGTGCAATTACCACAAATTATTGATCCAAAATTGCCTCAGAGCATTAAAAAACTCCAATATTATTAACTATACTTCACAAATCTTGTACTGCAGTTGAAACCAGTTCTTTCGGGGGCAGTAGAAAGCAACTGGAGTACCGGCATTGGCCGGTTTTCCTTTTATACGAAATGCCCGTAAATTTTTCCCATCGCCAGTCGAATGCGCAATTAACGAAATTATATAATTAGTAAAATATGCATGCGTGCGTGCGCGTTAAAACTGATAAATATTAATGGGGTAAAAGCTAGCAAGTACAACAATAATTAAAACATTCGAACGAATAAACCAACAAGTTATATATTATATTATTACAAAACAAACAATTATTTTTCGATATGCGTCTCATTCAAGTTCATTTCGTACACTCGAGGATGCTCAAAACACCCTCGAAGATGGCACTCGAAATTTCTCTCTACTTTTAACTCAACAAATTCTTCACAAAAAACCTTTAATGGCCTGCTTAGTAACGTTATGGTAGGCTTTCCAAGCTTCCTCCTCGCAACGACCTACCTCCTTCAGCCGCCTCTCCAGCTCCTCCTCGTCCAATTTCGCCGCCCCCTCGCCCACCGTCTCCGAGCTCAGCACGAACGAAGCCACCCCCAGGGTGTGGCTCTGCTGCACCTTCAGGTGCGTGGTCTCGATCACCTCCCGCACCACCTTACCGGGAGGCACCTGCAAGCATTAACAAATTCGACGATAAACGCACCGGGAGGCGGTGGAGTAAACCTAGCAGTACCTCCGGCGACGGCTTGAGGACTTCTTTAGGCGGCGGCAGATCGGGCAGGCCGACGGCGAGGACCATCTTCTGCTTGTTCAGGTCCTTGTGGAGGTCGTCTTTGGAGTGTTCCCACCAGGGGGAGTGCACCAGGTGCTCGCATTCCGATGCTGTGTTGTAGGAGGACGATCGGGAGTGTTGGAGGGTTGATTCGGAGGCGGTTAGGAACTCCTCGTCGGATTTGAGATCTTCCCGCTTTGGAGGTATCTACAAGAAAATCGCATTTTAAAATGGTAATGATGTCGTTTTTGGTTATTTTTGGGCGGTTCGAAATTTACCTAGTGCCAGTTGGTATAATTCTGCCAATTGTATAAGGGAATTTTGCAGATGCGTTGTTGCCATATCGTTAGACTCGAGATTTTTTTATGTTAATGTAGTACGAGCAAATGAAACGAATATAATTTATTGGTGATATGAGATAATTGGATTTAATTAACCTAGTTGTTAGGAAACGAATTTATCGGCTTTCTTTCGTTAGCCGGCTATACATATGCGGAAAGTGAGCCGCGATTTGCCTACTATTTATCGTCGATAATTGTATAATTTTCGAGCCGCTTTCGCATAATGCGCGTAATATTCGTATTTTAAAGGGGAGTTTCGGTAAAAAATCCCTTTCACGCCATTCAAAATATTGTCACCGCTCGACTATATATACCGCCCGACGTTAACTTACCGTCAACAGTCAACAATTAGCGTTTAACTAATACACATAGGTACAATTTAAAGATGCAGGGTGTTACCGTAAGTATTAAAATTATTTTACAAAAAATTGTGAACGTTTCCAAAACCGAATTTTCCAGATAATCGCCTTTCTAGTCATCGCCGTTACCGCCGTCTACGGCCAAGGGGACTACGGCCACGGGCTCGACCTAGGAGGCGGCGGCCACGGCCACCACCACCTCCAAGAATACATCGACTACAAGGTAACCAACCCCCCTAAACTCCCCCTATTTTAAACCCTATTCAAAACTGCGTTACAAAATCAGGCCCCGCCGCACTACCACTACGACTACGCCGTCCACGACCTGAAGCACCACGACATCAAGAGCCAGTACGAGCACCGCGACGGCAAGGAGACCAAAGGGCGCTACGAGCTCCTGCAGCCCGACGGCAGGAAGCGCATCGTCGAGTACGTGGCAGGAAAACACGGCGCCGACTACAAGGTGAGGTACGAGGGTAAGGCAGAGCACGGGGGCATCGGCTCCCTCGGCGGCGGCTACTACTAGAAGATTTACCCGCCCCCGCTTCGCACCAGACTGGACCTATGTTTGTTATATACCTACCTTGTTAACTGTTGTGTACGTTTAAGTTTGTTTTTGTACCGTTTTTCGCAATAAAACTCGTTGATGTTATCGAGTGGTTTCATTCAATCGCTCACCTGGTGCTCCATGTCCTCCTGCTGCTTGTCGTTGTCGGGGGATGCTGAGGATGATGTAGACGTGGATGTGGACGAGAACGCCAGGCAATCCTGCTCGGCGCTCTGCAGGGCAAAGTCCAGCTCTTCGGCCAGCAGGGTTATCTCGCACAGACGTTCCGTTATGGCTTCCACCGCTATCTCATTCTTTGCTATGGAGTCGATGGGCTCTTCGGTTTCTTCGGAGGAACACAGGAATCTGTAAACGAAATTGCAAATTTTTAATTTGTATTGTAATTCGTTGAAATACTGTAAGTGATGGAAGCAGGAGTGATGAAAAGAGTCATGAAAGAAGTCGTGAAAAGGGTCTTGAAAGTAGTCATGAAATGAGTTACTAAAGGAATCTTAAAAGTAGTCATGAAAGTAGGAAAGATGTTATGAAAGGAGTCATAAAATGTGTGATAAAAGGACTGTTCTATTCTAATATTGGAACTGGTTAGAGCTGATTAGAGCTGGTTATATTGTAGGAAAGAAGTAGGAAAGAGTCCTAGTAGGAAAGGAGCCTTGAAAGGAGTCTTGAAAGAAATCTTGAAAGGAGTCATGAAAAGAGTCTTAAAAATAGTCATATAAAAGAAGGAAAGGAGTTATGAAGGGAGTCATAAAATGTGTGATAAAAGCACTGTTCTATTCTAATATGGGAATTGGTTAGAGTTGATTAGAGCTGGTTATATCGAACCTAGGAATATTTTTTAGTAAAACCGTTTAAAAAGATGTACCTATATCTTGTAATAAATCAACACAAATACTATAGATTAACTTGTATAAATATTTATCATACTAATCACAAAACCTTGATCTTGGCAATAATATTTCCATTGAGAAAATTACAACACAAGCGAGGACGGATTTTTACGACGTGAAAAATCGCTTTTCCGCGCGATGAATCGCCTAAAAATAACGCCGACTGCGAGAATAAAACGTTACGTATTGCGTTTACAATATTCGGACAATAAAAAAATATATATTTTTTATAGGCGTACTTACTTTTCTGTAACGAATATGGAACTAAACTCGGGCCGGTCGAACCGGCACTGCCGCGAATCCGAGTAACTCGCCCCCCACCCGGTTTTAGAGGCATTCAAATTTAGATTTTTCGAAGTACATGAACTCTACTATAAGTGCACTTTTCGTGGAAATAGCGTCCGCTCGTTCGGATGGAAATAGTTTGGGGTCGTTTTATTTTTATTAGTATTTTTGGAAAGAAGTCTCTACGCTACATAGCGACATGTCACTCGAGGATTCGAATAGACTAGATTTTTGTCAACGTGTAATTTCGAACTTACTTTTCACCGTAACAAAGCGGTTCTTTCAGTCTGTTCCTCAACATCCTGCCCAATCTCACCATCCTTCCCACCTCCACAATCAACCGCTCCCGTTTGGTGAAGTAATAATCCACCCGCATCTTCTTCTTACCCACCTCCATCAAAGGAATAGTAGCCACGGCTTCCCTCAAATCCCTCAACTGGTTACATTGCTCCTCCACAGACCTATGAAACACCGCAGACACCCTCAACCTAGTCATCTGCTCCTGGCTAACGCCCTGCAACCTCCCCCAGGAGTTCTCCAGCTTCTGGCACAGCCCGGCGTGCTCCTCCACCGGCAGCTTGCACGACCTGCGCAGCGCCGAAGCAGCGCTCAACAACTGACACCCGTAATCGTAAGTCCCTTTAGCGGTCTCCTGGAAATCGGCGTGCTCGTCCTTCTGGCGCTGGATCTCGCGCTCGGCGCAGCCGACGTGCCCGTGGTGGCGCAGCATCACCTCGAGCAGCTCGTCCAGCCAGCGCACGGCCTGCGCGGCGTCGCGCTCGTGCCCGGCGGCGAGCCGGGCGCGCTCCAGCGCCAGCTTCTGCGCCTCGACGCTGTCGACGAAGATGTTGCGGCGCGCCGTCGTGGCGTCGAGCACGTCGCGCACGTTGACGATGTCTTCGCCGCGGTCCACCGGGATGTCGCGCCCGAGACAGTCCTTGACGGACATGGAGAGCATGTCCGAGAGTTTGTCGCCTTCTTTGCGCAACTCCCGCTCCACCAGGTCTGAAAGATTACCCGGTAATACACGAAATCTTACACTTACAAGTGTTACCTAAGTTCGCTTGGTTCTCCTCCAGTTGCCTCAGGATATCCCCTGCTTTATCGGATTCCGTAACTTTAATCCCCATGACGAGCCTATCGAACACCTCCGAGGTCCTGTCGAAGTACTCGGAGACCAATCGGTAGAACCTCAAGGAGGTGATGAGGAGGTTGCGGCGCCTCTCGAGCCGCATGGCGAAGCTCTTGCAGACGAAGTCCATGAAGTCCTTCTGGGAGACGAGGTCTTTGTGTTGGAGGGTGTGGGCGTCGGGCAGGGCGTTGATACGGTGGACGAGCTCCGCGTAGGCTCCGTAGGTTTCCCAGCATTCGAGCTCGATGGCCTCGTGCTCGGCGCGCAACTCCTCGGCGCTGGCGACGTCGTAGCCGACCTTCTGGTGGGCGTTGAGGAGGGCCTCGGCAGGGCCTAGGATCCAGTTGATCACTTTCACTATGCCGTCTTCTAAGCAGCCTGGTGGCGGGGAATTTTCGAGTAGAATAGAGAAGTGTAAAGTTTGTTTGTATTGTTACCTAAATCTTTGGTATCTACGTAAACTTTCTCCATTTGTATCCAGGCTTCTTCGATTTCTTGTTGTTTGGTTTTGATGTCGTTGATGATTTCGTCGATTTTTTTGATGGTGTCCAGAGCGTCTTGGGGGGTTGATAAATCGAAGTGTTCCGAAGCGAATTTCCTCGTTCGGTTTTCGTATTCTATATTTTCTATAATTTCTTTACCTGTAAATGATTATTGTTGGTAAAAGGCAGTAAAAACGTTGAATGCATCATCATAAATCCGGCATCTTTACGACGTTACATTATTGCTTCCTCGGGTCGAGTTTATCGTTTCCTATTGTTGTTGCGGTTGGGCCATCGATAAAAGAATCGATTGTGTGGAATTCTAATGGTATTTTAGGTTGAGTACCTGTTTGTGTGGCGTTGAAAACCAGCATTTTAGTCGACTGCGCCATGTCGGAACCGGTGCTGATGGCTTCCTGGACTTGGCTGGGCCTCAGCATTTTACTCGCCATCACGTACCGGTGCAGCTCGTCCAATTCTTTCAGCGCAACATCACAGTCTAAGTAAAATTCTTCTACTTTCTGCAAATGAATTTGATTTTTTGCTGGTTTAACTGTACTCGATCGGAGTGCGATAGAAACCGACTATCGCATTGATTATTAATCGTTTACCTGCCTGTTCTCGATCCACTTATCGTGATCGTAGACGAAACTGCCGCCGAGTTCGACAGGAAGTTGCGAAGGATCGGCGAACTTGTTCAAACGAGATCTCGGCACAAACGTGACCTAAAAAATAGGAGATGTACAGCCAAGATTTATAGCTCTATTAAATAATTGATAGAAGGAATAAAAGAATCCACGAGTTCTGCTGCAGCCAAATTTTAACTCTATTAAATAGATAAAAGAAGGTCCTTTTTTAGTGGTAATTAAGCAACACAAGTATCAATTACTCCTAACTATTCAATGAACTGCATTTATTAATAACACCTGATTAAATTACGTTTCATTTACTCGTGTTACAATTAGTATCGAGTTACAAAGCAAGCAAGTATAATTTCAATACCTGTTTGTCGTTGGATGCCGAAGCGCAATTGTCCACTCTTTGCTTGTCCCAGAAAGCGTCGGGCCGTAGGACGAGGATTTCGGCCGGTTCTTCGGGCGAAAATGCGTCGATGGCCTGTCGAATGCACGACCTTGCGACTTTCCAAGGTCCCTTTCTCGCGTCGACGATCACCGTTAGTCCTCTCGATCGGCTGGTTTTACTGTAACAGATCGATTTCGGTTCGGTTGAGGTCTTCCTGCGAAAAATCGCGATCTATTCGACCCACTTCCGAGCCACTTTTTTAGCTAGCAAAGGCCGGAGTTGAGTTTAAAGAGAAATTGTTGTTGTAACTCTTGCGGATTTGTAGTCGTTTGATTGGTGTAGAAATATTATTGATTCTTCCTGCTAGACCAACTGCAAGATTCAGATTGATTCAGAAATGGTTAAAGGGCGAGACAAGGCCCTTTTTAATTGCGCTCAATGAGCTCGTTAGTATAACCAATTGGTTTAAATAATAATAAAGTTCCTCAACAACCAAGCTTACAGTAGTTGTTTGAGTAGTGCAAATCAAATATTAAACAGGAAGAATAAATAACATATGCTTTAAACTCTTTAAAATTTCTCTCGGAAGTGATTGCAGGTGCACAAAACGGCTATTTGTTTGAAGTGAAACTCGCTCTTGTCCCTCGGGCGGTACTCGTCCAATTTCTCTTCTAATCCCACTCGCTTTTTGTCCCGACGTTCGAAAACCAATCGCCGGTAAAATGAAATTTCGGACGTACCTGAACAGCGAAAGTAGGTACCGAAAGGCCGGAACCACGTCGATGTGGGGCGAATCCGACGGTACTGTTATCACGATCAAGGGCTTCCCCTCCTTATCCCGTCCGCCCGGTACCGTCGCGGAACGTCCTTGCAGACACGAAACGTCCATATCCTGCAAATCCACCGATTTCCAGCGCTCCTAAAATCCGGTACCATCCCGCGGTACTCACCTGAAATCATCCAGCGTCCGAATGAAAACTCGCATATTTCGCCGAGACAGAACCGCGTCCGCGTTAGCTCGCACGTGGTACCAGCAGCGGTACCGTCGCGGTACTGGCATCTATAGAGCAGAATCACCTCGACCCGATGGGACGGCGAGAGTGTGTCAGTTCCTACTCGAGTACCATTCGATTATATTAATACCTATACACGATTAAATTTTTGTTGTTTAGATCTTTTTAGTTGTTATAGATCGCGCGTGTTGCGTTTGCAGCTATACGAATCGATCTGTAGAAATGCTGATTTTTTAGCGTGATAGATTTACGTTGAGCAGTGTATGTTTTGTAATGGGATTTTATCTTGTATAGAGATGAAAGTAGCACGAGTTGCCTTGACCCGCCCGTGTGACATTGTTCGAAAACTCATTGCGTTTTATTTGTACCTGTCGATACTCCATACAGCACGATTCTGTCGAAATTACGCGGACATTTCGCGTTTTGTGATTAATAAACACCGAAAACTGGTTGTTATTTGAACGCAGGTCTGTCCGTTAGGAAGCGGGTTCGACGATCCCGCTCGGGAAGTTTGCATACGAACTGAAAATGCGAGCGCTATTGTTTTGTAATTGTACCCAGGAAATAATTAATTTGCGTACGAATTTACGAACTATATCGGGCAGTGTATAAAACGAGTATATTGCAAGGTATTTTCTGGGAGCGATCGGTGTCGAAGTACCGTTGGAATGCAGCCCGAGGCTACCGCGGGTTCTGTAGAAATGGGCACTCCGGTACTGCTCTATATAATCGGGTGCTTCTTATCCCGTCCCATCTCTTATCAATTACACTAGTTTACAAATTTTCTAAATAGTTTCTAGATGGTTCCAAATGTCTTTGGAGCGCTCTAAATGGTTCTGAAGCATTCTAGATTGTTCTAGACAGTTCTAAATATTTCTGGAGCGTTCTAAATGACTCTAGAGAGTTTTAAATGTTTCTGGAGCGTTCTAGTTTGTTCTAGCAGGCAGTTCTAGTTGTTCTAGACTAGAGTTATATATCAATGAAATAAAGAACTTTAGAAAAAAAAAGAGAATTTTATTCGGTAATAATAAAAAAGTTCCAACGTTACAATAGACATCTCTCTTAAATATTTTTGTTATTAATATTCAATGAAAGTTAGGTACGCACTTGCGGTACTTAGTACTTAGGCTTTACGTTTATCAAAAATATACCTACTTTAAAAAGTAATTCAACGCGAACAAGTCGTGAACGATTCGATTAAAAATCGGAAGGATAATAATTAATCGATTATTTCTTCTGATTTTTAATGAGTTTTGTCACGCCAACATTCAATCAATTAATGCGAAATGAAGACGGTGCAGGTTGTATATAACCTACAGATAAATCTATTATGATTTTTTTTTGAAATTAGGAGAAATCACAGTATTATAATAGCATTATTATTTTGCTGAAATTTTATCACACTAATTAATTAGGTACTAATCTAACTCGCCTGTCGGTTAGATCGCGCGAAAAGGGGGTTCAATATACCAGGAGGAACATCTAAATACAATTATATAACGGGTGGTTCAACTAAAATTCCAATACAACCGAAAAATTACACAGATCTACGTCCTGAAAATAGATTTACCCATACTAAACACATTAATTTTTTCACTAATTCCGGTATTTTTTCTGGTAAACGTGAGATCTACTGAGCCTTCGTCAACGCCACGTAGCTCAACAACAACATGGTACCTGCCGAGAGCAGTCCTGCTACCGGCACCGTCACCACCCAAGCAGAGATGATGTTCCTGAAAATTCCAATTCCAAATTTATCACCTGCTGAAAAATTATTATCAACAGAGTTACCCCAAGAGGCTCCAATCAACCCCGCGCTTGGAGGTGCTCAAGTACCCCACGAAAACAACAGAACCCACTTTGCAGTGCGTCGTAGACACAGGAATGCCGATTTTACTGGCCAGCAGTACCGTGAAAGCGGACCCCACTTCTATGGTGAACCCTCTAAAAAATATACCTCAAGTACTTCGCGTGCGGTACGAACGCAATCGAACTTACGTGGATGGAGTTATAGTAGTCAAATCTTCTCCTATGGTCTCGATGACCCTCCGGCCCCACAGCCACAGTCCCACGGAAATGCCGAAACCGCCGTACAACAGGATAAACAACGGCGTTTCGGCCTTCTGCTGGACCGTTCCTTCGGAGTAAATCAGCCATAGAGTGATCAACGGTCCTATTGCGTTACTGGAAGCACATCAATTAATCAAATTTGTTGCTTATTCTACCAGAAATGGATCGTTTTCCTCACCTAACGTCGTTCCCGCCGTGGGCGAAGCTTCCGAACATCGCCGTGAGCGCCTGCAGGAAGCTAAACAGTCTGGAAACCCCGCGATTTTCCACGAACGCGTCGCCGTTTCCTTCGATATCACATGTATGCAATCCTGCAACACATCCCAATAAGTACTAATCTCCTACTGGTCGAAAAATTTGGATTAAACAAGTACTGGAGCACCGACCCTGATCATTATGCCCGTTGGAACTCTTCTGTATGATCAAGGGAACGCCGCTGGAGCTGGGCGACAAGCCGGGATTGACGCTGGCGGTGCTCTCCACCAGCTTCAGCTCCGTCGGTCTGATGTACTTGCGCACCGCCGTCTCCCCGGTGGCCTCCTGCTGCGCGGGGAACACGTACTTCTTGGTGCGGTCGAGCGCCTGCAGCTCGGTGGCCTCCGATATGACGGTCAGCTGGCGCGATTTGCGCGTCGGGCTCGTCTCCGGCGACGTGTCCGTCGATTCGCCTATGTTGAAATTCACCGCCGGCCTTCGGCCGACGGTCTCCTCCTCTTTGATGACCCGGCGCTGCCACGGCACCACGAACAGCCAGATGGCCGCCATGAAGAACAGCGACACCCCCACGCTGATGGCGGTGGCCATCCACAGCGGCACGTTGTCCATGTGCAGCAGCTTCGGCCCGTCGTGGATGATGGAGAAGAGGTTGATCAGTATGGTGAAGCTGTAGAAGAACGGCAGCGACGTCAGGCCGGCCTCCAGCGGATCGGGGCGCGATAGAATGAATTTTTTTATGATCAAAAGGAGACAGCAGGAGGTGGTGCCGCTTAGCAGTGGCGAAATGAACCATGAACCGACTGAAATAAAGCGTTTGTATTGTTGATTTATCGATTGGTTTTTCGTGTACTAACCGATTTTGGCTAAAGTGTTCCAATGGACGCCTTGGGTGCCTCTTAAAACTAGACTATAACCAACTGTAGCGCCTACAATACTGTGTGTTCCTGATATAGGTAGCTTAAAAAATGTAGCGATGATTAGCCAAATAGCGCTGGCTGTTAGGGCGCTGATTGAGCCCAGCATCAGTTCTCTTTCGGCGTCCTTGTACATGTTCACGTCCAGGATTCCCTTCCTCATGGTATCCGATACTTTGTAGCCTAAGCAAACGATACTATCAGTTCGAATCGAGGCGTCTATGAGGCTTACTTCTGAGGCTTACCTATGAGAATTGCTCCAGTGACCTCGAACACGGTGGCCAAACAGCAAGCCTGGAATATGGTGAGGACTTTGGATCCCACGCTGGTGCCGAAGGAATTCGCCACGTCGTTGGCTCCGATGCCGAAGGCTGGAATAAAAGCGATTGTAACAGGGAATCGGAGAGGGTTTCTGGGATAGAGTCTCACCTAAAACGAATGCTATGAGGAAACCTAGAATGACGAGCCATAGTTGATCCTGACTGTACGGTTCTAACATAATTTTATTGAACGGTGTTTTGGTGAAAATCCAACGGAAAAAGTACGAGCGGTTACATTAAAAAAACGTTCATTTTTTTTTTTTGAAGAAAAGGGGTTGATGAAGTATCTAGAAAGAAAAGTTTGCGATTATATCAACAGGGAGAAGAGGAGAATGTGAAACAATTTTCTACTCATATCTATTAAAGCCCTTTTCTATTCCCTTTTGCTATAATTTTTATCGATTCTAGCCGGACGTGCGAACACGTGGGAATCGATTGTTCAACGTGTCTTCCTGTGCTGAATAATTGGAAGCGACTATAAAGGGGGTACACATGCAATTGATCGGTTACTACAAAGGTCTATCTACTGGTATCTACGGTATCTAAAAATTTGTGTATTTACAGTTAATTTCGAGTTTTAAAACGGCCCCGACGAACTCATAACGCCATATCGGAGAAAGTGCGGTTCACAAACTGCCTTTGCGCACAATCCAGGGATACAAGGAACAGGATCGGGAGGGTTATAGTACGGGAGAATTGTGCTTTTTGTGATATCAAGAATATCGCCGTGAAGAATTATTGCTTTATTAATAATTGCGTGTTTCTGGCGAAATTATTTATTATGGGTTGCAAGAGGATTAAATGATGAGTTGTTTGGTGGTAAATATAGACATGAAGTTGTTTAAAATTTGCTGATTTTCTCCAGGACTATAACCTGTTGGCCGGGAAGTTGGATAAGGGATGCATAAATCAATAGGTTCAAGTTCATTCATTTAAACGAGTAAACTTAAATTGTACATGTTAATATAATTTGAATAACACTTTTTACTTCTTTTAATCGTTTATTATAAACATTGTAAGCTCCTTTTTGATGATTACCCCCTAATTTAGGCAACAATTATGTCAAATAAAATTTTGTTTCAGTAAGAGGCCATATTGCGAAAAATGTCAATGCCAAACTTGTCAATTTAGCTAAATATTAGTATTTAATAATATGCTTTTAACTATTGTTTTAATCGTTTATTACAAACTTTTTTAGCTCCTTTTTGATTCCGTCATAATGTTTACTCCTGAATTTAGGCAACAAATATGTGAAACAAAACTTCTATTCAGTAAAAGGCCATTTCGTGTTGAGAATTACGAAACGTCAACGTCAACGTCAAACTTGTCAATTCGGCTAAATATTCGCATCGTTTGTGTGTTTTGCTACATTTATTAACCGATTTTTAACATATTTAAACGATCGTAAGCGATAACCCGTCGGAATTATGTTAACCGTAAGCCGCCCAGCCGCCCTAATCGCCTCACAATCGAACGCTAGCCGCGAAAATGTCTAAAATCAAGCGCAAAATCACTGTGAATTTGAGCACGAAAAGCAAAGGCGTCCCGGCCAAGAGCAGGCCCTCGGTGTTCGAGCGGCTCGGCACGAAAGCGGCGGCGCCGAAGGAGTTCTGCCACCATTGGGCCCAGACCGGATCCTGTCCCTACGGCAAAGGTTGCAAGTACTCGAGCACGCACACGTTGATCAGCCCGTCGAAGCAGAGGGCGGCCAAAACGCAGCGCAGGCACCCGAAGGATGGCCAGAAGCGCCCGCAGCAGCCCGACGAATGGGACCAGTGGGACCCCGACGAGCTCGAAGACGCCGATCCCGACGATCTAGAGCGCAAGCGACAGGAATTGCAGCGGGAGCTCGAGCTCCAGATGAAGATGGAGAACAAGGCGAAGAAGAAGGACAAGAAAATTAAAGTGAGTTCTAAAAATGGCGCGTATCATATCGTAATCCAATGGTATTCTAGAAGGAGAGCAGCCCTAGCTCGGACACTTCCAGTTCATCGTCCGATACATCCTCGAGTAGCGAAGATACGAGTTCCAGTTCGACTTCCACCGAAGTGCGAAGGAAGAAACTGAAGAAAACCAAAACGAAACGAACCAGCTCGAGCTCATCGAACGAGAGAAGTACTCTTTTCTAACACTCTCTTATTTACATATTTACATCATTAATCGTAGGTCGCTCGAAGCACAAAACCAAAACGAAACGTATATCGAAATCGACACCTCGAGAAAAGCCCAAGAAACCGAACAAACCGGCGAAAAACAAATCCCCGTCGCCCGCCAGGCCTCGCAAGAAATCCGAAACGCCCCCGATCAAAGCGAAGCAATCTACCAACGTAAAAAAAATAAGCAGCGAAAAATCCCCGAGGCCGCAAAGTCGAACGAGCGTCAAAGACAAACACCGCACCCCATCGCCGAAATCGCTCAAAGACAAAGAGCGCGAACGGGAGAAGGAGCGCGAGAAGGAACGCGAAAAGGAGAAAGAACGCGAACGCGAGCGCGAGAAAGAGAAGGAAAAGGAGCGCGAAAGGGAGAGGGAGCGCGCCAAGGAGCGCGAGCGCGAAAAGGAGAAAGAACAGAAGAAAAAAGAGTCAACCAGGTCGCCGAAAAGGGATTCCAGACCGGTTAAAGAGCCTCGCAAGCGAGACACGCCGGATTCCTCGCAATTGAAGGAGAGAAAACAGTCGCCCGGTCGTAATAAGAGCCGCAGGGACCACAAGAGTCCCCCGAAAGATGACCGAAGGGGCGACAGACGGGACGACAGAGGCCGGTCGAGGCCTGTAAATCGCAAAGACCGCGATCGCGACAGAGAACGCGACAGAGACAGAGAACGGCGCATCGCCAGGGAGCGCGAGGAAGCGAGAGAAAAGGAACGCGAAGAGGCGCTGGCGAGGTGCCAGGAGCGCCAGCGCGAGCGCGAACGTCTGAAGAAAGAGGAGGAGCAAAAACGGCGCGATCGACATCGCAGAGACGCGGACAGGGGTTTGGACAAACCCGACAAACCGGAGCGGTTGTTGCCGCCGCTGGAGGAGCGCGTGCCGCCGTCGAGGAAGGGCGCGCGGTCGCCGGAGCGCGACAGAGACAGGCAGCGACGCAAGTCGCCGCCCGACAGGCGCGACAAGGACAGATCGTACGAGCAGCGCGGGCGAGAGAGGGCGTACGGTAGTCCGTACGAGAGGGCGCGCGAGCACCAGGACAGGCGGTATTCGGACGTGGAGGCGCGCCTGTGGGACGAGCGACGCGACGAGTACAACAATCGCGAGCGCGACTGGGAGTACGCCGAGCAGCGCGATTGGGGCGGCGAGCGAGAGCGCGGTCGCGGCGAGTGGGGCGACTCGAGGGGCGATTGGGACGCCGAGCAGCAGCAGCAACAGCAACAGCAGCAGCAGCAGCGCAAGCAGGAGGAGGATTGGCGGCACTACAATCGATCGGTGGACGGTTGGAGTAACGATGAGCGGAGGCGGTGGCCGCAGGAGTGGAGGGAACGGTCGCGGCCGAGGAGCAACGCGTCGCATCACGTTGATAGTTTGAACGGTACTGGTGTATACAAGTTATATGAGGGTAGGGTGAAAAGTTGTTAGAAGCTAGAACCATTTAGAACGCTCCAGCTGCGTTTAAAACTGTCTTGAACCATTTAGAACGCTGCAGATTCAATTACAACTCTCTAGAACCGTTTAGAACTCTCCAGAAGCACTTAGAACCCTCTAGAATCAATTAGTACTGTCAGTAGAACGGTCCAGAATCATTTAAAACTGTCTAAAACGATTTAGAATTCTCCAGAACCATTTAGAATGATCCAGATTCAATTACAACTCTCTAGAACCGTTTAGAACTCTCCAGAAGCATTTAGAACCCTCTAGAATCAATTAGTACTGTCATTAGAACGTTCCATAGTCTAAAGGTTCTAAATGTAGAACCGCCTAGAACCACCTAGAACGCCCTAAAATCCTTTAGAACTGTCTCGAACTAAAGATGTTGCCTTTGAACGAGAAACCTAATGTAATTTTTCATTGGTCTTTCCGAGAACTTTTCACCTCACCCTCGTCTATAAACCTTTTAGCAATACGAGCTTTCTACTTCTAATTCTTACAGCCCCACCTCTAGACGATCCTAACGCGTGCAAAAAAGAATCCGCCGCCATCGAAGAAGGCGACGACAAAAAGGACTCGATCGAACGGGAAGACGATCCCAACCGATCGACGCCGCTGTCGCAGAAGCGCCGGCTCGTCGACGACGCCGCCGCCGCCGCCGCCGACAGTCCCGCCGCCCACAAAAAACCGAAGCCGGACGTGCCGGTGCAGCCTTCGTTGGAAGACGATCTGAGCGAGATCAGCGACGACGCCGACGACATATTGAACAGGGACGAGGACGTGCAGGAACCGATTCGGCAGGAGATCGTCGAGAAGAAGGCGTCGTCGGCGTCGCAGAAGAGCCAGACGCCGCCGCCGCCGGCGCAACCGGCGCTCCGTAAATCGCCCAGCGTTTCGATTGCGAATCACGTGAAAGGCGGTTCGATCGACGAGGATAACATGGAGTTGGATTTCGAAGAGGTACTGTTACCATAGAATTATACAGTGTGTTTCTGAAAGTGGTCAAATGGCAGAATTACCATTGTCGCTAGGGACATTTTGAACCGCTTGGAAATGATACCAAAAATGTACTAAGCTAACGCGTTTTCGTAGATTTCGGAGGACGAGCTGGAAGAGGAGTCGAAGATGCGCGGATTGGTCGACGCGTTGGGAGTGGATTGGGCCAGTTTGGTGGCCGAATCGCGACCGAGGCCGAGGCCGTCGAGTTGCGCGAAGATCCGCTGGGAACCCCACAACGTGCTGGTGAATTTGGGGGTGTCCGTGCAACTGGCCGGTATGATTGATTCGATAAAAGATGATCCGAAAGAAGCTCATTGGGAATTGGTTTTGTGTTTCAGGCGAAGGTCTGGTGAAAGAGATACTCAGAGAGCACGAAGAGGCGGAAATGACGCAACGGATTGTTATAAAAACCGAAGAAGTGGATGGTATTAAAAAAGAACCGGAGGAAATCGTTTCGAACGGTACCGATAATAAATTACACGATGTTGTTATCTCTAACCCTTTGGCGATGATTCAAGTAGTCGATAGGTACGTTAATCTAAAGAATACTGTTTCTTTGGAATTTGTAGAACAATGTTTCTTCAATAAAATGGTAAACTCTAAAACTCCAAAAACCCTGACGGTAATAATTGGAATTTTATAGGGAAAAACAGGCGATACGAAGGAGCTTATTCACGAGCGTGGGGCTTCACAGAAGAGCTCTATCGGCTAGGAGGGACCTCACGTTGAGGAGGCACTTGTGCGATTTTCCCATCACCGATAAACACGTGGAGGCTCCCAGAAGACACGATCCCGAATTGTTCGAATTCGCTGTGAATTTGTACAGAAGGCAAGCCGTTCCGGCCAATTCGTAAAGGTGAGTGGGATTTTTTAAAAACAAATTGTCGAATCAATTTCATTAGCAAAGTTTTATTTGATATATAAATTCGAAGTTCGTTTGTTGCCTTACACGTTGCACAGTCGCCATTTGTTTAATAAATAATGTAAAATACTTAATTCTATGAAATTTTAAATGGTAAATATATACAATTTTCGTCGAGTTAAAATCGCAATATTCGAACAATATGTACGTATTTATTTATGTATTTTTTTTTTGGTATAAGTTATTTTAAACCTAAAAGTTTTTGTAATGCACCATCGGAGGCCTCGAGGAGCTCCAATAATTTATCGGAAAATAAATAATGAACGCGTTTAGTAGCTGTAGCCGTTGCCGTTTCCATTTCCATTTCCATTACCATTGCCGTTTCCATTACTGGGATAACCTCCATTCCCATTACCATTCCCATTACCATTCCCATTACTGGGATTACCGTTACTAGGGTAACCTCCGTTTGTATAACCACCGTTTCCTCCGTTAGTTTCTGTAAAAAATAGTATTAATTACTTCTACAATCATGGGAAATACCTCCTATCTACACTATCCGTGCTTTCTCTGTAAATTTCCTTCGTTTAAAGACCTTGTTAACTTTCGTTTCTGTTATTTCACAATTTTCTACAAGTCTGGCAACAGCGCCGCATTTTTTGCAACCAGATAATTGATAATTAATTCATTGCAATAAGTTTTTCGTCCTTGAAGTTATCTATCACTAAACCATTTGTTCCCGTCGATTATAACTTATAACCAAGGTGTGTATACCCTGCTCGAAGGACCAGACCCGTTAAATTTACCTTCGTAACTGATGTTGGGTTTGTAACCGTCGGTATCCGCTTCGTAAGCGACGATTTGCTTCCTTCCATCGGGCAGAAGGACGAAATATTCGCCGGTGGTCAAATCCCCGTCCCGTTGTTCCTTGTGGCCGAAATCGTTGCCGCTCTCCGCGTCCTTGACCTCGTATTCGAATTCGTATTTGGCGGGTTCCTGGAAAATATAATTGTATTTTCGCCGGGGAAAATTTACTCTACAACCGTTCTTACCTCGGCTTCGCCGTTAGCGTCACCGCCGTTGGTGTAACCGTTACCGTTACCGTTCGTTGGTACACCGTAGGTGCTGCTGGGCTTGCCGTTTCCGTTGCCGTTACCGTTACTATAACCGTTACCGTTGCCATTTCCGTTACTGTAACCGTTGCCGTTGCCATTTCCATTTCCATTGGGCGCGCCGTAAACAGGTTTAGGTAGTGAATATCCATTACCGTTGCCATTACCATTACCATTGCCGTTACCGTTGCCATTACCATTACCGTTGCCATTTCCGTTCTTGTAACCGTTACCGTTGCCATTTCCGTTGCTGTAACCGTTGCCATTTCCATTTCCGTTACTGTAACCGTTGCCATTTCCATTGGGCGCGCCGTAAACAGGTTTAGGTAGTGAATATCCATTACCGTTGCCATTACCATTGCCGCCGTTGCCGTTACCATTTCCGTTACCGTTGCCATTGCCGTTACCATTACCGTTTCCATTGCCATTTGGTGCTCCGTAAGAGCTGCTCGGTATTCCATTACCGTTACCATTTCCATTGGGAGCTCCATAGGAGCTACTGGGTATTCCGTTACCGTTGCCATTACCGTTGCCGTTGCCGTTTCTACCATTGCCGTTTCCATTTCCATTGGGAGGTAAATAAGTGGAACCAGGTCGTCCGTTACCGTTACCGTTTCCATTTCCATTTCCATTGGGAGGACCGTACAAGCCGTTGGGTTTGCCGTTACCGTTTCCATTACCGTTGCCGTTACCGTTTCCATTGCCATTACCGTTTGGCGGGCCATACGAACCGTTCGGTCGGCCGTTTCCATTACCGTTACCGTTTCCATTAGGAGGTCCATACGAACCGTTAGGTTTGCCGTTTCCATTGCCGTTGCCATTGCCATTTGGCGGGCCGTATAAACCGTTTAATCCGTTACCGTTGCCATTACCGTTTCCATTTCCGTTACCGTTACCTGGGGGTAAATAACTTAAATCAGGCGGTAGGTAAGATAAACCGGGTGTGTCTGTAAATAGTTCGATGGATTAGTATCGTGTGAATGCCGTTACCGTTTTCCGTTACCGTTATTTGGCGGGTAATAGCTCGTCCCGGGCCGTTGGTCGCTATCAGTGTTATATCCTGAGTGGAAGCCGAAGGAAAAATTTCATTAGCTTTGGGTTATTGGTATTTAAACGGGCGGTTTCTCGAAACTTCAAAGAGTTTTGTGAAACTGTCCGTTAAATGGAAGCAACTTTAAAAGCATGTAAAGTGTCTTTTGGAAGGATATTGATAATAAGTTAGAAATACCGTTTGTTGGAGGACCGTAAATTATACCAGGTAATGACGAGCCACCATTTCCATTTCCATTGCCGTTACCATTGCTGTATCCATTTCCGTTTCCATTACCGTTGCTGTAACCATTTCCATTACCGTTACCGTTGCTGTAACCATTTCCATTGCCGTTACCGTTGGCTGGTCCAATTGGAATACCTGGTTGGTATCCAGGAGGTCCGTAATTTGAACTGGGACCTCCGTCTGAATCGATCATCAATAATTATCGATAATGATCAATAAAAAAACTAATCTACACTTACTTTGCGGTGGTAAATAAGAATTTGCAGGTGGTTCTGATCTAACTGTAGCGCTTGCCAGCAGAATAATAAAAGTAAATACCTGGAAGAAAATACATCCAGGCTTTAATGTAGATTAATAATTGCGTTTAATCGACTGTGATGTGATAAATCATCAATCGTTTCATTATTTTTGACTATTTTTGACTTTTCTTTTACTCTTTTTACATCCAACGATAACCAATAGTAATCGAAATGAAAAATGTACAACGTACCTTCTCCATGTTAACCGACACTTTTCGACTTTCCCGACGCTTTTCCGACCATAAGTTCGAACTAAATCGAACTCTAAACTTCGCCCTCAAGACACTGAAATTATGAATGAACGTCTGTGAGAAGCGCCGATTTATATACATCTCGTACGATCGTGATTCACGTGCGGCGTTCGAATTTTTTCGCGCGCGCAATCGGCGTATTTTTTTTTCTTCTTGTTCTTCTCCCAGAATCGAGTTTAGCGCTCTAAATGGATAGTTAAAAGTCGCTTTCACGGGGACCTTTAGTTTATGATATGGCTAATTAGCAATTACAGTCGTTGTGATGTCGATTGGATGCGCCTATCGAGCGTTAGGGATCGGAACAGATGAGTTGGAGGTGAAAATTTGAGGCAATTTTTGGAAATTTTGAACATACAGATGTTGAATGATGGCTCAAGTTTGTAATTCTGTATCTAGAGATGTTGAAAGATTGCTCAGGATAGTACTTATGTATCTAGAGATGTTGAAAGATTGCTCAAGTTAGTGATTCTGCATCTAGAGATGTTAAATGATTGCTCAAGTTAGTGATTTTTTGGTAATTTTGTTTCTAGAGATGTTGAATAATTGCTATAGTTATTGATTCATGGGTAATTCTGTATCTAGAGATCTTGAATGATTGCTCAAGATAGTTCCTTTGTATCTAGAGATGTTGAATGATTGTTCAAGTTAGTAATTTTGTATCTAAATAAGTTGAATTAATGCTCAAGATAGTTCTTATGTATGTAGATGTATGAGATGTTGAATCAGTTGAGTGATTGCTCAAGTTAATGATTCTTAGGCTAAAGATATTGATTCTTTGAAAATTCTGTATCTAGAGAAGTTGAATGATTGCTTCAGTTAGTGATTCTTTGATAATCCTGTATATAGGCTTCAAGTTAGTAACCTAAAAAAAATCATTGTTCCCAACTGCATTACAGCAGATTAAAATGCAGCACCATTTAACCGGATCGAATATCGCAAATCAATCGCCGGTGTATTCCGACCATATTAGCTAGATGAGAGAAAAAAAATAACCGACGATCCGTAACCTCGATCTAGTTATGGTTATGCCACCGCGTTTTTCGCAAATGCGCCGCGCGTTTCTCAATGGTGTAGATTCTCTCTCGAGAGAGACGAGCACGAAAAGCGAACCGGCAGATATTTCTAACGTGTCATCCCGATTCCATTTAGACGACAGCTCGGAATTATTTGCGTGCACCTTTGATTCATGCTCGCGGATCTCTAATCTATTGCAATCGAACGTGTACTGGTATACCCGGTGGTATCGATCTACAGGGTGTTTGAATATTCGATCTTATTGGTTATATAAGTCCATTAAGATCTCTACGTTCTCTAAGATCCTCTAAGAACCCTTAAGATTCCTTCCTGGGATCTCTAAGACTCGCTATAAGTTCCCCCAAGAACCTTTAATATTCCCTCCATTGAATTCTGACACCCTAAAATTCTATAGTTCCTTTTTTTATTAATATTCTCTGCAAAAATTTATAATTCCCTAAGATTCCTAAGTTCTCTAAGGTCTCTGTAATCTCTAAGATTTGCACGTTGGCTAAGATTCCTATGATCTACAAGTTCCCTAATATATCGAAGATTCTTCAAGAACCCCTAAAGAACTTTAAGACCCACAAGTTTCCTTACAACCCCTAAAAGATCTTTCTTATTGTTAATATAAATCCCTTAAGATTTCTATGTTTTCTAAGATCCACCAGGATCCTCTAAGAACCTTTAATATTCACTCCCTCTGCTTCCCTAAGATCTCTAACTACCCTATAATCTCTAAGTTATCTAAGATCTACAAGTCCCTTAAGATCTCCAAGATTTCTCACGAATCCCTAAGATTTCTAACACCCACAAGTTCCCTAGGAACCTCACTAAGTTTTTCCATCGGCCACCCAATCAACCGATACATTCCTAGCGATTTATCGCCGTCGCGTTTTAAGAAATCCATCTATTAAGTAATGAAGTAATTGTCGATGAGCGCCATTAAAAGAGGCCTCATAAAAATAATCCCATCGTCTTCGAGGCCCGTTACCGCCGCGTTAATTGATCCGGCCCGATTGGGCAATCCGAAACTCGAGCCTTCTTTCTCCGCACTTACGGCGAATTTGATTGTCAACGCGCTCGAGCCGATGAGTCAAGGCGAGAGGATGTAATGCAATTATATCGAGATCATCTCGGTGCACTTTAGGGCAGTTTACCGATTCATTCGGACGGAATTTCTATTCCACTCGCTAGGGATGTTGTGGTGATACGAGAGTAGGATGAAAAGTTATCGGTCTGATACACTGAGGGTGTTCCGTTCAGCAAAAAAATTCTTGTTTCCTCTTTGGGACGTTTATTTTTAATTTTAGAACTGTGTAGAACCATTTAGAACGCTTCAGAGCCATTTACAACGCTCTAGAACCGTTTAGAATATTTCAGAGTCATTTACAACGCTCTAGAATCATTTAGAATGCTTCAGAATCATTTAGAACGCCTCAGAATCGTCTAGAACTGTCTCTAACTAAAGATTTCTACTTAATAAGAAGAATATTGTATGTTTCAACTTTCCTAGAACTCTTCACCTTACCCTTGTAATTTACTAATTTTAATGTGTATAAAAGGGGTTGAGAATTCGAGTTTAAATGAATATTTTGTTATTGCTTTTTAGGGTATTTAATAGGATTTAAAAGCGATTAGTGTTTTTAGTGCTGCGTAATAGCAGGATTTGTGCGAGTGATGCGCATAGGTTTTGACCTTTTCTGCTGGATGTGATCTCGCAAGTGTACGGAGTACGTTTGTGTTGCACAGATGTCGTTTAAAAGTGCAATTTCCATTTAAGAAAATAATATCGGTTCGTCGTAAAATGAGCTCGTAAAAGCAATTATCAAATAACGTATGCATCGGAATTGCATTATCCGTTTCGAGATCCGAAAGGATCAATTTTATTTTTTCGTAATTCCAAAGAGACAGTTAAAATGATGATTGAGAGAGGTTAAATTTAACCATTTTCCAATCAATCTAACTCGCCGTTTTGTAAATGCAAACGTTTCGCCGCGTTATTTTAATTACCGTTCGTTAATGGTCATCGTCTAGCGACCAGAGAAGTCCATTTCAAGGGCTCATTTCTCCGATATGTATAAAAAATTTATGGAATTTCAGTGTTGCAGCAGGTGACCGAGATACTCTATAAAATTCGTATGCGATTCTTATTCCAGTCCAATGTCGAGGAAATGTCGATGCAATAAATCGTACTCGTAATTTTATCGTAATTATTTATTCGGGAACGTTTCCATAACGCCATCGATCCACGGGATGTAATGGGACACCATGGTGTAAATGCCCGGCAAATTGGCCAAACCGCAACCTCTTCCAGTCGATACGATGCCCACGATCATCATTTGATCCGTTGACGATCCCACCGGTTTCATCAAAGGTCCTCCGCTGTCGGCCTGAAAGCATTAGGTTCATTAGAATGCTTTTGGAAAGCTCTAGATCCATTAGAATGCTTTTGGTAAGCTCTAGGAAGAGCAAGTGTGCTCTATGGGAATGAATGTTGAGGAAGGAGCTTGCTTTTGGAAGGTTTTTGGGAGGCTTTTCGAGCATCGGATGAGCAGTTTCTGAGCAGAATTTACTGCGTAGTAGTGAATGTCATAAGTACTGAGTTTTTGGAAGGCATTTGAACAGTTCCTAAAAAGACTGCTGGGAAGCTAAAACATTTACCCAGCAAGCATCGATCCCTCCGCTCTTGTAACCGGCGCACAGGTGGCTGTTCAAAATCTTCAGGCTCTTCTTCTCGGCCTTGTACCAACTCCTGCAATCGTCCAAATCGATCATCCTCAACCGGGCTTTGCGCAGCGCGTTCGAACGTTCCCCTGCAACGAGGAAGGTTCGTTTAAAAAGCCGATTGCGCGTTCGAAACGACCTGGCTACCTGTGGCGAAATCCTGCGAAGTCCATCCCCATCCGGCCACCGTTACGTGGCCGCCGCCGGTCAATTCGTCCTTGGTCCTGGACACGCACACGGGGGCCACCGTGGCCGACCAGGCCAGGTCCTTTTCCAACACCACCAGGGCTATGTCGTCTTTGGCCACGTTGCATTTGTAGCCCGAGTGGATGACGATGGACTTGACGTGCGCCGTGAAGCCTTCGCGCATTTCCTCGGCCAATTTGTGGTGGCCTATGCGCAATTTTACGCTTCTGGGCGAGTAGAAATCGTCGTCGTCCAAGCCGCTGGAATGATCAATGGAGGGCGTTTTGAATTTGGTTCATATGAATGAGTTTGTTTGGTTAGGTTATTGGGTTTTTTTGGTACATTTGCGACTCTTTTGGACTAATGATGGACTCTCTTGGGTAGATAGTTGAATTGCGTTGGTAGATAATTGGCTCTTTTGAGTAGATAATTGACTCTTTCGGGTAGATAATTGGCTCTTTCGAGTAGATAATTGACTATTTAGGGAAGATAATTGACTCTTTTGAGTAGATAATCGACTCTTTCGGGTAGATAATTGAATATTTAGGAAAGATAGTTCAATATTTAAGGTACATTATCGACTCTTGGTTAGGTAGTTGACTGTTTAGGGTAGATACTTGACTAGTTAGGATGTCTAATCGACTTTCTTGTACATATAATCGACTCTTGTATGTCTAATCCACTCTTCTGTGCATCTAATCAACTCTTTTGTGCATATACTCGATCCTCTTGGGCATATAATCGACTTCCTTGGAATTTCTTCGACGTAATCGACTCTTCTGTTAATCTTGGACTCTTTTGGGCGTTTTATTGACTCTTTCGTGTGTACAATTCGAACAAGTACTTACCTGCAGAAGCAATGGGCGGCGGTGAGTACGAACCTCTCGGAGATGATGCTGCCGCCGCAAAAGTGATTGCCCCTTCTCATTATGGATACCATCCAGGGAAATTCGGCCCTTTTGGCCCTCTCGCCTCCTATGATTCTGAGCGACATGACGAAGGATTTGCCGCATACGCCATGTTTGGCGTCTGGAAAACCACAGATCGGTCGACTTAGATCGGTTTAGATGGACTTAGATCGGCGAATACTTACAATTTTTGTAGTTTTTTTCAGCGAACGCGAGGCATACGAGTATCGCGAGCGAGAACGCGATCGATTTCAACATGTTTTTAATTATTCTCCGGAAATTATCCGGCAGTAAAAATGTTATCTTAATCGCCGCGAAATTAAACCGAATCGCGCTCTAAATTTTAAAATCGGAAATTATTTCGAATATATACCGAGAAAATCGCGAGTGTCGTGCAAAGGGGGGATAGATTTTCCAGAGGTCCCTTTTCCTAAGGTCTCGATGCGAAGGTAACCTCGTCTAGTCTCGCCCGGGGAGGTCGGCATTGTATTCGTTTAGATAACGAATATGTAAATATTCGAAGGTCCTGAAACTTGTAGTTTTGTGTGTGTACAATTTTTATCCTCGACGAGTTTTCCTCTTATCTCGAACAGGAAGCTTTTACGCGATTTTCGAGTCCTTAAACAATTAAGATGCGAAACCGATATTTGTGCGTGTGCGTTAAAACGGTATATAATTAATTTATGCGGCAACCCACATGATTTTTTACTTGTACTTATTGTTTCAAAGAGAATTAATTAACTTGGTTTTATGATTTTTTTTTTCGAGTATTGTATAAGTTGAGTGGAAAATTTATTGTCTCCGTGGGCTTTTCGATAATCGACTCTATTGAAAGTCTAATCCACTGTTTTAGGTAGGTAATTAAGTATTGCAAAAGTTGATGGGAAAATTGATTATCCTTGTGGGCTTTTCTGAGATTGATTTTCCACTTAGTTTTAGTATAACGCAACTAGAACTGGTTTAACTACTAAATGTATAACAACTAATTTTTTAACGAGGATTAGGAGTAGAATGTTAACGAATTGATTGGATTTTAATAATTTATTAATAACATATATAATACTATAAATATATAAGTACGTATATACAGTCGAATAAAATCAATCGAGACTAAAATTATTATTAATTCAAATATACAACAAGGTTTTTTTTTTAGTCGTAAAATATAGTTCAGTGAAAATTTTACACGAAACTTAACGTCTAACTTAAGCGATAAATTTTTGCTTGTTTTTTTACACATTCAAAGCCGAAAAATTATATTATTTCTTCGTTAATTTCATTAATAATATAATAAATTTAATTTATTGTAACATCACATAGAATTGGAGAATATCTACTGTTATTTCTAAAATACATTTAACTGTTTTTTTACCATTATTATTATTATTATTATTAATATATTATTATTATTATTACTAAGAAACAAACAATAAGAGTCTTTCTTTTTATTTTTTTTCAGATGAAGTATTGGAATATTTCCTCCAAATAAACATACTTGCATGGAGCCATGTTAGTAGATAAAAAAAATGGTTATAATGTAAATTAATAAAAATTCTTTTTGTATCTTCTAATTAATTAAATAATTGTTAGTTGTTTAATAAAGCGATGTTCAAATGTTTGAGTTTTAATTGCCACAATATCTATCCGGTGACGTCACACACTTTGATTCGATATTGCAACTTTGGAATAGTAAATTTATTTGGAAAAAAAATTACATTTTAATTCGTGAATATATACACGGTAATGTACAATAATATTTTTTGGAATATTCAAATAATTTTTATTAATGCATTTGTGAAGTAGAATTCAACAATCGATTTTATTGTCAGCGTTGATCAATCGATTTTTTGAATATTCCGATTCTATACAAGATTAATTTTAGTGATTAAATTCGATTAAGAACGGTTAGATATATTTTTATCTAGCGGATAAATTTTTAGGAAAAATTATTTTGGTGTATTAAAAATCGAAATATATACACAAAAAAAACATAGCCGAATTTTCTCAATATCGGATGATTAATAAAAAAAATTCAATATTCTCTATTGATTACAAATATAAATAACTCTTCCCAAAAAATCGCTGAATTTCCCATAGCAAGTACCATCGAGCGCAACGTATAATCCCCCGCCAATTAGCCGGGGGTTTTCCGGGGGATTAACTCGATCTCGATTTACAATTCAGCGTATTCCAAAGCGCTCATCCTGCTTTCCATCGACGGAAAAACATGATCGTAATATTTCTCGTGCTCGCACAACAGCGGTTTGGGTCGAGCCCTGTCTTTCCTGCGGCCCCTCCGTCGCTCGGAGCTCTTCTTTTTCGCGTATTTACGCGCATCCTCGTGCAAATATCCGCGAGTTCTCGCGTACGACCAATTGTCGTTTGCGATAGCGAGTGCCGGAGGTTGCGGGTACTAGTAGGTATTATGTACAGCATGTTAGAGGTTTTTTTTTTCGTTTTTTTATCGAGTGAAATTGAAAGGAAACTTGTTTGTTCGAACGGGCGCCCCGTCAAAATAGCCCAAGACAGAAATTGTCCAAGACAATATAGCCCAAAGACTGAATTGTCCAAGGCAAAATTGCCCAATGACAGAAATTGTCCAAGACAAAATTGTCCAAAGACTGAATTTGCCCAAGACAATATAGCCCAAAGAAAATTTTCCAACAGAAAATTTGACAGAACACAGAATGAAAAAATGTCTTGGACACTATGGAAGTGTAATGAATAATGCTTTTAATTTTAGCGAAACTGTTTTATCTCTCTATTTTGTCTTTGGACTATTTTGTGTTTGAACTATTTTGTCTTAGCAAAAATATTTTTTAATGAATGGAGTAGAGTCGTTTGCTTTCAATCCTTTGACACCGATATAATTATTATCTATCTAAAATTTTACAGTTTTAGCAATTGGGAATGTACCCGGTGTTGTTGAAATATGCGAAAAGTATTTTGAATATTATATTTTGCATTAACGATAAAAAAACTACTACAACTCGCCGATATTTCACAAACACCTTCATGAAAGAACTAAACCAAAAACTAGAAAATTTTAATGCAATTTTTATCTTGAATAAAAAAATGTTATTAACACATTTAAAAAAGTCATTAATACTTCTCTCTTTCATAATTTTAACGCCACATTTTTAAGTTACCAATTTAGTTAACTGTTTGGTTTAATTCCCGGCATATTAAAAACCCTACATTATACACTATATTATACCGGATGTTATACAAAAAGAATTAGTTCGACAGGATAATAGTGTGAATGCGATGTGATTAGGCTGCGAGAGGCTCCTGAAAGTCCCTGTTAACTCTATGAAGACGGCCCCCGAAGCGTTTAAAATCAAGTAAGGTGGTTTGAGAATGTGCTCAGAGCGGGAGTCTAAAGTGTCGAAAAACTGTGTCAGTGTAATAAATACAGTGTATGTACAAGAATTTTGGATTCTTTTACACGATTTTTTCAGGCTTCAATTCGCTCCTTGAATATCCATATTAAATTTAGGGATTCAATTCCTTCCTTGAATATCCATATACATTTAATTTAGAGAGGTAATTTGACATCAAAGGTTATTTTTTGAGAGCGGATTGAAGCTTTTTTTTGATGGTTCAAGAAATTTTTCGTTAGAAAGCTTTATATTTGTTGAACCACGTCAATTATGTTTTCTTTTGCGTACCAAATGCCAGATTATTATTAAAGATCAGGAAGTTTAATTAATTACACTAGAAAACATAATTGAGCCAATAAAAATCTACCGGTGTTCGATTGTGCAATTGTGCGATATATACAGGGTGCATATCCAGATGGTGCTGTTAGTGTTCACATAATTACGCCATTCTCTAATATGTACAATTACCTACGTTAAACGTTAATTATTATTCGAGTAAAGTCGATAAATTTAATATTTCGATTGTTTGATCGATTAAAAAAAAGTGATTTTTTTTCAGATTCCTAACTCGTTAAAATTATTGTCGAAGAAATTCCTTTATTTGAGGCAAACTAAAATCACTTTCTTTCGTTCGAATCGGAACGCAAAACGATTAAAATCGGTATTAAATACTTCTAATTTTAGTAAATTCGATGTTACAAAAAACATATTAAAATGTTAAAACAACGCCTACATTTTGCTAATTAAACGTTTAAATCAGTTCTGCTAAATGATTAAAAATAAAAAAAGAAAACATTTTAAACGTTAAGACTACTAAGCATTTTAAAAAACAATTCATAATAATTAAAACCAGCACGAAGCGATAAAGCTAAATTGACAATTGATTTGATAATTGACAGTACATAATTTACTGAAAATTAGATATACAGATATGTGCAAATATATACCCAGTATGGTCTGTGGGTGCAACAAAGACAACTTACATTAATCTCGTATAAAGGAAAAAGTTAGGGTTATATTGTGGGTAAATTGCAACTTTCTCATTCTAACCTCTGTTATTTTAATAATCTATCTTTGTTTAATTCATAGAATTGGACATTGCAAACAAATTTGCACTTACCCTTATACCAAAAACCTCTGCAAGCTGGAAATTTCTATTAATTTTACTAATTATTAATTACCCTTCAAGAGGTTGAAATTATTATGAAACCAATCTAACGTAAAACATCTAATCGTAAGTATTAAAAATATAACGAAGACATCGAATTATCGCAGGATTTAAGATTAATTAGGATTAAGTACAAAACACAGAGAGTGTGCACACAGTGCCCGAAAAATCAACTCACGTATTAACAGTGATCTTTTTTTCTCAAAAACAAAATAAACATTAATTGTCTTTCGAACGAAAACGATTCAAAATCACTGGAAAAGTTAATGAAACGATTGAAATGTAAATATTATCGCAGGAGACTTGTTTTATTAACAAATTCCCGGGTGATTCCCCCGCAAACAAATCGACAGCTCCAGTGACTTTATTACTAGTTGCATATCGAAAAATAAATTTCGTATGGAATCGAATACAAAGACAATTAACATTTGTACTCGATGACCGCCACGGGTCTGCCGGCACCGAGAAGGGGCAATCCGCCGCCGCCGCCGCCGCCGCGGGGCGGCCCGAGCATGCAGTGCTACACTCTAGTGGGGGGTTGTACCACCATAGCGGCAAGACGTACCTTCATGGCGTCGGAGCTGGCGGTGTGGAGGTGGTGCTGGGGGACGCCGCCGACGCCGCCCCCCGGCCTCGGCGTCGTCGTGTAAATGGCGTCGGCCGGGATGCCCCCTGGTCCTGTTGTCGTCTTTTCTATGTCTATTTTTTGCCTGGTAACGAGCATGTAATATTTACAATAAATACAATTGAAGGCTATACAGGGGAAAAACCAGGGGTCCATTTTTTTATTTGCAAAACTAAGCTCACAGTTTATTTTTATAGCATTTTGTAGTTACTAACAGATAATGAACTTTCTAAAGAGAAAGTAATCTTTTCTCGAAAATTTTATGGATGGACTATTGTCGTTCTTCCCCTGCAAAGGAAGTTTATTTACCTACTGTAAATGAATCACTTTGTATAGTAATTACTAGAGTTATACAGTGTGATTCGTATAAAGGAAGTTTATCAACCAATTATAAACGAATCACCCTGTATTTGTAATTACCGGTCGCGTTCGCCGTGTTTCGTTGTATATTTAATTAACGAATCGTTATACAGACCGGTTAATTTTATTTATCGAACAAAACCAGCAAAACAGCGATCGTCGGATTACCTAAATCACCTCAATGCGCGCGTGCAATCGATACTCACCCGTCCATATCCGTCGGTTTGAAGTCGCCCTTTCCTGCAAATCGAAAAACATGAATTTCACTCAATGACCCGTTACCTGATGAATTATTTCGAGCGCCGATCGCGGGAATTCCCCGCCGGAATTGAACCGTCGATGAATTTGCCGTACAGCCGCAAACGTAACGGGCCGATTTTTTCAGACGATTAATATATTTACTTACTGGCGAAGCAGCATTTTTCCGTCCTGATGGCGTAGACGCAGCCGCAGATGAAGAGCAGGAAGGCGACCAGCAGGCATCCTGCGACGCTCACCAGCGTGCTCATTTGGATGGGTTCTGCGAATTGAAAATATTTACTCTTACTCGTCAATTCCTGACCGAGTTTGATCGAAGGAGTCGCGAGGATAATCGAGCAGGACTCGATTCCCGTTCGTGCAGGAGTTTATGAACAAAAGGGGACAAATAAAATTACCTTTGACGTATAATTGCACGGCGTGTCTGTCTGTTCCTCTGTCGTTTTCCACCGCTAAATAATAGGCTCTCGAATCGGTCGCCGAGGCGTCTCTAATGTGCAACGTGGCCAGATAACAATCCTCTCTTTCCTCCTGCACCACATCGTCCACTTTGTATTTTCCTGCAACGGTTTCCGGTCAGTAAATGCGGTTTGAAAATGTCTACAGCCTTTACCCATCTCCGCTCCTGCTTCCAATCTCAAAGAACCCCATTCCCAAGCCACGAACCTAGGCCTGGGATCCGCGCAAACCACCATGCTCAAATCCACCGGCTGGCCTCTTTCCACCACCACCTCCGGCACCGAGGATTGGCGCAACACCTGCGGAGCACCTGTAAGAAACGAAATGACCCAATGGCCCATCCATAACTGTATGACTTTATTGTCGTTGTCCTTGGCCTGTCTAAGACCAAGGCTAGAGCCTCTCCAATTATCTGTGAACCATCTCTGATTTTATGACTATTATCCAGTGATTTTTTGCAATGAACCAGTAACTCTATTATCTATGAACTACCTCTGATTTTACGACTATTATCCATGAACTATTTCTGATTTTATGACTATTATCCAGTGACCTCATGACTCTGTAAATCAATGACTATTACTCTATTATCCATAATCTATCTGTGACTTTATGAATCTGTGATCCATGACCTATCTTTGACTCTATGACCCACCTCCCCGAGACCTCGTTTCCGATTCCTTACCGTGAACTTGCAAGATGATGGGCTCGCTGATTTCGCTGCGCTCTTCGCCTTTGATGATGTTGGTGACCTTGCACTTGTACTCGCCTTGGAAGTCGTAGGTGACGTTGGTGACGTAGAGCTTCGCCTCGCGGCCTCTTTCTATGAGGGTCTCCGACGGCTTGGTTCTCTTCTGTATCCACTGGTAGGTGGGCGGCGGGTTGCCCTCGCCGAGGCACTCGAAGCTGGCCGATGAGAAGAGCACGGCCGTTTTCACCCTCTCCCTGCCGATGCTGACGATTTTCGGAGGATCTGGTATAGTGAAGAAATATATATATAAATATTATTTCAATAATTGTATTAGCTCCTGGATGCTGCGTTTATTATTTCGTGTACGTTTTCGCCGGGTTTCGCGTCGGCTTAGGCTAATGAAATTCGCAGGCCGGAGACTTTTTAAAGTGCACTTTTTATCAGGAGCGCTTCGAGTCGGAATGAAATGTTTTACAACTGTAAATTCCCGCTCGGTTTCTCTACGCGGCGCATATATACATCTTTTATGCATCGAGTTCCAGGAGCCGGGACCTCGATTTCCTATCCGGCGCGGCTATTTTGCAATTTCAATTAGCCCGCCCCCTCCGTTCGGAACTGAACTTCTCCGGGACCAGCGCTAGGACTTTGTTTAATAAAAGTTCCGTAATTGCGGCGTAAATGTATCGGCCCCGCGTACGTGTTGCTTTTGAATATACGGGAGTTTACCGGGAAAATCGCGCACGGCGAAGTTTGTTTGCGAATTGATGGAATATTTATTGGTGGAAAATGGTTTTTATGCTGGCTTGTTTGGTGTTTGCCCAGAGCAGGATTTAGATGAATTTTTTCCTATAGACTCACATGTTTAAGGAGTTAATTATATTTCGGAAATTTGGGAGTTTTTAATTATTTTGGATTCTTCCAAGGTTGTGGAGATTTGATTTTTCTATAACATTTTCTAGGGTATTCTTTTATGAGGCTCTTTCACATAGCATTTTTAAGTTATTAAATTACATGATAGATGATAAAATACATCAATTTTGAATGTAGGTCTTTATTTCGAGGCTAGAGCCTCTCCAATGACCCTTTTTAATGAACCAATGACACTATTTATCCATAAACTATCTCAGTTTTTATGACTCTATTATTATCCATGAACTATCTCTAATTTTATCACTATTATCCGGTGGACCCATTTTAGTGAACCAATGACTCTATTATCTATGAACTATCCCTGATTTTATAACTCTATTATCCATGAATTATTCCTGATTTTATGACTATTATCCAGAGACTCTTTTCATTGAACCAATGACTCTATTATCCATCTATCCAACTATCTCAGATTTTCTATGGTAAAGCCCAATTATCCTACCGAAAAATCCGATCCTGTTAAAATGGTATAAACGGTGTCCCGTACGCAAACTAATTTTATTAAATAAAACAATAACTTTTCTGTTTGATGAAAATTAAATTACTCGCAGTCGAAGGAATTCCTGTAATTGTGCAGAACATTTTTGAGGAAATTTAATAATCTAACATTCTCGAATTCCTCTGGAGAGTATCAAAAAAAAACACTAACCCAAAGTATTCGTTAATGGAATTTTTCGACAACCGGCATTTTCATGTTAATTAAGAACACACGAAAGCAAAGACATTATTACAAACCGGGATAAGAAAAACCGTAAATTTCGGGATATTTGAGGCGAACCTCCCCGGAATTTTTAATTACGCGCATAATTGAGTTATTACACAAAGACCTCGCTCGATATTATCATCGTGCGCGAATCGAACGAGCTCTAAAGTAGTTATTTCTCGTCCCGCGTCCTTACAATAATATCCCAATTACACCGGCAAAAGTAATCCCGGGACGAATGCAAGCGAAGTGCCCCTACGGCGGAGCAAACACAGTGCCGGAGGGGGGCGAAAAAAAGGGGGCCATCGGGCGCCTCGAACCCCCAGGTTCGTCCTAAACAAACAGACGAAGGACAACTTCGAATTAGAGCGTGTAATTAAGGAGCAAATTGCAGGTTCCTAATCCTGGAAAGTTGGGAAATGCAAAGAGTCGGGCGAGAGAGAGAGAGAGGTTTGCGGGAAAACTACTGGCAGATTATATTTTAGTAAATTGGAATTCTAATTGGATAGCGTTTAGTGAAATTTCGGTCGAGAGGAGATGTTTAAATAAATCCACGAAGAATAAAAGATATACAGGGTGTTGAATATTTGGATGATTTTAAGAAGAAAAGTTTATATCAATATGTGTCCTAAACCTCTTAGTTTTCGAGCTACATGGTGTTACAATTTTAGAAACTATCATAATTTTCTTATTACTCCAGATATTTTTATGAAAATAGTCACATCTTACAGGGTGTCCCGCATAAGTGTAGGGGATCCGAAAAAAAAGTTGTCTAACCCAAATTAACACTGTATTACAGCCTCCCCTACAAGCCCCTGCACTGATGTGTCGGTTCTTATTCAATACACCCTGTATACTAATTATACTAGAGACCTTCATGCTACATCGACACAATTTAACTTGTATTATTCACCTCTATTCTACACACATCTAATTACCGGGCGCCGATTCGATCGCTTTATTAGCAGTATTAGGCAGTATTAGACAGTATTATTCAAACGAAAACCGCATCTCGAGATATCTAATTCCGGCGCGTTTGCTTTACTTGTTGTTTGTTCATCAGCGACCGGATCCGCCATTATGACAATTGCGGATCCTGCGAATAACGCGGGCGTCGGTAAATAGAGGAAAGGGAATTATACCCCGAAATTCGGACCTTTCGGTCATGCAGCCACACACAACACACACGTTCGCGAATTACTCCGATTATATACAGGACGTGTGATAATAACCGGATTATTCAAACGAAATTATGCAAAATTTCTACAGGTATCTTCGCTATACGAGGGTAGGGTAAAAAGTTCTCGGTCTGATTCACTGCTTTCCGAATAGCAAAAATTCTTATTACCTCTTTGGTACATTTACATTAATTCTAGAACTGTCTAGAACCGTTTAGAACACTACAGAAGCATTTAAAACTACTCCAAAGTATTTAGAGCGTTCTAGAATCATTTAGAATTGTGTAGAACAATTTAGAACGCTTCATAATCATTTAAAACTGTCTAGAACCATTTAGATCGCTCCAGAATCAATAAGAACTGTTTAGAACTCTTTAGAATCATGTAGAATTGCGTCTAGAAGCATTTAGAGCCTCCCAGAATCAATTAGAACTGTCTACAACAATCTAGAAGGTCTCAGAATCACTTAGAACCATCTCGAACCAAAGATTTCGATTCAACAAAAAGAATAATGTAATTTTTCAACATCAAATCGCGATCTTCAATTGTCAGGCTGAGAGAACTTACCCCCTTACCCTTGTATATAGGTTTAAACGTAGTTATAGCTCGGATGGTATATAAGTTAATTTTATTCTATTTAACGAATTGAATTGGGGTAATTAAAGCGACAAGAAACCTGATGATCCGGAATTGGTACAATCAAGTTTATTGTCGAGGACGCCGGGACGCTCTCGACCCGTTCGCGTCGGTAACGAATCCCTCCGTTATTATCGACACTCTCTGAGGGTTTAATTGAATCAATTAGGCGAATAGAAGCGGCCGCGTTCGCGTGTAGTGCGCCTATATTAATTACCTGGCCCTCGGATAGCCGGGTTTTTGCATGTATATAGCATCCGGATGCACAAAGGAGTGGTTTATTTTGGCGAAATTTATATCGAATTGATTCGTCGAATCGTGTTTTAGGACTGTTCGAAACCGTTTAGAATTATTTTAGAACTGACTAGAACCATTTAGAACTGACTTAGAACCATTAAGAATGCCTTAAGCACAATTTAGAACCATTTCAGGATCATTTAGAACCTTTTCCGATCCATTTAGACATGTTTCTAAGAACATTCAATGGACCATTCGGAATTTTTTACGTGAAAAATCGACTGATCTAATGCAATACATATTTATATGAAACGAGCCAGTTATATAAATTGTTTCTTTTATTCGACACGACATTCCTTTCGATTCGCCATACATTCGAATCGATAGGCAAACCTCGGCGAGTTGAGTGCAAAGTCGCTTCGAAATGCGAACGAGCATTTCAATAGATTATGAACTAAAAATCCCGGATGTGATTTTTCGATGGAGCGCGAGAGCAAAAACCCGATGATAAACAGGCGAATATATCGAAACGTTTTCCTCCCATACCCGTCGAATGCATAACTCACTGTTTCTCGGAATCGGGCAAAGTGCACCACTTACGATCCCCGCTCCCGATTACCGGGGGGGCTTCTCCGCAGTTCTCCAGATTTTCCTTACGTAAATATTCGCGGGTAATTTATCTTCGGGGGCCGTAATAAAAACGTATTGGGTTTATGTTCGCGTTCGCTTTACGACATATTTTTCTGGATAAGGTGCAGTAAATGTATCGGTTTCGGGGGTTTCCAGATTTATTTTACTGCCGCCCGTAAAAAAATCGGTTTGTTAGTTTTGTTTGGTTTAGTTTAGTTTAGTTTCGCTGGAGCCTAAATATATATTTTTCTCAATCGCATGTGTTTGTTTTGCATCAACAATTTATAAAGAATATTGTTTCTTTGAAATTTGTAGAGCAATGTTTCTTCAATTTTAGTTGAGAAACTCTCTAAAACAAACCTCAATTCATCGCAATCCCCGCACAAATAATATAAATCCCCTTTTATACTCACATTTAACATCAACGTGGACCCTGATGGGCTGTGAATCCCCGGCCTTGTTGCGCGCGTGGCAGGTATACAGCCCGGAATGCTGCCTGATGGCCGGGCTGAATTGCAGGAGTTCCTGCAAACTGGCCGGCTGGTTCTGGCCCTCGCGACGCCACACCACCGACGCCTTCGGATTCGCCGCCACGACGCACCGTATGGCGACGCTGTCCTTCAGATCCTCGACGTCCGTCGTCGGGATGCCCTCCAGCCGGATCTCCGGAACGTCTGGAAAATGCGACAGGCGTACACTAAAACTGGACGTTTATCCACAATGTGTGGATGTATCGTGGATTGTCCAGGATCCACTCTGAAATCCGTATACGAGGGTAGCGTGAAAAGTTCTCGGTCTGATAAACTGAGCGAGATCCAAGCAGCAAAAATTTGTGTTTTCTACTGGCTAAAACCATTTAGAACGCTCAAGAACCACTCCAGAATAATTTAGAACTGTCTAGAACCATTTAGAACGCTTCAGAATGAATTAGATCTGTCTAAAACCATTAAGAACGCTCAAGAACCACTCCAGAATAATTTAGAACTGTTTAGAACCATTTAGAACGCTTCAGAATGAATTAGATCTGTCTAAAACCATTTAAGACGCTCAAGAACCACTCCAGAATAATTAAGAACTATCTAGAACCATTCTAGAATAATTTAGAACTCTCTAGAACAATCTAGAAAGCCCCGGAATCATTTAGAACTGTATCGAACTGAATATTTTGACTTAATAAGAAGATTATAATATAATTTTTCAATTAAAAATCGCAATTTTTAATGGTCAAGCCGAGAATTTTTCACCCTACCCTTGTATTTTGGATCCTTATATATAGCCTATAGATAGTATTCCACTTTGATATCCAGAATATAAATAGTAGACTTTTATTATCCTGTATCATCATCGTATCAAGTAACCCTTGAAGAAGGCTTTTTAATAAATAAATTACTAATAATGAATTTATGATGTTGCGGAGGAATTTTCGCTGTAAATATCAAAGTTTGCCTTTCGAAAGAAACTTTTTAGTGTATCTTAACGAACTTTGGCGGAAACTTTAGCATTCGAATAACTATCTTTATCGCATTAATTAGCGGATTTCGAGGTAATTGCCGGGCAAATTCGCGTTTAATTAGTATATTTTTCGTGTATACGTATAAATCTTTCGGAATAATTTTCACGCGACGATAAATTTAGGCCGTACAAGCTATTAAACAATTTACTGGTTGTTATTTGCATGAAACAACCGGTTCAGACGCGGAATAAACACCCCCCGACATCGGTTGTAAACCCCATCGGGAACATCCCCCATGCATAGGCCCGTCTTTTTATGGGGCCAGATATTTATTGGAAAACGGGAGCAAGAAACGCCGGCCTCCGGGCGGGATGGGAAAAATAAAGTTTTTGCGCGAGCTCGAGCGAAAATGTATAAAGTCAACTTTCAACTTTCCATACGGCCGAAGTTGTTTTTCGAACGGGCGAACAAAAGCGACAGGTCTGGACATGATAAATTAAAATCCCCCCCGGATTATTTTATGCTATATACGTCTGTCGCGTACAGCCCGGCTTTCTTTCCGGGCGTTTCTCCACTCCGGTTTTTTTTTATGTATCGCGGAGTTCATTAGATGGAAGTTGACGTGACGCGCATATTTTAGGAGATTAGCTTCCTTGCCGGTCTCTCGACGTATCCCTTTTTTTTTGGTTTTCTTGTTATGATTATTATTATCGTCACAGAGTTAAATGGAAGACGGAAGTAGAATTGGGTTTTCTTCGAGGATAGTGTGCTTTTTCAATTTGAAGTTGGGGCTGGGATAAATTGTATCAAATTGGGGCTAAAATGAGGAACTAAGATAGCTAAAATGAATTAATAAATTACCAAAAATGAACCAAGCAATTGGGAAAACTTGGAAATTTTGAACGGTATATGATGAACAAGAACCAAAACTACTCAAAAGTAAAGTCGTTTTTATGAGAAGTAAATTAAAAAACTTGAAGAGAACTAAAAAAACACTAAAAAACGCCTATAAACTCGCCTATTCCCCTCACTGAAGCTCGCGCAGAATTTTCATGACTTGAAAATTAAAAAACTTGAAAAGAACTAAAAAAGCACCAAAAAAACTCCTTTAAACTCGCCTAGAAAATTAAAAAACTTGAAGAGAACTAAAAAAGCACTAAAAAAGTACTTAAAAGAACCAAAAAAGTCCTACAAAAACGCCTATAAACTCGCCTATTCCCCTCACTGAAGCTCGCGCAGAATTTTCATGACTTGAAAATTAAAAAACTTGAAAAGAACTAAAAAAAGCACCAAAAAAACTCCTATAAACTCCCCTAGAAAATTAAAAACTTGAAGAGAACTAAAAAAGCACTAAAAAAGTACTTAAAAGAACCAAAAAAGTCCTACAAAAACGCCTATAAACTCGCCTATTCCCCTCACTGAAGCTCGCGCAGAATTTTCATGACTTGAAAATTAAAAAACTTGAAAAGAACTAAAAAAAGCACCAAAAAAAACTCCTATAAACTCCCCTAGAAAATTAAAAACATTAAGAGAACTCAAAAAGCACTAAAAAAGTACTAAAAAGAATCAAAAAAAAGTCCTACAAAAACGCCTATAAACTCGCCTATTCTCCTCACTCAAGCTCGCGCAGTGTTTTCATGACAATAAAATTAAAAAACTTGAAGAGAACTAAAAAAGCACTAAAAAAGTACTAAAAAGAATCAAAAAAAAGTCCTACAAAAACGCCTATAAACTCGCCTATTCTCCTCACTCAAGCTCGCGCAGCGTTTTCATGACAAGAAAATTAAAAAACTTGAAGAGAACTAAAAAAGCACTAAAAAAGTACTAAAAAGAATAAAAAAAAAGTCCTACAAAAACGCCTATAAACTCGCCTATTCCCCTCACTCAAGCTCGCGCAGTGTTTTCATGACAATAAAATTAAAAAACTTGAAGAGAACTAAATAAAGCACTAAAAAAACGCCTATAAACTCGCCTATTCCCCTCACTGAAGCTCGCGCAAAATTTTCATGACTTGAAAAGAACTAAAAAAAGCACCAAAAAAAACTCCTATAAACTCCCCTAGAAAATTAAAAACATTAAGAGAACTCAAAAAGCACTAAAAAAGTACTAAAAAGAATCAAAAAAAGTCCTACAAAAACGCCTATAAACTCGCCTATTCTCCTCACTCAAGCTCGCGCAGTGTTTTCATGACAATAAAATTAAAAAACTTGAAGAGAACTAAATAAAGCACTAAAAAAGTACTAAAAAGAATCAAAAAAAGTCCTACAAAAAACGCCTATAAACTCGCCTGCTCCCCTCACTCAAGTTCGCGCAGCGTTTTCATGACAAGAAAATTAAAAAAACTTGAAAAGCACTAAAAAAGAACCAATAAAAAGTCCTAAAAATCCCCCATAAAACTCGCCTACATTGTACTTTTTATGTATTATAGTAATCCTATGAATTTTTATAAATACCTACCACAAATCATCCCGATACTTACACATAACATCCAATCGAACCTCAATACTGCTGGACTTTGTGGAATAGGACTCGTGCACCGCCACGCATCTGAGCATCCTGCCGTGATTGTCCTTGGTAATAGTCAATTCCAGCACGGACAAAGCCAACCACGTCCTGGGATTATCCAATTCCGTGGTGTTGGTCTGTCTGCGAGCCGGCGTTATCTCGGCCTGGTCTGAAATCACCGCGAATATTAACTAATATCATCCTGCGAAATGGGATTTTACTTTAACGAATTCGGTAAATAAATAGATTCAGCGGCGACGTAACCGGAGCTTCGCGGCTTAATAAATCGAATTTACGTCGCGAATGTGAGCTTAATAAACTGAAAAGAAGACGGGAGAGAGCGCTTAAAGTTCGAGAAAATACCGCCGTTGTTACTGCGTGCCCTTAGGGGATGATAAATAGGAATAATAGCTGGTGATATTGACTCGGAGTTGCCGGTAAAATATGGATTGTTTAGTGGCCTAAAATAATATCGAGTTGTGAGGAAAATAATAAGGGATTTCGGTTGTATAGGGAAAATTTATCGCGCCATTAGAATTAACATCTTAAAGTAACAACAAAGTTAAATTTTTTAAGCGCGGCACAAAAACGTTCTAAATCCCCCAATTTGGGGAAACCTTAATTAAGTAATCGCCGGCAGTTATTCTTTCGGATTTTCCCCAAAGAATTAACGTAAGTGCCCGTTCGCGAAAAATTATTATAATCCGAAGAATTTCTCAAGCAAGCACAGCCTCCATTAGCACGACTGTATTAATGCGAATATACGAAAAAAATTGAGATATTCAACTTAAATGGCCTTTAACTCCTCAAGAACCCAATCAACTAACATCAACCTCATCCTGTATGGACCTCGGCAAATAAATTCACCGATTAGCCGCGCTTTTTGCGCGAAATATTAAAAACCCCGGGGAGCGGTTTTTAATCCGTCGCCGCCGTCGCCGGAGTTTCTAATATCCTGGCAATTTTTCTCCCGCGAACAATAAGGCGTATATATCCCCGAAAACTCGGACACCGGGCTCCTCGTCTCCCCTGTTCGGGTTTATTACTTTCTTGTTCGGGATAAACACGAGCATAAATTCGATTTATTAAGACGCGCCGCTAGCGAATTTCTTCAATGGAGCGAACTCCTTCATGGGCCTCATAATTGTTTTTTATAGCCGACAGTTTGCATGATATTATGCACTGTATTTGGTGCGTTATTAAAAATTATACCGGCAATTTAGATGTGAATTAAGACTCACCTAAAAACCACTTGAGAACTGGCGGTGGATTTCCATAGTGTGAAACGCACTTTACCACAGCAACTTCTCCGTGTAGCGTGGTTAAATTGTGTCCAGGTAGTACTTGAGTACCGTTGTATTCGATGCGTGGTCGCTGAGGTGGTACTGCAAAAGAGAACGAATCCAGATTAATCCAGATTTTTCGAAATACACCTCGAAGTTTCGAGAAATATCCGGCCTCACTTGGAGGCCCGTTACAAGCGAGTTCAGCGGACCCAAAAGCCCCGATAACGGGCCGGGTTATTGTTCGCGCGTTACTCCCGAGGAAACGGTTTTCCCACACACATGGAAATTCGCCGGGCGAACTTTCCGGGAGTTTCTCCAACTCGCGCCTCCGTATCTGGCGAACGTGTCTTAAGCGAATCATTCCATTAGGGCTGTTTGTTTGCCTTTCCGATCGCTACAAGAAGTTCCGAAACTTCTTGTTTTCCGCCGATGTCTAACAGCCTGATGACTGTACAGGGCGATTCCAGGAATCCTAGAGATGTCTTAATTACTAAATGATTCGTTTGGATGTTTGGAAAGTCTTTACAGTCAGTGCCTACCAAATTACATGCATACAAAGTTGGTCACAATGCTTGGCAAGTATGACAACAGTAGTGATATTTATTTAATAGCTTGTTTGTGGTAATTTAGCGTTGTGAGTAACCCTGTACAAGTAATACTGGGGCTTAATGAAACTGATATCTAAGGAAATTTAACAACGTCATGGCTGGAGGGCTCCGCACTTCTCTCTATACAGAGCGCATACCGTAAAACATTAAATTTTGACGTAAACGACTGTCTAATGCACCTTCTTCCAGGTAAGTTATATTAACGAAGGCGGGCGTAATTTACTGCATTAATCTAGTGGAGTCTCCGCGGTACGGGAGGGACCCGTTTTTCGCGTGAAATTCATTGCGGATCGGAAAATGTGCAAAATGCGCGGAAAATGCTGATTTTATATGAATTGGAAAATTGCATATGGAGGTGAATAGTTCATAACTGCGCGCTTATTCTATCGAAATATTCGACCAAATTCCACGAATTTATATGTCAAACGGTCTAAAAATAATGGTTTATTATCTTTAAAAACTTGGCTTTTACTTCTTAGGAAAGCTTTCAAATATAAGTTGATTTGATTCAAACACAAACTCCTCAACATTCTTCTGTTATGCATAAATGTAATAGTGTGAATTGAATCCTATCAAATCCCAGTCAAAATATTCCAAAGAAAAAATAGCCCTAAGACAAAATAGTCCAAGACAAAATCTCAGGCCATTTAGAAACTCTGGAAATCTAATAAATAATGCTTGCTTCTAATTTTACCGGAACTGTCCCAGACGATTTTGTCTTTGGGCTAATTTGTCTCAGGCTATTTTCTCTTTGGGCTATTTTGTCCCAGACGATTTTGTCTTTGGGCTAATTTGTCTCAGGCAATTTTGTCTTTGGGCTATTTCGCCGGGCCACCCATTTCTCCTATAATTTTTCTAACCTAATACCACGAAACAAATATTTTCAAAATTCCCTTGCACCAGGCAACCCCGGGGCAGTCCCTCCTGCTCTTATACTCGCTCGTTCGGAGTTTTGTCGCCGGGACGCGGCCCTAATTACGGGGGGCGCAAAGAGCTTTGTTGTGTTACACTTCGACCTAGCGGGCATTAACATTCCTTTTCCATATCCGCGGAGTCGTTACATTTATTAGCTTATATCCGTCTCGCGACGAATTTCAACGTAAATTAAACGCAATTAGAGCCCCGCCGACGTTTTCGCAACGATCCGCCCGAGCGCTCTGTCATTAATAGAGAATTAGAGCGCGTCTCGAGGGGTCAAGGGACGCTCATATTTTGGTGTTTTTCAGATGATTTCCACCTACAAATAAACCAATTTTTTGGGCATATAAACCTCTCTTAGTTCTTACCATCTTTCCTTAACATTGTACCACCCTAATATCGGTGTAACAACCCCATAACGACCCCCCAAATTAATTCGATGTAGCTAAAAATGTTCGATTTAACATCCATTCAGCGACAGCGCGTGATATATAATTGCAGTTTCCGAGTTGTGTACGTTTTATTCGGGGGCGAAACCGTCCCCGGCGGCGGTATATATCACCGTCGCCCGGGGGGCGTTCGCTCGATGATTTACCGGCGGCGGCCGGCCCGTTTAAAGGACCAGTCGGGGCGTTATGAATATTTCGAATCCACCTTGAACAATAACCGAATTTTCGCGTTATTGTGCGAATGCACCGGGGCGTATTGCTCTTTGCATTCGCTCCGTAATTTCCTCTATGAGGCGTTTGAGCCGGGTCGATGCGGCTCTATTAGGTGGATGGTAATTGGCAAGTCAAGGAGATGTATGCTTGTATCGGGGATGGTGGTTTTGTTGTATTAATTTCTTTTCAAACAATCCACATTTACATTTGTTCTATTTAGAACGTGTTCAGGACTAATTGTAAATGTTCAGGATAAAGTATACATATTAAATCATCTTAAAAATCGACAAATTAAGTAAAATATTTCACCAGTACCAGTCCAAATACAATTCCTTCTATAAAACATAGAATCTGTTACTTAATTAACGTTTATCTGGGTAAAATTTATCGCCCAGAAATAAAATTACGAAGCAATAATATGTTTTTTTATGCCGCTAAAGGAATTTAGTATAGTTTTCTTTGGGCCCCGCGTCGCCCGATGTAAATACCTAGCTACTCTTATCCCCGCTGGAACGAACATAAACTCTTCCTTTATAAATTTACTGCGATATAAAAGCGGACTTAAGGCAACAAATCCCGAGTTATATTAGTTTCGCTATACTCTATAGAACCGGGCGCACTTTTCCCCGAAGACGTGGGGCGTAATAAAAAAATGGACTGACAAATTTTTTATTACCCAAAAAAAACCTAGCAATTCTTTAAGAAACTTTAATTATCTCGAAAGCCAATCCAGATAATACAATGAAATTTTTATTGTTTTGTAAAAAAATGAGTTCTCTACAACTTTAGAAGAATCAAAAATTTTCGAAAATTGTACTATTTTCGAGATATTTTGTTATAAATTGTGGATTCATATAAAATAATAAGTTATTAACAATCCTTTAAGAAACTTTAATTATCTCGAAAAGTAATCGAGATAATACAATGAAAAATTCATTGTTTTGTAAAAAAATGAGTTCTCTACACCTTTAGAAGAATCAAACATTTTGAAAAAGCGCAATATTGTATGTAAGAGATTTAAAGAAAAAAAATGGACTGACAATTTTTTATTACTTCTTTTATAAAAATCAAGGTCTCAAAATCAATGCGCAAAATTTTCAAATATCCGCGTGAAAACTGGCCTGGGTAATTGTCCGAACTTTCCCTCGGGACAGGAAAACTCGCTAATTTACTCCGCGTACTCGCCACACGGAGCGATTTCGAAATATGCATTAGAACTTGCAGCAACTTTAAATTGGATGCCACTACAATATTAAAAACATCTCAGTTCGTATAAATATCATCGGGGAAATTCAATATTATTTTTATTCTCGATAGCATGCACTCCGCAATTTCGGTATATACAAGAAAGATTATTCCGAGCGCAAAGGAACCGAATTATTTCCGATACACAAATTCCTAAAGGGGCTCATTAATATTCGACTGCAATAAAAAGAGCGAGTTTTCACGAAATTTTCCAAAAGAAAACTCATTTCGGAATTATTGTACCAAATATCGTTTTTTTTTTCAAACGTATATAGCTCGTTTTTATAAGCATATATACGGAACCTTCTCGCCCATTAGGAAAATGAATATCCATTAAGTAAATGAGCTGTAGCAGGACGAATCAATCGCTCTGAATTATTTAGTGCCTGCAATTAAAAGGAAACAAACACGTGAAAATTAACCGACATTCGAAGCCGTTTTATCCGGTTTTCCCGGGCTCGTTACACGCGAATCCGGCGATATAACTAAAAGCAAAGCGAGGATTTTCCGAAGATTATGCTTAGTCGAATAATTATTCATAACGGGTTCGATTGTAGGCGGGCTTGTTAATCCTTTAGATTCCCTGTAATGTACGAATACGTATTTTAAGCAGGGCCGGATTTTCCTGCAAAGGTAACTAAAGTAAAGCCTGAGATCAAGGGCCTACGTTCGAATTGTTATTGATGTATTTTATTATATCAGGTAATTTAGAAATAAATAGGAGGTAAAAGAGCCTTGTAGGGCAGGGTAGGAGACACTCATGCTGATTTTTACCAAATAGAGTCAATTTTACATTTAATAAAGACGAGTTATCGTTCAATAATGACAACTTTTTGCCTAGTTGAGATAATTTTACATAGTAAACTCAACTTCTCGTCCAATAGAGCCAATTTCTCCCTAAATGGAGTCCATTTTCCAGCCGATAAAGTAAACTTTTCACCCAATAACTTTCACCCAATCCGGCGCTGACAGTACATGATTGCGCAATCATAAATCTTTAAAAAAATCTCTATTTATAATAAATACAACGTACTTTTGAAATGTGTTTAATTTTCAACACTCCAGCGCGCGGCAAGGGATGAATGAAAGTTTAATCGCGCGAAAGGAAAGCGCTCGGAAAACCCATCGGAAAAATTCGACTAAACGAATCATACGCATTGAAATTCGACTGGAAGATGTTTCCAGGCTGACACGCTGAATAGGTATTTTTCCGGTTCGAAGTGTTCTTGACGAGCGAAGAAAAAAAGATGAGGGACCGATTACCCGGAGAACGGCCCGTTTAAACTCATATTTCACGTTTTCTATTTTCACGTCCCCCTCCTCCCGTCGGTTTTGTAGTCTCCGGTCCGGAAATTGACGGAAAACGAACGCGCTTTATTTATCAATATCGCTTATCCTTCGGGAAAACCGGTACAAATCCTATCGAATTCATGCCAAAGTTTTTAATATATGGCTAATAAAATGGTAAAAAATTGTTCAAGGAAATCATTCGTGCCGATTTTTACTAAACAGAGTCAATTTTTGTTACCAATAAAATACTAATAGAGACTAATGGAGTCAATAGAGTCCATTTTCCGCCCTATAAAGTGAACTTCCTACCCAATAGAGTCAAATTCCCGTCTAATAAAACCTCCCAATAGAGTCGCTTTTGCCCTCGATAAAGTAA